CCCCCCTTTTTTAATTATCCCGCCCCCACCGATAACTACACGCGCATTTTTTCGTCGGCATGGTCTTTTTTGTATAATATACATTTTTACTAATAATTTTTTTTTTTTTTTTTTTTTTTTTTTCAATCTCAACATGCATGGAGAAGCAGCATGGGTTGCAAATTCATGCAGCTTAGCGTGAAAAACTACCACAGAAATAGAATGAGTGCTGCATTTAAAAGCTACCACTGAAAATCTGTTCAATTAAGTCATTATTTTATCATTTTTAAGAGCTTAGCAGATCACTTGTTTTCATTCAGATGCAGCACTTGACTTTGTCAATCTAGGGGTGCCACTCAGCATTTCTTTATACACTTTCGATTACCACTAAAATAATGGACGTTGGAAAATTCTTCAGTTCACGTTAAGTTTTATCATAACAGAGCTAAACTTCGTTTGAATAGTCTCTTTAAACTTGCCTTATAACGATGCTGTATTTGACAGTTGGTCTTTAACTCTCGCTGGTTTGGTACATACAGTATATGGAATACTTGATATCAAATCCCACTACCAGTTTTTGCTTCATTATTAACCATTTCAGTAATAAGGATTCCATATTTGTATGAATTTTACTTTTATATGAATTTCACATAATAAAAAAACAAATTTTTTGTAATACAACAAGAGCAGTTAAAATTAGACTTTGACTACCTGTGTATGTAATTAAGTAGTTCCTTATAGGTACTCGTACTCTGAATGAATTGTGTCATCAATTTTCATTGCCCCTCTCCTTTCTCGATATTTTAGGGTATATTTTAAGAACTCTTTTTCACTGTTTGGGATGAATAAAAAAGAATAAACCTTAAAACCCCAGATACATAGATATAGAGTATTAGTATGTAAATACAAAGTTTGTAGCGAGCTCCAATAGTTGTCTATGAGGTACTTTCGTATATGAATCAAAGTTATACCTTCGTACTTATGGTTTTATTTTGCAAACGTTCTGTTTACACGGCGTTTCAGTTAAAATGAGTTAGCAAAAACAATTCTTAATCGAAATACATTATATCAGCACAAAGCCATATCGATAAAATTCACTATTTCAGCTCTTTGTGCCACACATAACTCTAGGACTTTAGCCAGAATCTTGAAGGCTCACACTTATCTCTAACCAAGCTCCAAAAATCCATTCTGGTACTGAGTGCATGATTCAAGTTAAAGTTTTGTAGTTCTCTATATGTGTTAAACCTTAAGTACTTTTTGGTACATTCCTCCTTTGATGCTATAACGAGTTTTCACATATGCAAATTCTCGTAATGATATGACATACATAGGAAGACACAGATAGGTGTATATTCAACCTACTATTTACACTACAAGTGCTCAATAGCTAGATAATCTACATTAATTCGATAAATATGAATGGAACCAGTTTCACTTTCTCTTGGCCCTCTTGCATATACGCAAAGAATGCTAAAAGAGCAGTGCGGCTCATGATAGTTGCAACCTCATATTTTAACCCGTAAAAATTGCTTTGTATCTGAAAATACACTCTAGACTTCAATTAGCATACCAAAGAGTGAGCTAGTGGAGGATAGCCATATGAGGGGCCATCGAAAAGGTTTGAATTAAGCAGCAATATTAGAAATGCTCAAGAGACTGGACGTTAAAATAGAGATTAGCTTTGGTTTTATTTCAGTCTTGTTACGATTTTCTGGTTTATTTTAAGCATAAATCTAAATTCATTGTTTTGGCTCAAATAGTTTAATTAGTCACGAGAAACTTAAAAAAGGTTGATATAAACATTACCATGTACATACGGAGAGTTATTATAGTGCTTTAACATAGTTCTGTGAGCCCCTATATTTTGTTGTGCTCCATGGAATACACACTTAGTTTCGTATCCATTGGTTTGTTTAGATTTTCAAAGTATGAAGTATAAAATGGTGAGATGTTCCTACTATTCCCTAGTCTCCAGGTGACTTGCAGGGAATCTAATAACAGCTACTATGAAGTTCACCACTCTCGCTTTTTCTGCTGCATATATTTCTTCTGTCTTCGGTTACGCCTTTCAAATTTACCCTTTCACTGTGTCAACAGATTCAACTGTAGATAATAATTATTTAACTATTACATACAAAGGAAATGTTGATGCACGCAACGACATTTCATATGGAAAGAAATTTGGCATTTTCTATTACGACATTGATACTAAAGAAATTTATAGTGCAGGTTCGGAGAAACCTTACGCGGTGAAAGACTACGTAGGACCCAAGACCTATTTGACTATTCATAATGGATACCTTGTCGCTGGCAGCACCCCTGCAAAAGCAGAACTCATCAACTCAGACTTATACATTGAGGGTAATGATCAGTTTTATGTCTTAAATGGACTTATCTATGTTTCTAATATTGCAGGCAGTACTCCAACCAAGCTCAAAGGTTTTATTAGCGGTCTCTTACCTGATCCTAATTCAGTCCCCCCTTCTTCGCCTGTGCCTCCTTCATCACCTACTCCGACTCCATCAGGTTACACCAATACCACTATTACAACTACCTTGACTTACACTGAGGGCCACACTACTGTGGTTACAGTCACTACTTGTCCTCCAACAGTCATAGACTGTCCAGCCAGACACACACCACAAGTTATTACAACAGTTATTCCAGTAACCAAGACCACCACGTACTGTCCAGCAACTACTACCCCAACGTATGTACCATACACAGAGTATACAGAGTATACGGCATACACTCCTACTATTGCCGGTGAATCTATCGTTAAGACAACAGCACCGGTGACTGAAGTCCCCAATGGAGCCGTGAAGGCAGGCTCTCTCTATGGAATCGGAATACTTGCCGCTGCAGCCTACTTGTTTTAAATTCTACAGTTCATCATGTTCAAGAAACATGCTTTACTTTTCCTTTTTACTTTTCTATTTTTCTAATTCAAAATGATTGCGGCACTTGTAGCTAGCCGTAATGACATATATTTTATATACTACAATAAATTGACATTGCTTAGTGAATTACACTTCAAACTACTTCGATACGGCGTTCCTTCAGTCGCACCACTGTAATTCAGGAACACATTAAGATTGGTCACGCTACAAGGCCACTGTCTACTACCTCGAATATATTAAACTGAACGGAATATGAGGTTTTAAATACAAAGTTAGCATGAGAAGAAGTTTCAGAATACCTTTAATTGAAGTAAATGTAAGTTAGGACATAAGCAAATACAAGCTCATTATCAAAAGTGAAACTATTCTAAAATCTGTCCATAACAGGTTGAAATTGTTTAGACCCACCAGAAAGAGACCCACATAATGGTAGAACTTTTGATTATTATGTGGTGTCCTTTTTTGTCAATATTTTTGTTTTGGACAATTACCCTTGCAATATTTTCCTTACACTGGTACTTCTTGCTCTAATACATAATAATGAAAAGGAATGTGGAGAAATATAAATAGAAAAGCCTCACCTTAAACCTTATATTTAGAATCATGAAATAGAATAGTCTTGAGTGCTATTTCCACGAAAATATTTAATACACTGTAACTTCGTTTGAAAGTGTCCAAAAGCAAGAGCCCCCCTAAGGTAAGACGTTGTAAGAGGACATACTAAGGAATTTTTCCAGCTCTTCTAATGAACCAAGTTATCGAATCTAAAATGAAGGAGAATTAGATGGCTCAATTCAAATTTTCAAACTGAGTACAACAATTTCATGCTTTGTTATTACCGTGGCTCGGAAGTAGTCCAAAAAGGTAACAAGTGAGCCCAAATTCGATTAATTTCATGCGTATTCATTACTGTTTCTGTGGAACTTGAGCCGCTTTTATCAGCCACAATGCATAGTTTTAATGCGAAATTTAAAAATGTTTATATTTTTGCAGCCGTTGAGTTCCGCCATTTGTTGCATATAAAAAGAGACAATATGCACATTGATATTCCCTCTGTTCTTTTCAATATAATTATTTATCTTTCCGATATCATAAAACAAAAACATTAAAAAAATCTACAATGAAGATTACTACACTCGCTTTATCTGCTACAACTATCTCTGCTGTTTTAGCTGCCGTCTACGACGTTCAACTCTTTGTTGAATCATCTGACTCTGCTATTAGTGGCAATGGTTTATCTTCCATTCACGAAGGTGCCGGTATTAACTACTTTTTGCTTTCAACTGGTGGTGCTGAAACCTTCAAGTATGATGACCAAGCTGAGGAACTCTACACTGACAATTCTGTTAAGTACTCTGTTGGTACGCTTGGTGGGTATCTTTCCAATGGTGTCACTGGCTCTTCAAAGGCAACCTTCGACGATAATAAGTTATCTTTAGGTGGAAATACTACATTTTATGCTGCTAAGAACACTGGTGATCCTTACAACTACTCTGACAATAGTTACATTGTCCTTGTCAGTAATGCTGAAGGTTCTATCCCATTCTCTATCAAAGCCGTTAAGTCTAACTCTACTGTTACTACTTCTTCTGCTTCAGGAACACCTGCTGTCACTACAGTTGCTAATAGTGCCGCTAAGGTTGGTTCTGTCGCTGGTGCTGGACTACTTGCTATTGGAGCATACCTTATCTAGTGTTGCGGTATTACAAATAAGGGAAAAATTACGACTTCGTTCTTCATTTACTTTATTTTAAATATAAGCTTATTTCAAGTACTTGTTGTACTCAGGAATTTCCTGACACCATCTTTCATTAAAGTATATTAAATTCGTTTAAGGTACTGTAAATCGGCCGTAGAGAAGGCTATGTAAGCGAACATTTCACATTGAGGTTTACTTGTCTGGATTTGTTCAGTATGAAGCAATTGGTTCATTATTGAGAATGAAAAATCCTTAATCATACAAGTCTAGCGAAAATGGTACCTCATCAAAGATTCTCCAGTTTATTCTTAGGAGATCTAGATTGTTTCGAGAAAAATAGTTTACTTTGATTACCAAACTCAAGCATTGAAGTTGAGCAATATACTTTCGTAATCGATGACAACCATATGTTGATGAAGATGTATTCTCAGTAAGCTCCTATATTTAGTCATAATGGTGGAAATCAAATAAGAGATTGTGTTCACATAACTTGAGTTAAAACAGGTTTCAAAGTATGAAAGACATTAGAGTACATTATGCTTCAATCACTTTTGGCTCTTAACATCCATAAGATAAATAGAATAATGAAAAGCTGATCATAATGAAATTGAATACATTCTGTTATTGCTCTTTTCTTTTCAACCTGAACTGAGAATTTCCAAGTGCAACTTTATGCTCACTCAGGTAATTCATCTATTAGTGACAAACCTTTCTATTCCATTCACGAAGTCTCGAATTTAACTATTTCGTAGTCGGATCACCCAATGAATCTCCTGCAACTTTCAATTATCATGCCAAAAAGATTGAACTTTTCAACTATATCTATGCGGACTGAGAGAAGTATTATGGTTGTCATCATGTCAATTATCTTTGAACTCTAAAGAAATTTTTTATATGCCTTGTCTCTTGCTTTATTTTGTTTTAGTTAGAGTAATCATTATAAACCCAATTGACATTTTTGACTCTGAGTAATTATATTGCTTCTACTTTACTTCATGGATTTTACATTTAGATAGCATAATATAGGAAATCTATGTAGTTACACACTGCACGAGAATTGCAGCACTTCTTTATTTTTTCGCAATTATTATTTTTAGAATGAGCAATGCTCGAATTAGTAACCAATTTAGCCAAAAAGGGATATTTTACTTTCTGCAGGATCAAAGGCGATTGTTTTGACATAGCAATTTACACTTTTGAAAAGTTATGAACAGAGGTATATAAGGCGGGATACTCCCACTTTGAAAAATCAAGCTAGTAACATCATTCTACACACAATAGCTATTAGTTAGTATTCTATCATGCAATTTATTTACATAACATATTTCACTGCATTATTTGTTTTTGCCCTTGGATTAAATTCAACTACATCTGGATTCCAAAACAGTACCAGCTTGAATCTTACCAATCCGTCTACCACCCAGTACTATAATACAAGTACCTTTTCATCTCCAACAGTTTTAATATCTACAGGAGGAGTCTACAACAATTATTCATCCTTTGGAAATGTCACCAGTCACACAACTACTTCCCACCACTCAACAACTAAGGGTGAAGTTAGTACCGCAACTGGTTCTGACAGTGAAAGTGAGAGCCAAGGAACTACTTCCACGGAAGTAGTAACTGGATCAACAAGCCAAAGCTCACTGAACATTGGTACTACCCTTAGCTATGCTAGTGGCCTTCTCGTAATTGTTGCTGCGTACCTTCTTTAGGTCGCATTAAGGGGAAAAGGAAAACAATAAAAAAAAAAATTCATACCTCACTTCCTAATTAAGACTAGAAAAAATTTTTTTTTTCACATTGGCTTAGGCGAGAACAATAAGCGCCTAGAGGGAGTCGCCCAAAAGATTTATAACCATGAACTTCTGAACTGCTACAGTACACTAATAATACCCATTTCAATTATAAATTTCGGTTTTGTATTATTTTTATCTACTAATTTTGATAGCTAATAGATACAATATATATTTTCAATACTTTCAGAGACATTCTTAAATTAGTCACCTAGCTGTAGCACATAATTCGAAGCAAAATAGCGCGAGACTGTAGAGTCATTAAGACATGCAGCGTACGGTACGGTACACCAGGTTGTTGGAAATACTCACATGTGGTATTCTTATCTTGATGAATGAATACATAGAATCATGTATTGTGTATTCGGGGTACCGTTATAACTATTCACATGGAGTTGCGCTCGATTTCGTAAATTAAGAACGGTTGTCGGATATATTTTTCAGCTATCCGAAGCTAATACTAAAAAATAAACAACTCTCAGGAAAACAACAGAAAAAAAAATGGGGAACATACGAATCAGTTTCACAGGTGTCAAAGAAATGTAGCGGGGCAGTCAGCAAAAAATTCATTCATGCTCCGCTCATCGCCATAGTTTTTTCGTGAAGTCAACAAAAAATTGAATGGGATTGCCATCGCACTTGAGGCAAATAGCATCATACTGATGCATTTCATCCTATACAGCTCAAAATAGAATCATCCCTGAAAACTTTTTTCTATCTTAAGATTTATGTAGACTAGATCAACGTCTAGTGAACACTTCTTTCAAATCGTGGAAGACTAAAAGAAAAATAGAATGATTAATAAGAGCTCAAGGTGACTAATGAAAATTGTTGCATAAAATCTGTAAAAAGCAGGTACACTCTTTTCAAAAACAATACGCGATTCGCTTCACCTCGTCTTCACACTAATCTTTTAATAGAATTGTAACTGCTTGATGTTGTATTTGAACCAATGTGACTTTTTAGGTTAAACTTTTACACGAATCTTCAAATTGTTCAAGTCGTATTTCCGTGAAGTTTCTAAAAAAAAGTTAAAAAAAAGGTACAAAACAGCCTGCCTCACACTAACCGCAACCATAAAATAACGATCAGAAATGAGCATCAAGTCTAGAATACAGGTACCTAGCAATTACTCTCTGGCGAAACTTTAAAATGTATGTTTTCGAAAATACGATTGCCCTTCTAATCTGGCAGATATCGTGTTTTCTCGGCTGTTCTGACGAAATTTTAAAGTTTATGTATATTCATTTTAAATTACCCCATGAAACAAAAACAAACCCAGTACATTTTAGCCTTAAGTAGGTTCAACAATAGCGTGCATGAAAAAAATATTCTCTGGCGAAAACGGTGCATATTTAGTTCTATTTTTTACAGTTTGAAGTATGCAGAGCCTCATTATATGGGGCTGTTTTTCCAATTAGCGAACTCCGCTACACACATGAACATTCCTAGCAGGACTTGTAATGCTCATCTCATGAGTGGCCTGGAACTAGATCAAATCCTAAACCCCTTGCATGGACCATGAAAAGCTCTGAGTGATATGATACCGATAGAAATCACCTAGTAATTGCATACTCTATCTATGGTGATCGCGTTACTCCGACTGAGTAGACGTACCTTACCAGTCTACAATGTCTTAATGTAAAGCTTAAATCAAGGTACGAATTTAGAGGCCTTCACAAAAGCTTATTCATGAATCGAAGAAAACCCCACTAGTCCACGTATTCTGCAAAGGCTAACCATAACCTTAAACCATTGTTTACAATTTTGCATCCAAAAATGTTCAATGACCCTGGACAACTTCATATAAATTGTGCACTTTCTTCTTTCTTTCTTCACCTTGCAGCCATTTATTTATCCAAAACCAACTTAATTACTTTCGCTTAAACTATAAAATGCAAATTTCTACACTCGCTATTTCTACCGCACTTCTCGCTAATGGTGCATTAGCTCTTATTGGTTTTGATATCGAAGCTGGCTTTGATCTCGAGTTCGGTTTCGGAACCTTCGCAGGAAGTTTTGATGCCGGAGTAGGTATCGACGTCGAAGGAAAGAAATGGTATACCAGAGGTGTTAAGTGTTACAAAACTAAGACCTACACCAAGGGTAAGACATACGCAACGAGCACAGAAGCTTCTACTTCTTACATATCACTTTGCCCACAGACCCTTACTGCCGCTGCCGAATTTAATGCTCTCGCCCAAATTGAAGCTGTTGAAGCTACAACCACTTCTTCAACTACAACCCCAACCACCACTGCAACTCCAACCACCACTGCAACTCCAGCTGAAACTTCCTCAATTCCAGTTCCAGCTCCAGTATTAGCTGTTGCCTCTCCAAGCTCAAGCTCAAGCTCAAGCTCAAGCTCAAGCTCAGCCGAAACTTCCACTCCAGCTGAAACTTCCTCAATTCCAGTTCCAGTTCCAGTATTAGCTGTTGCCTCCCCAAGCTCAAGCTCAAGCTCAGCCGAAACTTCCACTCCAGCTGAAACTTCCTCAGCTCCAATTCCATTAGCAGCTGTTGCCTCCCCAAGCTCAAGCTCAGTTACTCTTTCTGCAAGTATCGTTACCGTTGATACTACTACCACCTCCACCTCCACCACATGCCCAGAATCATCGACGTTCTACACAACTGTTGAATCAATTTACACTTCTTATACAACAACTTGTCCTGAGTCCAGCTATGCTACTTACACCACTACTGTCACCTACCCACATACAACAAGTGTTGTTTGCTCAACTGTTTTATCAACATATTATGTTACAAAGGTTACTACTGATGTATACTACGCTACTTCTGTATACACTCATGTTGCACCAGCTACTACTACTGAAGCATATGTTGCTCCTACTTCTGAAGCTTACGTTTATGTTCCACCAACTACCACTGCTGAAGTTTACGTTGAAACAACTACTCCAGTTGCAGAAGAAGAAACTTCAACCGAGTATGTCGTAAGTTACGTCACAAAGACCTGTCCAACATGTGTTATTGAAACTTACTATTCAACTTCCACTTATCTTCCAAGCACTTACTTGGCTGAAATTTATACCCCAGCAGAAACCACTTACTATACCTCATCTTATTACAATACAACGTATGCTCCAAAAGCAAGTGCTTATGTTGAAAATGGAGCTGGTGCACAATCCATTAAAGCTGGCTTCTCTTTATTAGCTTTCGTTTTCACAATCTTACAACTTCTTTAGAGGACATATCTTGCTTCAATGTGTGACATGGTCAAGTGAATTTATATTATAACTTTTGTACTTCTCCCATAATTATTAGGGCCCAATCCATTCGAATTCATCTTCAAACTACTTCAAATCTTTCGTGACCCAGTTACAATGAATATTTTAGTTCAAGTACGTCGTCTATTCTTCAAAATATATTACTATTTTAGTCAATGTCAGGTGGTAATGCACCATCCATTCCTTGTAAGCTATTCTCATCATCGTCATCATCATCGTCTTCGGAGTCGTCTCCGACAGTCGTCTTAGATTCAATGTCAGATTCAGCAGACAAATTACTAGTGTCCTTTTCAGGTACACCCACAACTCCCCATTTTATATTTGTTACCTGTTCCAATCTTTCCAATATCTCGCACATCGGCGTATATAGACCGAATTGTTTATATTCCCCATCGTAAGAATGTAACATACCTACAACCCCTAAACCTTTCGATTCTCTATTGGTCTCACAATCTTCAAGTTTAGCTAAAATCCAGGCTCCACTATCACCGCCAGCAGCAAATGCAGAATTGTTTTCTAATGAGTTTACCACAAATTCACTTGAATGAATTGTGCCGTCTAACCAGTATACCAATTTTATACCATTCAATGTACCCTTTGTAAACTTTGTCGTCGAACCGTACTTAAATACAGGCAAACCATGATTGTTCAAATTATTTCCTGACAAGGTAGAATCAACATCATCAATATCAATAGTATTAATATTTCTATTAAGATCAAGAATTGCTCTAACGTACAAATTGTCAAACATCAAAGCTGGATCGAACTCATTAAACGCTATATCGTCTCCTAAGAAGTTCAGTTCACATCTAAGGGCTTTATTGACTTTCACTATCGCCAAGTCACTAAGTCTTTTTTCAACAAACTCATCATCGGAATTACCATTACTATCCATTTTTAGTAAAGTTCTCTCCCCCCAAATAATTTGTCCAAATCTGTGAATTGGTAAGTTCCTAACTTCAGTCAGCTGCTTACTTGGTGTCTTGATTCTTTTCATAGGAAATATTTCATCTAATTGCTTCAAGACTGTGCCATATGCCACTTTACTCTCCACACCACTTGTAACGTTACCTTGTGCATTGGTATGATCAAATTTGGCGTACTGGGACAACAAAGCTTGTTTGTACAAAGATATTAAAACCGACAGTGGCACCGCAACATTGCTGTACGCTGTATTCTCTTCGTTGTTATTGTTGAGGCATACATGGCCACAAGTAATAGCGTAAGAATAAGAAGAATAACTTGCAAATTCGGGTTGTTTTTTCAAATCAATCATTGGGTAGATGAAACCTCCCAAAGTTCCTGAAGTTCTCAGCGAATTTTCTACAGAAAGAGATAAAGACATCGGAGGCTTTGCGAAATCTGTTGGAAGTCTGAATGGCAATTTAAACTTATACCTAGGTGGCTGTTGTTTGAGTAATCCTGCATCAACTGAAGAATGTTGTTGTTGTTGTTGTTGTTGCTGCTGGTGCTGTTGTGGTAATTTTTGGGTCTTTGCAGATGCCATATCGATTTGATTACGGATACTAATAAAATGTATATCATCGTAAAGATCGTGTAGTCTTTGAATTAAATGCATATGGTAATCAGTTGGGTTAGGGTGTCCGAAATATAAGCACAAGATATTCAATTGTTTGCTTATTCCTCTAGTAATTGGTGCAATAAAAGATCCATTTTGTTCCTTTACCGACAAATTAGTATTAGTTATTTTATTAATGATGTTAGTTAAAACATCTTGATTAGGTAACGTCTTACCAGTATTTACACCAATAGAATAATTCTGAGGTTTAGAAATGTCGATATCATTTCTTCCACTGGTACTACCAGCTCTGCCTCGACTCTGACTATCCAAAGAAAGTGCAAAATCGTTGAAGTTTTTCAATAGTAAAAGCTTCAACTTAATATAAACTTCGTCTCTTAAGATATTATCGTGTAAGTTTAAGTATATTTTCATCAATTTTCTGAGATAGACATTGTTATAGGTATCAAAATACCAGAAGTCTTCAGTGCCCGTCTGTGGATAAGTATCCTTCACAAACTGAACAAAAACCTTAAAGCAGTCAATAGTATTTATCACTGATGTGGTCAAATGCACCAAACTGTTACTATACTGGTTCATAATATAAGATACATCTTCATACAATCTATGAAGCTTATCACCAATCACATCAGCAGCGGGGCGCTCTTCTCTGGATTCTTCAAGTATATCCATCACCTTCAAAGGCTGACCTTCATACTGCTGTTGTTGCTGCTGCCTTTGTTGCGACAGCTGCTTTTTATCACTACCCCTTGAAAAGTACGATGACTGGTTGGTAGACGAGGACTTTGCAGATCTGGAAAACAACGACTTGCCCAAGTTCTCGGAGTCCTTAGTGAACATCGAGCTCGGAGTTGTGGTGGTAGGGTTCAGAATCACCGGGTTTAGATTCAAATTCGGGTCATTTGTAAATGTTTGGCTAGAGACATCTCTACCAATGTCTTTCGAGGAAGAAGCGGTCTCTGCATTGAACATAGGATGAAGTTCAACAATGGATTCCTGAGACTCAACGGTGGCTGTGTACGATGCAGTAGGCTCGAGCTCAGTGGAGTTCTTAGAAGGTGACACAGCTTTCGGCGAAACATCTCCTGCGTTCCCTGTGCTTCCCAACGACTTCTTGTCGTCTTTTTTGGACGATCTGCCCAAAAACTTCTTCATATTGTTACCAAAGAAAGCTGTCCCAACTACAAAACGAGGAGTCGTTAATTTCACTTCTGTACTCAAAACATTCTGAGCAGTGCGAAGTTCAAAAAAAAAAAAAGAAAGAAATATATTAGAGTTACGGTTAAGCCTGCACAGAAAATACACTTAAGTGATCCGAGAGTGTCAGATTAAGGTTAGACTATGGATCGAGGGTAGTGTTTAGAAACATGTAGTAGTGCAAACCTAGATGAAAAATGAGGAATTCAAGAGGATCCTTGCAGAAATGATATAGAATCAAGAAAAGAAAAGAAGTCAATAGAGAGGTGACCCACTGAACTTGATGTATGAGCATGCGAGTGCAAATCGATGCAATTGAGTATGAAGAAGAAAAGCGGCCACAAGCAACTACACACACACTCAATTTGCTTACACCTCTTACGATAATAGTATGCAGCAAAATCCATGATCTACCTAGCTCACCACTTGATTAAATCACACTTTCAGAACCCCTTCCATGTGGCCCGTGCAGTAGAGTCACACACCTTTACTCACCATTCTCTATGACTCGTGTGGCCCTTCACTAATCATGTGACATGCCTTTCCCCCACAAAATACTCAGTAGTGAAAAATAACACTGTACAATTTAGCGTACTGGGTTACTGAGCGGCCCCTCAAAGAAGAGTAACCTGCAAGAATATCATAAAATAAGCTTCGACTCTAAAGGGATCCGGGTCCCCAGCTCTCCCCAGAGATGACATGATACCAGTGTAACAAAATCCGAATTGCTCCATGTTACAAGGCGATTTGGCCCTACTCACTTAGTCGGATTTTGGTGTTCTGCCCTGCTTTCTTTTTTCGCTCTTCCGTGTTTCTCCATTTTTTTTTCCTTTACTCTGGTGCACTTTGTACCTGAGCCAAAATTTACCTTCAATATTTTCTTGCCTTGTTCCTTTCTCTTGCCTTCTCTTCCTCTTCGTTACCAGGTCCAGATTTCTCCGCATTATTTTGGAATTTTCCTCAAACTTGTTATAGTTACCAGCAAGTCCCGTATTGTTGAACAAAACTAATAAGAAGAAGCACTAGTGTAGTTAACCTCTTATCTTTATATATATATATCCATCCTTCTGTTTAAGACACGAAGACGAGTAAAACCGCTAGAAGCAACCAAGCAATAGTCGGCCGACTTACAACTCAAATAAAAAAAATATCACAATAGGAAATACAATTCTATTATAATATATTTACCACAACATGCCTGTTTATTCAATTTCTCACGTTGAGAATGTCAGAGTCTGTGTTGTCATGGTTGGCTTGCCAGCCCGTGGGAAGTCCTTGATTGCTCAGAAGATTGTAAGATACCTTTCATGGCTTTCTATCAAGAGTAAGTGCTTCAACGTTGGTGGCTACAGAAGAGAGTTAGCTGCAGATGTTGGAGATTTCACGGCTGAATTTTTCGATCCAACCAACAAAAGGGGGTTGCAGTACAGACAACTGGCTGTGGACAGTGCCATTAATGACATGATGAAATGGTTCGTAAATGAAAATGGAGTGGTGGGGATCCTTGATGCCACCAATTCTACTAAGCAAAGAAGAGCTGAGATCTTGAAGCTCTGTCGTGACAACTACATTGAGCCAATGTTTTTGGAAAGTTGGTGTGACGATCAAGATTTGATTTTACAAAACATCTTGGACGTCAAAACCACGTCACCAGACTATGTAAACAGTGAATCAGAGTATGCAACCAAGGATTTCTTGAAGAGAATTAAATTTTACGAGCAAAACTACGAAACCATGGACGTCAAGCACGATCTGGATTTGACCTTCATTAAGTTAGTTAATGTAAACCAACAAATCATCTTGAACAGAATAGAGAGTTACTTGGAAAGTAGAATTGTCTACTACGTTATGAACTTACACATCAAACCAAGGCTGATTTACTTATCAAGACACGGAGAATCAGAGTATAACTTGACGGGACAGATTGGTGGAGATGCTAATTTGTCTGAAAGAGGTTGGAGGTACGCCAAGAAGTTGCCCGAATTGGTGTTGAAGAGTTTGGGGGAAGAAAATAAGCATACAAATTTAACCGTGTGGACATCGACTTTAAACAGAACCCAACAGACCGCTTCATTCTTGCCGTACAAAAAGAAGTTGCAATGGAAAGCCCTTGACGAACTTGACGCTGGAGAATGTGATGGAATGACTTACGAGGAGATCGAACAAAAATTCCCCGAAGATTTCAAGGCCAGAGACGATAACAAATACGAGTATAGATACAGAGGAGGGGAACTGTACCGTGACATTGTTATCAGGTTGGAGCCAATTATTATGGAATTGGAAAGACAAGAGAATATTTTGATCATCACCCATCAGGCCGTATTGAGATGTTTGTATGCATACTTCATGAATGTGCCACAAGAAGAACTGCCTTGGATGTCTATTCCATTACATACATTGATTAAATTGGAACCAAGGGCTTATCTGACTATAGTCAGCAGGATCAAGGCCGATATCCCAGCCGTCAGCACTTACAAGGAGAAGGGTACTTCCCAATTGGGTGAAATTGTGAATGGAACCACAAGCAGTAAGAGCAGAGATCTCATAAACGATAGCAAATGCGTCTAAAGAATGAAAAACAGAAACAAAGTCAAAAACATTGACCTCCAATCAAATAGCCACAAGCTACTCCACCGCCGGCCCACTCCTTACATCTCAGTTGAGAACACTTACCAACTCACAGTATCCGAATGTACTGCTAAAAACAGCAGCATTGACTAGCTAAAGAATATAGAGAATACGTCCAATTTAATAATTCCATTTACATCTCCTTCTCTTTTAATATTTATCTACATCCCAACGTCTCAATGATCTATTAATTTACATTCTATTCATTAATTATGTCGTTGATATATACCTCTTGGCCTGCTCCTTTATCTTCTTCTCATACACATCCTTTTCCTTAAGAAACGCTCTCCATGCAGGTTCTTGCGCAGGCGAGTCCGGATTAGGCGAGGTCAAGAGTTCCTGTATCCCCAAGACGATCTGCTTCAAAGTTATGGCTGGACGCCAATCCTGTTCCTCGTTTAAGATAGATAGGCAAATGGTTCCACTCGGGTATACGTTCGGGTGATAGAATTCAGCAGGAAATTTGACTTTGGGGGGTTTGGATGGGTATTCTTCTGGGAATGTTATAGTTATCGGATAAGTCGCACCTTCCCATAATGTATTTTGCTTACCAGGAATGCCTGCCGTCCAGGTAGTCAAATCTAAGGACCCATCTTCGGCCTTGATTGGTTTTGCAAAGAACCCAAATGGATGGTCCTTCCTCCAGAGCTTTCTTTCCTCCTGTAACCTAGTTTTACAGAGCGACATTAGGTATACTGTGCTAGACTAATAGACTGTAGAAGTTAGTAATTGTTTTTTTTTTCACTCCATCTTCTTATTTTTGGTATAAGCTTATTTTTCTGAGATACGTATTGGCGAGCACACGACCTGTTCCAAAGGTGATTTGGCTCGGCGGGATCTGTCAAAGGGCTAGATAGAGCCCCAAACTGAGGACAGTGCAGCTAGAGCAGACAGAGCAGCAAGAGCAGTTAGAGCAGCTAGAATAGACAGTGCAGCTAGAGCAGTATGAAGAGATATACTGATACGTTGCACAAATCGGTTAGCGGAGGTATTCATTTCATTAAGCACTTTCATTACATAAGAGGATGGACCGAAGGGCCTTCCAATTAGAGGTTCACTAGGTAATCTCTGGGGCTACTAAAGACCAAATAATTTCCAGCCGCTTCCCAAAAATTAAAGTAAATAGTCGCTGGTACTCTACAGCGAGGGCCATTCTCCACCCACCAAGTTCATTTTCGCACCCAAAATGGCGCTAAGCTTTTTCTATACGTACTGTGCAACATCTCCTTCACCTGGTCTATATTCTTCACCTTTTACCTCTCACTTCCCCCTATCCACCTGCATACCTTAGTTATTGGCTGCATACACCTATGCACCGGCTCCTATGTTCGTTTCCTCTTCGATCACAGTCCACTCCAACCATCTTCTTCCCCACTTATGGCACTACCATGAGCTTTGAAAAAAACAGACCCTACCTGCAGGCGACCTCGGTTTTGCCCCACAAAAATTTCTTTAGGGTATAAGCAAATTAGTTGTTGGATAAAAATCCACTGTGTAGTACAAGGCGCTAGAAACTTGTACTTCTTTGCTCGATATTCAGGTTAACAATTGCATAATTCACATAAAACACTCCTAAAGATGCTGAATACCGAAAAAGAAATAAAAAGCACACAGCCTGAAGCGGCTCCGGTTGCTCCATCGGCTCCAGCTGTTCCAGCTGGCCAAGCTGAAGCTAGTGAGACCGATAAGTCCTCTAAAGCTAATGTGAACGACGACGATCTTGATGATCTTGATGATCTCTTGGATGATTTTGCAGATGATGTCTTGAACAAACCTCCTGGATCTGGTATTGAAGGTGGAACTGTAGTTGACGAGAAGGAAGCTACCTTGGATCCTACCAACCCGATCAATAATGAAATTTCTCAGGCTAACATCGAAGACCTCTTGAAGGATCTCAAGATTGAGGACCCAGAGACCAAGAAACAGTTCGAAGAACTTGTAAAGCAGTTCGATGACACACAAAAGAAAGAGGCACAGGGTGGCCCACAGAACTTCGACGATGTCATGAAAGACACCATGGACAGATTGAAGAAATCTGGAAAGAACATCGACGAGCAAATCAAAAACGACCAAAGCGCTTCCAACCCAGAAGACGTTTTGACTCAACTTCTTGCTGGTATGGGAGGAGCCGGTGGTGAAGGTGGAGACCTCGATATGTCCAAATTGTTGGTGGATATGCTCGAGCAATTATCTTCCAAAGAAGTCTTGTACGAGCCAATCAAAGATCTCAACACCAAATTCCCTGAGTACCTTGAGGAGAACAAGGGCAAAATCTCACAACAAGATTACGATAACTACACAAAACAATACGATATCACAGTGGAAATCATCGCTATATTCGAGGCTCCTGGATACACGGACGAAGACAAAGCTAAGAGGGACCAGGTGAATACCTTATTGGAATCTTTGCAAGACTTGGGCCAGCCTCCAAAGGAATTGGTTGGTGAAGCTGGAGAGATCCCTGGGTTCGGAGCAGGCGCTGGTCCTGGAGGTGCTGGAGGTTTAGGCGGTTTGGGCGGCTTGAACTTCAACGATAAGGACTTACCCCAGGATTTTGAGAAGCAATTAGAGGAAGGATGTAATCAAACTTAATGTATTTATTAAACTGATATAGTGGCTAAGTGAGCAAAGATGCACTCTCTTTTTATTTTATTATATAGTCAATCCACTTCTACCTGCAAATTCACTATAATAATCTAACATTTCGGGTGTAATACCTCTAGATATACCTTTGAGCGCATGATCAAAGTGCCTCTTTTCAACTCTTTCGGTTTCCTTATTCTCCATAACCGCAGCCAACCCTGCCTCCTGACAGAGCAAGGCCACTTCGGCTCCTGAGCACCCATCAGTGATCTCTGCTATTGTAATTAACTCGTTATCTTGTCCGGTTTCATGGAGATTGAACTTCTTGCACCCATTTGTTAAAATCTGCAATCTTGCCTCAAAGTCAGGTGGAGCAACATATATGTGTCTGTCTAATCTTCCAGGTCTCAACAAAGCAGGGTCAATTTCCGTAGGCCTATTAGTAGCAGCAACTATCACAACACCCTTCAACTCTTCCACTCCATCTATTTCATTAAGTAAGGAAGTTAACACGTTTTGTGAAGCCGAAGTGCCTGCATTTTCTCTATCACCAGAGATGGCATCGATTTCATCAAAAAATATAATGGAAGGTGCCGCTGCCCTTGCTTTTCTGAAGATTTCTCTAATGGTCTTTTCAGATTCTCCAACGTACTTGTTGAAAATCTCTGGACCTTTCACTGCAAGGAAATTCAATCCTGATTCAGTGGCCAATGCCTTCGCGGTCAATGTCTTTGAGCAACCTGGGGGTCCATACAATAAGACTCCCTTTGGAGCCAGAACGCCCAATTTAGCAAATGTTGCGGCTGCTTCTAAAGGTAATTGAACTACTTCAACCAACTTCTTTTTCAACTCATGCTGCCCTCCGATATCGGTCCAATATACTTTAGGCATCTCTAAGAAAATTTCTCTCATGGCAGATGGTGTAATGTCCGGAAGAGCCAATTCTAAATCCTCCATAATCACCTTAATCTGGTGTTGTGGGATACCTGACTGTAAACCCCTGTTAATACCCTTCATAACGGACTCACGACAGAGAGCGGTGAGATCTGCACCAACGTATCCATGGGTCTTGGATGCTATTACTGATAATTGGTCTTGGGTTAAATCATACTTCAAGGGATTCATTTTTCCGAACTGCTTCTGTAAAATTTCAAACCTAGCGTCAACATCCGGTATTCCAATTTCAACTTCTTGATCAAATCTACCAGGTCTCCTCAATGCTGGATCAATGGAGTTGGGCCTATTTGTCGCTCCAATTACTACGATCCTTCCACTCTCACCCATTCCATCCATCATAGTAAGTAATGTAGCTACAACTCTCGACTCAGTTTCTCCACTATCATCAGAGTTCCTGTTAGGTGCCAAAGAATCAATTTCATCCATAAATATGATAGAAGGCTGATATCTCTTGGCTTCTTGAAATATATCTCTGATAGCAGTCTCCGTTTCTCCTAGGTACTTGGAAACAATCGATGGTCCATTCACACTTAAAACATGAGCATTTTCAGTGTTCGCAGCTACACAACGGAGTAACATAGTCTTACCAGTACCCGGAGGTCCATGCAATAAAATTCCTCTTGGAGGAGAGATCCCAAAGTCTGAGAAGAGTGTAGGGTTATGCAAGGGCAATTCGATTGTAGATCTTAAGAGCTGGATTTGTTTTGAAAGTCCTCCAACTGAATTGTATGTGGATTGGCTAGGCAATTGAGGGTACTTAGACTTAGAAGGTGTCGTCAAGCTGGATAATTTTATGCTTGTAGCACCTTTCTTGTATATGTACAGTGGAGAGAAAAGCAGTATATCAGATTCCAAAGCTTCGTCTTCGTCATTGTCATTGTTCAATGTCAATTTATTCATTGCATTATCAATGCCTTCCTCTTCTTCATAATTGACATCTATTATGGAAACATTAACTAGAGAATTTTCCTGTTCATCGTCGTCTGACTTAATCAGGACTGGCGGTATCACCAAACCAGGAGCTACTATTCCTACGGCATCGAATGCTTTTTCCAATGCAGGGATGACTTTTTTATTCTCCAAGTCAAGGTCAGGTTTATCCACCAGTATGGAAACAGATGTGGTATACTTTGGTTGCTTAGAATGCTTCACAACTTCTAGTCTGTCACCAAGTAGAAATCCGCCCAATTTCCTCAAAGAGTCCGATAACAAGATTACATTCTGATCTGGACATTGTATATCTTGACCATCTGAGTGAATAGTGGCAATTATAGCAGGGGAAGCGGTAGCAGAGTTATATATTCTAACAATATCGCCACTTTTAAGATCCATAGCACCTAATATCGTACTGTCCATGTACACCTTAAGGCATGCTTTATGAGAAGATAAGCGAGAAGGTCTAGCGATAAAAGACTTGGGAATTTTAGTCCTTTTAGCCAGAGGAGCCGTTGTGTTTGGCTCCTCAGCTTTCTTAGAAGCATTCTTAGAATAACTAGAAGATGTCTTTGGCGCCATCACTATAATATGCTCCGGTGAAGGATAAACGAATAGTAGAAGGTTAAATTTTGATTATGCACATGTACACTCTATATGTGATGAGATGCGTTCCTGCATATACAATCCAGTATAGATGATGAAAAAGAACAAAGAAAATACACACACTTTAGTACTAGCCATTAGTCATTGTGAAACCGATAAATACTTGTAGAAATTTGATGAAAATCAGCATAAGGAGTAGATCTCGCATATAGCAAAATATTATACATACAAAAGTACTTGAAAAGATGAGAATACGAAGTACTTTTATCAAAATCAAGCGATTTAATTCAAGTTCCAACTCCACAGATCGTTTAATGGTACTGAGTAGAGACTTATATAAAAATTTCATGGAATGCTGTGAGCCAAACGTTGGATTGGAAATCCCCAAACAGGCATCAAGAACATTTCATAATAGCATAGACAGAACAGAAATCAAATATGCAATAGCACCAGACTTTTTCGAGTACCGTACATTTTTGAAAGACATAGAGACAAGAACTGAACCGATCCAAAGATTTCTTGGCCCAAATTTCCAGCTAACTTCTTCAGAAATACTACAAATATTATGTGGTTTAACAGAACTACCACCTAATATTACAGAATACCAAAGACTTGAACCTCCAGCACCACCCCGTGCTACAAATAAAGTTGCACAAGTATACTCCAGCGATCAACTTCGAGCGCTAGGAAGACGAATATATGATTTACAAGTAAGACTAGTAACGACTTTCAATGGAAACCATCTTTCTATGTCACCAGTGGACATTCAGTCTAGCTTTGTGCATTTCATTAGGCCCAATAATACTATTATTCCCTTTATGAAGAAAAACCAAATATATGAATGCATTATTCCGTTTACAGGTACCAATCGAGAAAAGGAACTAAAGGAAGCAGCGCAGATTGAAGCCCGCAAACTGGAAATAAAAGACACAACGGCCATAGCTAGCTTCTATACCATGTTAGGTATGCTTTGCATGAAGTTCGGAACCGGAAAAGTGATAGACGAGATTATAATAGAGAAGATTTTGATTGGAAATAACGGGATTATTCGAACTCTCTCCGAGAGCTTATCGAAATCAAATAAATTTAGCATTTAAAGAAGTAAAGAAATGGAAAAATAGAACTCATGTATATATTATTAATAGAAGCTATTCCTTTTCTAAGTCTATAAGTATAAAGATGCACAAAAGACAATATCTCTTTTAATTCTTTCTTGTGCTTCCGTCATCTTTGCATGCAATGTAGAGTCTCCAACAATTAATGCTGCATTTCTAACTTCTCTACAGATTTCATCTAATCTAGTAATCACTCTAACAATAGTACCTTCTGCCTCAACACTAAGCTCCATAATATCTTTAAACGACATACCTCTTGCCCATTCATATACAACATTTACCAAGGCAAATCTTTTTCTCTCGAGGAACTCTTCTTCCTCACTTGTTAAGGAGACTTGGTTGTCAGAATAAACCTTCATTAGTTTTTCAGTAATGGCCAAAATCCTTGACTTACCTCTCTCTAATCTAGGTGTAATGCATGGATCCTCCTCCTCATTGGTTCTACCTTCATAGACAAAACAAGAAAGCAATGCCACGATTTCTTCAGGCTCAAAGTCACCCAAAAAGTTATCCAATACCAATTCAGTCAAAACAAGTTCCCAACCTGAATTTACCTCGCAAGCGACCCTACCTTTCAAGACGACGTTGTGATTATGATCAATGAATCCTAATTCTTGTAATACATCAAGACGTTGCTCATAGTCCGGCAAGAGTTCCAAATTTTCATCAGAAATAAGCCTTTGTAAGGAAGAAATCTTATTCTTCAAATTTTCCTGTCTAAACACTTCATAATAATGCTCTTTGAAGTCCTCACAATGCATAAAGCTATCTATGGCCATCAATTTGGGGATTATAGCCTTCTTCTTCTCTAATAATTCGTGAAGAGATAGCTGAGTTGATTGGTAGAATCCAATTTCTTCCCATTTATCTTTAAAGTTTACGAGAGTCGTAATTTGCTTTATGGCCTCTTCCACCAACTCAGGTTGATTCTGTATAATGCCATTAATATTTACACGTAAGGCATACCTTCCAACAAAGTGAACTTGATGGTATGGAATCAAAACAACCTTAAGGTTTTTGACAGTTTTCATTTTGAGGAAATTCTTTGAAGTGTATGAGCGCAATGGGATCCATGGCATCATGTATTTGGCTGTATCGTCTTCGAATGCAACATCCGTGTCGAATGTCAACATCAATATAGAATTGTTATTCAATTCGGTCCTGACGATGAATCCAACTTTCAATACATCATGTTCATCTCTAAAGACGGCCATCCTACCAACCCTCAACAATGTGGCTCTTCCAACTGGCAGTTTCAGGAGTTCCTCTATGATTTGTCCATAAATTTTCTGATGCTCTTGTAACAAATCATACGCCTCTTGAACACCATCCAATTGACATTTACTACAATCATTTATCTTAACTGATTCTAGTTCTTTGGTTAATTCAACAACTTTAGTTTGATGTTCTGGTAATAATGTCTGGGTGCTATTTTCACTGAAAGAATGTTTAATCATTTCCTCAACTCTCAAAGCTTCAATTCTCAAAAGATTCAAGATCATACTATAAGTCAACCTGAATTGGGACACTAATTTGGTTGGAGCACCTAAAGTGACCTCTTTGAAATCCAATGGTGATAATGGGTCATTAAAAGACATTACAATAACAGTACCTGTTGAATCCAAACCTCTTCTACCAGCTCTACCTGACATTTGGGTGAATTCTCCTGGAAGCAAGTTCCTGAAGCCTCTTCCATCATGTTTTCTTACTGTGTTGAAAACAACAGTTCTCGTTGGTAAATTCAACCCCATGGCGAAAGTCTCTGTGGCAAATAATACTTTGACTAAAGTTCTAGCAAACAAAATTTCAATACATTCTTTGACGATAGGTAATAACCCACCATGATGAACTGCTATTCCTCTACTAAGCATATCACGTATTTTTAAAATTTGAGGCAATTCACGATCTTCCTTCTTCAACCTTGAGACTGCTCTATCAAGGAACATGTGAATTTCAGATTTTTCTCTGGCATTACAGAAGTCAATGTTATTAAGGGTATCGGCAAATTCCTCACATTTCTTTTTAGAGAAGACGAAAACAACAACAGGTAGCAAGTTGTTCCCTTTTAAGTACTGGACAAGTTGGACCCATGTACTTTTATTTGGGCCGTCCCTGGCAAAGCCACCTCTTGGCTTTAAATTTCCTCTTCCTGCAACAGTTCCTCCTCCTCTACCACCACCACCTCCTCTCAGATTATTATTTCCACCTCTATTACCTCCTCTAGCGGAACCTCCCCTACCTCCTCTACTACCTGCTCCCATAGTTACATTTGGTGGAGCCTTTTTGGAGTCACCTTCTAATGCTTCTTTATGCTTCTTGAATTCCAACTCATTAAATTTTCTTTGGGAATCTATGACTTTGAATAAATTCTGCTTTGCCCATATGAAAATTTCTAATGGAACAGGTCTTTTGGGAGTAGAAATAACGTATATGTCCTTTTGCTTGGTTCTACCAACCCAATTTGCAAACTCAAAGGTGTTAGGGACCGTAGCACTCAATAAAATATACTTGACATGATCAGGTAACATGATAATAACTTCTTCCCAGACAACACCCCTATCGATATCATTGACATAATGGACTTCATCGAAAATGACAAACTCAACATCTCTGATAAGATCTGCACCTCTGTACAACATAGATCTTAAAATTTCAGTGGTCATGATTAAACAATTAGCTTCAGGGTTTATTTGAACATCACCAGTAATTAAACCAATATCTATATCTTTGAACGTCTCCTTGAAATCTCTAAACTTTTGATTAGATAATGCCTTGATTGGAGAGGTGTAGATAGCTTTAGTCATGTTTCTAGCAGCCATGGCGATAGCATACTCTGCCACAACTGTTTTACCTGCAGATGTATGAGCTGCGACGAAAACAGAGTCTCCCTGCTCCAAATGGTAAACAGCTTCTTGCTGGAAAGTATCAAGTTCGAATGGCCATTCTCTTGCCATATTAGGGACTACATCTTTGAAATTTTCCAATTTATGGTCCAAGTCGACAACGTGAGCCCATGTCTGCTTGGTATCTTCTTTATTTGAAGCGAACGAGTGCTTCAATGCTTTGAAGTTGGCAGGTAGAATCCCGTCAATTTCATCCGAAGTATGTGTAGAATTGTATGCATCATCTTTAATGGGGTCGTTGGTGTCTATTAACAATTCAATTCCATCTTTTCCAGTTCCTACATCTTCCTCTACCTCATCGTTATCATCATCCTCATCATTTTTCTTTTCTAACTGTTTAATAAGCAGCTCTTCTCCCAGAGTCGAGTCACTTAGGTCCAAACCTCTCAGTAATCCTTGGGGTATATCAAACAACCCGGTGTCTTCATTTCTGTGCAAGAAGGCAGTCTCATCTTTCTTGGCATTTACACCTGTAGCCTTCTGTTTTACCAAACCACCGGGCTGGAAGGGCAAAAGCCTCGCCTGATTTGACTCACTCTTGGGAGTAAATTTTCTGTTTACTGACAAAGAATTGCTGGCATTAGCATTATCAATCTCATCCAATCTCAATTCTTCCTTGTATCCAACTATATTCCCATCGATTCCAGATCTCTTGAATCTGAATGAAGTTCTACTGATAGATTTTGGAACCCCCATTAAAGTTTCGTATATTTTTTCATGGTTTGTTTCAGGAATTTCTTGCAATAAGTCGAGTAAATCCCACAGAAGTTGATTTGATGGTTCAAGAAGCTCTTGAGAAATTTGGTCGTTGATCTGTTCTTTGCTTGGAACAGGTTTCACGAATTTTGACCTGGTCAACGGATCTAGACCCTCATAAATGAATTCGGTATCGTTAGAGGACATTTTCAATACATATATGATCAAGTTATATGTAAATAGAAGCTATTCAAAGATGCATCTTCTTCGCAGTGGTTGCTCTTCAACAAAACGTAGCTTGAAATTTGATGATCCTGCATATACACAACATTCCAGTGATTTGCACCCAAGTCTGGGACACCCACAAAGAGAATGAACTGTTCAGGTTCGATCTGGACATTGATGGGTGGAAAGGGGGTTTGAAGGGAAACAAGTGGGACTAGCTCAGCTGATTCAAATTCAGAGAAATTATTACTGTAAATGAATTGCAAGGGACAAAGCAGTTACGTTTATGTTCTACTTCACGCTTCAAGATTTCTATCTAGTTGATAGCTCATTGAATGCCGAGGAGTATGCCAGTGAACATTTGACTTCTACTGGAGGGCTCAATTTTGCATGTGGGTGTAAATGAAGCACAAAGTATATACTATCGTCAGCATGTCGTTCCACTGTGCTTCTAATGATTAGTAACATGTTTAGTAACAATCATCTTAAATAAAGTAGCTATTCAAAAGTAAGACCATTCAAGAATCCGTTAAGTAACCATTCAGTCTGTGAGGAACCATGCCTGTATTTTGGCATTCTCACTAAGAGCCAAACTATGAAATAACTTAGAATACACTAGAGTAAACAGATAATGACATCCTTAATATTATTGGTATTATTTGTTGCTGCTATTGCTCCCTCCTCAAACAGCTTGAAATAATGCTATAAATCTTAAACGTACTTGGCCAAAGAAGTATCAAACGAAACTTGGAGACATTCCATTTTTCCGGTTAGGTCTTCTTCATCCCCATGTTCTATTTCAATGGGATCCAATATTAACTTCATGAATACTTATCATGCACCTACTGGGATAATTGATCAAGGATCTTTTTATCATGATATTGTATAATGAAGAGTAGAGGTGAATGAGTATAAGCATATTCCTCTTTCTGCCAAGCAGGGAATCTTTCCTGTTGAGAAATATTCTATCTGTTAAATGGATGCTTTCAGACTACCTCTACCTCCTAACAGTGAAATAGTTCCTAATATATCATTTTACAAAGTAAATAGTATTACCATCTCAATTTTAGGTTAAGCGCTATAGTGTTCTGCAACATTTTTTTACGAAAGAAGAAATATTTACGAGCAGCAAAGTTTCTGTTGCATATTTTGGCACATCGCTAATCGCTAGTGCAATAACTTTGGCACGATAAAGTTGCTACAATTGAGATAAAAAGACGCAAAGCTGTTTTATTAAATGTAATAATGAGTGTGAAGTGATAAATCATATAGAAATAACGAGCTAAACAATGAGTCGTAGTAGTGCTAGTTATACTAATTCAACAAGAAGAGTCTTGAGTCACGTCATGGGCAACTCCTTCTTCAATACCCAATATGCGATACAGCAGTAGAAGCTTTGAATGCTCTTAGTTTTCTGTAAAAATTATAGAAGAGTGAGATACTATAATAAGTTCAAACAAACTCCAATATATTAATTGTTCTTCCCTTTTCCATGCTTGTTTTCGTTATGACTACTAATCACGATGAAAAGAACAGTGAAAATTATCACACCAACAAAAACAGAAGCACTTAAAACAAGCGCCTTTCTGGTACTACGATTATATGCATCCATTATCGACTTTTCTTCCTCTGTTCTGAAATAATGCACTGGAATGGTGATAAGTTTTTCGCTGATTCTATCCTCATCACAGGTAAGTAACCTGAATTGATACACCTCCCATATACCAATCAGATATAGTTCATGATCGACTTGTATTCCCAAAGAATTCAATTTATTTCCAATGGTTTTATGAATTCCACTAATACCTCTTTGAGGATAGTAATTTAGTTTCAACTTTTGGGTACCAGTATCACCATGAAATGTTACATCAAGGGGTTCCATTGGACCATGAGAATTTCCTGCTTCTGACATTTCAGGAGTAAAATCATCCAATTCATACCCAGGAGGTGTGGTATCCTGACCATGAGGCGAAGGTTCGGTATTATCCAAGGGTATGTATTTAGTTGACATCTCCTCCACAACCTTATGATAATAACTTTATAAGTAGAATTAGACTTCAAGAAGAATTAGACTTCAAAAGTGATTTTAAATAGGAGCCGCTCGCCTGTATGTGAGATTTACGAGACTAAAAATTAAACTGGAGCTAGAGCATTTTGAATGTTAGGAGTAGGGCGCCTTTAGTGACTAAAGTCCACTGTAACCACGGTGACCGGGCCCCATATCTGAAGTGAAACATTGTAAATATACCTGGCCAAGGATACTTCCTTCATCTTGGGTACGAGATTCCACCTTCGGTACACTTGCAAGGTAAAACCAGGTTAAAAATAACCATGCGCAAGTAAGCAGCAATTTTTTTGGCTTTGGCTTCTATGCAGAAAAATTCTGCAGAGAACTTGTAAATCAGCTACATAGCAGCTGAAGAACTTAGTATACCTTACATGTTGTTCATTTTCTATTTTCTATTTTATCTTTATATTATGTGATATATATATAATATGTATATTTTATTATTTAGTTTTTTTTTTTTTTGATTCCCTTTCTTTTCTACAACTTAGGTTTGGCAGCTGTCTGGCCTCCTGCAGTTCCAACACTGTTTATCTCTAGTTTACCGGCATCATTCTCTCCATTGACGTCCTTTCCAAAGAAAACCACAGTGACACTCAAATCATCTCTATATCTACGTGATACTGGACTTGGAATGGAAATTAACATGGAGGTTTGCTCTCTCGAACCTCCATTGGATAAAGCATTTCTAATCAAATGAGTTGACACATTTCTATCTTCCAACAAAAAGGTTCCATATCCGGACAGTTGTCTTGATTTTCTAAATGGTTGCTTTGATGTTTTATCGTTAGTTACGTCAGAAACTTCAGGTAACTTATTTTCAGTAGATCCAAAGTAGTTCCAGAACGACTTTTGAGGTTTGATCATTTTTTCCTTCTCCATCCACTTCACTACAAGCCCAATGATTTCTTCATTAGACAACATTTCATACAATCCATCGGATGCCATAACCAAAAAATCGTTGTTTTCTGGGTTAATCTTAGTAGTAGTTATCACTGGCTCAGCGGTAACGTATGGAGGAGATTTCAAGTTGCTTGGTAATCTTCTACCGAAGAATTGTTTGTATACTCTTTCTTGGATGGAAGCTGGTAATTTATACCTACAGTCTCCAAATGCTCTTGATGGCTCTAACGTTCCCAAGACTCTTCCGTTTCTAATAACATTAGGTTCATCTGGATGTTCACTGATAACTCTAGCCACCTCTGTTGGGTTTGATCCAGTTTGATCAATACTCAACTGCTTGACAGTCCAATGGTTATCTTTAAAGGATCCCAACAAAGCTCTAGAATCTCCGGTCACTGCCACCTTCAAGAGTTTGGATGAGGTGTCATAAAATGACAATAATGCACAGGATCCTGATAATGCAGGCATCAACAACTCAGCAGCTTTGGCTTTGTTGTTATCATTAAGTAATTTTTCTATGTTCTTATTTACGATTTCGTGATCTAACTTGAGAAATCCGTTCTTGATTGCTTGATCAATGGTTGCACTGTTGGGGACATATCTCAAATTTTCATCCTTGTTGGCCACCTTAAAAATGGTTCCAAACTCTCTAATGATGTAACTGATGAGCTGGTCCCTTAATTTACTACTGGTGGTCCATCCTCCATGACCATCGAAAACACCGAAGAACATCCAATCGGTAGAAGTCCTGACGTTGTTATCTTGGATGATGGGGACCTGGACGATTTCTTCAGCCCTATCGTCTTCAATTGGGGAGTTCAGGGGCAATTGGCAAATATCATACCTGGTAACACCCTTACCTCTGTTGACTATGTAGGATTCCTCATATTGTCTTAATTTATTGCTGACCTGTTCTTCGTTGAGTAAGAAGATGCCCTCCTTGTGCTGGTGGCTCCCAATCGAGTTCGTCTGCATGGATGAGGTTGATGTTGAGAAATACTTCTTTCCTTCGCCGATGGATGCTTGAGACCCAGTCGAGCCGGACGTAGAGCCATTGGTAGCCGCAGGTGAAGTTGCACCACCAGCAGTTGCACCATTGGCACCACCAGCAGTAGTAGCAGTAGTCAGGTACCCTGCCAATGGTAAGCTGAACCCTGCCTTGCCGCTCGAAAGAGCACCTAACTTGAGATGCGAGCTTGTGGTAGCATTGATATTACTACTATTCGGTGGGGGGACTGTGTCCAAGTTATAGTAGTACGACTGGTTGAAGGAGATGTACGAGCCTACGATTATGACGCCAGTGACCAACGCAACGTTGCGCTTTCTAAACAATCTGCTGCTTTTGTTGGTGCTACCGCTGCTCCCATTACCATTTCCACTCGCTCTGCTAGTACTATAATTTACATTTTGCAAGTGAGCCCTTGATCTAGGAATCAATTGCGTTCCTGCTCCCCGGAATATTCTCTCAGTGCCCCCCGTCAACAACCTCCTGCTGTTCTGGACATGTTTGTTTCCCACGTAGTATAGCCTTGGCCTTACTGCCAATATATAAACCATTTTCAGTGTGGTCCAGGGGAAATTGTGTTAAATCGGATACAAAAGAAGATCAAGCAAGGATACTACTCTAATCTATCAAATTCTTTTCTCTGGGGCTGCCCACTCTTTCTTTTTTTTGCTAATCAAACACTTGCTAGTAAATTAAGTTTTGTGTAACCAGGGGGGAACTCTAGGGAGTGGAGAGCCTAAATTGGCGGGAAAAAGAAACGATCGCACAGTGCGAACAATAAGTTTGGGAGGCATGTTCCCTGTTGGATGGGGTACTGAAATCCTGGTGTTTGGGGTACTGAAAGCCTGGTGTTTGGAGTACTGGTACTCTAATGGTTGCATGCCGGTTTTACAGTATTGCGAGGTAGTTACCTAATACAGGCTGCCTTAATGTAGGTTAGCTATGTGTAGCTGGACTAGCTGGACTAGCTGTCGCCTTTTTTGTCTTTCCTTCTACGTTTCTCATCGTCTTTACTACAGCTCTCTAGCCTTTGATAAAAAATATCAGTATTAAAATATACAATAAACTAATTAGTGGACCAAAATTTTACACCAGTTTACCACGCCAAATCCTGATAGCTAACACCGCAACGTCTGTGCATTATCACACCACATCATGCTATAATAAATACACGGCACGCCTAGAGCATCTGGACGCAGACATCACCTCTCTTACCTTACATCTACACCTCTACTGGAAATAAAAGTTCTGGCTTAACCAGTTATGGTTGAATTTTTTTTTTTGAGTTGAGGAAGCTAACGCACGCTTAGACAGCGACGGTAACTTCAACATCTACACCTGGTTCAACAGTGATTTGAGTGATTCTCTTGACGGTGGAAGCTGGGGCTTGTAAGTCAATAACTCTCTTGTGGATTCTCATTTCATAAGTATCCCAGGTCTTAGAACCTTCACCATTTGGAGTCTTTCTGGTGGTAACCTTTAAGACCTTGGTTGGCATTCTAACAGGACCCTTCTTAACTAAGTTGTTTTGGGCAGCATTGTTAATGATGTTAGCAGAAACCTTTTCTAATTGCTTAACCTTGGTGGAGGTTAAAGTAATTCTGATCTTGTGGATTTCTTCTTGTTCTTGTTGAACCTTTTCCTTGTTGATTGGAGCAGACATGTTTGATTTGTTAGACGTTGTGAAGAGCTAAACTAAGAATGGGTATGAAAATTTTTAGAAACCTTGAAAAATTCTGAGACAGTGCGCAGCAGTAGTTGGAGGAGCGAAAAATTTATGCAAAGAGTGCACACAGGGCGTTGAGGGCTGAACCCTAGATGAAAGAGCGATCACGTGATCATCATCTCTCTATGTATTGTCTATCAGGCATCGATGAAAGGCTAGCGATCAGCAGAGATGGGGTACTGATAGTTTCTACTGCAGTCTACATAGTACTATCAACTGTTTGATATGTGTTTGTTTATTATCTGACATTTTCTATAGACATATTCTAGTATTTTGCTCTTAGTCGTATCTCATATTCGTGTTTTGGTGTAACTATACTGTTAGTACTAAATCTCAATATTACAGGTTTAATTCACTATAGTTCAGAAATCAATTATAATAGTTTTTCTCCAGTGGTTTGTCAGAGAGATTCCCAATTGAAAAAATTCATCATCTTAGTAGCGTAAAAGTAATGGCTTACTTACAATTTATATGTTTTCATTGTCCTCTTATTCTTCAATAGGAAACGATAGTAAGAACTAAAAAAAAAAAGATCTCACCAGCTGTTTAAATAAAGACGATGCCCCAGTTTTGTGTCACTTTCTATTTTTGACATATTCTTAGCCCTAAGTAAATGGTTGCACAAGTTTGAAGAAGATATGAAAGAGCTGTATAGACATTTATGAAGTCACAGACAAACATTTGATATAATTGTGAACTCACATTCCTTCCTATTTCCTTATTCAAAACTTTTCCCTTTGCTCTCATCTAAAATTTTCCTCTAGCTTGAATAATACATTCCTAGCTAAACCTCGACCATGATATTTGGGTGCAAATTAATTCTGATGGAGTAAAAAGCTTCCTACAAATTGTATATAGCCTGTACCTACTATTTTTAAACACTTACATACTCTTAATCTCTACTTAGATATTTCAAAGTAACAGCTCAGGCTTTCCTAGATCGGACCATCGTAGAATTTTCCCGTGCAATCATCAAGCAATGGCTCGACTGTTTGTGACCAATTCTTGTTCACATAGTTCTCATCACACCCATCGGATTTGCACTTGTTAAGCTTGGTTTGGAAATGGGAGGAGCATCTACATGGTAGTTCTGAGTTGATACAACCCTGTGCAAACAAGCAAGTTTCAATACATTCTTTGTCACACCATGCAGCAGGCCAGCGGTCTGCAGCTGATGCAAAGGGGACGACGAGAAAGGATGTAGCTAATACGGCTACAGGAAATTTGGATAACATGATTCTTTCCTATAAAGAAGCGAACTAAAATATGACAAGATAAGGGAAGAACGTGAATAACTGAGATAAATGAAGTCCAAGGCTTCTTGTTTTATTGGCTTATGTGGCCAATAACCACAAACCAAAGGTGTACAAACATTTACTGACCTATCCATTCTATGTACATGTATTTTTGTATACACTAATAAATGTATATTCATATATCTCAGCTTAACTATTTACAAATTGCTTATTTCTTGTCTTGTAATGCCTTCAATTCCCTTTCCAAACCAGACACACATTTCCACATCAAGGAATATTCAGCCTCATTTGCAGATCCACTGGTGGCCCATCTGATTCTACCTTCCTGGTCCAACAAATATATGTAACCAGAGCAAACATTGTCGCAATTTAGTTCTTGTCTAACTTGCAAGGGGAATAACTTGTATGGAAGAATAAAATAGTCATCGTGTCTCTCTTGTGGGATCATCTTCTTAAGACTACCCTTAGAGATGTTAACAAAAAATCGCTTAACCGCAGTCTGGGGCATGTTCAAATCGATAATTTGGGTGTTTGGGTGTAATTTTTTGAATTCTTCGTACCCACTACCCTCCAAGTAATTCAGCTTATCACCAGTTTGGCTCTGAAAATAAGTCCTGGAAACGTTATCTCCAGATATAGTTGAGTAAATCCTTACTATATTAACCTTACCTTCAAGTAATTTACCGAAGTTTTCATTTTTGCCTATCAAAGTGTCTCCCAAAAAGTTTGGGAAATATTTAGACTTGTCTCTCTTGAAAAATGAAATTGGTGGGGTGAAGATCTTACCGCCTACGTTCTCAAATGACTTGGATTCATAGAAAGGTGAGTGTGCAATATCGTGGTCTAATTCCTTCTGACGCCTTTCCTTGGCATCGCTACTGAAAAGTTGATCTTTGATAGATCCGAGATCATAGCTGCTATTACCATTTAATGGGTTTAATAGCGTTGGCTCGGAAAGCCCAAATGGCTTCGATACCAGAAGCGAATGTTGAAGTGCAGGCTTCGCAGCTTGCTTCAAAGTTTCCGCAATTCTAGGAAGTTTATTAGGAGTCGACGAGTATCGTATAAAGGAAGGAAACATCGTAGTAATGTATATGTATTCAGATACCTAATCAAATCCAAACTCAACTACTATCTTTAACTGTAAGCCTTCACTAGTGCCTGCCAGTGCAAGCAGAAACAAATCGATACGCTCCATAGTGAAGTGTTCATCGTGCATACAAGCCAACCTAAGAAAGCACGAAACTGTTTTTCCATACAAATTTTGAGGTTACCCGGACTTTTTCAGTTCGACCGAGTATGATTTTCCATGGAGGGCCATAGTGAAGGGAATGGCACCAACTGGGATAGCAAATCTCTACATATACACACAATAATAGCCAATTTATAAGCTGATCTTTGATAAGTTCTACCGTATAGAGTAAAATTAAAAGAGTAGACAAAAAAATAAGAAGATATTTTGCAGAAACGTCAAAGAAATTGATTGTAAACCTTCAGCATTGCAAAAAGTGAAATCATAAACAACACATACCATACTTGTAATACATTACTTGTAAATAATAGACCTCCTTGTGCATATTTAAAATGTCAATTCAATTGAGGGATGGTTTAGCGAATCAACCTTTGGATTTGATTCTTGAAGACCTATTGGTAAGATTCCTTGTCAACGTTCCAGATGAAGATTTATCTTCTATAGAAAGAGTGTTCTTCCAGGTGGAGGAAGCTCAATGGTTTTACACTGATTTCCTTAGAGTATTAAACCCAGCATTACCACACATGAAAATGAAATCATTTGCCCCCAAGCTTTTAAAGAAGTGCCCGTTGATCTGGAAATGGGGTGAGCCAGCTGACGCAATTGCTAGGTTCGGAAAGTATAAGTCGACTATCCCAGTGCGAGGCGTTGCGTTATTAAATAAGGACCTTACGAAGGTCTTGCTTGTAAAGGGTATGGAATCGAACAGTTGGTCCTTTCCTAGAGGGAAAATTTCCAAAGATGAACAAGACTTGGATTGCGCTATTCGTGAAGTCAGGGAGGAGACTGGTTTCGACGCTACGGGCTACATTAACGAAGATGACTTCATCGAGAGAACTATTAGAGGAAAGAATTACAAGATATATCTCGCCAAGAATGTCCCTGAAGATTACAATTTCGAGCCAATTGCTAGGCATGAAATTGCCAAAATCTCGTGGCACGACTTGAAGACGGTTCAAAAGAAATCACAAGGAAACTCCAACCAGTACTTTATATTGAGTGCAGTTTTGAAGCCTTTAATGGGCTGGATTAATAGACAGAGAGGTGTATTGAATGAGCAAGAATTGATGGTTGAAGCTGAAATTAAGTTGAAGGAGTTATTGGGTGTAATAGCAAAGCAATCGACTGGCAACGACGCAGGAAGAGAATTGTTGAATATCTTGCAAGGTGTCAACGGTGCAAGTGCCGGCAGTGCGTCTCAACAGGCGAATGCACCAACCACTCCTTTTGCCAATGGTAACCATACTATAGCCACTTCATTGGCAACTCCATATCAGCAGTTGTTGGAATCAAGCATTCCAAATTTTTTACAGACTGCCCAATTCCCTTACAGTGGTGGACTTCCTCAAGGATTTCCAACCTCAAACCAACCATTTTTCATTCCTAATTTCCCACCTGGTGCTGCTCCTAGTGGCTTTGTACCACCACAGCCACATCAACCTCCTCACCCTCAGAATTTGTCACCTCAGAACATTGTGCAACCAAACCCACAATCTTTCCAGAAGCCAACTTCTATTAGAAGGTCTTCAGAAGCTAATTCTAAAGAACTTCTTTCGATCTTAAACTTGGGTGGAGCTTCGCGTAAGAAATCTCAAGACCTTGATAAGCCACAATCCAATAATGATGATTTATTGAAAAACAAATCAAAGGCTCAGTTTTTATTAGATTTGGTAAACAAAAGGCCAATCGAAGAAAAGCCAGCTGAAGAGAAGCCAGCCGAAGACAAACCCAAAAAGATTCAAATTTTGAAGCGTCCTGACAGAACTGTTACTCCATCATTAGAGAGTTCTCCACAAATTCCACCTCAAAACAACTTCAGTAACAAGGAAGAAAAATCTACCCCTGACTCGAGCGGAGATGAGTACTATGACTCACAACAAGCATCTACAGAACTCCCTAAATCATTATCTGGTACTCCAAATCTCAATAAACCTAAGATTTCTATCTTGAAGAGACAGCCAAAGGAAGAGAAGAAAACTTCTAACGAACAAGTCCCTAATAAGGCGTCTACCGAACTACTAGGATTATTACAAGGCAAACCTAAACCAAAAGAAATTGTAGCAACTCCAAGTGTCCCACATAAGGAAGAAGTACAAACAAATGGAACGAAGATATCCGCGTCAAATGAATTACTAAATCTACTCCACAAAAAACCTTCCGAATCATCACCAACTATACAGCCATTGCCTGTCGTAAAAGAATCACCTATTGTGCAGCCCCCTACAGTCGTACAAGAGCCGAAAGTTGAACCTACTTTGAACGAGTCGAATGATGATGATGGAGATAACTTTGAAGATTTTGAGAATTTTGAAGATTTCGATCACTTTGACCAAGGCGTAAATTTTGTGTCGAATGCCAATAAATTTCTCGACGTTGATAGTGAAGAAGAATTTCCAGAGACAGCTTCGGACGATGAGGAGCATGTTGAGTCAACCACTGAACCTAAAAGAGATGTAGATCCAGCAATTGCGTTTCAATTATCAAACCGTGGAAACTTTGTAAAAGAAAATCTTAGTGACAGCAAGGGCTTCTTGGATTTATTAAAAAAGCCTGGTAATGATTCTGTTAAAATTCCAGCTTTACCAAACATTTCTGTTAAGCCAAACTTGCATTCAATTTACGGAAATGACCCTTATCTGCCTGAGGCTATTTTTAATGGACAAGAACTCTCACTTCCAAAAGTCGGCCAACCTATACAAGCTACTCAAAATCAATCGGCCTCGCAGAATCTATTAAGCTTATTGGGAAAGGGACCTATCAAGCAGTCTCCTGCACCTTCTATACAGCCGTTACAAAGGGAACAAATTGAATCGCAGCAGCCGCAACATCTCCAACCACAACATTCACAACATCCACAACAACCACAACAACCCCAATTTCAACTGCAGTTTAACCAGCAGCAGCAGTTCAATCAGCAACAGCAACAGCAATTACATTACCAACAACAGCAACAGCAGTTTTATTATCAGCAACAGCAACAACTTCAGCAACAACAAATCCATCAACAGCAGATGCACCAGCAACAACAATATCAGCAGCAGTACCAACATCCTCCGAATAATATGTTTTCCCCACAGCCTCATGTGCCTGGAGTACTTTCTCCTCCAGCTCCTTCCAATCCACTTTTAGATATGCTTCGTAATCCAGAATCTAATCAATCATCTCCTGGTCAGAGGCAAGCAAATGTTACAAATCAAAACGGTAACTCTTCTGCGAAGGATTTACTTAGCATTCTCAAGGGAGGAAAAAGTGATGGCGGCTCGTCGTCCAGTTTTCATTCTGCATCATCTGGGTTCTAATCTGAATTCCGACATCTAGGTAAAGTTTATACTACAACTATTTCCATTCATAATTTGCATGTAAATATTCATTTATCTAGGATTCTGTAAATTAGTTAGTTCAAATCGAAAAATTTATTAACATTAACTGTCTTTTGTATTGGCCTATGTCTCTTCGAAGGAATTTTATCATTTTCCAGCAGGATTTTCCTCGGGCTAACTTTGAATATGGTCCTATCTTTTTTAGTTGAAGTATTGTCCAACTTGCTTACGTTCGAGCCAAACGTTGGGCTAATGTTGGGTGTAAAATTGGCTGAGTTCAACATATAAACGTATCCTTTCCTCTCAACGTTTCTACGAAGTTCTCTTGTACTCCAGGTATCAGCTCTGAATTCTGATGAAGTAGTAGCATCAACAAGAATATCTAGAAGAATTATCCCTTTCTCCATCTCTAGATCGTGCTTATCGACTAGTGCATTTAATTTCAATCCAAGTGGTAAATTGAGCAAAATTTTTGTTTCCAATGTAAATAGCGATAAATAGCTGGAACCATCAACGTATGTGGATATTCTTTTGTCAGGTTTATTAAATTTTTGAGCAAAGTTTGAATGTTCAGCCAAATGGTAATCTGATTCTATGTACTTAACCTTAGTCTGCTTGCTTAGCAAATGTCGTATTCCAACTGAACTCACATTTGAACATCTTAGCAACAGAATCACCTTCAAGTCGGGGAATCTATTCTCATTTATCGAATTCGTTAGCTGCGTTAGAAACGAATCAGATATTTGACTGTTGTTGGAAAGGTCCAACGCCGTTAGGTTGGCTAGCTGAAATATGGAATAGATATCAATGGACTGTGCAAATGACAAATCTAGTAGTAACTTGAATCCGTGTTCATGTACGTATGACGAAACGTTTTTCAATGAAATGTTGGAATAAACTGTTTCCAACCTATGGTGAAACTTTTTAGATCTTATTCTTGAACCCTGTATTGATCTTTCCCTTGAGTTATACAAGGGAGAGTAGGTGGAAGGTATACCCTCAATCTCGACCAGTTTAGAGCTGTGACATTTGAACGAAGACTCGTTACCAAACTTCATGGCAAACATGCCAAATATGACAGGAGAATCATAGCCTTTTATCAAAATTGAATTCCACACTGGCTTCCATGCTGACCATGAGCCAAGGTATGAGGGGTGTAAGGACATGCTTTTGGTAGCAATAAAATCAGCACAAAGCTTGGATAGGCATTTCAATTTGGTCTCTTTAAATCCACTTTTTACCTCTGAATCAGAATTGGGAGTCTCTTTTGCCCAATTGTAGGAATATGAAGGAATTGAATCTGTGTACACTGACTTCGAAGTTTGATCGCCAAAGATTCTGCTGGGATTACTAGTGGGCACATTTACTCGAGAAATTTTCTCAGTCTCTTGGAAATTTTTCCATCCACTCCTTCTGGTCCTTCTAGCACCTTTCTTCTTCTTCAGACTATAGTTATTGACCCTTCTTCCCATACTTCAAGCGAATAAAGAGTACAACCGAAGGCGACGCGTATAGAATTGCAGCCATTTTGATAGTACTATTTCAAAGTCCTGCACATAGAACTTTTCGATGGCATCGCAGGATCTTGAAAAAATTACTCCACCCAAAAGCAGCCGAAAGGTGTTGCAACAAGTACCTTAGATAACCTTCAGTATAGATCATTAGCCGTCAATATGAAGCTTGACACTTCTCATATGAGGTATCTTACCTCGGACGACTTTAAAGTCCTCCAAGCCGTTGAGCAGGGAACCCGTAATCACGAGTTAGTCCCCACCACCTTGATCCACAATATCAGTGGAATGAAGTCCCCCACTGGAACCAACCGTTGCATAGGAGATTTAGCCAAATTGAAGCTTATTTCAAGATTAAGGAATGCCAAGTACGATGGGTTCAGATTGACGTTCTCAGGGTACGATTACCTTGCTCTTAAGACGATGCTTAATAGGGAAACATTATACTCTGTAGGAACCATCATTGGTGTTGGTAAAGAGTCCGATATCTATTCTGTCAGTGACCCTGCTGGTGTTCAAAAGGTTATCAAAATAGCCAGATTGGGGAGAACTTCCTTTCGTACTGTCAAAAACAACAGAGATTATCTTCAGCATAGAAATACCTCGAACTGGATGTACTTGTCCAAGTTAGCGGCTCAGAAGGAGTACGAGTTCATGTGCACTTTGTACGAGAACGGATTTATTGTCCCACAGCCATTCGACTATTCCAGGCACTGTGTGATGATGGAATGGATCAAGGGTTCATGTATGAAGCACTTGAAAAAACACAACAACTACAAGCAATTGTACTCTAACTTGATGAACTTCATTGTCAAGTTAGCCAACCACGGGTTGATACATTGTGATTTCAATGAGTTCAACATTATTATAAGAGATGAGGAAGAGATGAGGAAGCACAAGTACGAATATGATTTTGTAGTTATCGATTTCCCACAGTGTGTTTCCATTGAACATGTGGATGCTAAGGACTACTTTGACAGAGATGTTAAAGGAATAAGAGATTTCTTCAGCAAGAAGTTCAGATACTCACCAGAGCATGACCCAACGATGTTAGACACTGAGGGATTCGGAGAAGGTTACAGGTATGCGTACCCAAATTTCAGTAGAGACGTCAAGAGAGAGAAGAGTTTGGATGTCGAAGTGAAGGCATCTGGATATGCCAAGAAATTGACTGGCAACAGAGAAGATAAGGATTTGGAGAGGGCATTATTGGGAATGAGAGAGAACAACGGTGATGAAGAAAACTTCGAAGATGGTGAATCTGGTGAAGACGAGGATGACGAGGATGATGAAGAAGATGATGACGATGACGACGACGAAGAAGAAGAAGAATACGAAGAAGAATATGAAGAAGAAGAAGAAGTTGATGAACACAACGACAAAGAAGAAAATGAAAAGATCATCGAAGCATTATCCAGCGGAGTTGGTGACTTGAAGATGGACAAGTTAGGTAATTACATTTTAGAGTGATTCTGTAGATTAGAATAAAGGCATCCTATTGACAATCCACTTGGTAGTATCAGATCGTAGCCATTCCAGTCCAAATTTTTGACCGAGCTTTTCACACCAAAGAAGAGACTTTACGAAAGTGACATGGATCCACCTTCAATCATCTTCACTACCTCTTACATATTTCTTTAATTTCTGATAACTAGTGCGTATTTATTTAGACCCTAAAGAAATAATAAACAATGAATTTTTTTTTTTTTGTACAAAGAAATAATAGTGTATTAATTTACTTAACGGGTAGCAAAACCTTTGGTGAAAGCACGCTTTAAGGCTAATTCGGCCTTTCTGTAATCTTCAGCAGTTGAGTCTTCAACTTCTAAAGTGGCTAAAGCGTCAGAGAGAGCAGCTTCGATCTTTTCCTTGGCAGATCTCTTCAACTTAGCGGATAAGACTGGGTCGGTAACGTTAGTTTCAACGGTAGAAACGTAAGCTTCCAACTTTTGCTTGTGTTCGTGTCTCTTGGCGAAAGCATCGTCAGAGGATTTGAATTTTTCAGCATCTTCAATCATCTTTTCGATTTCGTCAGATGATAATCTACCAATAGAGTTGGAGATGGTGATGTTGGCGGATCTACCAGTGGACTTTTCAACAGCAGTAACCTTTAAGATACCGTTAGCATCAACTTCAAAGATAGCTTCCAAGACTGGTTCACCAGCAGACATTGGTGGAATGTTCTTTAAGTCGAATTCACCTAACAAGGTGTTTTCAGAACAGTTAACACGTTCACCTTGGTAGACTGGGAATTGAACAGTGGTTTGGTGGTCAGCAACAGTGGTGAAAGTTCTTCTCTTGATAGTTGGGACAGTGGTGTTTCTTGGGACAACTGGAGCGAAAACGTTACCTTGCATGGCAACACCCAAAGATAATGGAATAACATCCAATAATAACAAGTCCTTGGTGTCTTCGGAGGTAGATTGACCGGTTAAGATGGCACCTTGGACGGCGGCACCGTAAGCAACGGCTTCATCTGGGTTAATAGACTTTTCTAATTGCTTACCGTCAAAGAAGTCGGATAACAACTTTTGGACCTTTGGAATTCTGGTAGAACCACCAACAAGGACAACTTCGTCAACCTTAGCCTTAGCAATTCCGGAATCCTTTAAGACCTTTTCAACTGGTTCTAAAGTAGACTTGAATAAAGCAGAGTTAATGTCTTCGAATCTAGCTCTGGTCAAGTTGGCAGAGAAATCTTCACCATCGAATAAAGAGTCAACTTCAACGGTGGTTTGAGTGACAGAGGATAAGGTTCTCTTAGCACGTTCACAAGCAGTTCTCAATCTTCTTAAGGCTCTGGCATCGTTAGAGATATCTAAACCGGTCTTCTTCTTGAATTCGAGCTTGAAGTGATCTAACAAGTTGGTGTCGAAATCTTGACCACCCAAGTGAGTGTCACCAGCGGTAGCCTTAACGGTGAAAACACCACCAGTAATGTTTAAAAGAGAAACATCGAAAGTACCACCACCTAAATCGAAGATCAAGACGTGTCTTTCCTTTTCGGACTTACCAGCACCTAAACCGTAAGCAATAGCGGCGGCAGTTGGTTCGTTAATGATTCTTAAAACGTTTAAACCAGCAATGGCACCAGCATCCTTGGTAGCTTGACGTTGGGCATCATTGAAATAAGCTGGGACAGTGACAACAGCCTTTTCAACCTTCTTACCAATCTTGGCTTCAGCAATTTCCTTCATCTTGGTTAAAACCATAGAGGAGATTTCTTGAGGAGAGAAAGTCTTGGTTTCTTCCAAGTATTCAACTTCAATCAATGGGTTACCAGCAGAGTCGATAACCTTGAATGGCCAGGACTTGATATCCTTTTGGACAGTTTCGTCTTCGTAAGCTCTACCAATTAAACGCTTAGCATCAAAGATAGTGTTCTTTGGGTTTAAAGCAGCTTGATTCTTAGCAGCATCACCAATTAATCTTTCTTCGGCAGTGAAGGCGACGAAAGAAGGAGTAACTCTGTTACCTTGTTCATTGGCAATGATTTCGACTGCACTGTCGTAAGTAGCAACACATGAGTAGGTAGTACCTAAATCGATACCGATAGCACCTGGGAAAACACCGTCAGCCATTTTATATAATGTATTTAGTTAATTGGTTAAAATAAAAGAAAAAAAAAACTATCAAGAAGAAGTGAAAAATTTCAAATAAAAACTTTAAGCTTGATGTGAAGATTTTGGGAGGAGGTGAGAAAAATTTTTCACTCCATCTTCATCTTTTTTTTTTTTTTTTTTTTCACTTAATTTTTTGGTATTTTTTCAGGTGATCTGATGCGGTACTGGACTTACGCAGGGATGGTTGATGAGAGTGAGGAAGAGAATGGCTTCGTCAGTACATGTGGGACTGTTACCCGGAGGTGATTATAGTGGTGGTAGTACAGTGTACCCTGTGTTGGCACTGTGGTTGCAAATTAGATAAGCCATTGTAAGGGGATGTGTTAGGAATTGATTCAAGTAACTTACTGAAGGGCTTCCAGGAAGCCCAATTGAAAAAATTGGAAGTCATGCTTGGAATCAGGTACTAGGTTCAGAACATTCTTCGGCTAGAAATTCTGAGACCTTGGGTTACTCCGGTGTCGGTGGGCTTGGCTAGTAGTGTTATAAATTATTGGTTGCAAATTAGATAAGCGAGGCTCTGGCTTCAAAGCAGTGAAGTCTGGTGCAGCCTGAACGATGAAACTGCAACTAAGCTAGCACAATGAAAGTAGGTTAATTGAAGTGCTGCAGTAATTTCTCCATAATTGATATCGCTATTCATGGAGATTGCCTTGTCTTGGCCAGTATGTCGATGCTTCTAATGCTCTAACTCTATCTTCCCGTATGACCTAGAAAGAAGGCCTAGGCATTTTTCCTTGCTAAGTCTCTCGATATGCATTTTATTACTTTCTCCACGTCTGGCTTGTATCCATGAATTAAAATATCTTGGACTAGATTCTTCCTTGACTGAAATAAGTTCTCTGCGTTACTTCCGCTGTACTCCAACACTTTTATGTAGCAGTTACTCGATTTTCTAAGCTCCTGGATTTTCTCGCCATTCTTGCCAATCAAGTAAGTCACCTTTGACCTTGTAAGCGACAACTGGTGGGTGATTTTTCTAGGTAGCTCATATAACTTGACTGGGCTCTCCAATTGGTTAGATATCACTCTGGTTTTATTTGAGTAATTCTGGGCATATGGTGCCAACGGCGTAAAATATTGCATACTTCTGACCGTGGGTGATTTGCCTAGTTTGTTAACCAACAGAACGACTTCACTCCCCGGTACATGGGTTAAATATCCATTGGGTGTGACGGTGACACTACTGCTCCCCCCTTCTATGTTAAGCAACATTTGCTTTCCCTTGTATACCTGACTTTTGCTCAATAAAAGACTGACTTTCTCCGGGAATAACTTGGTGACTACAGTGTCTGCGACCACAAAATTCACACAGAATCTGGTCAACCCCGTTTTTACTACAAGTGCTTCTAAGTGAGTTTTTGTGCTAACGGATCTAAAGTCGAATTTACTAAGTACCCCTAGTAGTTGCATGTGTGACAATTCGACCGTGAATGAGACCTCTTGAGTGTTGTCTGGGAGCCGCTCTAGGTTGCAGCCATATATTTTGAAGTTCTCTGAGAAGTACACTAGATTATGAATCTCAGCTACGCTCAAAGTCGCAATATCTTTATCGCTATCGCTCTCACAGTTCACACTTTTTTCCCACATAGGTGGGTCCTTTGATTTCTCCATATCTGTCAATCCTAGATGGGAAGGTGTCATGATAAAACTTTTGGTTGCCAATAAAAAAACATCATTAGAATTTACGAAAACACCTTTTGCAACCAATTGACAAGCTCAATTTAACCAAAATTAATTAACCATTTATTTACTATTGAGTTCTAAAATAAATATACCTCCGACCTCCAATTGTTTTATTAAAACAATTTCTTTATCTGTTCTAGTGCCCTGTACAAATATTCGTATTGGTGTATTGTCTGCACCATCATCATTCTCTGTTCTCTGAGCTGGGATACAGTGTCTCCAATAATATCGCCATCTTTGGGGATTCCTCCCGTTTTTTTCATACACTGAATTAAATAGTCGACCACAATGAATGTACCAGTCCTACCCACACCTGCAGAACAATGAATAATTGGAACTACGTCGTCTGCGTTTGCGTACAGTTCTTTGACTTGATTAATCTTGTTCGAAAGAGATACTAACGGATCAATCGAGGGTGGCACTTTTGTATCTGCCCATTTATAGTAGTAAAGATGGTACACTTTCTTTACTTTAGAATCAAATCTCAAATTCAATTCTGTAGTGATGAAATCTCCCTCTTTGTCAAATGTTTGCGAAAGTAAGTGCACTGAGAACTTACTATTAGGAGAAATCAATCCATCGCCAGCTAGGGACTCTGACAAATCCATGGGCTCGTTTATGTCAGATGGCCAATACAGCGAACATTTCACAATGCCGTTTTCTGTTAGTGGTGTCACCATTCCAATAACTACTACATCGTTCCCATTTCTTTCGGATTCATTGTAGCACATCCACCAAAATTGACTTATAGTCTCCTCCAATGGACCCTGAGCTGCTATGTACTTCTGATCGTTCGGAAGGCGAATATGCGATGCATTGATATAGTCGGAGTACTTCTCAGGGTTTATGGTTGCTAATCGCACTCTCGTGCAATCCCATGGGAAAACGTTAGAATACCTATTTCTGTCCCTATTCTGGCTTGCATTCGCTACATTATACGTCAATGAGGGAGGTACAACACTAATCCTGGCGGAAGGGGGACTTTTGCTACATACGAACCTATAGTCCATAGCATCCCTGATACGGTCTCCTTCAAGTTCTTGAAGCTTTAGAAAGATCTCTCTATGTTGCGCTGACGCATTTCTGGAAGGTAAAAATCCCATTATAAGATCCTTCAGGTCAAAAAGAGCTAATTCTACGCTGTCGATTTATGACAATACTTGAATTCGGAACACCTGGAAGGTACAACTCTTTGTGAACTTAAAATATTGCAACATCAAATGGACATGACACAAAGAATTTCCTGATGCGAAAAAAAATCGGTTGCAATCTGTGAAAGTCAAACGACTTTTCCATAAGTAGCAAATTCTGATGAGAGTAAAGTTAAAACCATTGTGGTGTGAAGTTTAAACGGAGTTTTAAAAAATGAAAGAATATTAAAGGAGGGATGAGTTATTGCGTGATTACTATAATAAAAGATGCCCTTTTGGTAAAATTAGGTACAACTTTCATATTCCGCTTATCAGTTTACAATATTGCCTAGATTTACAAATTCGAATGATTACATTCATTAAATGAGTGATGAAAATTTTAACCATATATTACTAGATGCTGCTACCGGATAAATAAAATACTAGTGATCACAAGATTCAACTAAGGCTTCAAACTTTCTAAATTGACCAGCTTGCCGATTTCGACTACATTATCGTAGATCATAGTAGTTAAGAAATCACTAATGCTGTCTCCTCTGATCTCAGGAAGAAGCGCATTTGCAGCCATTTGGAATTTATTACCCTCACCATGCAGTTGCACCAATTTTGCAGTTTCTTCATTCAAAATTGACTCCATCAATTCAGGTGTGATATTAACCTTAGCATCGTCCAATACGACTCCATTTGTAACCCATGAATAAAGCTGCAATCTAGATACTTCCGCAGTAGCCGCATCTTCCATAAGGTAGTTAATAGGAACACAACCGACACCACGGAGCCATGACTCAATATAACAAAGTGCAATATATATATTCTGTCTGATTCCATCTAATGTCACAGATCCTCCAACAACGGTCGTGTTTGATAGATCCAATTCCGAAACGTCTGCAACTGTGGTGAAATAGATTTGGTTCGGAGTTGGCATGTACTTGTCGAAGATCGAATTTGCTATTGTGGCTAAGGCAGGGTGTGCAACCCAAGTCCCATCATAGTGCATGGTGACTTCTCTTAATTTATCTTTGGTTACCTTATCCATGGCTACTTGATTGGCCTCTGGATCGTCCTTGATTGGAATTTGAGCTGCCATTCCACCCATTGCATGCACACCTCTTTTATGGCATATTTCAATTAACCTCTTACAATATGCCAACATGAAGGGAACAGTCATTGTTACTAAGCCTCTGTCTGGAAGAACTTTATCTGGTCTGTTTTTGAAAGTTTTTATGGTAGAGAATATGTAATCCCACCTACCACAATTTAACCCCGAGGAGTGGTCCCTTAACTGATAGAGAATTTCTTCCATTTGATAGGCGGCAGGTAAAGTTTCAATTAACACAGTTGCTCTTACAGTTCCTCTCTTGATTTTTAAAATGTCCTGAGAAACGTTGAAAATGTCATTCCAGAGCTTAGCTTCTAAATGATGTTCCATCTTAGGCAAATAAAAATATGGGCCATGGCCCTTGGCAATCAATTCTTTGGCATTGTGATAAAAGTATAAACCGAAATCAAAAATTGATGCACTACAAGGTTCACCATCTATAAGAAGATGTTTTTCAACCATATGCCAACCTCTTGGTCTCACCAAGATTGTAGGGATATGCCTTTCAGGAGATCTATCTACCTTATAGGCTTTTCCAGTGTTCGAGTCAACAAAATCTACTTGATTTCTAATTGCATCATACAAGTTTACTTGACCATTCAAAAGATTAGACCATTTTGGAGAAGTCGAATCTTCAAAATCTGCCATATAAGTCTTAACTGGAGTGTTTAATGCATTGACAATCATTTTACGTTCCGGGGGGCCGGTGATTTCAGTTCTTCTATCAATAAGCCCTGGTGCAGGGGAAGCACCTTGCCAGACTGAATCTGTGATGCGGCTGTCATTTGAGAAGTGCAAATCTGCCCCAGCATCGATTTCTGCCTGCAACTTCTTTCTGTTTGAAAGCAATTCCTTTCTAGTTTCATTGAAAGTTCTATGAAGTAATACGACGAATTCGAGTGCTGATTTTGTTAAGATGTCAGCCTGAGACGTTGGTGAACCTTCAAAGGAAATTGGTGCAAAAATTTGAACAGTCATTGGGTGATTCAAAATGACTACTCAACTAATGTGCATGAAGCATTTCCAATAAAGTTTCGGACTTCCCCCTCCTCTTTTATACCCACAGACTCTTCTATGGTCTCGGATACATGGGATCTTATCGCACAAATCAGATCATGTACAGAGGTATACAATTTTATCCGGGGATAGTTGAAATTGACTCTATTCTGTAACCAGAGTCTACTCGGAGTTTGACAATCAAGCCCAAAAGTGCGGCCATCGCCGCTCTTATCTGCGATGAAAATAATAATGTTGATGCAAGATGATCTCAACCCTAAGATTTCCGAGTGACAGCGGAATGGACAAAAGGAAGTGAAACCGACTTACCAAGCGGATTAATTTACACTACAGTGCTAATTACTTATAGAATTTTAGAGTTTGCTTCAAACGGTCGTGTATATTTTTGGATTCTTAATGGGATTGCTATCTTTAAACACTCATTGAAGAATTCTACATATCGGAATCACAATTTCTTGATCACACCGTTTTCTAATCTTTGACTAATGACATCTTCATCGTCAGTTAATACACCAGCAATCTTCAAGATATCGGCTGTCTTCTTAACTACAGATTCCCAATCAAGTGAAGCCTCTCCAATAGAGTCGTTAAATGTTACAGTTTTCAACCATTCAGTCGCATCAGCTTCACTGTAATCTAAGTTAGTAGCAATGTGTTGTACTGCTTCACCATTATTAGCTTGGAAATATTTAATTCCCTTATTGATCGACCCCACAAAATTCTTAACATCGTCGTAATGAGAATCTAAAATTTCTTTTCTGACAGTAACAACCCATGATGGCCATGGTGTGTATATCTCACCAATTTTCTTAATTTCTTTGTTATCGTAATATTTTTTAGAAGTGAAATGTTCCCACATGAAAGCTTCACTATGTTCGGAAGAATCCTCTCCTACCAAATTCACAGAGTCTCTTAAATTCTTGAAATTGTGTCTAATTGGATAACCAGAGAAAAAGGGACTAGGGAAATTTAATTGGTGGCCCAAGACAAAACTCATAATGTAAGAGCCTGAGCCGATTCTAGACACTGAAATCTTCTTACCTTGTAAATCGTTAGCATTAGTAATATCAGCTCTGTCGATCCCAGTACTAATTGACCAACATAACGGAGATTTGACATAAGTGTCCACAATTTTATAAGTTTCATTACCCTTCCCTAAGTCTGCTACAAATCCTTCGGTCAAACCGATGGCTACATCAACCTCTTTCTCGTTGAGAAGCTTGATGAGTCTTCCAGTACCTTCAAGGACTTCAACAAATTCAATTTCCAAGCCCTTATCTTGAAAATATTTTTGCTGTTCTGCAAAGAACAAAGGAGTGGAGAAGTGTTCTGGAATGTAAGCTACTCTCAATTTCATTACGAAGGTGCTTAATGTAGGTCAGCTTGATGTAGGTGTACTATCAGTTGGATTTGATAATTTTTCACTTTGAATTTTCCACCGAGTAGTGAGCGCTAGAATTCCTGTGCTATACGCTAAAATTAGGGGCAAAATTAGGGGAGGTATGAGTGCCATTGTTAGGAGCAATCACTCATCACACCATGCCAGGGGTTTTCATCAGCTTCGAGCTACAGGTTTTTGACAAAGCCTACATTAAGCTTTCATTCAGTATCTAAAACCATATCTAATGTTATCTGGTCAGAAAATAAAGGACTCTTTGCCACTCACTATGGTTGCTGAATTTACAGACATCAGAAGTAATGTAGATATGTAAAAAAAATTGAAGACTGTTACATAGATGTACCGTACTATTGTAATATATATTCCCCTCTAGCCATGTTCTAACATGGACATGCATCTTGCCCTCTATTGTTAACACCACCACTTAAATCAACTCTACCTTCACTCACATGACTCTGTTGATTTGCAGCTTCGGTCAGCGAAGCAGAAGGGATCTTACTACCTATTCCAATAAAGACATCGTTTACATTATATGACGTTTTCGCACTAGTTTCGAAAAATAACAAATTCTCTTCCGCAGCAAGCAGCTTACCTTCTTCAATGCTAACTTTCCTCAAGGAATCTTCCTCCTCACCACCTTCGTCGCTTTCTACTAAATCGTACTTGTTACCGACCAATGCAATGGTGATGTCCTTGGATGCTTGTTCGTGTAATTCTTTGACCCAGTGTCTGGCCTTGATGAAAGATGCCGGTTTTGTTATATCGTAGACAACCAACGCAGCTTGGGCGTTCCTATAGTACATTGGTGCCAATGAGGCAAACCTCTCTTGCCCTGCTGTATCCCAAATTTCGTACTTGATTGTTCTATCTCCAATCGTACATTTTTGAGTTAAAAAGGCCGCACCAATAGTAGGTTCTTTATTTTCTTGAAAGTCATTACTGACAAACCTTAACACGAGTGATGATTTACCAACTGCTGCCTCCCCTAATAACACTAATTTAACTGGAGTGGCAGGATTTGGAAGGGACATGTTTGCGGTATTATCGATATGGAAATTTGTGCGTATTAAAGTAAAGAATAAACCGGAGTACTGAAACTAATTAAATGGAGATGATATTATGAAATAAATTAAATTTGAAATTATGATGGCAATGGTCTTATCATAGAAGTGTGAGTGTATTTTCGGCTTCCTTTGATTTTTTATGAAATTCGCTTTTTGGGCTTTATCGGAGGGTCACTGTTTGGGTAGTACACGAAGGGTCAAACCAAGCCGATCTCAGACATACCGTAGATAAAAGAAAAAAAAAAAAGAAATTCTACAAGAAACGGTTGCGAAAAATAAAGAGTGCTGCAGTCGGAATGATTAGCTAGGTGTTTACCAATACTGTTCTACGTATTATTTGTATTTGCTAAACTAACTATGCTGCTTTCTAGTCATATCTTCCGGGCGACCCAGTAAACACATTTATACTCGAAACCACCTAACAGTCTGGGATCCGTGCAGTAGTTTGTCGGTATTTCGTCCTCGACTTTCTCAATGGTGAATCCAATTTTCTCAACCAACTCCAACAAGTCTTCTCTGCTCAATTCAAAGCCCTTCATGGCGCTTGGAACTTTTTCATCCTGACCGTCCTCATTCTTCCTGGTGATGTAAGTCATATTGCCGTCTTCTTCGAAATGCCATAGGAGGGGACCAAAGTTGATCCAAACCCCACCGGTCTTCAAGGTATGATGAATAGCCTTGAGATATTCAATGATATTAGATGCAGTATCTAAAAAGTAACAACTAACTAGCACATCAAACGTTTCACTGTTGGCAGATCGGAATTGCTTGGCCTGGTCATCGTCAGAATATGTATCGTTGATAACATTGAGGTCCTCGGGTCCGTACAAATCAACGAAAGATCCTGCAGTCATTGACATTAAGTCAGTATATGGAATCGAGGGGTTCGCTCTTTCTAAATCAGTAATCTCAGTAGGGTTAATGTCTGGGATTGTAATGGGCCGGATCTGGTTTGATCTCTTAATTAGATTAGAAAACTTATGTATGAATGGAAAAATTGAATAATTATGAGCTACAAAGGAGTGGTTCAAGACGAAATTGGACGCTAAAAGCATATGGTAACTGAACTCATTGCCCTGACACCAAAACCCCCGCTTGACAAATTCGAACACTAGTCTACCAGTTCCACAGCCAGGAATTAACACCTTAACACCCTGTCTTGTACTGATATCGGGGTATAAGCCACAAACTTCGTCGATCACTTTGTCGAATGCTACATTACGTTCACTGGCACCATCTTCAGACCATTCTCTAGTCAACTGAAGCAAGATAGATCTCACTTTATCGAAATCTTGAGTTTGAGGTTCAGCCCATTGACTTGGATCTGATGGAGCACCCCAGTCCTCAGCTACTGATAATGCCAATTTCTTAGTGAAATCTTCATTCATATGCAAGCATTCAGTGAGATTCTCTAGGTGCTTAGGGTACCAAGGAATTAGTTCTAGATCTTTCGGAGGTATCGAATTAACTTTAACTCTTCTCGGTGCGATCAAGTCTTGGAAGGTATACTTCCCATAGCTATAGAACGCCAGAAGCGTAGAAGTTAAGGCTTTGTATTCTTCATCAGCCATTGTCAAACAGGAGTGATTGAGAAGAATACGAGGAATAAGATGAGCAACTAAAAATGGCAACAGAAAGAAGAACGAAAGGAAAGGATGAGCTTACCAAGAGTTGCTGACAGAGCCTCTGATGGTTGATCTCAGATTGAAGGAAATCACGTGACAGAGAAATAACCTTAAACTTGTGGTACACATGGTCAGCTTATAAGGGCTTTGAATGAGGGTGAATTCAGCACCAGCAATTCGGTCTCCTCCAGCAGTAAGGATCACCGTGTAGACTCGCACGAATTACCCCAGATCCCACCTTTCGTCATTTTCTCTCTAAGGATGGGGTAAAGAGCACTGTACCTTATAGCATTCTCGTATTTTTTAAGTTTCCGCACCTAACCAATAGTCGCATCACAATTTCCAATTACAGCTGGAAAGAATAGTGTCATGTGAGCAGGAAGCAAGTACCATTAATAAGAGAAGCATACAATTATCCGAACAGAAAGGCCCTAAATCTTCAAAACGAAGAGCGTTATAAGCCTTTTCATCTTCTCACCCAATTTCTCTTCAAAATATTGTGACAGCACTTCTCTCACCTTCTTCACATCGCTTCTACTTTCCACCTACACATCCGCTGTATTTCTTTTTTCTCGTTTCCTCTTCGCGTATGGAAACAAAAATAATTAAAGAGTTCAGGTAAGTTAGCGTCAGCAGTTGTTTGCTATTCAGATTGAAGTAGTATTGAGCGCCATGGCGAATGCAAGCAACCAACTGACTGATATTGAAGTGGCAATAAAAGCAGATTCGCCTGCAATTCCTTCGGATTATTCGCAGCTTTTCGAGAAATTCGATATAAAGCACACTGGAGAAATCAGTCTTCAAGACTTCAAGAATGCCTTGCACGTAATTGGGCACCCTATTGCGAACAACCCAGAGTTAATTGACCAAGCATTCAAATCATTTGATTCTAATAATGATCAGATTATCGACTTCAACGATTTCAAACTTTATTTAACTACCACTGATGACCAAATCTTGAAAGGGTTTAACAAGATTGATCAGGACAATGATGGGAAATTGAATCGTAAAGATTTTGTCAACTACTTGAAACTGACCTTACATTTATCACCTACAAAGGACAACATTGACCTAATTTTCAATAAGATCGATCTGAAAAATGATGGATATATCACTTATGATGAATTCAGAGAGTTTTTGATCTTGATGCCTCGAATAAACGGGTCGAGAATCAAAACTGCATTCAACTACATTGCCGAAGAATTGGATATATCTTCGGATGGTGAAGTGACTTTAATTAATCTGTTTTTGAATGGGTTTGGCTTCTTCCTCGCTGGTGGATTATCTGGAGTAGTTTCGAGGACATGTACCGCTCCTTTTGACAGAATTAAGGTATTCTTGATTGCGAGGACAGATTTGAGCTCTACTATTTTACATTCCAAGAGAGAAATTGCTTCACATATTGCAAACGGAGCCCTGAAACACGTAATTGAAGAAGCAAGGAAGAAAGTGGCAGCCGCAGAGATGGAGCTAGCTGAGCAGATAAAGAAAAACCCTCACCAACATAATTCCCCCAAGACTATCAGATCTCCCATAATACAAGCTGCAAGGACCATTTGGAAACAAGGAGGACTCAAAGCTTTTTACGTTGGGAATGGACTTAATGTATTGAAGGTTTTCCCCGAACTGGCAATGAAATTCGGGTCCTTCGAAGCTACTAAGAGATTTCTTGCCAAGATCGAGGGTGTAGAAGATACATCCAAGCTATCCAAAGTATCAACATATATGGCTGGTGGAATAGGTGGTATTTGTGGTCAATTTATGGTATACCCCATAGATACATTGAAATTTAGGTTACAGTGCTCCAACTTGGATTCAAAACTAAAGGGTAATGAACTTTTGCTAACCACTGCAAAAGAAATGTTTAAGGAGGGTGGTTTAAAAATATTTTATAGAGGGATAATAGTAGGTGTTAGCGGTATATTTCCTTACGCAGCATTGGACTTAGGTACGTTCACAACCATCAAGAACTACCTTATCAAGAGGGAAGCCAAGTTAACTAATACTAGAATCGAGGAGGTGAAGTTACCCAACTGGATGGTGTTATCTTTAGGTGCTATGTCTGGAACTTTCGGTGCCACTGTGGTTTATCCAGTAAATTTGTTGAGAACTAGATTACAAGCACAGGGAACTTATGCACATCCATACACATACACTGGGTTCAACGATGTGTTGAAGAAGACAATTGCAAGAGAGGGATACCCTGGCTTATTTAAAGGATTGGTTCCAAATATTGCTAAAGTGGCACCGGCTGTTTCAATAAGTTACTTCATGTATGAGAATTTGAAATATTTATTTGCATTAGACAATAGTTTGAAATAGAGTGTATATATAGATGAATAAAATACTTTCAAATTCACTTGATATTACCACGACTGTAGATGAGCATCGACTCGACACTTCTTTAAGTGGAAAGAGATCACCGAGATCTTTTCAGTTCCTGACATATTCGTTTTGTAGTCCAAATGATAGAAAGCCTGTATCAACTTCCGCCACTGGTACAAACCTTAGCTTGGAATTCCCTTCTCCAGCACCGCTTGAGTTTAGTTTCACCCATTCCTTTTTAGAATCTAGCGGCAAGCTCTCATCCACATCCATCAAAATCTTGAAAAATAGGTCCTGCTCGATGGGAATTTCCTTCTTCCTTTTCAATTTCTTTCTCTCCAACTCGTTTTGCTGTTGGAATAGCAAATACTTAAACTGTGAATAGACTTCCTCCCAGGTGAAGTTAGGGATTTCTATTACAGTCAGCTGATCCCTTGATGCAAGGAACTCTGCCAATTTAAAATTATCCCTTGTCGGTATAGCCGGCTTTAAATTTATGAACTGGTTAAATTTCATTGTGTACCTCTCCTTATCTCTATTAGTCTTAGCATCGTACAACATCACCATCAACTGATTTACTTTGCCCCCTTCTCCGCAATTTGCTCCCGTAAGTAAGATTTCTAAAAACTGGTCAACCAACTTTTCCAAATATTCATTTAAAGCCGGATTCCTCGACACATATACTATTAGATCAAATGCTAGACGTTTATTAAAAATTTCTGGTTCGTATATCGAATTGTGGTAGATGATTTGATTGAGCCAAACTATAAGAAGTTCCTTGAGAGTGAGTATTATGTTGGGAAGCGTGAAAGCAGGCATACTCTCAAAACAAGAAAAACGAAGTATATTCAGTAATCATGCACTCAATACATTTGCTACCTGAAGCACATAGTATAATCGCTGAGATGATCATCCCGCATCGTTTGGCATAGGCTCGGCTTCATGAATACTGGGGAAAATCAAAATAGAGAAGGGCCGCTTACGCGACTTATACGCGCATCGAAGACCGGAGTTCAATGATGGTTGATCTCTCTCTTTTGCAAACAAGAATAGTATGATTCAGAATATATCCTCTGTTGATATTCACCGGATCACATCTGGTCAGGTTATCACAGATCTTGTTTCAGTTACGAAGGAACTAGTTGAGAACTCAATAGATGCAAACTCTTCTCAAATTGAGATAACCTTTTACAATTATGGAATAGACTCCATTCAAATTGTGGATAACGGGGATGGAATTGCACAAGAAGATTTTGATAAAATATGCTTGAAACATAACACATCGAAGTTGTCTTCATTCGAAAATATTGTGAAAACTAAAACGTTGGGGTTCAGAGGTGAAGCAATGTCTTCACTCTGTGCTGTATCTGAAGTGAGTTTACTGACATGCACTGCGGAAACTTACCCAAGGGCATACCAATTGGAATTTAATTCAATGGGAGAATTGATCAAGAACACTCCTCAGTCAGGCAAAAAGGGTACTAGCATTACCATCTCGAACCTCTTCAATAACTTACCTGTTAGAAAGAAAGACTTCGAAAAGAATTTTAAAAGAGAATTCAACAAGACTGTTACTAACTTGACAAACTATGCTATAATATACCCTCAGATAAGATTCGTAGTCTTTAATGTAAGTGGCAAGAACCATAAGAAAAATTTGATTTTAAGTACTCAGGGAGGTGAAAGAAACACTGTGACCAAGAACATGGTGAGTATATTTGGAATTAATGGTAACAGCGGGTTAGTTCCATTTGAAATCGAGACTCCAGATATCCAGATGAAGTTTAAGTTGAAAAGCTCCGGCGAACTTCCTACAACAGGTGTAATGAAACTAAAATTTGTGGGAGTAATATCGAATTCTTCATTTGGAATGGGAAGACTGTCGACAGATAGACAATTCTTTTTCATAAATAACAGACCGGTCACTTTAAAAGGATTCGGGAAGTGCATAAATGAAGTCTATAGGGCGTTCAATAGTGTTCAATACCCAACAGTAGTTTTCAATTTGATTATTAACAATGAGTTTTTGGATATAAATGTGACACCTGACAAGAGAACGGTTATGGTTCACAATGAAGAAACAGTTATAGAAGTACTAAAGGAAGTATTAACTGCCTTTTTCAGTGAGCAGGGGAATGTCATTCCGAGAAACTTAAGAGAAGGAATAAAATTGGACTCAGAACCGAAGAAGGTAGTGAAGCAAGAAGCACAACAACAAAAGCTAGAACTACGTACAAGTAACCAGGATGAACTGCTGCTTGCAGAAGATGATTCGAAGGATGGACATGAATTAATATCAAGTGACAGCGAGTTAATGAATTTTGAAATTAATGATAACTTTAAGATTACGACATATGAACCGAAAAGAAATGTATCAGAAGCAATTCAAAGAATTGACATAGATACCGATCAAAGAAATGAACTTGAGGAAGATAAAGAAGAAGAAGAGGAGCAGGTTGATTATGAAGAAGAAGAAGAAGAAGAAACAGAGCATCACGATGAGTTAGATGAAGAAGAAGGAGCAGACGAAGTCAAGAGATCCGTTGACGAGAGCAAAATTGTTTTAAAGGATGAACAAAAAGAATACCAAATTGATGAACTGGAGTACGTACAAATACAAAGTTCAAATACTATACAAAAAAAAACTGGTCGTGATACAATTGACCACAATAGTACTGAAACAGTAACATTGTTTGAACCAGAGTCCAGCACGGAAGATGAACCCCTTGAAATTGAAGTTTTAGAAGAAGGTATCAAGGAGGCAGAGGATAATATGCAATTAGATAACGGTGAATTGTACAACGAGGATCAAGATGTTGAAGGCTTCGAAAAGGAAATGGAGGGAAATCCTACTGATAAACATCAGGAAAATACTCAAAATACCTTCGATAATAACAGTGTTAAGAGACACTTTGAAGAAGAACCCTGCTGTAAAGCCAAGGCAATGAAATTGAATAAACAAGAAAGGCCAGCTAATAAACAGAGATCTTCAATTCATAACTACAAATCAGATTTAGAGCTTAAACGCTCAGATCTTATAAAACTTAAAGTAGTTGAGGCCAGTAGCTTTCAACAGAACAGATCTTCGAAATCTTTAAATAAGAAAAAGATAGATGATATTACCAAGAAAACTGAAGCAGAAGATAAACTTACCTTAACGGTACTGAAGACTGATTTCTTGAAGATGAAAGTAATTGGTCAATTCAATTTGGGATTTATTTTGGTCACCAGGCCCCCCACATCTAGCCAACCTTTCCCAGATTTGTTTATAATTGATCAACATGCATCTGATGAAAAATTCAATTTCGAAAAATTGCAGTCTACGACAGTCTTCCAAAGTCAACCATTGGTAATTCCTCAAACCATTGAGTTAACATCAATGGATGAGCTTTTGGTTCTGGACAACATAGAAATATTTAAAAAGAATGGGTTTAACATTAGATTCAATGAAGACGATTCACCGGGTGAAAGAATAAAATTAATTAGCCTACCCCTCCTGAAGCAGACTATATTCGATCTTTCAGACTTTCACGAGATTATACACTTGGTAAAAGAGAGTGACAACGTGAAAAGTACAGTACGCTGTTCCAAAATTAGGACAATGTTTGCCCTGAGAGCTTGTAGGAGTAGTATAATGATTGGACAGTTTTTGAAGAAAAATACTATGGAAATGGTAGTCAGAAATTTAGCTGGCTTGGATAAACCATGGAATTGTCCTCATGGACGTCCAACTATGAGACACTTGATGGAATTGAAAGACTGGAAATCTTTTGATAAAGATTATAGGATTTAGAAATTAGAATTGAAAAATATCACATGTGATAATCCCTGAGTTACGTGACTGACGATTATAATTATCGTTCTTATTGGTTTTGGAATTTAATACTCAATCATATCTTAAATGCCTTTTAAACCAAGGAGTATTTACGAGATAGATTTCTCCATTCTGTTGTTAGAATTAAAAATAAGAAAATTTCTACGAGAAAGTGCCGTGTAATTAAGTGATACTTCACGAGTTTACTCAGAAGAATAACGTCCTAGGTTAAGGGGTAAAAAATTAAGTGATAGATATAAGTCTTGAGGATGTTTAACTTTAATTTATTGGAGTATTAAATTAAGAATATTTGGTTCTCTCAAAAGACAAGAAAAAGCAGCACTAAAAAAATAAAAGTCAAAATGGTAAATGTGCAAAAAGGGTGAAATTGCACCTTCTCACATTTGAGTAGTGATCTATATTAAGCATTTGTTTATCTGGTTTCATTGTTTATTAGCTACCTGAGTGAATTGAGTTTCAAAAATAATTTATAGTTGTTCTAGAAGACACCTGGAAGATTTTAGCCATTCTGTCGCATTAGGAGATAGGACATATGCATTAAACTTCGGATCAGTTTGTTTCAACATAAGTGCAATGCCAATGGATCGGCACACAGGGCCCTCTTCGATTCAATTGCCAAATGGAGTATCCACACAGTATTTTGTCTATATGTTTTAGATAGAGCGTACTTCCTAATTCTTCCCCAGCTTTTTTTTTTCTTTCACCATTTCACTTGGATTTGTTATGTATGGAATTCGAATTCAAACTTTAATTAACGATTATTTTTTTGACATGCAGCTTGATAAATGTAAATTATTCACAAAGAAAGATTAAAGTTCAGATTCTCTGCACGGCGTTCTAAGTCAAACTTGGACAAGAGATCCATTCCAGGAAAGAGATAAGTGTAGTCAAGTTGGCGATATCAGTGACCAACAGCGCCACAAATAGATCATTGACACTTTTACCATAGAAATGATTTATCGTGTAAAAAGGTCACTAGCTGAATTCGTAAATGCTGGTGATGCTACTATCCTTTTAGGCTATCTGCTGGCCTATTGTGTGGAGAAAGACTAATCAGTGATTCTGCATATACAAGGTGAGCAAATTAGGATAAAAAATAATTTTCAAGCTAAAAAAATAATTATGTGAGAGTTTCCAGTGTTCCTGAATGCTGTGGGTGGTCCCACACAAAGAAATAATGAGTGCATACAAAGGTAAACGCAAAGTTCGAATATAGATAACCACTCTTGGTATACAGGAACTTCAATCTGAATGAAAGTAGTCAATTGAGCCACCAAGCCATCAAAGAACGTTTTCCTTATAATTGAAGCCGATTATTAGTCACAGTGAAACCTTGTAACAATTGTACTCAGTCACGTTCTGGAAGCTTCAAGACAATGGAATTGCACTCTTTCGCTTTCCAAATTTAAATGGTGGCTCTTTCTCATGCCTTTAACGGTCCAACTGCGCCCACCAAAAGCCAAAGTTCCCCAGAAAATTAGTGACTTTTATCGTACGAAAAAATAAAATTGATTAAAAAAAGATTAAAAAAAAAAGCATAGGTTCAAAAAGAAACGCAAAAAAGAAACGTTAGATTCCCTACCTTGTTTAGCTTTACACAGAAGATACGGCGCTATCCAAAAATACCACGGCAAAAATAGTTGTAGATTGACAGTCAATGTAAACAAATCATTCATTTGGCTGAATACGTAACTGGCTATGGCTTTCATGTGTTAGTATATGCTCTGACCCATCTCTATTTATAAGACGCGTAGGTACATAAAATTGAGAATTTATATTGAATAAAAAAAGAGAGACAGAAAAAAAATATAACTTAAAAAATATTTTCAGACCGAGCATACATACATAAGTCGTGATATTCAGCCCTTTCATTCTATTTAGATAAGCCCATTGAGCCGTTGAGATTATCACAACTGCCACAGCTCGTAGAAAGTAAGTGGTACTACTACTACTACCACTACGGATACTACACTTACCTTATAGCACCACAAGCTTATCAATTGCATTTCTTACACGCCTATTGGCTATATTACACCCTAATTTACTTCCCTTCGAGGTATTGGTGCATTAAGATAATCTATTTTTGCATTGTTCTTTCTTTTTTTCCACTTTTTTTTTTTCTTTTTTGGTTCATTGATTGAGAATCATTCATAAAAAAAATACTGGAAAAGAAATTGAGATTTGGAGCGCTTCAGGGCTGGTGAAAAAAAACAGAACCAAGAGAAGGGAGAGTCATATTCGTAGACACATTACACAAGTCAGCACCCAAGTTACATATTAAAGAGACCACTCTCGCATAAGAGTCTCGAACAAGATAACCACCCTTCGAGCAAAAGGGCAATTTCCGTAAAGAAGTTCTTGCAAATGTCACATAGAAAACCTGAGCGAAAGAGTCGTAGGACGCATAAAAATTCAAGAGATGGGTGTCCAAATTGTAAGCGAAAGAGAATAAAGTGCTCTGAAGAACTCCCAGAGTGTCATAACTGTATAAAGAAACAATACCGGTGCGGATACATGGATTTCTCAGAAGAAAAACTCGAACTATTGCGAAAGAAGAATGATAGGAAGGGAGAGGCCGAATCCATACTAGGTGAGACAAGATCGGATCATGGAGTAAAGATGGAATTAAGGAATGAACCAGATGGAATTCCGATCAACACGATGGACGTTGCTAAAGATTTGAATGTCCAAGCGGTATTTCTGAAGATATACGGACATTACGATAGCCAGTTCCCAAACCCAGTGGGTCTGAACGATTCAGCGTTGGACGAGATGATGCACCAACTCGACGGATACAATGTGAATAATGTGAACAATATTAGTCGGCCGGATGTCCATGGCCAGCAACAGAGTCAACACCAGGGATTTGTGCTTTTGGAGGATGAGTTCCCCGATATGCTGGGTAGCAAGATCATGTCACCTATGAAAGATTGGGAGAGTCTGTTGAAAGAAGGCGTGCCTTCAATTGAGAATGGACAGTACCATGATATGTTCAAAGTAGAGCAGGTTCAATCTCAGCGACTGCATCACTCGAGACCTGAACTGCAGCTCCAACACCCTAATCCTAACGTACCCATGTATCCACCCGTCTCGAATGTTGTGAACCACCCCTTCCAGCAACAGCAAGTACCTCTGCCAATGCACAGTAACATAGGGATCCAACAGCAGCATATACCACAGCATATTCCACAGCAACAAGCACAGCAAAATCACATATCGCAGCAGCAGTTCCCTGCACCACCACCACCAAAGGTAAGCAGAGATAGTTATTCATCCGGAAACAACTCTTCTTTCCCAAGTTCAGGCTCATCTTCCTCCACAATGACAAACACAACAACTCCAAACGCTACCTTAGGTGCACCGAAACTTCCAAATGGTAAACTTCATAGCATGACGTTCAAAAAATTGACCAGAATTGATCGCTTGAGAAATGTGTTTCTCGAACGTTACTTGAAGCATTTCCAGTCAGACATCCGTCATTTGAATAACTTGGAGTTTAGAAATGTGGCCCCTGTTTGGACAAAGAAGATTGCTGAAAATTTCTGGACTACAGTGTATAACCAGTCAGTGGTGATAGACTTGTATTTTTCGTTTTTCATGGACAGGAGTTTGAATGCTCTTTTACACAAGTGCAAGCTCTTATTGAATGATAAGTCATTTTTGGAAAACGAAAACGTGTTCTTTTTAAATCAGCCACAAGATTTACTTTACAAGCAATATTTCTTTACGCCAAATGATTTGGATGTCTTAGCTCACAAGAGTTATAGTTACTATGGAGAATTTATCAAAGACTTGAGGGAGAGTTTATCTTTAATTCATTCTGAATATCCAGCAAAAATATCCTTATTTGCTGCCTGGTCTACGTTTTTACACTCTCACTCCTCGGTTGATACGTATTGCTTACTCTTCAGCGGAACGACCACGTTGTTTACTAAAGTATTCAATACAGCAACTCTGCTCAATCACATCCCTCCTACTATTAACACCGGATTCTACATCTTTATAAATCATTCGAACACCTGCCTTATCCCAGATTATGATTTTCAAGTAATAGTTGATTTGCACAAAGATTTAGTCTTATTTAAGAAAGTCAGCCAGGATTTGAGCAAAAAGTGGATTGATTCAGAAAATGAAAAGATTATTGTCAACGTAAAAATCGCCAGACACTGCTTTGATTTAGAGATATTTCTTAGAAAATTAATCGAAGTTTACTACCCTCAGATTATCGCCGTGAATAATGCGTACAAACGAAAGTACAGACCAAACGACACCACTAACAATATTTATTTTGTTAGAGTTAAGCTGTTTTATGAGATGATAAACCATTGGTTTCTGATTTATCCTGCTGAGGCAATACCCATGGGTTCCAAGTATAATGCCATGTGGAAAACATTTTACTTGTTTTTCACAGCGATCGGAAAAGCATTGAGCCAAATTATTACACCAATTAGAAGTTTAATGCTTGTGGATCCTAACAGTACGTTTTGTCCTAGAGTCGATTTTGATCCAAGTATTTATAAGATTGAGGTGGGTCAATTTGAAAAAGCAGATTTCGAGTTCTACAACGAACTTTCAACAAAACTAATCAGAATATCATCCTTTTTTAACAATCGAGTATTATTTTACTCATATTATTTACTGACGGTTACTGTTTTGGATCAAGAATACATTAAACATGTTGTGGATGACAATAGTGAACTTCAGAGCAATAATAGTTATGGCAGCAGTAGTGGAACTTCCAGAACTACTCCATCCACACCTTCACCACTTGATGGTGATGAGGAATATACCGACATTCTCCACATTTTGCCTGATAAGCTAAATATTCACGAAACCTTCATTTCCAACTTTGACAATACAATGACTATAGTTCCAGAGAATTACCCAGTGATGGAACATTTCAGAGAAGAATTCAATAGATTATTATCAATCTATTACCAACAACAACTCCAAAGTCAGAGAATGGATGAGTCTCATTTCCATATTCAGAACAAACTTAACTATGACACAGGATTGTACAATAGAGATTTTAATCCAGATAAGTGGATAGAACTAATTATTACAAGACAAAAGCAAGCTTGGGAAGATGAGAGAACTACATTGGAGCAACTGCAGCACAGAATGCATATTTTCGACTTGGGAAGGCAAGAAGTTAATAAGAGCATACATTAGCGTAACACATTTCTTCACTACTGGCTAGTACAAAACTCGAGATTCGGGAATTTCCGAGTTTTTTGGTATATTTTTTTTGCTGATGGTTTGATATCATTTTTCAATGCTCCAAATGGACAAAGGATATGCATGCATGGTCAGATTATATAGTAAATAATACATGACGTACCTCAAGAAATTATTATTTCGGTAAAAGAGTAATATAACGGAACAACTTATGTAATTATGTATGATGAGATAAGATTGTGAATACAGCAAAGGGCCTTCTTTTCTTGAAATCAGAAACGGGCCGACAGCTCGGCGAATTAATTCATGTACGATTTCTTCGCTCTGTGTCTTAACCGAATTTCAGCGAATGCACAGCAGGTCACACTCAGTAAACTGATGATTATAGTCACAACGCTTAAAAGTGCATTCAGCAACTTTATTTCTTTTTCTCATTAGAGAAGTTGAAATACATTGGATAGGTAAGTGCTTATATGTTTCACTTTTCTCTTTCTGTTTATTTTCAGTTCTGTAGAATGACTACATGTTTTTGTGCTTCTCACGAAATGTGAAGGGTTTAGCATTCTTTTGTTCTACACATTGCAGTGCAGATCGATTTAGTTTATGCGAGATTCTATTTTAGATGAGTTCTCATTTTTCATCTACTACATGCGCCAAATTTTACCACAGCATAGAATGTGTTATTATGCACCAAAGCCGTACCCATTTTAGTGGTAACGTAGTGCCTCTTTTGGAGATTATTTGAAAGTTCATTATTTATAGCCGTATTTTGTTTGCATAAGATACATGCATGAGGGAGGCAATGCGTCATTTCGAAAACCTACTTTACTTCTTGCGAAAAGGTATCAGTAGTGCAGGTATGCTTGTTCCATGAATACAAGAAAGCGCAATATTTCAATATTTTCTCTTATAAATGCAGGAAAGATACCTTAGGTAGCTAACCATCGTCCTCCTCGACATCTATTTTCTATCACCATGCATTTTTGGCCCACCTTTCTCTTTACACGAAGACGTTTTCTATCATGCCGCCCATCGCTTAAAATATGCGCTTTAAGGAAGAAATCGGTGGTGGATGTTCCTGCAAGCGTAGAAGTACGACGTTACAGATGAAATATTTGATTCATAGTGAACCTAGCACTTGTTACTAAGTGGCACTTATCTCTACGTCTTTTTTTCTTGCACTTTCCCAAAGAGAGCCCACAGTACTTTGATTTTCCATAAGAATGCACTCTCTCGGTTCTTTCCGTGTTCCAATGCAACATCCATTACACATGTTGCACGCGCATAGTAATGGAACATCACTATCCAAGTGTGTGACAGAGAGAAAAAAAATACCAATTACGATGCATGTTCCATTTTCTTTTTTGACTCTTTTTTTTTTTATAGTGATTTCTTTTTTTATTTCAAAAATATAATCCTAAGCGAGCCGAGTGCCTCAAACAGAACTCTTGAATATATATATCTATATATATATAGACAGAGAATAGATTGAAATAACAGCGTGATTAGCTGCTCATCTACTGTGGGGAAATTTCGATTCCAATAAGTAAAAATCACACTAAACTGAATTTTCCATTACCAGGGTTGACAAGCAATACCCTTATGGTTAATCTTAAACTAGCATAAATGAAAAGTCACCCGCATAATATAGAAGATGAAAACATACAAGAGGAGATACATACATATCAGGATCAAGCACTAGATGACGGAGATGATCCGCTTTCCAACTTGCATTTTCAACATTCACATCTCGACTTCCATCAATTTTTTGATTCCGGTGTAGCTCCACTTTCAGAGGATAGAATCGACAGCATCAGCGAAAGTGATTTCAATTTTGATATGACGCCAGCAAGCAAAAGGACGAAAATATCGCCAAATAGTGAATTTTCTCCCCCTACCCTTAACCAGCGCCCTTCATCCTTCTCACGACTGACTCACTTTAAAGCACTCCCTAACGCATTGACTAAACCACTAACCATTCATACCACATCGAAGGAAGAATTCAAAAGAGCTGTGACGCTCACTGAGAAGCACTTGGAAGCCATGCATAATGTAGAACTTCATGTTATTTTGCAGTATAACTATTCGCCGGACAGGCAGTCCTCATTTTTAATCTCATCGTCCATATTGTCTCTAGTTGCAAATATCCTAAGAGCCACAGGGGTCAAATACTTCAAAAATCTGACTATCAGCACCATGGAAATTGAATTGATTCGAAATCAGCTACATAAGATATCCTTGAAATACTATGACCAGTCAATTTCTTTGCTAAAAAATACCATTTTAGACCCACATTTTGAAATCCCCATAGCCATCATTAGCTCGTCACTTCTTACAAAGGTTTCAATGTTTGAGTCTGAAGATTTTTCTCTTCCAAATACTTTCTCGCTTGGGATGGTTAGCATATTCCAAGATTTGTATAATAGAGAAGATATAGGACGATTGTCCAATGAATTGTCGTGGACCTTGGATTTCTTGGATTTTGCTGCTAAGGCTTCAAATTTTCCAACCTATAATCCACAATATTTGAAAGAGTATATTAGAAAGTGTGAAAGCTTGGGTGTAGCTTTACAAGAATATTTCTCAATCTTCCCTGATGATCCTAAGAAGCGAATATTGACATACAACTTTAATAATTTGCTAAACTACGTGAAGATGATAGATGAGGTAATATTTAAGGATCAAGATGGTAGAACAGGCAACCTCCCAATCGACAAATTATATGAAATATTGAGAAGGTGGTACATAAATATCCCTCCAATAGCTCAGATTGTTGGGAGTTTAAAACATCCAATAGAGAAACTCATTGGTTATTACTATTTGGCCTTTTCGAGGTCATTAGAGAATTTATTCCCGCAGGTACGGTCTACATTTATACTCTCATTCAATGGAGGAATTCCTTTATTTTTTGAATTCTTTTATAAACATATAACGAAATTCGAGGAATTTTATGCATCCCAATTACCGGATTCTTTACTCTTTAAATTGGAAGAATTATTTTCATATGCATTAAGGATTGGCACTTTTTTCAGGAAGCGTTTCAATATTCTTGCAATAATGTTTGGAGATCAACGGCTGGACCCAGAAATCCGTGCGGAAGTAATTCGGAAAGCAATTAACGAGGTTATGGTCTCAGAGTTTGACAGGACTATACTCAAATGCATAAATTTCCCTCATATACCATCATCACTTCACATTTCTATTCCTAAAAGCGAAGAGAAGAAGATAACACCTGAAATATACTATTATAACAAAAATCATTACGATTGGTTGATATTTGAAAAAGATATACTGAATAGCTCACCCGTATTGAGAAACCCTCCTGGGCTTACAGGTAAGGACAGTAATAAAAGGAAAGGTAGTATGCTAAACCCTGCATCTACAGATCCTTTGCTCAATTTCCATCTCAAAAATACGTTGTCGTTGGATATTCCATCCTTGGAAGCAAATGAAGGTAGGTGGCCGCCGAAACTAGACATCTTGCAACAAAACAATAATGTCGATTATCTGGTTTGGTTCGAATGGAACACGCGTAAATCAATTTTGAAACATCTTGAACTGGAATATAGAGATCTATTCCAAAATTTTAATAACCCTCCACTTCCACATTCTTTTCGTACATTGTCCCCAGAATCATGGTTTTACCCGGAAGATTGTAATCCCACACGATTAGTCGAAGCAGATCGGATTAGGATTTATAAGCGTCGAGTAATCAAAAACAAGATTTCTCTAAAGGTTAAGATCCAAACGATATTGGATAATGAGAGCAGAAGGAAGGGATTAATCGTTTCAGCGAAAGAGGTCAAACCAACTAATGGTGATATTTTTTACAATGATTTAGATGAAGCATTATACAACTAAGTAATATTCGAAGCACAAAATACAAGGCATGATAGTAGTAAGGCAATAGCAGTACTATAGTGTGAATTGCCGCAGAATTCAGGCATGTTCGTTCAACGGCAAGCTGAGGGACAATCAGGATCAAGTTGAAGTTGCTTTGCGCACGTATTATGACCACGCTAAATCAGGTTCACACTTAAGCAAACAAAATATATAATTATGTAAATTTATGAATATATAGATTTCACCGTGGAAGCTAGCGGTATGGATCTCTAGATACAAAACCAAGGAGAGAATTCCAACATGGTTGGGAATGTAGAACTTTAAGGATTTACGAATGTTACCGGTTAATTAGGAAATCGTGTGTTATACGAATCCGCCATGCACGGAACCGCAATTCAGGCACCAGAAAAATCGCCAGAGTGGACCAAGGAAATTAAGCTGACCAATTAAAGAGAAAGGAAGCGTGATTCTAAATAGATGATAACAATAAGCGACCTTTTGCTCCTCAGCCATTTTCCATATTGGATCAAACGACTGCGATTACATAAACAAACAACTTTTGTAACTGAGATTAGATAATCATTATACGACAAATAATGGCTTAGAACTGAAAAGATCATTGGAAGATCAGAAGTGAAAAAAAGAGACGGGGGAGGGAAGACCTTTTAAAAAGAGTGCTCATATATGACGAAGTGTAAGAGAGCAAAACAATGTTATCAAATAGTTAACCATTCAGGTAGCGTCACCCAGGTTTATTAAGCATTGAATATTCATTATTTTAAGCTCAATAGGCTGCGTGTACACAAGGATGAATGACTTTCTTCACGTACATCAAATTGTTTGCACCTTGAACATCGCGATGCTGCACGAATCGAAGTAAGCCGACTAATTGGGACAGTGCGCCCTTCATGGAAATGTGGAAGAAAGAGCCTCACAGGCGAACAATTGAGTGCTTGAAAAAAAAAAAAAGTCTATTTCGTAGAAAGTGTCCATAGAATAGGTGCTGCAGGAATGCCTTGGTTTCGTTTCTAAGGAGCGTCCCATTTAAACATAAGCTTATGGATAAATGAAATTTCAGCACAACACATCACACGTTGAAGGCTGATCAAGCAGATGAATTATGCACATTACTAATGCAGAGTGATTAGACTTCCGCCATTTAAACACCAGCACTAATATAATACCGTTTGAGCTTCACTTGTTGCTTACCTCAAAGATAATACTCAACCAGAAAACCTAAAGGACATGCACACATGCTAAATTATTTTCGAGTTCGACAGTCATGAGTCGCCTGAACAAGCTTAATTTCAATTCCTAATAGAAAAAAGTAGAAATTAACTAAAAAAAAAAATGGAATTCACAATTTAGATTTGGAAATAAAAAGCAACTAAAAGCACCTGAACTAAAATGGATGTATCCGAAAACGATAATCTTAGCGCTATTAATAACCAAAAAAATCTCAATTCTGCCTGCTAACTCAACGACAGTAGCCTAAATTTAGTCGATCATTTTTCGCATTTAGGCCCACCAATGCATGAATATGTTGTATATATGTACTCATTGGCTGTGCTTCCATTATATATTTTCTTCACTCTTCTATTTTATTGATAGAGAGTTTTTTTTTTTTTTTTTTCCTTTCTAATTTTTTAAGCGTCATACCTCTTGTCAGATCACTGTCCTATCAGCTTTGAAGTAGTAATAGACTTTTCTTCCTAACAGTAACCTTCGGTCTATATATCAAACTGTCTTGGGGGCCCTGTGGAACGACTGACACCGCTCATAGAAGAAAAAAAAGAACCAAGGTGAAACCTTTTTGCAGGCATTTCTGAGTCACACCTTTATAGTAACAAAAGGACCCTTCAACTGATCTTACTATAAGACGAAGACCAGGCCCCGAGTGCCTCTCATAAAAATCATATACCTGTACCCATACCACAACATATCATGAATATGTCCTCTGAAACTAAAAAGTCGAATAAAAGTCGAAGACAGCATTCCAATTCCAAAACCGGGTGCCCTACTTGTAAGAAAAGAAGAATAAAGTGTACAGAAGAATTGCCATCCTGTTCCTGCTGCATTAAACATAAAGTCAAGTGTGGATACTTAGATTTCACCGAAGCACAGCTTAAAGAACTCTTGGCTGCTAAGGCTGCCGCTGCTGCAAAAAAGGAATCTTCCAATAGTGGTACGTCTTTGTCTGGCGCTGCTTCGGCTGCTGGTGCCGGTTCTGCAACTAGTAACGAAGAAGTCGACTTAAGACTTGCCGACAGGCAGAAGCAAAGATTTGACTTGACTCCTCATCGACTGCACCTGCTTAATCTGGTGCAAAGTGGTAAATCTAATAGGGAATCACCGGGCTCTCTGGATTCACCAGAGAATGCAAGTAATTCGCCTGCACTGGGTAGCTTTACCGTTCCAACCAACAAACCTAGTACTAATTTCGTGAAACATTTGTCTACTTCTTCTAGCTCTATGACTAGTGCAACGCCTCACCACTCTATCTCGTCCACTTCCGGATTTCCACCTTCTCAATATAACTTATCTCGGTCTTCGTCTAGTGGAGGTAATTTTGCAGGTGGAGGTGGCGGAGGTGATTCAGCGTTCTCCAGTTACTTCTCGTTGATTGGCGGAGTGAGTAATGCATTATCGATAGACCAAAGAGAGATCACTCAAAATTTTGATAATCTTTTGCCAACCTCGACTGAAGACCCTGAAAACTCGATTATATATCCAGTTTATTCAATAGGTGAAGCTCACGAAGAAAAATTTAGCCCTAGCTGGAGACAACAATATCAACAGTCAATACCGGGAAAGGAAAAAAGTAATGAACTGTCTCTAAGTGAACAGCAGAAACAACTACACGCCCAAACTCAAGGGGTAAAAGTTCCCCTGCATTTCTTCAAAGCATCTATTGAAGCTTTAATTCCGCAGTCACTTTCTCATTCAACAATTGGATCACCTCTAATCAAAGGTAGAAAGACTTCAGCTGGAGCACTCTATTCTGGAGCACTTCCTGGAGCAATTTTATCAGACTACAGCTTCCCTTTACTCACAAAAGTGAAATACAATTACGTGAATCTTTTCGTAAAGGTGTTGTACGTTTCAGGACCAAAAATCGCCAAGGGAATTTGTCCATTAGACGAAATTAGATTTCTTTATACAACCTGGATGAATTCATTCTTCTATAGAGCATACGATTCCTCCCTCATGTTCAGTTGCCTTTTGAATTTGAGCACGAATTTCTTATACTCGAACTGTTTGCAGGGAGACTATGTATCTAATGCGTTTCCCTTACTGACTAGAAGTATGGTTAGAAATCTGTTTCTTGTCATTTCTATCAAGCATTATGGAAAGACTATCAAATTGCTTAGAGAAGTTCTTAATATGTCTAATAGTCCAGAACTTTGCTCGTCAATCTCATACATTTTAAGTTTAATGTCGATATACGACCCTGAAGCAAATATGAATTCTATTAATTGTTTCAGAGATGGATTGTTTAGTGTGATTTCTCATCATTTGAACATTGCTAAAAGCAAAGGGATACAACCTTCTCCATTTATCCCATATTATTCACAGTTAATGAAAAATATTGAAAGGTCTGTCTACTTACCGTCATACGATTCCACTTTCCTCAACGAGTACCTGACAATTCTACTAAAATTCGATGATATCTTAAAATGGTATATGTCTCAGTCAGCAGTACTCTCAAGCAACATGAAATTTATTTTCAACAAGTATAATGATTTGGTAAATTTTTCGAACGATACTCTCCTGAGTTACTTACCAGAGATAAACAAAAATATTCATAACATAGAAGTACAACAAGAAATTCTCTTTGATATGATTCACAGATGGGTTAGATTGTTTCCACTGAAGTTATCATTTCTTTCCACCAACACTCATCCTTTAGAGAAAGTATTATTCCTTTTTTACAAAGTATTTAAAAGAGCACTTTGGGCCATTGTGCCACAGGTGAAGTTCATCTTTTTAAGGGACTTTGAGACTCCGTTAATGAGTGACATCTTTAATACTAAGAATGAATATGATATATTTGATCATGAGTTAGATTTTCCCAATGAAGAGCTTCTTGATTTTCCTATATCGGTGTACCAAGTTCATTTGAATAATCTCAAATGGATATCATCGTATTTGATTCGTCTCAACAGTTTTTTCCAGCGAAGAACTGGAATCTTGTATAAGGTATTGGTTATCGACAATGATACTCAGAAGAAGTTCCCAATTGATGATATTAGGAAATGGAGAGTTCAAATTAAAGACATTGAACAAGCTAGAACAAATTATGCCAGTGTGATCGGAATACTGGAAACATATATTCAATCGTTTGAAAATACTATCATTGAGCCGAAGCATTACCCTATCAAAAACGTACTACAGACGTCTTCAAATGTATCACAGCCTGCTGATTTTTACACATTACAACCTAATGGATTATTGCTAGCTGATTTTGACCCAATGAGTAAATGAATAGATGAGTAGAAGTGAAAATTAAATTGAAATTGAAATTGAATGTGAATCAAATTTATAGAGCTGTGAAGTTAACTCGACCAATAATGTTGAAAAGAAAGAGAGAATAAATAATAAACAGATAAAGGAGGAATAAAAAAACCAAGAATACCAATGAAACAACAATTACTACACTTACTAACTCATTACATAATTGTATTGTTTCATCCATTGACTTTTCCCAACTTATTCGAATCTTACTTTTTCCTGCAGAAGCTTACATATACTTAATAACTAATGCCTGTAATGAATGAATAAATTGTAGAACTTGTTCACCTTTAAGAGCGTTACAATTCCGATTAACCGTGATGATACACCCACCTGAGTGAACCTTTGCGTATCTTCTTGTTGTGAGCCTTCGTCTCTTATTCTGCGACCTTCTTTTCCAGTTTCTCACGCGCACTGCTGCAGATGGGTATAGGGTTTTGTGTAATCATCACACACACGACTAACGTACTTTTTCACATTCTCCAACATGAACAACCGATCTAAAAGAATGTCATTTGCTTATTACCCTGTGTTTGGAACGAATATACATATACCTCTCCACATAATCCAGTTAAGATGTCTGTTCAAATTTTTGGAGACCAAGTCACAGAAGAAAGAGGAGAAAACGCGCGTATGCTGGCGTTTGTCGGCGCCATTGCCGTTGGAGACCTTGTGAAATCCACCTTGGGCCCAAAGGGTATGGACAAGTTGTTGCAGAGTGCTTCGAACCAGGATTTTGCCATGGTCACCAACGACGGTGCTACCATTTTAAAATCTATACCATTTGACAACCCTGCTGCTAAGGTTTTGGTAAACATTGCCAAAGTGCAAGACGATGAAGTCGGTGATGGTACCACCAGTGTCACTGTGTTGAGTGCCGAATTGTTAAGGGAAGCTGAAAAATTAATTGATCAAAAGATCCACCCACAGACCATTATTGAAGGATACAGATTAGCATGCTCCACTTCATTGGCAGCATTAGCCAAGGTTGCTGTAAACAACGGTAACAATCCAGAAATCTTCAAGAAGGACTTGTTAAACATTTCCAGAACAACCTTGTCCTCGAAGATCCTTTCCCAAGACAAGGAACATTTTTCCAAATTGGCAGTAGATGCCATCTTAAGATTGAAGGGATCCACCAATTTAAACCATATTCAGATTATCAAAAAGGTCGGAGGTAAATTGTCTGATTCCTTTTTGGATGAAGGTTTCATTTTGGACAAGAAATTCGGTATAAACCAACCTAAAAAGATTACCAACTGTAAAATTCTTATTGCAAATACTTCCATGGATACCGACAAGGTTAAAATTTTTGGAGCCAAATTCAAGGTCGATTCAACTTCAAAACTAGCTGAGTTGGAAAAGGCCGAGAAATTGAAGATGAGAGAAAAGGTAGACAAGATTAAGAAGTACGGAATCAACTGTTTCATCAACAGACAGTTAATTTACGATTTCCCAGAGCAACAATTCACTGACTCCAAGATAAATTCGATTGAACATGCAGACTTCGATGGTATTGAAAGATTAGCACTCGTAACCGGTGGTGAAGTCGTTTCCACATTTGACACTCCAGAACATGTCAAGTTGGGTTATTGTGATTCTATTGAAGAAGTCATCATCGGAGAAGATGTAATGACCAAGTTCACCGGTGTTGCAGCAGGTGAGGCCTGTACCATTGTGTTACGTGGTGCCACTGAACAAGTTTTGGACGAAGCTGAAAGATCTCTTCATGATGCTCTTTCTGTCTTGTCCCAGACTACAAGGGAAACTTCTACCGTTTTGGGTGGTGGTTGTTCTGAAATGATCATGTCCAAAGCAGTTGACCAAATCTCTGCAAATGAAACAGGTAAGAAGTCCTTAGCTATCGAGGCATTTGCCAGAGCTTTGAGACAATTACCAACGATTTTGGCAGACAATGCTGGATTCGATTCGCTGGACTTGGTATCGAAGTTAAGATCCGCTATATACAACGGTATGACCACTTCTGGTTTAAACTTGAATAATGGAACAATAACTGATATGAGAGATTTGGGAATTGTTGAGTCGTATAAATTGAAGAGATCTGTGGTTGCCTCTGCTTCAGAAGCTGCGGAAGTTTTATTAAGAGTGGATAATATCATTCGTGCTAAACCACGTACTGCTGATAGGAATCAAGGTCATTAAATAGAAAAAAAGTAAGGGGAGGAAGCGAATAATTCTAAAGTACATAGAGCGCCACGATTATACCAATATTTAGTTATATACAACACATAATCTACTTAATTTATATTTCAAATTACCTTCTATTTTCACTTACATTTTTTCTTCATTTCTAAATTCGTTTTTTGCTTTATTCGTCATTTTATTAAGTTCTTGAATACATATACATTACCTACGCCCTTCAAGATTTGCTTCAAGACCTTTCTCTTTGCGATGCAAGATACAATTGCTTTTTCAATGCATTTACATCATCTTTGAGTTGATCTCTTTCTTGTTTCATGATGAACAAGTCTGCTTGCAAGTCTTGAATCTTCATGTTGTAATGAGCACTGTTGAAATCTTCATCATGAACTTCGCTCTTCTCAATATCATCAGTTTCTTGATCTTCTTGAATCGTAGAAATTGGTGTGGTATTTCTTGAGCTAACTCTCTTGGATGCTTTTTGGTACAATTTCAACTCTTCGTTTTCCTTGACTAACTTCTTGGTAAGTTCCTTCTGCTTGTCTAGTTCAACATTAGTAGAATCCAAGGCTCTACTGGTGTTGTTGACTGATTGTAAAGCATCACGGTAGTTGTTTTCGAAAGTCTTCAAAGCTTGTAATTTAGCAGTCAATTCCAGTCTCAAATCATTGATTTCAGAAGCTGATCCGGCTTGTTGTTCCTTGGAGATGGTTAATAACTCATTAACTTGGTTTTGCAACTTGTTAACAATAGGGTCAATTTCTTTTTCAGTAGAAACAGAAGCATTTGGATCCAAGGCTCTAGATGCATTAGGGTCAAGAGATGAGCCTCCACTAGGGCCCCTGCTCCATAAGTTTACCAAATTCTCCAAATGAGATGAAATGTCCTTCTTAGATCTTCTTCCAGTGGCAGAGCTCATAATACTTCTAGCAGTAGACGAATCAGCACCTCCATGTGGAGGTTCCAAGATGTCAGCATCAGCCTCATCATCCGAGACTTCAATTTCATCTTCTGCGTTAATAGTTCTGTAGTTGTTATATTCAATTTCTAAAGATTCAAATTTATGTTTCCATTCAAGAACATCTTTTTGTAAATCTTGCTGATCTCTAACTTGATTAGACAAATTTGCAATCTTTTCTTCTTGAACCTTAATGAGTTTTTGGAAATTGGACAAATCGGTTATTTGATTATTCATAAATGGTTCAAACTTAACCAATTTGTCATTTAAAGCTGTATTCTCTTTCTCCAAATAAACCAATTTATTATTCAACTCTAATTTGTCTAGCTTATGTTGGTTTAACTCTGAAATTGATTTTGAAGTTACCACGCCTTCTTCTTGTTCGCCACCTCCCCCAATTTCAGTTTTCAAACTTGCAATTACTGAATCTCTTTCTTGAACTTGAGCCTCGTATTTCTTGATCTCATCATCAAAATTCAGATATTTTTCGTTTGAAGATCTCAATTGTGAGTTTTCTCTCTCTAATGAATCGATCTTCAACGATGCTTCATTAATTTGCTCTGTGGTGGAATTCTTTAAATTGGTCAATTCGGCGGTTAATTCGTTAACTAACTTTTTGACTTCAGAAGATTCAACTCCACTGCTGCTACCATTATTTCCACTTCTAGAACCAGCACGGCGTCTTCCAGAGTTAGTAATAGATATCTGTCTGACAGGTACAGTGTTCAGATCACTTTCACTTTGGTCAATTTCCTCAATTTCGTGAGCTCTATTATCACTTTCTACACCGCGTATTCTTTCTTCACTGTCAACGTATTGATAATTCTCCAAAAAGGAGGCATGTCCATTATGGAATGTTTGGTTGTTAGAAACTTTCTTTTCATGCTTTTCATCTCCAAAGGATGGAGCTGGAAGAATAGTACTTGGTTTGCTATCTTGTGTTTCATTGTCAAAGTCAACAAATTTATCTTCATTAGTATGATTAAGATATGTTTCAGCTCCAACTGCAGTAGATCCAAGCGCACCGAGTCCAGCTCCTCCAGCTGCAAGGGCTGCTGTCGTTTCAAGTGCTGCGTGAGTACCCTTGGTTCTAGATGGTGAAGCATTGGGAGTCCTGAAGTCCTCGGGTCCCGTAGAAAAGCTTCTCATATGGTGACCCTCACGTTCGTGTCCATTAGTAACAGTCTGATACTGCTGTTGTTCAATTAATGTGGAACTTCCATTTACATCGTTAGTAGCAGGAGGAGCAGCAAGATCCTTCTTTGGAGAAGGTTTCTTTAATACATTGATTTTACCCTTGGTTGGCTTATCACTTAAGAAGCTATCCAACGTTAATAAATCCAATTCGTATATCATAGTGCCAATTTCTTGACCATTGAAATCTTCGTAGGTATCAAAATTATTTGGGTTGCTATCGATGTAATCATTCTTATCACCACCCATTATAATCAATTTTTTGAAACTTTGCAAGTAAGTCATGGAATGCCCACATCTTGGACCAGGGCTGGAAAACGAAATGTCATCGTTATCTATTAATTTCAGCCAAACTAAGGTGTGCAAGTCCAATACATAAAAGGTATCATATATTGTACCCGAGAAATCGTTACCACCATATATGTACATCTTATCGTTCACCAAACAAGCGGATTGCTCGTTAACTGGTAATGGAATGGCACCAGTAGTGGTAACTTGAGTCCATTTGTTGATAATGGCGTCAAAACACCACAAATCATTGGAAACTTTTTCATTGTTATATACACCACCAAACACATAGATTCTATTCTTGTGAACGCACATGGAGTGGTTAGTCAATGGAGGTGGTTTGAAGTTGTTTAAGGGCTCAATTGTTTCCCAACGTGCCTTAGGCAGCTTAAAGGTGTTCAATTCAAAATAGTACAAGTCATTGAAAACGTCATTCTCCAACTGTCCACCAAACAAGTACAACCTTGAGCTGGAGTTATTCAAGGCAATAACGCCAATGGTATGTCCATATCTTCCATGTGGCTTGTTCAAGATATGCAGTGGTACAGTATACTTATTGTTGTTGATATTAAATAAATAGAAGTTATTATCTGGGAAACCATTGAAATCTGTGTCCACAGTGTCACCACCGTAAATAATGAATGCGTTACCGCACAATACCGACGAGTGACCCACTCTTGCTGGGGGGTTGGTATTGTTGACGATTTCCACGTTTTTGGTGGTGAAGGATAAATTCTTATTCTCATCCAATTCAGGGGTAATCTTCCAGGTATCACCAAAGACCGATCCCTCCTTCAACCCACCCATAAGGAAGATTTCGTTCTTGTCAGACGAGAAAGTCAGGGCAGCATGTCTGTACCTAGGGAAGGGAGAATTGAAAAGTTTATGTCTTTTCCAGGGGGATAATTTAGAGCTATTACTCTCAGCACTAGCGCCGAGTCCCTTAGTGAGCTTAGGGTCCAAAGTAGAGTCAAACTGTGGGTTGGGGGTGACATAGGTACTTCCTACGATACCGACATCTTGTTGTTGTTGTTGCTGTTGTTCTGCATCAACATCTGTCTTGCTAAATGTAGGAATCTGAGGTGATCCTTGTTGCTGGTATTCCGGTTGGTGTTGTTGCACGGGTGAGGAAACGTACGGTTGCGGGCTATCAATTTGTCCGCCGCCTGTACTGTAACTACGTCTAGGGAAATCAATTGAAGATTTCACTGATCCTTCGGATCCGTCCCTTTTCTTTTTACCAAATTTAAAACGTGCCATACTGATCTACTCTGCAACCTATTACGTTAAAACAATTAATCTTTTGAATCAAGTCTCTAGCCACTGGTTGTATGCTATTTCTGTAAAAAAAAAAGGAGATGTGTACACTCTGCGAATGGAACAACAAAAAATATCCACGATTTAAAAATTCAGAAACTTCAGCAGATTGCACTGGAAATTCGAAATTCAAGAACACAGGCCAATGAAAAAAGAAAAGGCACAAACAAAAGCAAGTGGGAAAGCAAAAATTTAAATTATTGCAAAGCTTAAATTATGAGACACGGATTGTTTTTAATAATTCTTCTTCGAGAGTCGAGAAAAATAATTGACGAGTGGTGTGCTGTGTTGATTGGATTTCTGACTTTCTCTTGCAGCCTGTAGCTTCCAGTTCTTTGTTTAAACAGTATGGGATATGGAAGACCAAAAAAGAAATGAAGATGATACGAAAAAGAAGGTGCAATTCTTTGCGAAATCCGAATTATGGGGAACCCTCTGCTCCTATATACTGACCAAAGTCAATGCTGCGCGAGCGGCTTAGTGGTAGCAGTTTTGGTATAAACCCTACAGTAAGCTACATAAAATTTCACACATCTTTACTTAAAGTCTATTGCCCCACCCCTCATATTAACCGTATATGGGAATTCACTTGATACCTCTTCACCGGATTCATCGAGTTGTATAGGGCATTGTACGTCATACCGTGAAACGACAAATCTCAATGGTACATTTTAACTGAACAAGGGAATTTATCAGTGAGAAGGTGAAAAAATAAAAAATAAAAAAAGAAAAAAAGAATTTCTTTTCCCCGCATAGGGGGGTTAGGCTAGAGAGGAAGCAGTGTAGGCCCGACTAAAGGTGCTGATTCATGTTTGTAGCAAAGAGTCGTTGCAAAACTGCCGTGGAAGGCCAGGTTGTCCTCTGTAGTACAGCTGCAAAAAAGAAGCTGGAGAGCAGAGAGTATAGACATGGGAATGGCTCATCATCACCAGTATCCAGTGCGGTTTGCGCTTGTGCAGCCTTCGCTGAACTTTTCACTTTTATTTTTTTTTTTTTTTTCTTCTCTCTTTACCTTTGGCCCTCACTCTCACTCTCAGTTTAGTCGTCTTATGCATTCTTATTTAGCGAGCCGTGCAATTTCCTAATCGATCAGTGCAACCCTCTCTCACACACCTCATTTAGTATTATTTTATATGCCCGACTGTATGAATTATTCCGGAGACCCGCTTAAAAGGGTTATGGTGGAACCTTTCACTTATGCGGGGCTATCATATTTGACCTGTCCCTATAGTTTATAACAATCTTCAACCAAGTCCATTTAGGAAAGTGACTTTTTTCATCGAGTTAGTGAACAATATTTTTTAAAATATGCCAAAAAGCGTTAACTGAATAAGGTTTTAATGTTAATGTATCTGGGCCACAAAGGCTAGAGCAACATAACCAAATGTTTACGTTCGAGTTATTTTTTTCTTGTACCGCTGTTTGCATAACTTCGAAATGCACAAGAGCCATTCAACTGGGCTTTTCTATTGCCTTTAGCAGAAGTACAGCATTGATCAGTGTACACGTGACTGTACAGTAAGGTTGATACTTTACAATCCTCTCTTGTAAAGTATCATTTTTCGCTCTGCTTGTTCACTTGCATCAATTCCGCCGTTGACATATGTAAATTGTAGCAAAATATGTCAGCCAGTCTCCACTTTCAAATATATTCATAATATGCTTGGGAATGCTAACAATAGCCAGATTAAAATGATAATTCAATTCACCTGGGGAAAAATATGAACGTGATACCGAAAACAAACATGAAAAACAACAAAAAAAGAAAAAAAAAACAGAAGAAAGAAAGCAGATCCTTCCGCCTTTCGGTAAACTGCGTTTTAAATGGTTTGTAAACACTTCAAAATCTTCATTGGACTGTTTATGTTTCAGTTTTTCTGTTTCACATCTTTATTTATTTGATCTTCCTCTCAACCTTTTGTAGAGCAACACCCTAACTAACCTACCTTCGTGTCCTGTATATAAACAAAGAATGAAAGAATTTGTTTTCCCTTCCTGCTCTCAGTAGACCTGCACATATCTTGTTACACAAAAGTTCTTAACCAACCAAAAAAAGTTTTTATGCGGATTACATAAAACAACCATCAAACACAAGCTCACACCTTACAGTTCATATCCCCATAAGTTTAGTATGAGATTCACAAGAGTTTTAAAGCAAGCCGAAGAAGTTTTGGTTAGAGCTGCTTCTGGTAAGCCTACTGGTTTAACTGGGATTTACGAACACCCAAACCCAAGACCTGCATTAATCGCCCTCTACAATCACACCTTAAACTTATTGGACACAAAGTTCCCTAAGGAATCCATTTACAAACAGTCTGTAGAAGCTCTCACCAAGAACAGATTGGCTGTAGTAGAGTCTGAAGAAATCACTGAAAATATTGAAAACAAGATCGGTGGTGGTTTAATTGAAGAAATCATTATACAAGCTGACGAAGAATTACATTTGGCGCATGAATTAGCAGAGTTGAAGGTGTGGGAAGAATTAGAAGACAAGCCATTAGAAGACCAATGGGTTTATTTTGGGAAGAAGATCTAAGAAGACTGTAGAATAGCACAGAGAGGAAAGTACGAAAAATAATATAGACATAATCAAATACATGAAATATAGTGGAAGTATCTAATAGTGTGAAAGTAGACACAAGCTATGAAGGACCGTTTGTAAGAGAGTTGTAGGAGACTATAGGGAAGGCATACCTCTGTAAGCCGGATCATCAACCGTCGTGAGGGCATTAAAGTGACTGTGGTGAAATACAGAGGAATAAAATATCTGAAACAAAGCGCAAAGAGCTGAAACGGAGAGGTAAGAGAGATGTTAGAGAGGTGTTAAGCAACTACTAGAAAGCAGGCTCAATTTTAACGTTTGACAATGCCATTATAGAGCAATATAATGTGTGATGAGTTTGAAGTCGGACTATAAATACACCAGGAGGGAGCGCCCTGGAAGACCAATATGCCTCTGGCTAAAATCAGTGCTAATCAGCCCTCCGCTTCCTTCTATCAGTGTGCTTCACGGTTCTCTCCCTCTTATATGAGTTCCAGGTTACTTCATTAGATGCCCTTTCTATCTCTTTTACAGTTCCTATTGTTTGAATCCCCTTGGGTTCGCTACGGCAATTTTCTCGTTTCTCCCTCTATCAAACAAGGATCTACCAGTATTATCTTTCTCAATATTTATTACATAACCAAAGTCTTAAACAAATCCTAACTACAGCAGTTGTTCTTGATACCAGCAGCGCCACCTTGGGACACGTCAACTGACCCACTACCGGAGTTGGCGGCGTTTCCACCAGTTCCGGCGTCAACATGCTTTTCCTGAATAATACTAGCTAACTCGTAGAAAATGGAATCAACATTTTCATTGCTCTTGGCACTAGCCTCCAAGAATGGGATGTTCAACTTTTGGGCCAAATCTTGGCCTTGTTCCTTCGATACTTGTCTACTTTCGTTATCATCACATTTGTTTCCAACAAGGAAGATTTGGGCGTCTTCGTTTGCATGTTGAGTCACAGTTTGGTACCAGTTGTCAACATTTTCAAAAGTTCTTGAGTCAGTAACATCGTAGATCAATACGATCCCCATGGCTCCTCTATAGTAAGCTGTGGTGATGGTTCTAAATCTCTCTTGACCAGCGGTATCCCAGACTTGTAACTTAATCTTCTTCCCGTTGCTTTCAATGGTTCTTATCTTGAAGTCAATACCAATAGTGGTGATGAACGAAGGGTTGAACTTATCTTCTACAAATCTTAAGAGCAAACACGACTTCCCAACACCTGAATCTCCAACGAGTAATAATTTCATAATCATGTCATATGATCTAGAAGGAGCTCTACCGGACATCTTTAATAATCTGTGCTCTTGGCTTTTTCTCTTGATGTTTCCCTTGTACTCTGTTTCCAAATTTTGATTAAATACACTCTTCTATGCGATAAGCGAAGTGGAAAGTATTAACTAGAATAGCTCAATATAATTTTGCAAAGAACCAGCTATGTGATTAAACTTAAAAATCAATCTCGCTTTTTTTTTCTTCCAAATTATCAAGCCAAATTTTTGAGTATGCGTGTAAGTCCCGTTCTAAAATTACTCGCACCGTCGTGTAGGCTTGTTATTTTATAGGGAAGAGAGTGATGGAGAGAATAGGAAGAGAATAGGAAGAGAGCGAGATAGGGCTAGTTTAGGTATAGGATAGCTTTCAATAGAGCTGGGGAATTACTATGTATGTACTGGATAGTACAAAGAGCTTGTTGTTATCTACTTTGGAGTGCTTGTATCTCCTCTTGCTGTGGTCATGATTCCAGCTGGTAAGTCACTATTTAGGAGGGGGCACTGGCGCTGTGGCCCTTGCATTAACGTTAAGTCGTGTGGAGCCGAGCGTACCCGTGACACAAAATCGCACTAATCTGAAGGTGCAGAGAGGCACACCTGCTAGAGGAGAGAGAGAATTAGGAGAGCTAGGAGACAGCAGTGCAGCTTAGGAGCTCGGAACGGTGAAGGTGGTGCTTGAAGTGATCAAAGGAAAGGGAGGATATTGACGAGGTGTAGAAAGATTCTCCTTTTTTTTCCTTCTCTTCTTATCGTTTGCTGAGCATTGTGCAAGTGCTTTTCCGAGAAGCAGAATCTGCGATTTCCACCAATTGTTCCCGATAGGCAATTTTAGCGCTAGAAATGCACATCTGTGATTATATTATTTAATTCTCTGCTAAATAGTTTATTTCTGCTAATATTCATATTTCCACTTCCTTCTACTGGAAAATTCAGGCTCGCTAGCATAGTGTTTAATGCTGCTGAACTACTGAACTTCGGTAATTAACTCAGTCTGTCAAGCGGGTGGCACGCATGCAGCGTTCCAAGGTGATGGGACAGTTTCCGCATTGGGTGCAAACAAATCGGGAAAAAAAAAGCCCCTACCAATGTCTTTCATAATTAGTTAAGCAAGTAGTCAGCTTAGCTTAGTTTAGCTCAGCTTACTTAATATAACCTTTACTTTGTCTATTACTTTCAAATATATTCATACATAGAAATATAACTTACACCATAAATCTACTCTCTAGTCTTCATTTAAGTAAACCTTCCCATTACAAGAAAACTTCAGCATCAATTTCAACCGCCAGGGCAGCATATGGAATCTCGAAATATCCCATTACTTCTGGGTGTAATACACCAATGGATCCAATGTGTTGATCTTTCTCTCCTTCACCGTATCTGAAGAAAACCTTAGCTCCTCTTCCTGGGAAAAAGGTGGCATTCTTATCATCTTGTTCAATCCAGTAACCTCTGCCGGTTTCCTTAGATGGGTTTTCCAACCATGGAGTTCTCATGGTTTGCATAATCTTACCTAATAAGCCTTGTACAAGTTCGAAACCGGAAGTCTTACCAGCATAGATGGCAGCCCATTTTCTTTGATTGTATGCACCTCTTTCTAAGGATTCATCCTTTAATACGATATCCCCAGATTCGAAAACCTTAATAGGTAATGAGTGCTTTCTGTTTTCCTTGATGGTCTTCAAGATACCTGGAACTAAAGTAGTTCTTACAACTTGGTACTCCACAGTCTTAGGGTTTTCTAATTTAACTGCGGTTTTGTTGTCGTCAACCTGTCTCAAGAACTTGAAGTTCTCATCGTGAGATGATAAAGTCAATGGCATGACTTCTACGTATCCAGCTTGAGCTGAGGCCAATCTCAAGATATCAGCAACCTTGTTAATTGGTAATGGTTGAGCAACCATAGATTCGGATTTTGGCTTGGTCTTTTGCAAATTATTGTAGCCGTAGGCGATAGCAGCATCTTCCATAATATCACATTGGTGCAAAATATCTGATCTGGTACATGGAATAGAGACATCTAACAACTTAGGGTCTGTGGTGGATTGCTTGGCTGTCAAGGACATCTTGGCTAATAATGCAGCGATTTCTTCTGGCAGTAAATCCAAAGCTAAACACGAATTGATGTAGGAAATTTCAGCTTCAGCAACTCTTGGTGTAATATTAGGAGTGACGTGGGTTTCGTCGTTATGTTTGGAGATAACTTCAACTGGTTCAATTTCAAATGGTTCGGAACAGTATCTAGAGAACATGGCAACTAACTGGTTGACAACAATCTCGGCCTTTGTCTTATCAGTAGCAGTAATATCAATAAAGACGTTCTTTGTGTTGACAGAGATTTTAGAATGGTCACTGTTGATAATCGGTGGTAATGAGCAAACCGTTCTATTAGCATCTAAGATAACAGGGAAGACTGGTGAATCTCTGATGATGTGCAAATATTTACCCAAATTCTTGTCCTTTTCATAGAATTCCATCAATTCTTCACCGTTCATTTCCTTGGTTTGGTTCAATGGTACGAACTTGATATCCTTTGGTGGTAATGCTTCATAGGTGAATGGAGTGACTAAAGTGTCCAAATCATGGGTACCCATGGCAACCAAAGTTCTATTACGGCACAAATTGGTGTGCAATTTATCCTGCAAGGCAATGAACGATTGATAGCGTCTCTCATCAAATTTAATTCCTCTCAAAATGGCCCCGGCAGCGTAAGGCCTGATTTGCTCGGTGGACTTATCAACAGTCAAGGTGACCACTGGTTTGGCAGGATTCAATTTGAAGTTAGGTGTCCTACTGGTACCCAAGAACTCATTCAAGGCTTGTGCAATCCCTTCGATACATAACATATCGTATCTATTGGCTGGGATTTCAATCTTCAACTGAGGTCTCTCTCCTGTTTTGGCACATTCTTCAGTGGTGTCTTCATCAAGCTCAATACCGAACTCAAAACATAATTCATCGAATTCTTCGGTACTGTATGACTTACCGAGTAACTCAAAAAGGTCGGCTTTATCGACTGGAATAGTTGGCATCTTTGCTTCGACTTGTGTAGCGAAATTATCAATCTATAGACACCTTGTTGTATTGACGTTTTTTGTCTCTAACAAAAAAAAATCTGAAAATAATTTTTCATGAGTCAAATTTGACCGTTCCCGAAAATGCGGGCTCAGTAAATTTGAGAACGCTGGAGTTGGAGCATGTAAGGTAGATAGAGGGATCTGGCGGTAGAGTTAAAATACTTGTTTTAGCCATTGAGTGATGTGAGAAACTCGTATCAGCAAGAGATGTTTAAAGTTGGAAGAACTGACTACTTTATTTTGCTTTTAGGTTGGTATATTGGTGCATTTGCATTCGCTCTAATATACATGTTATGGCTTAATTTTCCTGCACGCGGTTCCAAATTTGCACCCATTCCTTCTGCTGGCCATGGAATAGACTTCCTTCACCGCTTGAATAGCTAAGTCGGGTTGGCCATGGAGACCCGAGAGACTCTCTGCACCACATAAATGCTTACATACGGTCTTCTTATGCTTTACTATATTTTTAAATGCAAACTAAAGAGAAATGGGTGCCTCCCCTCGTCTAATATGGCTCTCTATAAATCATCCTTCTTCTTCTCTTCTGTTGTCGATCCAAGCTTGACCTTTTCAGTCAACGCACTGCCTAACCCACTGATCTTATTCATTATCGAGCCTTCAACAGCTTCCAGTTGATCTTCCTCTAGATCTTCATTGGTAACATGCTGCGCAGGGCCGATCTCATCCACTTCTTTCCTTACATTTTCCAACGAGGCCTCACCCTTGTCAGCGAGTTGTGCAATGTCATTAACTTCTTGCTGTAGGGCATCCAAGTCGAATATGGGCATGGCAGATCTGTCTTCTTCCACATTGTACTCTTCATATTCGCCATCTCCTCCAGGGTTATGGCCTTCGTCTCTATTTTGTTGTTCCTCACTATTCTTTGCCTTAGCTTCTTCGGACTCACCATAAACCTCCCACCATTCTTTCTTTTTCCCCTTTTTGAACCAATTCTTCCAGTTCTTCTTTTCTTTTTGAGCCGTACCATTTTGTTGCTCTTCTAACATCTTGGCCCTAGCTTCATCGAATTCATGAATCAATTTTCTCGTCTTTTCTCCCTGTTCAGGATCTGGTTCTTCAATTTCTGCGAACTCTTCATCTAAAACTTCCCAATCTAATTTCTTTAAAATCTTAGGAATAGCCTTTCTGTAGGACATATGCCCTTCCACTAAATCTGTACAGTCAACATTCTCAATTCCTTGCACATTGGTAATTTCTTGTAACCCAGCTACAGTTTGAATCCCACCACCAGTAGCTCTAAACAAATATCCTAAGATCCAATCCTTTCTAGAATATCCATTAATGAATTTGCCACTTACCACTGATCTTGCAGTGGCCATTTGATCCACCTTGACAGTGATTGGACTACCTAACATTATAACGTTTTCGACCAACCCATATCCACCTCGTTTTGCCAATTCAATCAAACACGAGTAAATTAATCTTGCTCCAAGTGAAAATCCAACCAACGTAATTGGTCTAACACCACAGTTTCCGGCAATTAAGGTATCTGCAAGAATTTTACCCGCTTTCCAAGCCCTATCTAATGAAACATTCCAGGGATTATCCAAAATATATGATAATTTGGAAAGAGCCATGGGCAACTGAATGGCAGCCATCAAGGCAGTCAATACAGTCGCTCCCAAAATTTGTTGAATCGAAGTTGTTAACGCCTCACTTGCCAAAATGTTAATAGTCTGTCCCATACTTTGCAACATCTCAGGTTCCCAAAGTAATGAGAACATGTCACCCATTACTGGATCAACAGTTGAGAAAGGTAATCTAACATCATCTAGTTCACCATTCATCCATCCACTGACGGTAAGAATTAAATTGGTTCTTTTGTTATTGTGCAATGGTTTCAATTCAAATGTATGGACATCACCTAATCTCCTTGCACTTGCTTTCGAACCAACTCGCACACCTGCAAGAGCCCCACCAGTGGTAATAATTGCACTGCCACCCACACCTGCTAGAAATCCACCTGTTCCGGTAATACCAACGGTAGTTAACCCTGCAGCTAATCCTGCACCAATCACTGGAGCCAATAAGCCAGCTGAAAGCCCAATCGCGAGTCCTCCTCCCAAGGTGGCCAACCCAATATAAGCGTATCTCCTCTTCTTATTCTTTTTAATATGCTTATCTATAAATGTCCTATCATTCAATAGTTCTTCTTTATTCTCAAACAGCTTATCCGTTGCAGTTGATTCATCTAATTCTAAGCTATCGATTAATCTTCTTTCAAATTGAAACACTTCCAAATTTGAAACTTGCAAATAGTTTGCGAATTGAATAACTAAGGTTCTTGATCTACTATCATAGTAACCTTCACTGAGCAAGACCAAGAATAGATCACAGATAAGGATCCACACTAAATCTGCAGATGTTGTCTGTTCTACGCCCTTCTTATTCTTGCGCCTACTTTGCCTTTCAGTGATGTCCACTTTGGCGCCTATCAAACTACTGGTTAAATCATTAACTTCCAATCCGTGTACGCTCAAATTTTCGATCATCCTTTGTTCTTCTTTACTCAATTCAAGATGCTCAAATAATTTCAAGGTTACATATGACATCCAGTTACCAAAATTTTTTTGTCCAGCCATAAGATTCTTGGCCACTCGACTTGAAGTGGATGATTTAAGCATTGCAAGTTCAGTTGCCATTTCAACCGCAATCAACTTCGCTATGCCTATATATGCAAATTTTTGAGCATCACTAAGCATGCTCTTAGTTGTCTCCAACTGTTCCTTAGATTGTAAGTTATCGTCATCCTCGTACTCAGAATCCGATGAGTCGTATTTGGTTTCGTCGTCCTCGTCGATGCGTTCATCATCGCCGATGTTACTTTTGTGATGCTCTTGATCCAAATCTTCCTTTCCGTAGGCAGCCGAAACTTGGGTTTGGTTACTAGTCCGTTGGAAGAGGAAATCGGTCTTTTTATCCAACTCCGCATACTTGGCCACTTGCTCTTCAGTATCAATCTTTGTATATCCTCGAGATCCACCCTGCTGACGTATGAGCCCATTTTCGTCGAACAAACCGTTAGATGTATATTCCAACTCACCTCTATCGTCGTAAAAGTCCAATTCAGCAATGGTCTTCATTGCCTTCCAGTTGGATCCCAGGCTGAAGAAATCGTCGTCAACATCGCGGAGTTTGATTTGGGGCAGCTCGGGTTCTTCAGCAACCGTAGACCTTTCAGTGTCTTGGTCTTGTACAGTTCTGGTCTTTGCAGATATTTGCGAATGGAGATCACTTCCACTCCTACTTCTACTATTCCTGCTTTCCCAGGGTCCCTGCTGATCTAAGTTCAAGCTAGACGTAGATATGTACTTCTCGGAACCTATGGCTCGGGCAGGGCTTGTTGTAATTTCATGATCAGCACCACCACCCAAATCAAATTCAAAATATGACTCTTCCGGCTCGTCGGCGTCTGCATCATTTGCATTTTGACTGTCTATCTGAGGAGACCCTTCCCTGCTCGCTAAACGAAACTCATGTCCAAGCGGAGTCAGCGGCACAGATACCAGATGCGTTTCGCTATCGAAGGATGAGCCGGTGCCTGCTGTTGGCAAGCTAGGCAATGTGGATGCTCCAGCTCTAGAGCCAAATCTTACTCCTGGGTGTGTCCTGGAGTGGGTACTGTGCTGGAAAGGTGGTTGTTCGTCATAGTTTAAAGAGTGTCGATTAGTTCGATCCATATCGACTATTTCAAATACAAGTTATTCTTAAATTTAATATAGGCAATTCAATCGGAGTCCGAAGAGGTCGAAGCAGTAATAATATCGATCCAATTCCAGTCGATAGGTAACTCTTTGGAAACAAGCTAGGTGCTTGCTATTTTTGGGAACAGTGTGATTCAAGTGCAAACTGATTTGGGAAGTTCTGCAATATGCAGGAATGACAGAAGACTAAAAAACGATATCTGGCTGATAGAGAGGTAAAGGTCTGGCTATAAGTCCAGTGGTAATAGGAAGTACAGAGGGAGATTGGTATGCAAATACGCTGGAAGGTATAAATTTAGGGCTTGCTTAGAGTAGCATAGACATAGGCATTATCAATTCGGTTGTCCATGACCATTTTACTACACATCTACATGTTTACATTGAAGTTCAAAAGAGAACTGATTATCTGTTTGCAGCATGGTTTTACCCAAGCGTCCATTAGCCAACGACCGTTCGCAGTGTCCAGGAATATGCTGCTACGAGCTACTGGCCGAACTCAACCATTCAACAATCCGAAGAATATTAAAAGGGAGTTCAAGACCACTCGCTTAATCTACAATCTGTCGACGGAGTCTAACCCCTGTTTCATACCGCGTAACTGGTGTAGACTTAGAATATTTCAAAGCAATCTGCTCAACTCCCGAAGGAGGACCAGCCACTATGAATCCCAGAGGTCTACTGAAACTAGCTTCTCGAGCGCCGAACTGCTGCGGAAAACTCTACAAAATCCGTCCAATAACCTACGAATAAGTTTAATTGAATTTCTTCTGAGAGCCCACCGCAACACAGATTGACAGAAATTAGTTAAAGAAGAGAAAAAAGAAAACATCACTGAAAATTTTGTGCAAGCACCGCTACACTTATATACTTTTTTTCTCTCATAGTATGCGAGAGATGAGTTACCCGGATTTTGATCTTATGTATGAGGGTTGCAAAATACGAGTAGTTGATGGACTTGATGAGATGAGCGTCTAGCGGAGTCAAGCCCAGACCTGTAGTTATATTGTAGTTATAGAACTTTTCGATGTCTGCCGACGCTATACCCTTCACCAATGAAAGCGTAATTGAACCGAGGAAAATTGTAGACCTTTTCACCACCTCATTTGCTCAGATTTTAGACTCTGAAGATTTGACTGAGCACATTCAATCAGTCAAAAGAGAATTGTACAATAGAGACTACCTTTCTGCGTTCAATTCTGATGACAAAAGGTTGGCATATGTAGCAAGATGGACGCCTGCTAGATCATTGGCTTACTCTTCGCTTTTCAGCACATTGAATCCGATAAGAGAGATCTTCACCGATCTGACCAAGTCTTCTAAGTGCTTGTGCATAGGTGGAGGTGCTGGTGCTGAACTTGTGGGGTTAGCATCGTTATTTTGCAGACTTAAGGAGTACAGCTCCACGTCAGAGTCAAATATCGAAGTCGTGGCCATAGATATAGCAAATTGGTCACTGATAGTACGTGCATTAACAAACTATATAAAACATAACTGGATCTACGATCAGTCTAAATTCAATTCTACATTCATCCTTGGGGATATATTGACATCAACCGAATTGACATACTCTCAGTTTGATTTAATTACCTTGATGTTCACAACTAATGAGTTATTTTCAGAAAAAAGACAAGAAACCATCAAGCTTTTACAGGCGTTGAACAAAAACTGTAAGAAGGGTTGCAAGTTGCTCATAACAGAGAGTGCTGGTTCGTACTCGAATATTACCATCGGTACCAAGCAATTCCCTGTGCAATTCTTAATAGATATGGTTCTCATAGGGAAACCAGGTACCAATAGTGGTGCATGGGAAGTAGTGGAGCAAAGTGACAGTTGCTGGTTCAGGATAAACCCTAAGGATGTGCCGCTGTACCCCATGAAGCTAGAGAACATGAGATTCTTTTATAGGTTGTATATTAAGAAGTAGGTAAACCAAATGAACATCAACATTCTCAATGAAGAATACAACAGAAATTTCCTAGATCTTTAAGTTGGCCACGGCATCAGCAAAGTCTTCTTCTTCTGAGCCCGATTCACTTGCCGGCAGCTGCACCTTCTTAGGAGCGGTCTCCTTCTGAGGGTCAATTCTTTCTTCTGTAGATTCTTTCGTGGTCTCAGCTATATCCCTTGCAACATCCTTCGAAGCTTGTGCTGCTTCTTCTTTCTTATCGCTTGGTGGAGTTTCCAGAATCAACTCATTCAACTCCTCCTCCCAACCCAATAACTTACATATAGATCTGGCAACCGAATCGCAGTCATTCAAAGCCAAAATGTCTGTGTCTCTCCTGTAACCTTTCTTGAAGTCCCCTACAGCCTCGTTGTTGATCAAAACTCTAATAGTTTCCTCATCCAAAATCTCGCTAGGCAACAGAGCAAACGGGTGCACCGTGAGGGAGGTACCCGCAACAATGGCAATCTCTACATCGTCACCATCCTTCTCCCACATCTCGAAAAACCGAGAGGGTAACCCTTCTCCAAAGAAAACGATATCCGGCTTCACATACCCGCTACAAGTTGGACATACAGGAATGCCCACCGCACCAGAAGCACCAGTACCCTTTGTCTTCATATGCTTACGGAGTTCTTCAATGCTCATCTCCTCTCCACAGTCAACACAATGGTTGTACGCAAACGAACCGTGTGCCTCTACAATATACTCTTCCTTCACACCAGCCAATCTCTCTAGCGTATCTATATTTTGGGTGTACACTCTCTGTAAGAGCCCTTTGTCCTGTATCAACTTCACAAAGTAGTGGAACACAGTGGGCTTGAACTTCCCAGGGTATAAATCATCAGCCAACGTATAGAACGCCTGTGGCAGTTCCTTAAAGTAGTCTATATCAAAGACTGCTTCTGCAAATGGCAAATTTAGCTTGGCCAAGTTGGCATACAAGCCAGTCTTCGGTGATCTGAAGTCTGGGATTCCTGCACTAGTAGAGATCCCAGCTCCAAGGAAGAATGTGATCTTGTCACCGGCCTCAATTGCCTCGACTAGCGGCTTTAAATTAGCTTCTATGTTACTTGACATGCTGCTTCTTTACTATAATACCCAAGAAAGCTCCTTTCACCTCCCATAATCTGGATATCTTGTCTTCTTTCGGCAGTTCCCTGCCTTGAAGCTCTCTGCATATGGGCCCTCTCGCTCACGCTTGCTTACAAAAAAGTTGCTGCGAATTTGTTCACAGTTCAACACTCTTCTGCTAGGCACAGAGAGAGGTTTATACATTTTTGTCATCATGAAGGTAAGTATTGTGACTTCACTGTTGAAAAATGGTCACTCTGGGTGGAATGACCTACTCCTTAGAACTATTTCTGTAATTTTTCGTGCTCTTTTCGTACTAACATGTCTAGCAACGTATTACCGCATTGGATCTTCAGATCATTACGGCGGAACTCCAAGAGAACATCTTGAACTACCGTCTAAATAACATTTATAATGTCTCTACCTCCCAAAGACAGTTCTTACTTAAGTTTGCTATTCCTGACTCGAAGAAAGTAGTGGTTTTGGACTGTGGTAACAAGTTGCACTTAACAGACTTCGAGAGGCCCACATTGCAAACGCCCTCCAACTTCGTCACCAAGTTGAGGAAGCATCTCAAGACCAGAAGGCTCTCCAGATTGCTTCAGCTAGGTAATGATAGAGTGTTGGTATTCGAGTTTAGTGATGGTTTGTTCTATTTGGTGTTGGAGTTCTTCAGTGCTGGGAACATTTTGTTGTTGGATCACGACAGGAAGATCTTATCCTTGCAAAGAATGGTCCAGGACAAGGGGAACAACGATAGATATGCAGTAAATGAGACCTATAACATGTTTGACAAGGACTTACTTGATAAATTGCAAGATAATGGTCAAGAAATCAAGGCCAAGAGCTATAGCGTTGGCCAAGTTCAAGAATGGATTGATGCTCAGAAGAAGAAAGTAGCTGAAAACTTGGAACTGGAGTCTGCTTCTACAAAGAAGAGTAAGAAAAGGAATAAGGTTTACTCCATTCATAAACTTTTATTTGTGAACGCTAGTCATTTATCTGGAGATTTGATTCAGAAAAGGCTCACAAAGGATGGTATAAACCCTTCGGCTTCATGTTTCGATTTTGATGGTCAGGAGAGCAAGTTACTAGAAATCGTTCAATCTTTAGATTCTACGGAACGCGATTATTTGGATTTATTAAGTGGAATTGAGGACGGAGTAACGGGGTACATCGTCGCTAAGAAGAACGAACTGTTTGTCGCTGAGAAGGAAGGTGAAGCTGATGAAAATCAATCCAAATCAAATGATTTAGAGTATCTATACGAAGAGTTCCACCCATTCTCACCTGTGACAAAAAGTAACGATGTGAAGCTTATTCCCATTAAAGGTTATAATAGAACTTTAGATCAATTCTTTTCCACAATTGACTCTTCAAAATATGCATTAAGAATTGAACAACAAAAGCAACAAGCGAACAAGAGACTAAATCATGCAAGAGATGAAAGAGATAAGCAAATCCAAGCATTAGTGGACCAGCAAACAACCAACATTAGAAAAGGTGACATTATCATTTATAACGCCGAAAAAGTTGAATTGTGTAAAGAATCTGTTCAAAAATTGGTTGATCAGCAAATGGATTGGACGAATATTGAAAGTTTGATAAAATTAGAACAAAATAGAGGAAATGAAATTGCAAATATGATCAAATTACCGTTAAATTTGCTAGAGAACAAAATTAGTTTACTACTTGAAGACGTTGACGCTTTGGGCGAAGACCATAGTGACGAAGACGATAGTGATTCAGAATCAGAATCAGACTCTGACTCTGACTCTCAAAGTGAGAGCGAACCCGACCTGGATTCAGATCTGGATTCAGATCTGGACTCAGATTCAGTCTCCGCCGAAAGACACTCAAAGATTAAGCCGCCTAAGAGAACCAAGAAAACAATCCCTAAGGTAACAGTTTGGATAGATTTATCACTTTCACCTTATGCGAACGCCAGGCTCTATTTTGATGCTAAGAAAACAGCAGAAACTAAGCAAATGAAAGTCGAAAAGAGTGCCTCTTTAGCTCTCAAGAATGCAGAGAGGAAAATCACTCAAGACTTACAAAAGAACTTGAAAAACGAAACAGACGTTTTAAAGCAAATCAGACCAAAATTTTGGTTCGAGAAATTCCATTGGTTTGTTTCGAGTGAAGGATATTTGTGCTTGGCTGGCAGAGATGACTCCACAATAGATATGCTTTATTATAGACACATTAACGATAATGACTATTTTATCACATCAGATATAGAAGGATCCTTGAAGGTTTTCATTAAAAACCCATACAAAGGAGAAGGAATCCCACCTAGTACATTAATGCAGGCTGGAATGTTTGCCATGTGTACTTCTACTGCTTGGAACAATAAGGTCACAACCTCGGCATGGGTTCTTAGAGTGGATGAAATCTCTAAAAGGGATTCTGATGGATCTTTCTTGGAACCTGGTAGTTTCAGATTCCTTGCAAAGAAAGACTACCTCCCCCCAGCTCAGTTAGTAATGGGTTTTGGATTTTACTGGTTAGGAAATGAGGAAACGACAGAAAAGTATAGAAAATTGAGACAAGAGAAAGAAGAAAAGCATGGCTTAAAAATCGTGATGGGGAACAAGAAGAAAGATCTTGATGATTTGAAGTTAGACGAAAGTTCAAAATCTGAAGTCTCTTCTGTCAAGGCTGAAAAGGAACATCTAAATATCGAACCTGAAACCCAAGTTTTATCTGATGCAGACGATGTCTCAGATGTAACTAGTGAAGTATCCACTTTAAATTTGGACGCTTCAAACCCTCAGCAAGTGAGAGGAAGAAAAGGTAAATTGAAGAAGATGGCTAAGTATGAAGCTCAAGATGATGAAGATAGACGCCTTAGAATGGAAGTCTTGGGTACGTTGAAACAAGTTCAAGATAGAGAAAAGGCACAAGTAGAGAAGTTGATCCAAGAAAAACTTGAAAAGAACCAAGGAAAGCGCGTGCAAGAATCTGCGCGAGTATCAGAACGCAGGAAGCAACAAGAGCGTGAGTTCCGTAAGTACTTGACTGATGAAGGTGATGAAGATGAGTCGGGAACTACTAACTATTTGGATATTTTCGATTCCTTAATCTCTAAGCCCATGCCTGAAGATGAAATGATTGATTTGATTCCTATTTTTGCGCCATGGAGTGCTTTGAATAAATTCAAGTATAAGGTTAAGATTCAGCCCGGAATTGGTAAGAAAGGAAAGTCTATTAACGAAGCATTACACTATTTCACTACACGAAAGATGGATTCAAAGCGCGAAGATATTGACGTCGATTGGCCTAATGAAAGAGAAATTGTCAAATCTACCAAGCCGAATGATTTAATTGGAACCATAGCTGTCAATAAATTGAAAATCGTACTTCCTGGAGGTGACGCAAGTGGAAAGAAAAGCAGCGCAGGAGGCAAGGGCCCATCCACTGGTAACAAAAAAGGAGGCAAGAAGAAAAAATAAATAGTCTATACTCTGCGTATAAATATTAATAGAATAATTTGTGATACGGAAGTATTCAGTATAGGTATATATTCCTGTCCTAAAATATATTATATTCCAAATTAACGTGTATATTGTAAGCTATTCGTCGCTTGATCGTTCGACCACCGTTGAGATTTCTGCAACATGCTTCTATTTTTTTTTTTTTTGGTTAAGCTTTTATTTACGAATTTGTGCGCATGCATGAGAAATAAATGGTTGCAATATGGAAAGGTTTGAGAGATGGATAAGAGTTCGAGACATTGAACAAAAATATAGTCTTAAATGAATGAATTTGCGACAGCAGACCGTCGTCATATTGCCTTCATCATGAGTGTAGGTACTCCATATAGACAGCACTAGTTTTATCGAATCTCAGCTGTGATACTAGACTACGGTGAAATCAAATACATCCAGTTGCTAATGAGACGGGTGAGAGACATCCCGTGAAAGTATTCAGGGACTACGAAGCTATGCACAAGATACAATCCGTTCGTTAATTATGATCCGGAATTTTAGAGTTTTTAAATTGAAATAAATGCATGTAGTAAATGTGGAGATGTATGGATGGTTCGCTACTCCGGTAAATTTTCTCAGACCATTTGTAGGCTAAAAGTCTTGCAGATGAGCAGGGACACCTTGAGGAAAGGTGCGATTCCTTGTACAATGTACAGAAAATTGCCTATATTCACCACTGGAAAGGAGAGAGTTACCGAATCAGTCTATAATTTGCTTATAGACTGAACAATATAGACAGCAATAACAGTGACGATAATTTCCAGTAGGTTACAAGTATTGAGGGCCAGCATTAGTGTTTAAATCAGGGTACCGAGCCTTTCGACATCAAAGCAAGCTCAGATTTTGTAAAGTAATCTGAAGAAAACGATGCATTCTTGTGTAAACAGGTCATAATCAACAGGTTCCTGCGGTTAAAAATTCGACTCTCTTTTGTAGAAAAAAGACACAGTTTTTCAAATGTGTGCATTTGAGTTACATCATCGGGGATCTTTGAAATTATGTAAGGCTTCAAAAAAGACGAGTTCGTAGCGTAATTGTGTAACTCTAGTTTAAGAGAAGTATATTAGTGGACCTGAGGGTGGCGACTTACTAAGCATGCAGAATCAATTGCTTCGCTAGCATCACTAAGATTATCCACAATTGAAGGAAAAGATTCAAACGAAAGGTAGATAACCTAACTTATGACTCAGACATTGGAATATTTTTATGCGGTGTTGCGATTGTTTGAACTCGTCAACACAACAGGCACTCTTCAGATTACTGTGAATCTAAATAAGATAATATGGATCTAGATGCCAACCGATATACATATATCCTGCTCATCCCGGAGGGCCAAGGCAAAGTCTTATAAAACAGTAGATTCCTACGTACCGTTTACTAACAACGGCGCTGTGACACCTATAAAATGGTGTTCAAGCAGCCAGGCGGAGTCCCCACTTCTCATGCATTTATTAATGCGCTCCTCATGCATTCGACTAAAGTTCGAACTGTACGTGAGAGACAGACTATCTGAGGTGATTATCATAAATAACTGCCAGCGACAGATCGATACACCACCGATAGATTTAATATTGAACCTCTAGCTGCGATTACAAGCATCACTCTTTAAGAATAACAGTTCATTTGTGATACAGGCGTTTTTCTTGGTCCGCACGTGTAAGGGCTCTTAGCTAGAAACCTTATTGGCGCTCAATATAAATAACGCAGTTCGGTGCGAGATTTCATTGCATACTTTTTCAGTGGCATCGTAAACTGTGACTCTTAAAACTGCTATATTCCTTTTTGCAGCCGTTCGCCTGACTGACCACCGCAAAATCAAGAAGTTGCTCATTATTACCGATTTTCAAATTGCACTTTCAATTTTTTTATTCTGCTCTTCTTTCTTTTGATGGTTTCTGTTTCGAAGCTACTTAGGGGAGGGTTTCTATTGGTAGATCAGCTGATTTACTCCGATGTAGCAGTTCCGCAACAAGCTGCAGTAGAACAATTCAATGTCATAAGATATTTAAGTGGTGCTGCACCATACATCCAGAATCCGGGCCTTGGCATCCCTCAGGGTATTCCAGAGAATTGTAAGCTAGAACAAGTACAAATGCTAGGAAGACATGGCGAGAGATATCCTACTACTAATTCCGGTAATAAGTTCAAAGAGATATACGATAAGTTGATGGTATTCAAGGGAACTTACAAAGATGAATTTCTGTTTCTCAACGACGAGAGTTACTCATACTTTGTTGAAAACCCAGCATTCTATGAGCACGAAACTACTCCTGAAAACTCCGAAGGGACATTTGCTGGTACCAAAACTGCCTTTAGGCATGGTGAGACGTTCAGAAAACGGTATGGCGAGCTCTATGATGACGGTATTTTGCCCATATTCACTTCAAACTCAGGTCGATGCTTCACTACTAGTGAGTACTTTGCCAAAGGCTTCTTAGGTGCAGGATACACGGCCGATAAGGTTAAATTCTCAATTCTTGCAGAGGAAGATTGCAGCACCTGTAACCATGATTTAGGTGCGAATTCATTAACGCCAAGAAATGCATGTACCAACTTTGACAGCGATGAGAACCAAGAAACGAAATCTCAAGTTGACAAGACGTACTTGAAATTGGCATTGGAAAGGTTCAAAATTTCAAATCCTCAAATCCCGTTGGTGGAAGATGATGTTGCGAACTTGTTTAAGTACTGCGCTTATGAGATAAATGTGAGCGGCCAGTCTCCAATGTGCAATATCTTTACCAATGTGGAATATCTTAAGTATTCGTACTCCGAGAGTGTGGCAAAGTACTATTCTACTGGCCCTGGTCACAGATTAAGTGAAGTTATTGGGTCTGTTATGTTAAAGGCGTCTGTTAAATTACTAAAGGAAGATAATCCTAGTAACAAGATATGGTTATCGTTTTCGCACGATACTGATATTGAAATGTATTTAGCTGCATTGGGAATTATTAGCCCAGAGCAAGATCTAACTCCAAGTCATCAAACTGTTTTCCCTAATCCTTACCTGCACTCCGATTTGGTTCCCCAGGGAGCAAGGATTTACACTGAAAAATATTCCTGTCAGGGCACGTCGTACATCCGATATATACTCAATGATGCAGTGATCCCCTTACGTAATTGTTCGAGTGGCCCCGGATACTCATGTAGCCTCGGAGACTTCATAAGTCTCATGGAAGATCGGCTTCGGACATTTGACTTCGGCGTCCAATGTGATGCAAAGGATAGTCAGCCCAACGAAATTTCTTTTTACTGGGATTACGACGACATAGACTACAACGCGCCTCTCGTTAATCAATAACGGCATATGAGGCACCACAATTTGGTAAATCCGTGGGCTAACTTAAAGTGATGCCACTCGAAATTTGTAAATTGGACTATCGCAGACCCAAGCATATTTTTTAGCCTACTTAACGTTGAAAAGTTTCTTTGGGATGGCTCTCTTACAATAGTCTGCGCTAAAGTTTAAATTGTGCAATTAAGGCATTTTGCAATCTCTTTTCTATGGACGGAAAAAATATCTAATGCTAAGATTATTGGAATTTCATGTCAAAAGTAAAATATTCCTTGAAATGTCTAAACACCAAATCCCAAAGGACGGGCAAAGACTTGTAACTATAAAAATATGGAGTGGACATTGGTATTCGGTAGTAACAATCTTCCTTATCTTATCAACATGGTGGCTAAATTTCCCTTAATCAGGTATCAACATCAATCTCAAGATCTCCATTCCAAGCTCGCGCGGCTCTTATCATAATGTGTTATACTTTCTTGCCAGTTTCAACAGAGAAAAAAAGATTGAGATAATAGCAATGTAACATCAACTAAGTCTCACGAGGCGCCATATTTTTTAAATTGGAAGAACCTCAACCTCCACTTTTGGGGAAGGCACAACTCCCAAAGCTTAAACAATGCAATTTTAGTAACAATGCATTGAATCTGGAAACCTTCACTCACGGCAGGATAATTTCATTGATATGTTCACTTCTGTAAGCATGGTAAAGGGAATGAAATAAGTTCGTTAAGATAACGAACCACATCATACATTATAAATTCTTCGTGTATTATAGGCTCTTCTGTCTGATGACTTCTCTCGAAAGATAAGTTCCTCATGCAATCTAATGGTAGCTTAAGATACGGCCATGCATTTTGAGCCACGCTTCCCTGAGAAAGTCCATCACCATACTGTGTAACGTCACCGAGAAATCCACACTATTCTTGGCTGGGGGAGCCGCTTGCTTGACATGTGACGGCATTTCTTATCACATTTTGCACCCGTACGAAAATAGTTAATTTGGATCTGATCTAAGGTGAAATTGGTATAAAAGGAAAGGTATGAAGCGGTAAAAATCATGTTTATTTGTATTAGCTCTGAACAGCAACTCTAATAATGACTTTAGACGAGAAAGAAACCGCATTAGTAGAAAACCAGTCGTTTGACAAAGTTTCAACTGGAGAACATTTAGAAGCCTTTCCAGATGACCAGCATTATGACTATGAAGACCCAAAGAATTATTTCGATTACTACATCGATGAACATAATCCTAGGGGTTTAAGAAGACCAACTAAGGAAGAATATGGTTCTTTGAGGAGAATTCTTGGACATGCTCCTTATGTAGCTTATTTACTTTGTTTGGTCGAGTTAGCTGAAAGAGGTTCTTACTATGGAGTCACTGGATGTTTAGCAAACTTTATTCAGAGACCTTTACCAAAAGATGGTAACTCAGCTGGTGCTCCTACTAGGGGTACATCGGAGCTGGCTGGTGCCTTGGGTAAAGGTTTGCAAGCAGCTTCTGGGTTGACTTTGTTGTTGACATTTTTAGCCTATGTTACCCCATTATATGGTGGTTTTATTGCTGATACTAAATTTGGTAAATTCAAGGCCATTTGGATCGGTGTGATTGTTGGAGCCATCTCTCATGTTTTATTCATTATTGCTGCTCTTCCAACTGTCATTTCTGGTGGAGCAGCTTTAGCTCCTACAATTATTGCAATTCTTACATTGGCTGTTGGTACTGGTTTTATCAAGCCAAATTTGTTACCATTGTTAATGGATCAATACCCTGTGGGTATTGATGTTGTAAAGGTCTTACCAAGTGGTGAAAAGGTTATTGTTGATCGTCAAAAGACTTTAGAAAGAATGACTTTAGTCTTCTACTGGTCCATTAATGTTGGTGCATTCTTACAATTGGCAACTTCATACTGTGAAAGACTTATTGGTTTCTGGTTAGCTTTCTTGATTCCTGGTATCTTATACTTTGTGATGCCAATTGTCTTAATTTATTTGAAACCAAGGGTCACCAAGACTGCCCCAGAAGGAACTGTTCTTACTCAAGCTTGGAGAGTTACAGCTGTCACTCTTAGAGGAAACTGGATCAAAAGGTGGAAGAATGGTGAGTTATGGGAATATGCTAAACCAGCAAACATGATTGCCCGTGGTGAAGAATATTACAAGGAAAAGACGAAGTCACCAATTACTTGGAATGACAAGTGGGTTTTGGATATTAAACAGACTGTCAATGCTTGTAAGATTTTCGTATGGTACCCAATCTTTTTAATTAATGATGGTGGTATTGGTACGGTGCAAACTTCTCAAGCTGGTTCTATGACTACTAACGGTGTTCCAAATGATTTGTTCAACAATTTCAATCCTTTGACCATCATTGTTTTCATCCCAATCTTGGATTATGTTATTTACCCAACTTTGAGGAAGTATAAGATCCCATTCAGACCAGTTTGGAGAATCACATTTGGTTTCGTTTTAGCTGCTCTTTCGCAAGTCGTTGGAGCTGTTATTCAATACAGAATTTATAAGACATCTCCATGTGGCTACTATGCTACAACATGTGACGAAGTTTCACCTCTCTCGGCTTGGCTCGAAGTCATCTTGTTTATTTTGCAAGCTGCTTCTGAATGTTTTGCTATGACATCTGGTTATGAATTAGCATACACAAGGTCTCCACCTCAGATGAAGGGTCTCGTTATGGCTATCTTCTTATTTATGTCAGCTGTTTCTGCTGCTTTATCTCAAGCTTTAGTCTCGACTTTAGTTGACCCTCATTTAATTTGGCCATTTGCCGGTATGGGAATTGTTGGATTCGTCGCTGCAGGTATTTTCTTCTTCCAATTCAGAAACTTACATGAAGAAATGGAAATAGAAAGAGTTCAGAGAGAACTTTACCAACAATCTTTAGGACTGGAAGAAAACCATGATATCAATGTTACCCTCGGTGCTATCATTGATGACAATAACTTGGAAGCAGTTACCTCAATCAAGACAGGAGTGGGAAAATAGGTTACAGTGTATTTTATTAGTAATTAGAGAAAATTATATGAGATTTTTAGTTTTTACACCTTAAGCGTTTTCTACTATCATAAGATGTATATTTATGTAGAATAGGACTGTGAGGGAAGGGTGGAGCTAAGAGTGTAATGTGCAAATGACACATATACGTCAAAGCCTATTGTTGTCGTTCTCTCTGTAGTGTACTTCAATTTTCAACTTGTTAAACTCCGAGAATAGCTAAAGTGAAAGTAAGAGGAGTACAATCATTCCAATTGTCTAGTGTATTTATTTGGTAATTAATTAATATTACAATGAAAACTACTAGTCTCCCCTCAATGCTCTGATGACAGCCGGTCTCCTCATCATGTACTTCGTCCATTTATAGACTTCAGGAAACTCTACCTTTAGATTTATTCCGATTCTGTCCACTACGTTATTCCAAGGCACGAAGGATAAATCCGCAACGGTGGCCCTGTCACCTACTAGCCATACCGGGTACTCAAAGTATCTTGATTGTGACAATGGCGTGGTACCGGCACTATACGCAGCAGCGTTCTCTACATCCAAGTCCATGATTAAAGCTTCCCTTCTCTCAGCCAACGCCATTTCAATAACTCCATATACTCTTCTCACTTCGTCGGTGTATCTTTCAACAGCACTGGGCACAGGGGAAGAATGGAAATATCTGAAATGCAATGCTTGACCTATCATGGGAGCATGCCCCGAGGTTTGGAAGAACAACCATGACGAAATCTGCGATTGTTCTACTAAGTTATCTGACCAAAGACTACATTCACCGTTTTCATTGAGGTATTTCGACACCAAATACAATATAATAGCACCAGATTCCCATATCGAGGTATTTTCTTTGAAATGATCAATGAGTGCAGGTACTCTAGCGTTTGGATTTATGGTGACGAACTCGGGAGCCCTTTGCTCGCCGTTATTGAAGTCGAGGAAGATGGTATTGAACGGTAAGTTCAACTCGGATAATATTATTGCAACTTTGAATCCATTGGGAGCTGATCTGTGCGAGAAAAGAGTGTACCCCTCGGTGGGTTGGTTTTCAAAGAACTGTGTGATTCTTGACTGCTGTTGCTGTGTGGTTGCCTCGTTGTGGAGTTGTTGCTGTAGAAGCAGAAGATTCACCTCATTTTGCTGTTGATCTGAAAGCGTTACTGACTTAAGGCCAGCAGAAAGGTTGGAAATAGGACCCCCTGACATTACTTTTATTAATTTGAATATGTATTTGTATTTTAGTGAATTGGGTGAGTACGAAACGAAATAAAAATTGAACAAATATTTGTAATAAGACTGCGTGAACAAAGATCTAGGTAGATTCAAACGCTATTTTTCTCCTTGTATTGAGGGATTAAAGGTATGTTCATATATATGCTAGTGTGTCAAAATATTATTGCACCGAATTCTTTGAAAATAATTCCTGCTTAGCTAACAAATCGAACTACTGCTACTACGTTACTACCTCTCTGTTGATCAGTTTAAAAACTTCTCTTTTACTTTTTTTCTCGCTGGGCGGCTTTGCTGGTTAGTCGCACCAAAAGTTCTCTCGTTTTTTTATGGCACTTGAGGGAAGTGGATTGCGCTTATGAGGCACCATGCAGGGATTGCGGGATGATTCGTACACTGTTGACTGTGATCCACAGGTCGTGCCACCTCAATTATTCTGTTATCGGGAAGCATCACAGAGTCGCACGGAAACTCGAAATAGAGGGCCCCGACACCCGAAACACATACGAACTCGAACGGAAGGTTTTTAGGAGAAGGCAGTGGAGATATCAAGTAGCTAGTTATTCTTTTCACATTTCTCCTGTGGGCTCTATAGTAACTTTGTGCGGGTATAGTCCTGTGAGCGATCTTTCGTACTTTATATTCTTGTTTTTCTGTCGTATTCTGCTGTTCTCATGACTATTACTTCCCCTCGTCACATTGCAATTATTGTTACTGATACCCCGATAGATGGGATATACGAAAAATATGGTGATTTCGGTGACAGATCTATAAATTTATTGGAAAGTGCAGAGTGTAAGACACCAACGAAAAAATATCAGGTATGTTTCGAAGAAAAATCGGACTATACTGAAGCATTGAACAATGTCTTTGCCGAATTGGAAAGAAACTGGAATTCAGGTGTAATACAGGCCGTTCTTATCACTGGATCAAGAACTGATTCGTTTGCGAGCCACTTGCCCTGGGTAGCAAGATTGGACAAGTTCCTCAAAGAATATATATTGGATGCAGGAAACACCACCATTCCAACTGCTGGTATTTGCTTTGGCCATCAAATCATGGCTAAGATGCTTGGTTGTAAAGTAGGCAGAAATTTACCAGAGCTTGGGTATGAACTTGGTATCACCACGGTGGAATTGAATAGAGAAATTTTTGAAATTGAAAAATCTCCATTTTTGAGTCTGCTTGTTCACGAGAACTCCAACTTGTTTGACCATCTTAATATTGTAGAGTTTCATCAGGACATAGTATACGATTTACCTCCTCCAGGGGTGTGTGAAGCTCTTAATACAAGTTTTAAGGGTATTGGTTCAACTGCAAAGTGTGCTATTCAAGGTATCGTAACTGCAAATGGTAATGTAAAGATACTCACATTCCAGGGCCACCCAGAGTTCACAACCCCAGAAACTCTAGATATGCTTCAGTCAGATTTGGACCAGAACATTATCACTAAGAATCAGTTTGAAAAGAGCGTATATGCTACCAAGCTGTTGAATAATCAAGGGGTAATTATTGGTAAATCTATAGTAGAATTTTTCAAGTTAAACCTGGTATAACAAATTTCATAGAGCTCTCCAATAAGAACAAAAGCTAGACGTTATACCTTTAGTATATAGTTATATGCATGTGTAATATTATATGTAAATATATATACTATTTTTTTGATGTATATTTATTTAAATGTATTCTTGAGTCGTTATTCCTATGCTAGTCATGATCAATTTTGATTTTACTTTTTTTGTTTTCAGAAATTCTTACTTTTACGTATCAAATAACGTGTTTGTAGATGCTACGACATTGAAACCTTGCAACCTTGCTCCTTTACTATGCAAAATTAAATTGGAAGCCGAGGTGTTGTTCATCGGTCTCTCTTTGTAATGTCCATCGCTATCTTCATCCAGTGTTACATTCCCGTTATTTCCGCCTATTCTCTTGCTGAGCATCTCATTGATCATATTTGCATCCATTAATTTTGCTTCCAAGGCCTTAATTTTCTCATGGGAGAGTTTGCTCTCGTAGCTTTGAGCTGAGGATAATTTGGAAATCACCTCTCTCAATTCTTCTCTTTGATTTTTCAATTTTTGAATTTCAAGCTGTCCTTGATTAAATTCGTATTCTTCATCGTAAAAGTCTTCCTCATCGTCCACAGCTCTTAGCTCATTACTAACATTGGATAACGATAGTTGCTTGCTCATTCCACTGATGCCATAATGAGAGTTTCTTTTCAGTTTCTGTCCATTGTTGCTATGTTCCTTTGCTGGCTTCAGTTGTTCTTGATGTAATTTCTTCTCCAAGTCAGGAATAATTTTAAACTTCAAATCTGTATTCTCCCGTAAAAGTTCATTATAGCTTTCTAACATAGAGTTACTATTGGTATTGTTTTTGGTAATTGGAGAAGAAGAGTCATGCTTCATAATCGATTCATTGCCGTCTCCATAGACCGATTGATCGCCATCAATATTTTCGTACTTTCTTTCATATTCCTCCAATCTGTCTTGGAGTTGGTTTATCTCATCATTCTTCAAGAGTAATTGACGGTATATTTCAGTTTTCTCATAATTCAACTTTATGGGACTCGGGGTTATTCCATTCTCCATCAATAGAGCATGCTCTTCGCTGATAAATCTAAGTCTACGTTCTTTATTTACTTTATCTTGAAGAACTGCAATCTGTTGTTGATATTGACTAATTGATCCAAAATCATCGTCGGGACCATTTGCATTTGGTGACATCAATTGAATTGATTTATTTCTGATTGGAGAAGAACCGCCTCTTAGTCTGTTCTCTAAGCTTAGTTCCCTCTGTACTGCTGATGCCAACTCTGTAGTAACCAATTCCAATTCATTCAATAATTCATTATTACAATTCATGATAGCAAGCTCTTCCTTGGTAAACTTGAAAGGCTTAGCTGGCAGTGACTGTCCTTCTTTTTTAGAGGAGCTAAAGCTTCCACTTGAAAACCTATTACGAGTCTTGGATGTGTTAGGTGACGAAGCGTCCTTTATTTCTTCATCAACATTCAATGTAGATTGACTAGTTCTTCTTCCTGGTAATCTTTTAAGAGAATTCATTATATTTCTAGACTTTAAAGAAAAGCTCCTAGGAGTGGTCTTTCTAGACTCAGATCCAAAAGCTTCACTTTCTTCGAGAATAGGAGTCTTCGTCACATCCGAAGTAGTTGAAGCTGAAGAGGAAAGGGCTGCATTTGATTCTCTAGCAGACGAACTAATTGCTGAACCAGAGATTGAACCTAAAACATTTTTATCCTCTTTTAAGCTCATTGTGTCATTGAGGTCCGAAGAATTGTAAACACTCAGTGTTTCGGACATGTTAATATTATCTTTCGAGCTATCGAAGGTAGTCTTTTCGGAGGATGAAAACTTTGAAGATGAGGTTCCGGGTGCATCCGACGCTGGGTCTCCTCTTAATGATACTGGAGAACTTCTATCATTATCCAAATCAAGAGGCAATAACATACTACTGAACTTTTGCAGAGGCACTTGAGCTTGTTCCTTACTCTTCTTCTCTTCATTAATTTCCACTGGAAGCAACATAGAAGAGGGTGGAGCACGACGACCAGGCTTCTTGGATAAAGTTTCAGCTTCAAGTGGTGGGTCGGGTGCAGTTTGGGTTTTAGATGTAGTTTCGGTTTCCCTTTCGTCTATACCTGGAACATCGTATGCAGTTTCTACAGTTGAAAAAGTCTTATCGTTGATCTTTGATGACTGCCCTGCTTGAATCGAAATATCACTATTGTTGACAAAATTATCTTCAAAACTAGTATTTTCAGCCGCTTCATTGTTTGGTATTGGAGGCAATGGACTTTCACTCCTGAACTTACTGGCTGAACGAACTGACGGTGACATGAAATTAGTGGATCCATGTGAAGCTGAGGAAGCACTTCTCACATTTGGTGGTAGCCCATTCTCAGAACTGATAGAAGAACTTCTGAATTTACTAAAAGCAGTGTTTGCAACCAAGTTCTGAATTGATGAATGTTTTTGAAGCTGCCTACTTCCAAGGCTATTAGTTCTACTATTTGAAAGTATCGATGTAGAGTCTGAATCAGCAACAGTGTTTAAATCTTCCTCTGCAGGATTCTTAACCGCATTCAAGACAGGAGATCCTCGTATCTTAATATCCACTTCACTATCTTGATTCTTCGTATTCTGGTCGTCTAGGGATTCAGTATTTTCCTTACCTGTTGAGATTAAGTCAAAATTTTTCACAGGGGAATTAAAATCTGGTGCCGTTACGAAAACATCTTTTGTCAAAGTAGTAGCATTGGAACTATTGTCCTTTGCAGCACTGGCTCCCAACGTTTCGAGTTTATTGCGGTGTGATAAGCGTCTTCCTTTATCGTACTCTAGCTCCTCCTCGTTGAATAACATTGATTCTCGGTTTTCTGGATCATCGACTGCATTCCTATTATCGCCCTTTGTAGTAATATTGAAGGAAGGGGACACCTTTGATTTGACGTCACTAGTTACAGTGCGGAGAGGAGTTCCTTCACTGGATGCATTGTCAAACAAATCTAATTTTCTTAATCTCATAGAGTTGCTTTTGTTCAAAGTGGGACGTCTAGATAATACACTTTCTTCGTCATTGTCGAATTTGTAAACGACATCTTCATCGTCTTCTTCATCAATGTTGGCTGCTGTTTGTTCTATCGCAGCACGAAGATCCATAGATTTTCTGATATTATTCCTTGGTGATGCAACTGCTTCCGACTTGTCCACATACTTATTGATTACAGGAGTACTCTGAGTACTCTTTGGGGGTGCCAAACTTCTTGGCTCTTCTTCTTCTTCCACTACGTTCATAAGTGAATCGTTAGATACATGATCCTGTGGATTAACATTAATGTACGGAATTTGGATGTTGTTATTTTGATATTGCTGTTGCACTGGGGGGAACGCTTGCGAAGTTGAAGGGGTTATCTGGGAATTGCCTACGTTGTTTCCAACAGTATTCATATTGTTGTTGAAATTTTGTGGAACGTTTCTATTCATTGGAATGGGTCCATTTTGAAGAGAACCAGTTCTAGCATACTGCTGTTGATAATTTTGCTGCTGATAAGGTCCAGCTCCTTGTCCTTGAAATTGGCCATTACCCTGCTGTAAGGAATTTGCCCTTGGCCCATTGGCTATTCCAATCGGGAGCTGGCCATTCCTAGTTGGAATCTGTTGTCTAGAGCCATTCATTCCGTTCATTTGATTTACAGGATATTGGTTCATATTGGGCATAGGCTGCTGCTGTTGTGGTGGTGGTCTATTCATACTCATAGCACGAGGTCCACCTTGAAGCATGGCATTTGCGCTCAAAGACATGGCTCGTGGTGGGCCTTGTTGAGGTTGGCCACCACCAAGGGACATCATTCTACCATTATTTCCGGCCTGCATCAGATACGTATGAGGCTGCTGTTGTCCTTGCATCGGATTATACAGCGTTGCCATAGAATTTGCTCTTGCACCTTGCAGGTATGCTAATTTCTTTTGATGATTCATTTGCTTTCTATATTGAATATTATTATTTTGAGCACTTCTGCCCATGAGATTATTACCGGCTCCGAGCGTTGGGATTATAGGCGCACTGTCACTTGGTTTCCCTACTGCTGACATTCCATAAGGACCTTTATCTCTCATATGCCTTATGTCTTCGAAGGAAACACTACCCGTTGATAAATCTCCAATATCAGCACCATCGTTGTCATCGAAATCCATAGGACCAGTGGACATGCCCGGTTTATTTCTACGAAACAACCTGTTGACCGCAGATTGGGAGGTAAGTGATCCCTTACGTGACGAATTCATGTTATTCTTCGGAGCAACCATCGGTATATCGAATCCATTACTTAGGTACTGTTCACGTTGTTGGTGTTGTGGAATCTGCTGTGGCACCTGTTGCTGATGCATCTGCTGCTGTTGTATCTGCTGCTGGTATTGCATGTATTGCTGTTGCTGAAATGATTGGATCGACCCACTCCCACTCATGGAAGCGTGGGTACTGACCTGTCCACCGGCAGGAGCGGCCATTCCCCCAGCCATACCGTTGCCCATCATGGGAACTTGGTGAGACTGCCTGGGTTGTTGATTAGGCATATAATTCAGCTCGTCTAGGTTAGATATGTCCTGTTCACTATTTAGTAACTGTTGCCTCAATCTTCCTTGACTTGAAGTCGCTACCTTTGAAGCTGCCTCCATAGTTAATTAAAGTTTTGGGGGAAAATGTACTCAAGGTTTATAAATAACAAATGAAAAGAAAAATAAAAGGCTAAATTGAATGGAAAGATTTATATGTAAAGGGTACAGTGTAAAAGGTTAAACGAGTGGAAGGAATATATCACCGGGTGGACTGTGTACAAATGATACCTTTTCTCTGGGATGAACTGCTACGCCTTTTAATCTCGGTTAACCTGCTAAGTTTAAGAAAGAAAGTTGAAAGGATCTCTTTCTTTGCTCTCACGAATTAGAAGCAAGAAAAAACTCTCACTTGTATGCAAAAAAAAAAAAAAAATCAAAAAAAAAAAGTTACCTAATACAAAAAAATAAGATAGACGCTTCATTAGTCCCTTTCGGCACGGTTCAGTGGTGTCCCGATGAGACTTACCCACTATGAAAATTCTCGCCTACAGCTCTAATAAGCCTAATTGGGGGTTTTGTGTAATCCACTAAATTTTTCATGGGAAATGCACTGACGCGCGCGGTATGCACAGTTGAGGTTGCTAACGGTAGATTGCAGCGAGTGAATCGGTTTCGATCTGAAATCTGTAGGAAAAAAAAAAGAAGACAGAGGAATTTAGTGGTGTGTTAAAAGGATGAAAATAGTTAGGAGAGAGAGCATTGACGAAGAAATAGGGACAAGGAGAGAATGTGATAAGGCAGCCTGGCAAGATTCTTCCTATCGTCGTTTCGGCATGGCACTTGCAACTGGTAAAAAACAGTACAGCACATCTGTAAGGTGCTATTATTATGTATGTACGAGAATATTTTTTTCTTTGTATTTCCTTCTTCAACTTTTTGCGTGTGTATTTGCATGTAGGTACGCTCAGTGCCTGCTCGCATCATCTTGCGAAATATTCTTCCAGTTTCTTTTTATTTTTCACCGGTGCACGGGTCTGGTGCAGCAAGAAGGGCTAAGGTTAATGTTTTAAGGCTATGGCTTTGCAGAACTGATGCTTGACGTGGAAAGGTTGTTTTAGTTTAGAATTGGCTCTATCGGGGTGCATCTCTACTTGAGCCCACTATACTTTCGATAGGGAATTGAATCATGAAAGGCAACTGTTTAACATTTGTCAACAGTGGTCGGAATTTTTCATATTTTTTCTCGTGGGGTTCTCACTTTTCATTGCCTAGTGCTTCTGTCGTCGCGTATGTACATTTGCTAGAAAGGAATGAGGAATGAAATCTACATGAGTATACATGACGTTACATATTCTATATTATTATTATTATTATTATTATTATAATTATTAAAGAAGTGTGGACATAGTATATGCAGAATACGAAGAAATCGTGGTGGAGAGAGAATTGACGAATCCTAGATCAACATCTACCGCTGCGTGCTTATCTATCTCTATCTGATCACTGCTTTAGGCGCATAAATGAAGCATCTTTTTTGCTAGTATTTTATTTTTCTATATTATCTGATGTTTTACCGGCCTTTCCTACGCTTTCGTCGTATTTTGAACTTTCGTACGCTTTCTGGCCCTTCTTATCTTGTGTTAGTGTTTTGGCATTTTTTATCTTCTGTTAATGTTTTGGCATTTCTTTCTATTCTTTGTCTTCTGTCACCACTTATGATTTCTTACTCTTTCCCAGCAATTTTTGTTTTTCGCTTCTTAACTTTCGTGATCAACTACTATTCCGATGATGTTGTATCTCTTTTTGAAAAATATCACCCATTTGTCAACTATCAGGTTCTGCTTGGCATCAAAATCCTGTGTGTACCAAGTACTCCTTTGAAGACTACTATTATCTGGCTCCTCTTTCAATTGTAACCTATTCAAGCCTAGAAGTCTAGAGACGTCTTTCCCTACCAACTTATGGTACCCTTTTCCTGGCCCATAGCTTTTCGAGTTCGCGCTGACATCGTAGATGTAGCCACGAATAGCTACGTATAAATTTGGATGGTCAATCCCATTGTAAATCGCCAATTGAGACCTTGTGAAAATAGGTAGGGTGTTTATATCTATTTTATTGTTATGGATTTCGAATTCTGTAGGTTGGGGAATATCAGCTTCATTAGAATCACTCATTCTGGATGCAAAACTGTGTCAAGAAATAGAAAAAAAAAAAAAAAATCGAAACCCAGTTATAATGTGGAAGAGTAGATGTGTGTAACTGAACCGTAGTATGTGTCAATCAATGAATATCCTGTAATATATATGTAAACAAATAAATGCCTTCAATAAGTCTGCCAACAAAACCGTGGATATGCAATTCGGTTTATATTTCAAAAGTGGCGGGGTCTTACCAACTCACCCAGCACTGTGGATATAGGGGAGAATTTAGGGTTCACTCTTTCGGAGCTGTGGTGAATCGAGTTAGATCTCGATTTTTTTTTTTTTCACTGTCTGCCTAGATATTATGTGCAGGATACACCAAAACCCAGTTTGTAAGAAGAGAGGGCATCGTGAGCAAAGACATGAGCTGGACTAGTTGAACAGTAGCAATGGTAAGTATAGATCAAACGCTGTATAGTTCTTTGTAGAGATCGATATTTTGTTTCACGGGACGAAAGAAAGCGTAATTGGGTGCGAATTATTCTGGTTCATACTCTCTACTTCATTTAGTTTAGGCTCTTACTAACTCATGCAGACGGACAACACCTCGAAGTATCCTTCGAATATCCAAAAGCTATTTACCCCGAAGCTTCCCCTCTCATATAAGAGACCCTTAGATTTTCCTGTGGAGGAGCGTAGGACCCACTACATAACGCCAATATCCTCATTCAAGGCACAGTTAGGTGAGTATGTCAAGGAAGATCTCACTCTCGCAGCTTCTGGGGCGTCGGCTCAGCGCCCACCAACCACCCAACAATTGAACACACAAAGAAGGAAGGAAAACCAACAGGCCCATAAAGAATCCTTGAAAAGACAGCAAAGGGATTGGGACGATGCTGAATTACTAGCACAGAACGAAAAGGAATTCCTGATGAAGGATCCCTACAGGACGATATTCGTATCCAGGTTGCCCTATGCGGTGACTGAGTTGGAAATATCCAAGAGTTTCAGTAAATATGGAATCATTGAATCAATTAGGATCACCAGAGATAAAATAACGGGGAAATCAAGAGGTTATGGGTTTATTGTATATGAAAGAGAATCCGACGCCAAAAACTGTATTCGAGAATTGGCTCCTGTGGGGTTGAGGATGGAAGCAGAGGGTGGAAAGGAAACTAATAGCAAAAGCAGAATTGTTTTAGTTGATATAGAGAGAGGAAGATTGCTGAGGAGCTGGAAACCAAGAAGATTAGGAGGGGGCCTCGGTGGTAGGCATTATACGAAACCCAACGCTTTACTGTCAAGTAATGCATCAGCTGCTGCCAGTGGGAGAAGGTTACACTTGTCGAGCAACCCCTACTCTGGAGGAGGCAATGCTGGTGGTAGCTCAAGACCGTATCAGAGTAGGACCAATAACAGAGATGGATATGGAACTCAGAGCGGAGCTGGTGGTTACGATTCCTACGGATCAGGCTACCCTGCTGCCCCAGTCTCCACTCTCTCTCATCCTCCTGTCCCAAATCCAGCAGCAGCAACAGCAGCTGCTGCTGCTCAAGTCCCAGCTGCTGCTCCATACTCATACACCTCACGCTCTTCTGAGTCCAGATCGGCTGAAAGCGTACGAGACAAATATGTAAGTAGATCAGATAGATCCATAAGGAACATACGTAATGGATAGGTAATAATAGATACTACTGCAAAAATAAGCCAGCTACGAAACTTTAATACCACCACTGAGCCAAACGTACTGCTTACTTATGCATGACTAGCTGCTACATCGAATTACTCTGGCCATTCTCTTACCCTACTCTCCCAACGTTGTTAAGCTCTTTCCTGTATTCGTGTCCTGCATATTGACATGCCCTGATCGATATTTCAATGTGTGAAATCTGAGCTCAGTAGCCCAGCAGGCACTTCTATAGCACTACTATTGTATGACAAGCAGATAAACCAGTAGTATGTCAGACATTTCTAGCAATAAGAGACCATTGGAAGATGAGTCTGATCCCGAAATAAAAAAAATCAAGCCAGACACCTCGTCCGCAAGTTTACCTGAAAAGGTGGATGAGCCCAAGGCAGAAGCTAATGAGAAACCTAAGGTGGAAGCAACAGTAGAGGAAGATAAGGAAAAGAAAACAGATGCTAAACCATCAATTGTACCCCATCCAAGTTCAGAGGACAAAGAAAATGGAGAAACAACCAAAAAGTACACGTTTGGTGGTAATCTGTTTAAGCTTAACTCAAATAGTTCTAAGGCGTCTGGCCCCACCTTTGGATCTTCTAGTTCATTTGGAAAAGTACCAGACACTGAAGAAAAGAAAAAGGATGATAAAGAAATAGGAAATGTGACATCTATTGAAGCAGACAAGGAAGAGAAAAAAGAGGAAGAGAGTTCTACCAAACCAGCAGCTTCAAAGCCATCGACCTTTGGGTCTTCGTTTGGGTCTTCATTTGGTTCTTCATTTGGTTCCAATTCCAAGTTTGGTAATGCCTTCCAACAATCGTTGAAGAAAAAGTCATTTTTGGACGAAGAAGTAAAGGAAACTAAGGAAGAGACCAGCTCAGAGAGCACACCAATAAAGGAGGTTGCTGAGCCTGAGAAGTCAGGCTCTCCAGCTGAAGCGTCAGCCAAAGAGGAAGCTGCCCCTCAACAGTATAAACAGGTGGAGTTGAGCCAAGTTAAACAAATCAAAACAGGAGAGGAAAATGAATTATCTATATTCAATTCAAACACGAAACTATTCGAATTGAACTTGACGAAGATAAAAGAAGGTTGGAAGGAGAGAGGATTGGGTCAGTTGCACTTGAACCAATCTATTGAAGACAAGCTGCAAGCCAGGCTAGTTATGAGATCCCAAGGGTTGCTCAGAGTAATTTTAAACATGAAAATAGCCAAAGATACCAATGTTATGAAGGGATTAGAGGCCAGCTTATCTCCTGGTAAATATATCAGACTAAATTCTATAGGCGAGGAGGGTGTACCTGTGCAATATCTTTTGAAGTTTGGGTCTGAAGCAATAAGAGACAAATTATTCGATAAGATCGAAGAGTTGAAGCTGAGTTTGAGCTGAATCTGAGTTCGAGCTGAAGCTGAGTTGGAGCTGAATCTGAGTTCGAGCTGAAGCTGAGTTGGAGTTGAATCTGAGTTCGAGCTGAAGCTGAGTTCGAGCTGAAGCTGGGCTCGAATTAGAGCTGAGTTTTTAGCTGAAGCTGAGCTCGAATTAGAGCTGAGGTCGAGTTGAAGCTGAGCTCGAATTAGAGCTGAGGTCGAGTTGAAGCTGAGTTCGAGTTGAAGCTGAGTTCGAGTTCGAGTTGAGTTCGAGTTGAAGCTGAGCTCGAATTAGAGCTGAGTTCGAGTTGAAGCTGAGTTAGACTTGAAGCTGAGTTCGAATTAAAGCTTAGTTTGAGCTGAAGCTGAGTTAGAGTTGAAGCTGAGTTCGAGTTGAAGCTGGGCTCGAATTAGAGCTGAGTTTGAGCTGAAGCTGAGTTCGAATTAGAGTTGAGAGAGGTGGAAAATAGATGAGTTGAATCGTCAAATAGGCGAGTGCTGTAACATAAAGCATATGTATTCATATCAATAAACAAAATTGCTTATCTCTTGGTTAATCCGTTCTTCTCTTACATTATTTATTCTTCTATGTTTATTTCAATTTGGGCCACATTCGGTGCCTGCCTACTTCTTCTTGAATGCTATGCTACAGATAGTGCTGCCTTGGGCGCCTCCGAACTTGAAACTCGGGTAATTGATCTTGTCCCAAACTTCCAAATCGTTCTGCTTATCGTTGGTAATGATTTTGACTAGTTCATGCTCTGTGAAATTGCACGATGTGATCAAGAGGATGGAGTTCGATTTCATGAGCTTGGACACCTGGATTGGGTAGACTTCCATTCCAATCTTACCGTCGAAGGAAGAGATTGGGTCTTGGTTGAGAGCGATCGCATCCAACGTCCCCTTATCCAAGATGATATCATATCCCGGGTTATCTTCAAAGAACTGTTCTTCTTTCGAAAGAATATCGACCTTTCTGAACTCGAAAGGTAACTCGGGGTCTCGTTCTTCATGTATCTTCTTTGCAAAAAGTATGGAATCTTCTGAATAATCGACCCCTAGGAATTTACTGTTCTCCACTAGTTCCACGTTATCACATCTTTCCGTAAGTTCTTCCTGGAGCTCGAAAAGTAAGTGCCCGTTTCCTGTTCCTAGGTCAATCAATGTATCTACCTTATCTATCTCACCATCGTTCAACTTATCGATCAAAAAGTCCACCATCTTGGACTCAGCTCCAGAGTCATCGAACCAGCATTCACCAGTATCCTCTGGGTTCTCCTCAAAGTTACTAATTTCCTTCTTGTAAAAATTGTCCCAGCTATATCTGTTAGTACTCTGCTCATCGCTCACCAATTAGTTTCCATCCGGTTTGCATGGACATCAGGAAAAATACATACTACTCCTGGGTACCAAGCTTGGAAGAGTTTAGCCTTATTTCTTCCGTCATTACGACCCGACTCACTGTGTAATGCTATACAAGCTGACTCAACACTAATAAGAGTGTCGTCCAAACCAAGATCAACACTCCCAAGCGATCCATCGCCGGTTGCGTAGCGAACGCGAGTGAAATTTATTTTGGAAAATGAAAAACCAAAATCGAAAACCCAAACACAAGAGTAAACAGTAGTGGAGGCATACTTACCGGCACCGTAGCTTCGTTTGATACATTTCCCGAGATGCTGGATCTAGAAGAGGTTGACGTCTCACCAATTGACGAGGGAACACAAGAAAACTATAGAACATGGAAGAAGAATGCGCCGTTCCTTTACGACTATTTATCTACGACATCCTTACTATGGCCGTCGCTATCAGTGCAGTTCTTTCCTGAGTTAGAAAGCAAGAAATATGTAGACAAAGGCTCAGCTCTGGATATAGATCTCGCCAACACCACGTCTGGAGAAGAGGTGGGAGTGTCGTACCACAGGCTCCTCATTGGGACGTTCACGTTAAACCAGGCCAAGGTGGACAGCGTCTCAATATTAAGGTTGCCCTTCTACACCGATCTCAACAAGAGAATAGATATAAATAAGTTGAACTACACGCCGGAAAGGGGTGAGTTTGAACTCTCCACGGTGACCAAGAAGAAGGTCCAAGTACTACAAAAGATAAATCATATGGGGGATGTAAACAGGGCCAAGTATATGCCTCAGAACCCTGACTTGATTGCCCTGCTGAACAACATGGGCGATATTGTAGTTTATGATAGAACAAAGCATCCTAACTTCAAAATAGGGATCGATGATAGCGTTAATAAACCTGAATTGAGACTTAGACGAGCGGATGGGAGCGGTGACTCGGATATCTTTGCAATAGATTGGAACAAGCAAGCTGAGGGGATATTGGTCTCAGGTGATATAGACGGACGGATAAACTTGTACGATATAAAGCGGGACTTCAATTCGAAGGACCAAGAATTCATCAACTCTAGCAGCAGCTACGAGACTCCAGGGAACGCTGGAGTGAACGACACCGAATGGATCCCCAATCACGACTCGATCTTCAGCACTGTGGACGAGAGCGGTTGGCTCAGGTTATACGACATTAGGACAAGCACGCAAGATCCTACGTTTTCTGTGAAGCTTGGTAACTCTGGAGTCAACTCAGTGTGTACGAACCCCGGAAACCTGTCTTACATTGCTACTGGGGATTCCGACGGGTTGGTCAGTGTTCTCGATGTCAGAACGCAAGAGCCAGTGGACACCTTGAGCAACGTGTTTGAGTCATCCATAACGCAATTAAAATGGCATAACACATATCACAATATACTAACGGGTTCCTCTACTGATAAATCTATAAAGATCCTAGATCTTGCCAAAGAACACGAAGAACGAGTGCTATTCGCCCATGGTGGTCATATGCTAGGTGTGAATGATTTCGATTGGTGCTTACAGGATGACTGGCTCATTTCAAGTGTAGCGGACGACAATTCGTTGCATGTCTGGAAGCCTTCAAGCAAAATAGTTAAAGAGTATAGTCTGACATAAGAAACAAATACAGAAGAACTACTTTAATGTGGACTTAAACCTACAGGGCCGTGACTTCATGCATAATTTCCACGGGCTGTCTACAACATCTAATATTTCTCTAATGTATATTGATTATGTTACTTTTTTCGTTACTTTTTTTAAATTTTATCTTCGTACCTTAAGCCTTAGCGAACAACTTTTCGACTTCAGCAACTGATTCGTTCAAGATCTTTTCTTGGAACTTAGGGTTTTCAATTTCCTTGTTAACCTTATCCAAGACAGACTTGATCAATTGCTGTTGTTCTAATTGTCTTTGTTGTTGTTCGTATCTGACCCATGAGTCTAAAACGGACTTAGCTTCGTGGGAGACAGCCAATTGTTGCTTTAATTCGAAAGACTTAGCTTCCAATTCGGCGGTTTCCTTAGAAACAGCGAATAAAGCTTGGGTGGTAGAGACAACATCCTTTAATTGGCCAACAGAGTCGATTCTTTCCTTAACGGCGGAGACGTGCTTGGTTCTTGATTCGTTCAACAAGTCGTTAACTTTCTTGATTTCACCATCGGCCCATTCAGTATATAATGGAGCAATGAACTTGGCACATAAGGCAGTGAAGGTAGCAAAGGTGACAACCAAGATGGTTTCATCGTGTAAGACGATTAATTCGTTGGAGATACCGTAGACAGCGGCGGCAGCTGAGGTGGCTAAGATACCGGTCTTGGAGATCAAGTTGTTACCTGGAAGAGCATCAATGATAGAGTTGGCCTTTTCCTTTGGTTCAACTGGAGTAGATAAGAAACGTAAACCGATTCTGCAATTGTTAGTATAAGGATAGGAAGAAGTATGTAAAGGGTAATTCAAAAGAAAAAAATTGCATGAACTTCAACAATGGTAGTACCCAAGCTGAGTGCCGCCTAAGGTGGAGGGAGTGTGTAGTCTAAGAGGAGGTGGACGTCTAGCCAGATCCACTCTGAAAACCTTCCCTTTCAATCGGGATTGGGAATTCGCCTCCTACATTCTCCTTTCCGCTGATTTAAAGGTCGCTTCCACTATTGCAACGCAACTCTACGCTCAGTTCAAAATTTCCATGTCGAGATCCTTCCACCGAGATTGAAGGAAACATTAATGCGAGCACCACTCCTGTTTTAAAGATACATACGGAGCTTGACGTAAAGCTACTGGACGGGCAACGGCTCTGAGGGCAATTCTGTTCATCATAGACATATTTAATCAAATGCAAAATCTGTAATTCCAAACTATATGTGAACCAAGTTGACGTTAAACAACAGTTGGATAGTTTTCACTTGGAAAGAAAATGCGAAGTATGGGAATAAAAAATTTCACGCTATGATTGGGTGAAGTCGACTTCCTAATTGGGACGGAAGTGAGAGTAAGAGAACGACAGGAAACGAGATGAAAAAAATGGGAAGTGTTAGATGTTGCATTATGCAGGACAGAAAATAGAAAATAGCGTACTAGTGGGGGACTGGTTGAGTGGGAGAGAGGGAGCAAGAGCTTAAAATGCTAGAGATGCATGTATTATGAGTCTATCGATGGATTAGCTATACAGCCCGGTTTCACCTTCTTGAGCCTGCAAGAATTTTCGATGTATGATTTTATGTAATGCAATGTTTGTCTTGTCGGCTGCAAGATCCAAGTAGTCTTGAATGTCGTCCTTGAGGTCCTTGTTATGGCTCACTCGCTCTTGTTTGAGATTCGTATGGGCTCCGACGGAGGATGAGGCAGAGTCAGCTGCAGCACTTATGGCCTGTTGGTTGAACTTAGCCATAATTTTGGCCTGTTCGTCAGATGCAATAGCCTCTACAGTCTCAAACTTGGAGATTTGGAAAACGGGCGCCTTTTCTATTTTGCTCTTGCTGGCATTTGTAGTGTTTATGTTGGTATTTCCATTGGTATGTGATGCATTTTCAATTTTGTGATCTTCTTCTGATACTGGTGCTTCCCTTGTTGCAATTTCTGTAGGATTGGCCCTACTTTGGTTCCTTTGACCTCGCAACTCTGCCAACCTTGCCTTCCTAGCCTCTGCCTGAGATTTGAGCAGTTCTTCCATACTTTCTATTGGTTTTAATGAAGGATGTTGTTTGCAATTGTTCCTTTTGATCCTTTCGTGAATCCTCTGAAATTTTGTGCTTCAAGTATTGGTCGTGGCGCACGACTTTTTGCAACCATTTATGGGACACTACAGGTACCCTGCCATGGCAACTCTCTTACCTGTTAGCTTCCATGGCACAGATCTCTATTTTGGCTTTGGGGAAGATTTTCATGGCGTGTGAAGGGTAAACTGTAGTGATACGTTGTTCAAATGTAGTAGAACCTAGAAATTTTGTGTTTCTATTTATTATTATCAATTGCAGTTTTGCAAACTCAGGTTTTAAGAATTATCAGTAGAAAATCCTGGGAAAAGTAAGCACTACATGTCTTCAATGGAAACTACATCTTTTGTCAGTTCGTTCACGTAACAGAATAATTTTTTTCTTTTTGTTGCACATACTAAACTATTTAAAATACAATGCCCCCAATATACCTCTGAACTATCATGACCAAGAGCTCCTGTGGAATTTTCATGTGGTCCTCATCAACATCAAGGAACTCCAACTTTCCAGAGAAGTGCAACTCTCTAAGACCAATTAGATCCTCCAAGTATAATGTCGTCTTGTCAAAATCTACTACATCACCAGTTTCCGGGTCCAATTCACCGAACCATGCACTTTCCTTGGGCACAAGAGTAGAATCTTTATTGAATTTTATCATAACCAACTTGTTGAGAGAGTTCAAGTTCTTACGGTAAGTCAGGTTGAAGTGATCCACCAATTCGTTATTCACATCCGCCAAGAAGTGAGAATGGAACACATACTTATCATATTGTGCAAGATCCCGAAAGTACAGAGCAGGCAAAAAGGTCTGCTGGATGCTATCTAGCCATATTTGGCTCTTCAAAAGTGCATTTCTTCGTTTACATATCCAATCTTTGGTGTCATCACACAACAGTATATCGCTTATACCCATGTGAGGCGATCCAAAGGTAATCAAGTTATTGATAGAGATTTCTGGACAACGTTCCACCAATCCCCTTAATAATAACCCACCCTGTGAAAAGCCAATTGCATCGAATCCGCGGGCGAGTTCAGGGATCTCTTGTAATTGCTCACACACCAATTCGATTTGCTTATTGGCGTCACCAAAGAGGGTTCTCTTTTCGTCTTCATCGGGGTCCACATCAACATATATGGGGTGTGCAAAGATGTCTGGATGACTTTCCTTTATCACCGATATAGTTCTATTAATGGAAGAAGAATTGTAGTTATCCCCAAGTCCGTGCCAAATAACTACTGGCCTAAATTTCAAGGGGAAGCTGGGGTAAAAGGGATTTAGAGTAACCTGTACATCTGATTCTTCGATTACAGCAGACTGTGAAAACATGGAAGCCCACCCAAGGACTGAGGTAGACAAAGACGATGGGATATGCATTGCTGAAGACCTGAATATAGGGCTCTGAAGTGAGTGGCAATTAAAATTAACAAAAGTGAAAATAAAAGAAATCCACATAGAAGCTTAATTGAGAATTGATGTGGAGATAAGCCTTGATGGACATCCTGCATATAAGACTCTATGTATGGTTTGAAAAAAAAAGTAGCGTACTAGAGATGAGCTAGATGAGCTAGATGAGACAGCTTGACTTGGCTTCAAAGGTATCACTCAGCAAATGTCTGGCTTTATCCTCGGGAAAGAAGCACAAGATGATGGCAAAAAGTCTGTGAAGTCGCTTCTCAGTCATATACGAAAGGACAAGGGACCAGATCTGAAAGAAGTGGTGTATCTCATCATCAATATCAAGAATCAAATCTCTAAGACCAAAGACTACACTCCAAGAATAATACCTATAACGCATAAGTTGGATAAATTACAAGATAAGTCAATTCTCCTAGTCACTAAAGATCCCTCCACCCCATACAGGAAGGCATTGACAGAAAAAGACTCACCAACTGAGGATGTATTCAATCAAATCTTCACGCTCACAAAGTTAAGAAGTATTGCGAAGGATCCCAAGAAGCTTCTGAAGATATTCAAAGAGTACGACATTGTAGTGGCAGACAACAGAGTGTACAAGTTCTTACCTGGTACCCTCGGGGCCCAATTCTACGTGAAAAATAAAAAATTGCCGTACATGATTCAAATGGCCAAGCCAGACGTCAATGCAAAGCTCACACAGGGTAAAAAGAACCCTTCCAAGCTAAAGGACGACAGATGCGAGCCATTATATGTGAAGCAGCAGATGAAATCCATAGTGAGAAATACAAGCTTTCTACCCCCTGTGAATGGGAACTGCATGAGTATCAAAGTCGGATATTCCAACTGGAAGAGCGAGGAAATTTTGACCAACATTAACGATGTGTTGAAATATTTGGTTGAGTCCAAGTACCAGCCCGTTGGTGGAGTGTTGAGAAGTGTGAAGAATATTCAAAGTGTTCACATCAAGACCAGTGAGAGTATAAGTTTACCCATTTGGAAACAAAAGGGAGAGGAGGAGACTGGTGAAGATGAAGACAGTGACTTTGATTTTTAGTGGACGAAAGGCCCTTTCTCACAACGACAACGACAACAATAATAATAATAATAATAATATAACTAGCATTTGGAAAAATTTTTGAGCTTTTTTAGTAGATGTGGTAGTTTTATAAACACACCTATTTTTAACCATACTCTGTAGAAAATATTCCATGTGCCCTTAATTCTCCTATAATCGATGCGCGGTTTGACGTTTCTACTCGTGGAGTGCACTAAATTAATGACGCAGTTAACGGCCATGATTTTATAGATTAAAAACGTAAGAAAAAATATTCTGGTGTGCCGATTCGAAACTGACCAGTAGACGAAAGCGAGGCAAGTAGCGCTGGAGCATTAGTGGATACCAATTGCAGGTCGCACGAAGGCAAGAAAAACAGAAAAGTCGAAAGAATTCAAGTTGAAAGTGAAAGACTAGACTGGAGCCGAAATAATGTCTGATCATGGTAGCTTAGAGCCTTCTAACAGTTCAAGCTTACCGTTTATTTCCACCTCATACTCGCATTTAAGCGAAAACATACCGAGAAGGATCAAATCCATTCTTGAATACGAAAATGATAACGATGAAGAGCATATCGAACACTTCAAGTATAAGCAGGACTTGGATCGGAAGCTCACGGTGACTTCGATCATTGGCTTGGGGTTCTCACTTATGGGTGTCCCCTTTGGGATATCGTCCACTCTATGGATTTCCTTGATGGACGGTGGGAATGTCACCATGTTGTACGGTTGGATCATAGTGGCATCCTTTTCCATCTGCGTGGTGTTAAGTCTAAGTGAGATCATCTCTAAGTATCCTACATCCGGTGGCGTCTATCATTTCAGTGCACTTTTAAGTAACGACAAGTACTCCCTAACTAGCTCGTGGTTCACCGGATGGTTTCTTCTTATTGGCAACTGGACTTATTGTGTAAGCATTTTGTTTTCAGGATCTCAGTTCATCTTGTCCATCTTCGGATTGAAAAACGTCTATTACAAGGAAGATATCTTCTTCGTCTTGGGAGTGTACTTCATCTTGCTTAGTTTATGTGGGTTCGTCAACTTCAAGCTCTCCAAGTACTTGGAAGCGATAAACAAAATGTGCATAATTTGGTCTATTGGCTCGGTGTTGCTCATCGATGTGCTATTGATCGTATTTGCCAAAAGAACTAACCTGATCAAAGACATCTTGTCGACCTTTGATAACAGTAGGTCAGGTTGGCCCGACCCAATTGCCTTCATGGTTGGATTCCAAAGTTCCTCCTTTACATTGACAGGCTATGGGATGCTATTCTCCATGACAGATGAAGTCAAGAGACCAGAAAGGAACATGCCGAAGGGAGCTGTGAGTTCCATTTTCATATCTGGAATTTTTGGGCTTATTTTCATTCTCCCTGTTTTGACCATCTTGCCTGAATTGAAATTACTTCTAGATGATACTCCGGAGATCATGCCCATTGATATCGTGTTCAAAGCTGCGACTGAGTCGTATATTGTGTCATTTTTATTGGCACTCTTACTTATTGGAACAGTTTTCTTCCAGGCTGTCGGCTCCTTGACAACGGCATCTAGAACTACATATGCCTTTGCAAGAGATGGTGGCTTACCATTTAAGAATTTGTGGGTGGAAGTTGATGATATTGAGCAATCTAGAATCCCTAAGAATGCACTTTTTCTTTCCATGGTTGTGTGTGCAGTGTTATCGCTTTTGTCGTTAATATCGAGCTCTGCGTTCAATGCATTTATGGGGGCATCGGTTATATCTTTGTCTCTTGCAAATGGAATCCCAATTCTTTGCCTGATGTTAAATAAGCGTAGAAAGATCAAGGGAGCAGCATTCAGGTTGAAGTACTTGTGCTCTGGCTGGATTATAAACAGTATATCAGTATTTTGGGTGGTTCTCCTGGCAATTATCTTATGTTTCCCGCCTGTAATCAAGGGAATGACAGCAGCTACGATGAATTATGCAATAGTTGTCTTTTTGGCATTTACAGCAATAGTGACTCTTGGCTACAAATTCTGGGGTATTACTAGTTTCGAGGGCCCTCAAATCGATACGGATTATTTTGAATTACAAGGTATACAAGAACAAAGTGCAAGACCTGAAGATTTTGTAATTGGAATAGATGACCAGGATGATGAAGAAGATGAATTACATTACAATGAAGATGCTGAGTCTGTCATGACCAAGAAAGACCCAAGCAAGTCCAAAAAGACAGTTCACTGGACCTCATCCAATCGAAATTCTTTTGACGAACAGGAAACTATAGTTGGTTCCCAATACGAAGCAAGAACCCTATTAGAAGATCCAACAGAAGGAAGAAGCAACTAAGAAACCTTAGCATGGCCCAAACAACAAAAAATCGAAGTTAAAGAGTGACCATACAGGACTGGCTTCGGTATATTTTGCAACCATTTCCAGTCCTGCATTAAAGTTCGAGCATATTGTACATTATACAACACAGTACAACCACTTGGCAAACCCATATGAAGACAAAAGAAAACAACTAAAAAGCAAGGAACGGTATGAAAGAACTCCCAGCAGGGACTCCCATTCCAAATTATACAGCATATATCTTCAAGAACAACAGCAACATTTAAAACTTATAGACTAATAGATGTCCTATTTTCAACTTCTCTACTTGTAAGTGTATCTCAAATTTACACTTCTCACCCTTTCACTAAGCGTAAATATGGTACTGGAAAATTTTCTCAATGATTTCCCTTTTTCTTTTAAAGGTTAAGTCGCCGCTAGACTTAATAGAAGAAAGCTTATCATCGGGTATAAAGTAAACGTTCAGCCAACATTTTTTTTATTTCATCCATCAAATAATCATATAATAACAACATGTCTGCAGACCACACGAGAGATCCATGTCCTATTGTCATTTTGAATGATTTTGGTGGTGCGTTTTCTATGGGTGTCATTGGTGGTTGCGTTTGGCACGGTATTAAAGGTTTCCGTAACTCTCCTTACGGTGAAAGAGGATATGGTGCTATTTCTGCCATTAAGGCAAGAGCTCCAGTTGTAGGTGGTAACTTTGGTGTTTGGGGTGGATTATTCTCAACATTCGATTGTTCCGTCAAGGCTGTTAGAAAGAGAGAAGATGCATGGAATGCAGTCATTGCCGGTTTTTTCACTGGTGGTGCCTTAGCTATCAGAGGTGGATGGAGACACACAAGAAACTCAGCCATCACATGTGCTTGTTTGTTAGGTGTTTTCGAAGGTGTAGGTATGATGATGCAAAGATTCATGGCTCAACCTACCATGGCTCCACAGTATCCAGACCAACCGTTAACTGCATAAGTATGATACGGTAAAGGCTCATACTAATAACCCACACACACACACACACACCCTGAAACTCAAACTCCACTCACACATTATCCTCCCCCACATCAAACTCCGGCAGATATACACACTAATAGAAGCTAAACTATATATTTTAAACTGCTCGGAAGGGGTTCTACATAGCATGTTCAAGTGATTGAATGTCTCAACTCTGTACATATACGAATACAAGTAAGAAATACAAATACGACTAGGTGATGAGTGCAGCAGTACGGTCCCTGTAGGCACGAATGGCATACAATGTTCTTGGGTAAAGCTACATAGTACGTCACGTGATATTTACTAATTTTCTACTCCGTCTGCGCTACACTCTGAGGCAGGCAAGAAAGGGTCACTAAAGAGCGTAGTGCCCGACCTTGTGAGCTCCTTTCGAATGGCTAAGTTATGCTGATGGAAAATGGGCTACATATGGCCTGTGAGTAATTGTATGGTCGTATCCATTCACAGTACATGCTACAGCAGGCACTATGCTTCGCCCCTTGAAACTGAGCTCGTTTCAGTTCTACTTGAGGACATTTGCAGCCAGCTGGAGAAAGACACGGCAGGATTATGGGCTGTGAACAATTCACTCTATTTGAGGACACCCAGCTCAGCTAGGAGTGTGATCAACCAGACCGGTGCACAACCAATCCTTTAAACTTGCATGTAACTTAAATATTTAAAGTTGAGTGCTCCAGAGTAAAAGAAATGGCTAATTACAGTTTCAATTGATGCAAGTGAGGTAACTAAGGGAGCTGCAATGCGGAAAAAGGAGGACATTCACCCACCAAAAAAAGAAAACTTTTCAATATGCATGTAATCAAAAAAAAAGAAGCACACCGACGCAGGGAAGCAGAGACCGTTGACAAATTCGCTCAGCAAGACCCTGTAGGCTCGTTGCACTGAGCATGAGCATATATACTTGCACACCTCAGACTTTTGTTTTTGCTAGCTGCCCCTACCCTTCTTGAAATGTGCACTTTATCGTCAGCACAGATTCTCTGAGCTCCTATGTGCCTGCATATGATCTGCCAAAGCAGCCCCTCGTAGTTTGATTTAACGTTTGGCTCATGTAGCACTTAAGGAAGATTGGGGGTTCTCAGGGAAAGATCAGACTAAAAGAGAAAAGCAAGCTAAAATACATAGAAAAATAAAAAAAACAAAAAAAAATAAAATAAACTAAAATAAAACCGCCTTATTCATATCATAGCATATCCTGTAGGTTGAACGTTGAGCAGTACGAGTAATGATTAAGGTAAGATAAGAGTTGTCAACAATTAATATGATCAAGAGACGTCTAATCGTAAATAATATACCACAAAGTACTATAAAAAATAATCAACAGAAAATAGAACAACCCTCTTTCTGAATGACTTCTCGAGTGGCTACCACATTTTTTTTCCTCTTCCTCATTTCTCTCGTTTTTTTTCTGTTCTACTTGCCAACCCTGTAGGAATTGTAGATAGTGGAGGATCAACGCAAGAGAGCGAAAAAAAAAATCACTAATCCGAATTGTATGAGGGAAAAAGAGCCTGATACTAAAAAATAAGACCAGACATCCAATTCTTAGCATTATAGTAGTACCATTGTAGCTGGATGAGTCAATAAGATGAGCTACAACTATAATTCAAACCGTCACAACTCCATAGGCGGTAACTGGCATTTGCGGCCCAACAAGGACCAATCCAGTCTGTCTTCCAGCAGCTCTTCCACCTTAGGTCCGAACTCTAGCTCCCCCAACACATCTTCATCGACATCGACATCGACTGGACCTATTGACCTAAGATCTGAACAGATACCAGGGTTTAGGAACCCGTGGTTCAATTCTAACAACCTCCCCAATTCCAGCAATAGTAACATGAGTAATCTCTCTCACTCCCCCACGAAGGGGAATCAATTGGGCATACCCTTATTACAACAACAGAGTCCTTCTCAGTCAGCAGCTGCCCAGAGAAGGTTATCCTTCGCCACGCAACTACCCACTACCTATGAAAACGGTGATCACAGGCTGCTGATCGTACCACCATATATACATCCCCCTACCAGAGCAGACAACCCTTTCAATCAATATTACACTAGTCAGGAAGTTTCGTTGGGTGGTGGTAATTCAGCAAATGTACAAGCTGGACCTTCGGCAGACAGGAGGATGTCAGCTGCCGGAACATACGCTGGAGGTCAATTTAATGCTTATCAGACCAACCAAGGAATTTCTGGCTTGTATCAGCAACTGCAGCAGCAACAACAGCAGCAACAGCAACAATTACCCAATGGTAGCGTATTTCCACCTCACCTCAATCAGTATTCCATTGGTGGCAATGCTGGAGCAGCTGTCGCTGCCAGAAGATCGTCTGTAGCTGCAGCCAACTACCAGCAGTTGCCATACGATCCGAGCTCTGCAAGAAGCTCGTTCTACAGTAGCCAAAGTCTGCAATTACACCATTTACAACAGCAACAGCTCCAGCAACAACAACAGCAGCAACTTTTTCATCCATCTCAATTCCCATTTGCACAAGGACATCCTGGTCGTTCGCTACTGATTGTCCAATATAACCAATACCAAACGGATATACAACAGCAAAGACTCACCAATCGCAGAAAGCCTGCGCCTAAGATAACTAAGGTCAATAACAAATTTGATTTGAAACCAAAACAGAACCAACAACCCAAATATCGTAGGTGTTCCGTTAATTCTATTCACATCTCGCCGGTTAATGCACTTTCAATATACTTGACTGAAACGTACGGTATTTGTCAGCCTAGGAAGTTCCAGTACTCGAAACTGACTAATCCGAAGAGGGTATTAACTAAACCACTGGAGCCAAAGTTCAACAATGGCTTCGACAACGAAGATAGTGATTATATCTTGTATGTAAACGACATTTTGGGTACGGAAGAAGGTAGAAAATATATTGTCCTTGATTTACTTGGATGTGGTACGTTTGGTCAGGTTGTTAAGTGTCAAAATTTACTGAATCAATCTCTCTGTGCGGTGAAAGTAATTAAATCTAAACCTGCTTATATGAACCAATCCTTGACAGAGGTTCGATTACTTGAATTTTTGAACACCAATAGTAATGGGAAGAATTTTATTAGGCTAATCGATACTTTTATGCACAAGGAGCATTTATGCTTGGTGTTTGAATTGTTGGCATCTAATCTTTATGAGTTGATAAAGCAAAATCAATTCCAGGGCTTGAACATGAGATTGGTAAAGCTCTTGACAAAACAGTTGTTGGAATCACTTGCCCAATTGAAGGGATTCCAAATGATCCACTGTGATTTGAAACCTGAGAACATATTGTTGTGCCAGCCAGATAAGCCAGATATCAAAGTGATTGATTTCGGATCAGCTTGCTTCACAAGACAAACAACTTATACATATATACAGTCTAGATTCTATAGGTCACCTGAAGTTATTCTTGGTTTACCATACACGGAATCCATTGACATGTGGTCTTTGGGTTGTATCGTGGGAGAATTATTTTTAGGGTTACCTATGTTTCCAGGAAATTCTGAGTATAATCAAATATGGAAGATTGTGGATATGTTGGGCAATCCTCCTAGACATATGATTGAGGTTGGTAGAAGTGCACTAAATTTCTTCCACAAGACGCCGGCTAACTCCAGTGAGGAAAAACCTTCCTATAGGATCAAAAACATTGATGAATACACCGAATGGTTGAATAATAGCTCTAGAACTGGTGGAGGAAGAGACCTGGAAGGCGTCAAAGAGGAGAAACCAAATAAGCAATACTTCAAGAATCAATTATTAAAAGATATCATATTGAATTATAAGTTCCCATCTAGAATGACGGCTACAATGATCGAAAGAGAATGGGAGGAAAGATTTTTGCTTTTGGACTTTTTAAGTAAAGTTTTGAACATGAATCCCTTGGAAAGATTGACTCCACAAGAAGCCTTGAAGCATCCATTTGTTAATGAAAATGCCGATAAGGCATCAACAAATGCTGCTATAAATGCTGCTAATGCGATTGCTGGACATACGCAGCATCCACATCCACATCTTCGACTGCAAACCCAACAAACACAACCACTGATGCAACAGCAGATTCCAGGTCAGAGAAGAGAAACATCACTGGGACTTTCTCAGAGCCAATCTGCAAGAAATCACGCGCTGCAGTTGGTCTAAGTTATGAGTTGCAAACCGCAAAATGTAAAATGCAAAAAGGAATGCTAATACTAATAATCTAAAACGAAAAAAGGAACGAAGTAAAGAAAACTCGGGAAAACGAAAAACAGACAATTGATTCAAATGGGCGAAACTCTTGATTATAATAATATAAAGTAACACTCACATCCATAGTCCATTGCACTATCATACCTTTAAGGGCACGAAAATTACAAGTTTGAGCTCTACAGTTAGAAGAGAGTTATATAGGGATGATTCTAAGAAATAAAAAAGGAAATACATATAATAACCATAAATAATACTTTAACATAAACTACTGTTGTTGTAGAGCCTTTTGAAAAATCTTCAAATGTTCATAGGGTATATAATTGTCGTGTGCTTACCATATACACAAATATTATAAACCTTTTGACTTCGATGAAAAATGCGAGGTACCAGGAAGACGTCGAGACGTTAGCGTTTTGAAAGTAGAGAGGTTGACTTTGTAAGCTAGTATATCTTCATATTACCTTGTCAAGATGAATGTCAGTACTAGTGCCTTAGGAGTTAGAAGAAGAAAACCTGCTACGCAGAATATTGATGACGAAGAAAATGCGTCGATATTGAAGTTAGGACCTGAGTTCCAGTTGAACCAAATTACGAACTCAGGTGACAGTGAGCAATTAATTGCATTAAATTTATCGGAAGCAAGACTATTGATCAGAGCAGCATTGAAAGAACGTAATAATAAGAACGGTGGACAACCTGGAGACTCAGATGTAGATGGTGCGAACGGAAAGTCCAACGGAGAAGGAGATGGAGAAGAAAAGGAAGATGAAATTTCCAATATGACATTAGCAGGACCTAATTCTAATGAAATTATGCACAAAACTTTAAACTATTTATCTAATTTTGCAAGATTTAAGAATCCGTCATCAACTGAAACTGTAGAGAAATTGTTAAATGACTTTAGTGCACTGGCTTCTGAACCCTTACATCCATTCGAGTTGGCCCAGTTGGGGACCTTGGAATGCGAAGATGCTGAAGAAGCGAAGTCTTTAATTCCAAGTTTAACAAACAAAGTGAGCGATGTCCTGTTGCAAACTTTGTTAACAGAATTGAGAAAATATCAAACATTATCATAGAACCAGGTGGGACACAGAACGAAGTATATATATATTGTATAATAAAAAGTAAACGTATATTTGTGATGTAGAGTTGTTGAAAGAAAATGGTGCAGTCTTTTTTCTTCCAAAGCAAACTGACACAATTTTGAAGTCTATTTTTCATTTTCTGCGCTACAAAATCTTCTTTTTTTATGTTGATTGCTACTTGCTACGTAGATCCAGTATTGAAACCAATGAAAGTTCATATTCTCTCTATATCTGACCGCTGTGTATGGCAGTAGTGATTACAGCAGTTTGATGGTGCCTAGTACTTTCTGCAACAATTTATATGCAGGCATTTTTCACTCCAGTATGAGACATCGCAAAATACTTGGGAAGGTTACAAGCACAGCTGAGCTTGAAGAACCAAGAAACAAGGAATATTACAGTGAGTTTCAAACATGGATGAAGGTGATATTTATGATGAGTTCGGGAACCTAATTGGAGATGCATTTGACTCTGATGCTGAGTCAAGTGAGGAAGAAAGGGTGGAAGAATCGCAACTGCCAATTCACTCTGCCAGTGATAGTGACATAAAGGAAGATGAGGATGAAGAAATGAATGGTGAATCTGAGCTGGAAGGAGGAGCTCTTGTTAAGCATACCCTATCTGGAACTTTTGGACCTAATGTAGAGACTATTATTTCTCGGCCAACTGATGAAATCGTAGATGAGCCTGTGATACAGCCCATAAGAACTAAATCAATGAAAATCGAAGAAGAGGCTACGGCTACTTCAGACGAAAATCTTGAGTTTGAACCTTCTTGTATATACTCAAGGAAGTATATGGTGGACTTAGCAGACAATTTACCAGAAAGAATTAGAAATTTAGCGTTGGTAGGGGGTTTACATTCTGGCAAATCAACCTTTGTAGATATGCTTGTGCTCCATACGCATGCAGATTCGATAAGTTTGCCAAAGCAATTGAAATCATTCAAGCCACTTAGATACATGGATAATCATAAACTAGAGATTGATAGAGGCATGACGATCAAGACAAATGCTATAACACTATTACTTTCAGATTCTCAAGAGCGTTCGTACGTGTGTAACATACTTGACACCCCTGGGCATCCTAACTTTATTGATGAAGCAAAGAGCGCCATGCAAGCTGTTGATGGTATAGTGTACGTTGTAGATATTGTGGAAGGGTTGAAAAACTCAACAGATAAGCTCGTACTCACACATGCTATCAAACAGAATTTACCCATCACTATAGTTTTGAATAAGATCGATAGATTGATATTGGAACTCAGATTACCTGTGCATGATTCTTACTATAAGATACGAAGTATATTGGAGGATATCAATGCATTCATAAAAGAAAGTGAATATATAGGGACATATAAACATGAAACGGACATGTCTCCATTAAATGGTAACGTTATATTTTCTAGTTCAACATACCAATTTACTTTCAGTTTACATACTTTTGCCAACCTTTATAGGGAATCTTTTGGTAATGATATCAATTTGTATGATTTCAGTGAAAAGTTGTGGGGCGATGTGTTTTATGACGAAGAAAATAGCCAATTTATAGGCTCCTCTAGTAATGGGAAGCACAAGCGTTCATTTAATAGTTTCATCTTGGAACCACTATACAAGGTTTTTATTCAATCTGTTACTAGTGATTCCACAGGTAAAAAATTATCACAAACCTTATGGAATAACTTTAAGTTGAAGCTTCATAAACCATCAGTTAGGCAAGATGTACAAATATTATTAAAGGATGTGCTCAGTGCAGTCTTCAGTATGAGTGGTGGAGGTGGAGTAGTGAGTGGCTTCGCTGACATGATTGGTAATGGGATTTCGAATCCTATGGAAAAAGCTGATCAACTGTCGTTAGTAGGTCATGTTGTAAAATTAGTAGAAAATTCCAGTGGTGATATGTTTTACTCATTGGTAAGAGTTGTGAGTGGTAAACTCAGTGTAGGGGACCAAGTCAGAGTTTTGGGTGAAAATTTCGAAGAAGATGAAGAGGATCAAAGATTAGAGACTGTAACAGAGCTATTTCTTGCTGGCGGGAGATATAAAACTCCGGTCAAAAGTGTGGGGCCCGGTAGTATAGTAATGATCGGTGGAATCGATAGAATTATCTCAAAAGGTGCAACAATAGTTCTGGCTCTGCAGCTGTTAGATCAAATTGAAAACCTTTACGTTCCACCTAGCTACAGTGCTTCTTCAGTTTTCAAAGTTGCAATTGAACCTGCGAAACCATCACAATTGCCTCTATTGCTTGAAGGGTTTCTCAAGCTTAATAAGTCGTACTTAAGTTGTCAAATCAAGGTAGAAGAAAGTGGTGAGCACGTAGTTCTTGCTCCAGGTGAACTTTATATGGACTGTATGCTACATGACTTGAGATTTTTCTTCACTGATAATCTTGAGATTAAAGTGAGCGACCCTATGACAAAATTCAGTGAAACTTGTATAAATCCTTCAACTACAAAGATCACAACAAGATCTGCAAATGGTCAAAATCTGATATCTATTATTGCTGAACCAGTAAATGATGACAATTTGAGTAGAGCAATTGAAATTGGCGAGAATTTGACTCCAAAACGACTCAGGAATGAGTTTGGCTGGGATTCATTAGCTTCAAGATCCATTTGGTGTTTTAACAGTGCACCTGATGATCTTATGCCAAATATTTTGCTTGATGACACTTTGCCAGGAGAAACTAATAAAGAATTATTGACTTCGGTCAAAGAAAGCATTAACTTGGGATTTAAATGGAGTTCAAATGAAGGTCCGCTTTGTGATGAACCTATTCGTGGAACAAAATTCAAAATATTAGATGCTGCACTTAGTGAAATCTCAATTCAAAGGAATGGCACTCAAATTATACCAATGACTAGGAAGGCTTGCTATACTGGTGTGATGACCGCGACACCAAGACTTATGGAACCTATATATTCAGTCCACGCTACATGCTCATCGTATGGTGCTGCCAAGGCAATTTCCAGATTACTCTCAAAGAGAAGAGGATATGTTTTGGAAGGTTCCGATTACCCAATACCTGCTACTAAGCTCTTCCAAGTTGAAGGAGTCGTTCCTGTCATTGAGTCTATCGGCTTGGAAACGGATGTTAGAATTCAAACCCAAGGGCAAGCGATGGTGTTTTTAGAGTTTTCCAAGTGGGATATAGTTCCCGGTAATCCACTTGATAAAGATTGCTTCCAACCAGCACTTAGACCTGTTCCATCAGAGAGCTTGGCACGAGACTTTGTTATGAAAACAAGAAAGAGAAAAGGGTTAAGTGGAGAGCCAAATTTACTGAGATATATTGATAATCAGTTGTTTGAAAAATTGAAAGAGAGTGGGTTGATATAAATTTGACAGTGTAAATATAGAACTAATATTTAATGAAGTACAATTGATAGACAATCAGTGCGTTTATTTCTAGAGACAGAATAAGCTATATACCACGCTTAATGCGCTTAACTACAGGGAAATCATTATCATCTAAAGCCCTCTTCATTACTTCTTTAAATTCGCCGTCAACATGTGAAAATCCTTTACCAGATCTTATTAATTCTGAAAGTCGATTAAATCTTGTGATAAACCTTGGTTGGAATTTAATCTTCATCGATATGTATGAGGGACAAGGTGCGTCCTTCAGACATCTCTGTAAATGCTTGAAAGTGGTCACAAGATCCAATATAGTAATATCTCGTGAATAAATGTTATCCTCCGTTATTTTCAAGGCTCCAAGTTCTGGTGTTTCAAGGATTATTTCTTCGCTCTCTTGGAAGTGGTGAATCTCTTCAAGATCTTCATTAGCTCTTAATTTATTGAAAAAAGCTTCAAGGCTCAAGTCTAGTATGTCCAAATCGTAATAAAGAGCAACTAAGTGGGACACATTTTCATCGTTAGATTGGATAAGAAGAAATTCTGTGTTCGCTATGGTCACTATAATTGGAGGCATGTTATCCTTTTCTTCATCCAGGAAAGAATCTTCTTCTTTTTCTTGATTTTCATCTTTCTCCACGTCCGATTCAAGTTCATTCACTTCATCTTCTACTTCGACCACCTCCACGTTCGCAGGAATGTTTTCAGCGTATTTTGGAATTTGGTCTGTTTCTGCATGTTCATGTACCTTACCATCGAGTAACTCTTCAGTTTCGTCATGATACTCATCTAATTCGTCAGCTTCTTTACCATTATCAGTTGCGTTTTTATTATTTTTATCATTTCGTATGTTCTCACCTTTACCTTCTTCAGCTAATTGGGGTCCGTTGGAATTGCTCTCTTCTGGCTTCCCTACGGTGTCTGTGATATTGTTATCAGTGCTTTCTTCGTCACTTATGACCTCAATTTCTTCTTCACTTTCATCTCTAGTTTCCTCCTCGATAAAATTTTCTTCAGCTTCATTAACGAACTCAATTTCATCGCCAGTCTCCGCAATTTCCCCTTCAGTTGGTTGAGCAAGCAGGAGCTCTGTTTCTTCCTGCTCACTTACATCCAATAAATCTTCATCATCTTCATTACTGGAATTATCTCCATCGATATCCTTCTCATCAATGATGTCATTTACCTCTTCTGCAACTACAACTGTCCCCAAGTTTTGTTCCTGACTATCTACTGCTGATCCATCGAGTTCTTCCTCCATGTCCAAGTCATTCAACTCTCCATCATCTCCATCTGTAAAATTATCGAAGACAATAGGTACTTGTTCATGCACTTCGATTTGCATCTCTCCTGTCTCTTCCTTAGTCTCATACATACCTTGCTCTTGAAGTTAACTTGGTCCTTATAGAACTAAGGTAAATAATGCTTACATTTTTTGATACATTTTTTATTTTCCATATTGCCATTTTTCGCATGCTCACTCGAAGGTTGGAAAGCTAATTCCCAGCCCATACATGAGGTTGGAAGCGAGTTGACGATGAGAGTAGTAACTCAACATGTGTTGGAAGCGAGTTGACGATGAGAGTAGTAACTCAACATGTGTTATAATCCGGCTACAATATTTCAAAAAAAAGTTGTTTTAACTTTATTACACTAATTATACATTTATTAATACCATTCTTTCCAACACCATCTCAATATGACCTCCTCCTCAACTATTAAATTGAATTTTATTTATTTCTTTCTTTTCTATGATATATGTTTTTAAAATTATTTTTGTATTTGGAATTATGGGGCCCACACTTTAAATGCCTGTGGTGTGTCAATTGATAAAGGTTTTATATCTTCAGGCTTTTCAGATTCCTTATCGGTAGATAAATTGAGGAGTCCATTTTCTGCTAATTGAGTAACATTATTGGACTTTGCCAACGTTTGTCTAGAAGATTTATATAATAAGCTTTGAACTTCCAATAACAAAGAGGAAATGCCTTCCAAAGTAGCCTGGTTGTCGTCAGGTTCGTTCGAGTGTATTTCCTTTTCTTTTTCGTCTTCCTTGGAATCGACAGATACTTCATCCTGATGAATTTGCTTGCTGGAGTCTTCTTCAACTTCTTCTCCTTCTTCTCTTTCTTTGTTTCCGTCTTCCTCAACTTCCTTTTCTTTTTCTTCTTTTACTGTATCTTCTCCTTCTACTTCTTCCTTTTCTTCCTTTTCTTCCTTAGTTTCCCCTGGTGCCTCGGCATTAGATGATTCTTTGTCTTCAAGATCAACCTCCATAGGATCTTCTTGAGCTGGAACATCACTTTCTATTGACTCTTTGTTATCTTGTGTGTCTTCAGCGAAGAGTTCGTCAGTATTTGCGTCTCCAGTTATTTCCTCAGTCGTTGGAATTGGCTTCTCAGACAAGCTCTCTTCCTTTGATACAACTTCTTCTCCATTAGGCATTTCTTCATCCAAAACTTGACTTGTGCCTTCTTCAAGAGTGGCTTCTCTAACCTCAGGTGTCAGTGCTTTATCCAGAGATGGCTTTTTCTGTTGAGCTTTTTGGAGCAATTTCAAAGCTTCATTCAACTTTTGAGTGATCTTAATAGTTGATTTACTAAGTGCTAATCTATCAATAAAAACTTCCTCTTGTTGTTTTGCAAGAAATTGGCGCTCTTTTTCGAATGTCTTCTCTAATTCTTCAACTTTTTTCAACTTTAAATCAACTTTAGCTAATTGTTGGTTTACGATGATACTAGAAAGTTTGTTCATTTCTCTCTCTTCGTAATTTGCAAATAAATGACCTCTTGCACCGACGATACCAAATGTATTGGCACTAGCTTCAGCTAAAACATTATTTTCTTCATCTTCATCTTCTGCGGGAGGAGTGGTCATTGCAGGTGTGTGAATGTTAGAATGGCCATTCTGCTGTTGTTGTTTTTGTTCCTTTTCTTGTACTTGCTCTTGATCTTGTTCCCGTTCTTGAACTACTTCTTGAGCTACTTCTGGTTCTTCCATTTCAAGGTCGTCGTCTTTCAATATGTCGCTCAAATCGTCCTCTTTTCTTTCCTTACTTTCTTCCAAGGCTTCCTGAACCGAATCTTTCTCTTCCTTAATTGCTTCTTTGGTTTCAGATTCCTCTTGTTCAGATTTTTCTTCTCCAACCTTTTTCTCCATCTCCTCGCTACCATATACTTCTTTTATCTTTTCAAGCGATTGCTCTTCGATAACCTTCAGGGCCCTGGCACTGGCAGCTCTAGCAACTTCACTGTCAACAAGTTGTGTCATGAATGCTAAGTTGCTGAGAACAGGATTATCAACTGAGCTGATTGGGAAGTTAGGTGCATACTTCAAAATGTTCGAAGCTGATTGACCATCAGCATATTCATCTTCAATTGGTAATTTCAAAAACTTCAATATACATTCTTCAGGACTCTTGGTACCCACAGCTTTGGCGATCTTATACCAATCATTCTTGTTTTCTTTAATTCCAGTAACCAACTTCGATATTTCCTTGGAAGTCCAAGAATCGTTCACTTTAGTGGCCTTTAATCTCTTGGATTCCAAAACATCACCGCTTCTTTTACTAGAAACAATTTCATCATCACCTTTTTCGCTTTTTTCAGATTTCTTCAAGAATTCTTTTAATTTTCCGATGTCGATATTTTCACTGCTTGCCTTATAGGTATTGAAGGGGAATAATCCTCTTGGCGTGTCATATTGAACGTGGAAATCTCCAGTATATGGCAATCCAACAGACAGACCGTTTGGTAACTTCTCAATTGCATAGCCTGGCTTGAAGATTGGATTAACTTGATAGTTAATTAAACCCCACTTATTAAGAAATTTATGAACTCTCATTAACGTTCCCACGTCCCCAACTAAGTTTCTACGGCAAGATGTGAGTGTGAGGTATTCGTTAGGATTTAATCTGTACGCATTTATCATGAAGTTACGATAATTTGCATATATCTTGGGTGACTTGGAAGTATGCTTTGTATTGAAAAATTCGGGGAGCGAATCCTTCTCAAGTTTGTGAATCTTATTCATCTTAAACCAAGAAGAATAAGACGGAATCACAATAGCATGGGTCTGCTTGATGGGCGGTTTTTGAATTACAGGCTCGCTTGGGATAACTTCATCGGGTTGTTCAAGTTCTGTTTGAATATCTTCAGGATTTTCTTCAGGAACGGGTCTTTGCTCAATTGAAGGAGTTGGCTCAGTGGCACCGTCTTCCAACTTCGTGAATTCCTGTTCCGCACTGTCGTCATCTTCATCCTCTTCAGCATTTTCAACCTTGATCTCGTTGTCATCCTTTGTTCCGTTGATACCTTCCAGTTTCTCTTCTACTTCAACAGAGCCATTCAATTCAGCATCCTCCATTTCAACATCCGACTTTTCTTTTATTTCATTGTCGCCCAGCTTTCCTTCTTGTTTATTCTGTAATTGATCGGCATTGTCTTCGAATGAGACTTCTTCGTTGAGTTCGTCAATCATAGGTCTATCGTCTACATCATCGGCCTCTTCTTGGTCGTCTTGATCTTCATTTCCCTCTTGCTCATCTTGGAAATCCAAGTCGAAGTCTTCCTTGAGCTCATTTGCCTCGTTGAAATCTTCAAGCTCGCCAATACCACCAATATCAATTTCATTATTACCAGTAATACTTTCTGATTCATCTTGACCCTCAATCGAAGCTGCTACATGTGGAGTTTGTTCGAAGTTTTCACCCAATTTTTCATCAGCAATGTCTCCTGCAGCTTCAAGCTTGTTGTCTGGAATGGAGCCCTCTATATCATTTGGTCCATTCACGTCAGCGTTAGCAACTTCGTCCAATTGGCTCAAGTCTACGTCATTATCGACTTCAGGCAACTCCTCGTCTTCACCACCGTTTTCGTCATTGTTATCTTCTGGTCTCTGTTCAGATTGTTCTTCGATGATGACACCATCGGCCTGTGGTTCTTGTTCTTGTTGTTCTTCCTCGTCTTGTGGTGCCTCAACACCCTCATTCAATTCGCCTATCTCATAGTCCAATTCACCAGGACTATCTTCGACGTTTCCCAGCTTTTCAGCAGAATCTCCCTCCAATCCAATGGTATCTAAATTGTCTACCGGACTTCCTTCAGCACTCATTAGTATTGGACGTATAAATATAAATTATGTATATGTACTTTACAAGTGGCTGAATTTTACAAGCTGTATATAAAAGTGACAACCCACGACTAATTCAAACTTCCAATAATCAGATGCTAAAACCTTTTCCGCAATGGTATGTGGTAAAATAAGTGCTAAAACAATACACAATTGTCCGTATACATATATATATACAATATATATATCACTTTCCTTGTATATACCAGTATATGTGGTTGTGTATATTGATTAACCTTTATCAATAGCCTTTGTTTTGAGTGTGTTTTCCTAAAAATTATCAAAATTTTTGTTCGAAAAAAAAAAAGAAAATAGAAAAATCGGCAACTATACAGGAAAAGGTTCTGCACACAGTCACGTTATATAACCCCTTGTTAACCAAGGCGCGTTTCCTAGAGAGGCTGGCAAAGTACCTTGATTGGCCAATGCTCGCTGGTATAGGAAAGATGAGAGGGTATCAGTAGATTGTACAAACTCGCCAGCTAAACAAACACATATTTTGATGGTAAACTCCGAGAGCCAGTTGCCGAAGCTGCAGCAATTTTCTAGACCCACAATTAGGCTATTCCCAGAATTCCACCCACAACTGCCTTTCCCGAAAGTAGATATTCTTGGTAGAGTGTGGGGCAACAACGCAATTTTCTTACCATGCACAACCCAACCGTAAAAATATCACTTGTAGTTAATTCGAAAAAAAAAATTGTGTGAGGCTTATATGCTTGCAGAAGTTGCTTTGCGTGGAAATGCCGGAATTATTAGTATTGAGTGTGAATCCGGTTTGGTTTCAATATAAAACAACACAACGCTTGAATTTCTGTTAGCTCTGACACTTGAAATGATGAATCAGTTTTCTTTCCTCATTCTTCTTTCATTTCGGAGAGAGTGGTTCTGCCATTGAAGAATCAGCTTCTTCATTTCTTTTTTATTTTTCCCTACCATTTCGGCTCAAACACCACAGTGCATAGGTGCGCATCTCCAATTTATTTCTTTTATGGGTACACCTTCATAGCTTTGAGAGTGAAGAATCGAATTACAAAGAGGAGAATTACAAGAAGAAAGTGACAATGAAGCTAAAATTCAATCCAGTGGATATTTTATATAATTTATACATCCTATGATGCAAATATATTCCAAAAAAAAAAAAAAAAAAAAAAAGAATTAAATTAAAAATAATCACATCGGTTTATATGCGATAAGCTACGGCACAGCACTTTCCTTTCTTTTTCGATTCATTTTACTCTTTTTTTTGCTCTTTTTGTACCTGTTGCCTGAATGGAAGAAGGAGATAGTATCTCAGTGTGTTAGTTGTCATGTTCTTGAATTGTAGTCTACTAGTACGCCATGAAAAGATAGCTTGCAATCTCGTCAGTTTAATTTTTTTTTTCTCTTTTTCTCTTTTTTCCTTGACATCGTGAGGAGGTACATAGTGCTTGATGTATCATGTAGGATGACATTTATGGCCAATTTCGAGATCAAGTCAATCAAAGGGGCCATTCCAACATATATATATATGTATATATATACATATGTAAGGACCATACATGTCTCCCCCCTTCTTTACAACGAAATTCTCAATTTAAGCATCAGAGCTTAATATGTGTAACTGACCCTGTTTGATGGATTGTATTTGAGTTCGTGAGGCTCATCTTTAGCAAATGCGTAGAATTAGTATTGATAAATTGAGGTACTTAAAAAATAGCTTAATGTAGAAAATGACTCTCCATTTTTCCAAGGGGATTGCTCTCGGGGTTTGCCATACATCCTTAATGAGTTTATTCTGGTTAATAAGTGCTAGAACAGTCGATTCGGGAAAAATAGGAATTTGTTGACCTACAAAATCAAAATAGGTGAATATTTGTCTGCCAATGGAATACTTCTTTATTGGGCAGACATGGTTAATATTAGAATGAAGAACCAAAAAATTAAAAATAAAATGGAAAAAATAAAAAAAAAAAAAGAAAAAAAAGAAAATCACTAAGATGTGATTGCAAACTCTAAAAGCCTGTTTCTGGTCAAGAACCCCTGCTGGAAACAAACAAGAATTTATCCCAGTGGCATGCTCTACGATTTTGCAATGGAATTAACTGGGTCAGCTAAGAATTTTGGTTTTGGTGTGAAATTTGCTCCAACTTCAAGTGCTACTTTTTTCATATGTCAAATTGCTCGCTCGCTCTTCCATCGATCTTAGCAATATCAAAATTAATGATCTTTCTGCCTCCATTTCTCTTTTACTTTCCAAGTAGTTGCTCCTTCCCACTCATTAATTGAAGGCAGCTGTCCATTACTCTCTCGTCAAATATTCGGTACACGGCTTTTTTCCTGGTTCTTTTTAGGTTCAGTGGAACGCAAGTATTTTTTAGGATTGGGTTAAGAAATACTCTAAATGTGAGTCTTCATAAAATTTACGATGGGGCTGCATACAGGTGGTGAGACTATACATATTGAGTGCAAGAATGCAAATGAGAGCTGATGGAATCCCACAAACACAGACTGAGCAAGACCCACCTGGTACGTGCTAAGAAGAGTGATAAACTGCTAAGATTGCACAAGGTGTTTATTCTATGCAGTGACTTGTGTTTTCTTTTTTATTGTGTAACCGGTATTTATTTTTGATCGTTCACTCTACAGGATTTCATGCACCGCAGAAATGGCTTATCTACAGGTGCCCTAATGAGCGACCGAGCGACAAAGACAATCAGGGACAGTCCACCTCAGTCCACCACAATCCACCACAATCCACCATGACTACAACACCAAAACATAGTAAAGAATTGAGAGAACGCACACAACAGTGAAATCTTGAGAAGAACGTATACATTCCTCTCTTTCAGTAGGAACTCATTTTCTGCTCCTCCTCCTCCCATTCCTCCTTCTTCACACTATTTCACCATCTTTCGCCTTCTTGCCCTTGTTCACCTGCCTACTACCTCACCTGCTGTCTAGGGCCTCATCCGGTGCAGTACCTCCCCCAGCTCCACGAAACATTCCAGCGGATCCCTCAAGACGTCCTAGGGTTCCAACCCTAACTCCCTCACACTTTCGTAAACATTTCCTGCATACCGCTTTCTTTTTCCATCGAATTTTTTTTTTTTTCCCTTCGTTTCCCCTACATGCTCACCGTACACAGTACCAAGCCCAAGCTTCAGCGCAACACCCACCGCACCAAAATCACGAAAATTTTCAACTACTCTTAAAAATTTTCAAGAAAAAAAGAGGAACCTTTTCTTGATACCTTAGACAAAGACATAAAGATAAAATGGTTCGTTACGCTGCTACTCCTGCTAACCCAGCTAAGTCTGTTTCTGCTCGTGGTTCATACTTGAGAGTTTCTTACAAGAACACTCGTGAAACCGCTCAAGCTATCTCCGGTTGGAAGTTAGAAAGAGCTCAAAAATACTTGACTCAAGTTTTAGAACACCAAAGAGCCATCCCATTCCGTCGTTTCAACTCTTCCATTGGTAGAACCGCTCAAGGTAAGGAATTCGGTGTCACCAAGGCTAGATGGCCAGCCAAGTCTGTTAACTTCATCAAGGATTTATTGACCAACGCTACCTCCAACGCTGAAGCCAAGGGTTTAGACGTTTCTAAATTAAAGATCTCCCACATCCAAGTTAACCAAGCTCCAAAGCAAAGAAGAAGAACTTACAGAGCCCACGGTAGAATTAACGCCTACCAATCTTCCCCATCTCACATTGAATTAATCTTAACTGAAGAATCCGAAGCTGTTGAAAAGTCTGACGATTCCAAGAAGGTTAGATTAAACTCTAGACAAAAGGGTAGATTATCCGCTCAAAAACGTTTAACTGCTGCTTAAATGATTTTTATTTTTAAGTACTTAGTATAAATAATAAATAAGATGAAAACAGAGAAAAGTTGATGGAAATTATATCACAAGGGTGTCTGGTTCAACGCTTTTACTCGGGTTCTACTCATCTCGATGAAGGTGAGAGGAGAGGAGAGGAGAAGCTTATTGGAGCGATGCTCTTTTGTGATGTTTGTACATTTAATACATAATACTGTAACGGTAGCCTATGGTTGTAGAAAGAAAACGTAGAAGTGCGTAGAAGGAAAGGAAGGGAAGTGAAAGCAAGGATGTGACGAGGTGAAGTAACGAGCGAAGCCATGGATGGGTGCAACGAGAAGCAAGGAAGAGGAAACAAACGACGTTCAGTATAGATACATATATATATATACATATATATATATATATATTTCTGGAAACACAAGTCCTCATCTCTGAGATGTCCGAACCGCTGTATCTTTCTTTCCAGATATGCATGCTAGTGGCTCATCACCTACGCTAGGTAGCGCTAGGTTGCGCTAGACATCGCTAGACTCTAGCGACTTCTTTTTTTTTTCGCACCGGATCAACCACTAGAAATTTTTCACTCACGCTAGCACTAAACAAACAGTATACAATACAGAGCCCACTAATTTTGCCTTTGCGGTCCGATTTTCTTCATTTTTTAGCTCTTTCGTTATTAAATTACCGGAAGTATACCGAAATTCACCTTCGTTTCTCGTATTTTGGCCAGCATACCCCTAATAACTGTTGCCCATGCTCTGTACTTCTTCCCTCTCGCTTCTGTTTCTCCAGATCAAGACTTCGCACTGGCGGCTCCATTTACCTTTTTTCCCCAGCGTCTCAGCGTGTTCACATTTACCGAGCTCCCGCGCATATCCCAGCGCACCCGCGTAATTTCCGTACCCGAAAACCATCCAATAACTAACTGCGAAAAACATCTCACCAATTCACACACGGTTGATTTTCAAGTGAAACAGTTATCACAGATAAACAGGTCCAGCACTTCTATCAATACTATACTTTAGATCATTTAATCATGGGTGGAGTCGGCGCTAAAACTTATATGGGATGGTGGGGTAACATGGGTTCCCCAGCTCAAAAGTACATCACTACCTACTCAGTTTCTCCTTATGCTACCAAGCCATTCAAGGGAGCTGCTTACAATGCTGTATTCAACACCTTCAGAAGAACCAAGAACCAAGCACTTTTCGTCATTATTCCAGGTGTTATTGTCTGGAACATCTACGCTCAAGCCAGAGACTACAACGAATACTTGTACACCAAGGCAGGTAGAGAAGAATTAGAAATTGCCAACGCTGCTTAGGTTAGTTGCTTGCATATATACATACAAATAAACGGAAAGAATTAAAGGACCGATTGTCATGGAGGAGTGTCTATCTTTGTAGAGAACTATTGTTGCTTAGTGGGGACGGAGTCCAATTGTAAAACGTACGCTATGGTTAGTCAGTAAGTAGCGACTACGGGACTACGGGACTATGGTACTGTGGTGCTACGGGACTGCGGTACTATGGTACTGTGGTGCTACGGGACTGCGGTACTATGGTACTGTGGTACTACGGGGCTGCGGTACTACGGGACTACGGGACTACTCTCATAGAGAGCGTACATCTCTCTTCATTCCGTTTAAGAGTTCAGAACTTAACGATTAACTTAATTCAGTCTTCTATACTCACTACTTCTAGGTTATTCTAATTGCTCCTCCACTTCTTAGGAGACTCACTTGCTTCTCTTGTAAACTTTGCCCAAGAACTCGTACAAGACTTGTTTCTTCAAACCTCTGGACTCATCCAAGGCTTCGATTTGTTTCTTGATGTCTCCTACAACGGATTCTTCGTAGTCTAAGTAGGTTTGTTCAATGCCCAAATCCTTGAAGAGCTTTTTACAAACTGCTTCACATTCGTCGGACTTCTGACCGTAATTCTCGTCCAAGACCTTTCTCTGCTCTGGGTTGACCTTTAACAAAGCCTGGTTGACAACCCACGAGCACTTATTGTCCTTGATATCGGTACCAATCTTCCCGATTTGCTCTGGAGTACCGAAGCAATCCAAGAAATCATCCTGGACTTGGAAATACTCTCCCAATGGGATCAAGATGTCCTGGGCCTGCTTCAAGTCCTTTTCGTCGGTGACGCCGCAAACGAACATGGCTAAGGCAACTGGCAAGTAGAACGAGTAGTAGGCGGTCTTGAATCTGACAATGAACGAATGCTTTTCCAACGTGTACTTGTCCAAGTCAACGTTTTGTTCGTCACTGGTGATTAAGTCCAATAATTGACCCAATTCAGTTTGGAAGGTCACCTCGTGGAACAAATCCAATAAGTCGACGTAGTAGCTGTCTTGACGGAAGTACTTCTTCAAGAGTATGTAGATGGCACCTTCCAACATGAAAGAGTCGTTGATGGCAATGTTGTCGACACCAGGGACCAAGTACCAACATGGCTGGTCTCTTCTGGTCTTGGATTGATCCATCATATCATCAGCTACCAAGAAGTATGCCTGTAACAATTCAATACACCAACCCAAGAGTGCAACCTTCTTGTATTCTGGGCCGGACAACTCCTCCAATGGGGTATTTTTCAAAATACAGTAGGTATCAATCACGGATAATCCTCTGTTCAACTTACCACCTGGAGTGTTGTAGTTCAAAGACTTCACAAACCAGTCGATGGCTTCTTGGGGCATCTTGTAGTCGGTCAAGATCTCTACGAGTTCCTTGACCAACTCGTCGAATTCGCCGATGAATTTGCTTCTAATACCTGCTTTGTCCAAGGTCATTTTGTATGTGATGTGTATGCTTTGCTAAAGAGCTATATCTAAAGCAGTATCTCCCGAATCGTATATTTTCAACTTGACCTTGTCCGACCGCGTCGTTTAAAAAAAATCTCGTATAAAAATTTTGGAGTGAAAAATTGCAAATCGTAGAGAACGTGACAGAGCTGGGAGAGATAGACAGACAGTGGTAGAAAGGATGCACCTAGGGGAAATTTGTCTTCGTTTTCTGTTGATAAAATTGCCAATTGAGTAAAAGTAGGGTGATTTTCGACTTTTTTGATGTGAAATGTTGTACTTTTGCACTTTTGGTGTAGACTGTTGTAGGGTTTGTTCTTGTTTAGTGGTAGCGGTTTTTTTTTTTTCTTAATTTGCACCCATTCTGCATGAATATATAAATATTCTTGTACGGAGATATATTTTATTGAATAAGGTCTTTCTACATATATCATTTAGTGTAGGAATTATTCTAAATTCTATTTTACTGTAATTCTAGTCTAATCCCTTGTCTGGTCTCGTATCTGATATCGTATCTGATGTAGTATCTGATAGCAAGTATATCTCTACAACCTGGTAATGTGCTTCTCGTACAAACTTTTGGCTTTGGCCCATACTGGTGCACTCTCTCTTTCCGGCAACTGTCTCAAAGAAGGTAACAAATCTTTGCCGAATGCCTCGGAGGCTTCCCTGGGCAATAACGATGGGAAATGGTCTATAGCACAAACAGACAATTTGGGCCCATTCGAAGTTGGCACATCAACCGTTGGATTTGGAAAGGTGGTAGCAACATCGTATACTGGAATTGGATTGTGAATATTGGTGATATCTGCAGATACATCCACAATTGTACGCAATCTTCTACCGGGAACATTAAGACTTTCGTACGTGACAAACGGTGGGATGGTAGAAGTCAAATATATACAATTTATGAAGATATCTGCCTCAACTATTTCCTTGAATGGACCCCCTTTGGCGGTCTCATTCATATCCCATCTAATTATATGAGAATCGGGAATACCTACTTTTTGAAGCAAGTCAATTGCTCCAGATCCACATCTACCAAGAGCCCCGATAACGAGACACTTTGGGTACTCTCCATTGGTCTTTTTTAAGGCTTGAGCTAGCTCCCCTCTTATTTCAGAGGTCAATACTGCCTCCTCCTGGTATGCACTGACTCCAGGAAGATTACCTTCATCATCGTTTACAACTTTATAAGCCCAGTCTTTAACACCAAGAGCTGCACCCCCGAACCCAGCATAAAATCCAAAGGCTGCAACTCTTCTACCTTGTTCATTTTCTAAGAACTCGATATCATACAACGTACCGTCTCCGTCGGGGAATCTTCCAAGAACGTCTTTCCATCCAATTTGATTCTTATAACAATGCCCAAAAAGGATATGTTCGTGAACTAATGGAAATGTTTCTGTTTCTGGAAGTTCTTTGAGTCCAAATATGATTCGATCTCTTGGAGCTTCTTTCCATGAACCTTCTGGCACAATAATAGCACCAATATCGGCATACTCTCTAGTTTCAAAAGCTGATTGCAGAGAATTTTCTACATAAATCGTAAAACCATCAGCAATCAACAGTTTGGCATTACTTGGGGTTAAAGCAGTTCTTCTTTCTAACGGTTTGGTTTCCGCTCTTAAATGTAAGGTTACAGACATGTTATCAAAGTATGTAAGTGAGGAAAGTTAATGAAAACCAAAATTATTTAAAGAAGCAAGGTGCCATTGTGCCTTTATATACCATGAGTCGACTCGATTCTCGAGTTTCCATACGCTTGAGTCATGTAGGGAGTAAAATAAAACCAAAAAAAAAAAAAATAGAAGGTGTATAAATGAGTCAAGTTCAAAACCCTGCATGATGTGGGGAATGTCACATTTCATCGATAACTTTACATCATAAATCTTTTAAAAAAAAGAAGTTTTGATATTGGGATGAGTACATTGACATAACAAGAGATTGCAAGGGTATTTGCAAAGGAAACTACAGACTCTTAGGTAAACTGTAGTCCGATCTATTCGTCACTTAGGAGAACTTTAGGAAACTCCGAAGCAATTTTTCACATCGTGAGTCAAGCAACAACACCCAGGGCTCATACCAAAATTCATGATGAGCAGCCACTCCAAGTTAGTCACCTGTGGGTACAACTTTTATCTGCAGCACTACGAAGGTAACATTACCATACCCTATTCACTACAGAATATACTTTTTGCTTAACTAAATTATATTTATGTTTAAATATATATATATATATACATATATATGCCCAATAGGAAAAATGCATTAAATTCTCCACCAATTTATATCTCCTTACTTCAATTCTTCATAAAAGCGAACAAGCTTAATGTCTACGTCTACTCTTACCAGGTCTGGTTGGCTTACCCTTCATTTTCTTGGAAGAAAATCCACTGACATCCATAGAGGAAGCAGCATCGTTTTCTCTCTTGCCTCTCTTTGGACCACCCATACCATATTTGGAGTTTTTGGCCAATCTCTTTGAGTTAGGCTTGCTTCTCTTGTTGTCACCACCGGCAGATCTACCATACTTTTCTTCCTTGGTTGCTTCTTCAAGAGCAATTTGGAAATCATCATCGTTAGACAATTCATTAGCACCTCTCTTCTTCTTTAAAGACTTGATCTTTTCCAAACTTTCTTTCTTTTGCTTGGCTCTTTCTTGTAAAGTAGCATTTTGAACTTGTTTACCGAACTTCTTCAACATTCTTTGTTTCTTTGCATCTTCTGAGGCCTTCTTATTAGCAGCTTCAGTTAATAACTTTTGTTTTAATTTATCCATGTGCTCGTCACTCTTGACCATTTCAGCAAAGTAGTCCATTGGTCTGGCAAATGGGACTTTGAGCTTTAAGAGAGTAGCTCTTGCTTGTTTGACGGCGTCTAAACCTTGCTTATAGAATGCTAATTCTCTTTCGGTATCATCATAGATGTCCTTGATTTCAGCTTCCGTGTTTTCAGCTGAGACTACAGATTGATGCTCTTGGAAAGAGTGCTTGGCCCAGGGTAATTGAATTCTGGCGAGAGAGTCCTTCAAGGCAGCCATGTTATTTATAGTGAGTTTAGTGTGTGGAACAATGTCGGCGTCGGAGTCTATCTCTACATCAGATAATGGGATGTCTTCCTCTTCCACTTCTTCTTCATCGTCTTCTTCTTCATCATCTTCATCATCTTCGTCGCTATCTTCAGCTTCTTCATCGTCGTTGATGTCACTTTCACTGTCACTAGCAGCTAATCTTTCCAAGTCTAACTCTTCCTCATCGTCTTCATCTTCACCTTCAACGTCTTCTTCATCTTCTGAATCTTCTTCCTCGGCCTTTTCAATTAACTCCTGCAACTTTTTCAACTTTCTTTGTTCCTTCTTGGATAAAGTATCACTCTGGTAAGCATCCTTCTCAGTCTTCTTTTCCTTCTTATAGACTGGCTTTGCTTCGATTGGAGCTGCCTCCACGACCTTCTTTACAGCGGCCTTTTCTTTCTTCACAGCTGGCTTTGATTTCGACTTGTCAATAGTCTCTATCAATTTATGGTTTTTCAATTGATCCTTTAACCCAAATTTAGCCATCTTGAGTATATATAGTTCTTTTAGACTACTTCTAGAGATGGAGGTGATCAATTTGACTGTAATAAAAACCACAGATGAGATGAGTGCAAATTGTGAAAAATTCCAGTGATGAGATGCGCAATTTACCCGGACACGAAAAAGAGTGGAGTATGCGAGATGTGCTGCATTCCTGGAAAGGGAGATACTGGTGAAGTAGTTAGAGGGGTGTTAGGTGGGTTCTTATCGTTATATGATCTTGAATCGGTACCAGGACGAGAAAGAAGAGAAAGAGTCACAGAAAACAATAATTTTGAAAGAAAAGAGCTAAAAGGAGGCAAGTAGTGATGATACTGTTAGAGTGAAAAATTACTACCGTTCGCGATATGTTTTGCACCCAACCAACAAAACTGTGAGTTAGTAAGGTGATACGTCTTATTTTAGTACACTCCTATCTTCTATAAGTGACAAAACTATGTACACAGTGTTTGTTTCCTTCCAGGCAGTCACTGCCGCAAATTTTAGTTTTCTAGAAATTTTTTCCCAGACCCATACTTCCACCATCTAGGTAAACAGCTGTGCAAGGCAACATCCATTCCATCGGTAATACGGTGCCCATCATATACTCTACATATACATCTTTTCTGCATCTTGACTTCAGCGCTCACCGGACACGATAACATCGGCGGATGATAGTAACCAATGTCGTCAAAATGATGAATAGAATCTCGATCAGCTAGCAACGCCAACGCAATCAGATGTACCGGAGCGTCACCCCATCTCTCGTAATAAAAACCTCCAGCCTGATCCAAATGGTCAAAAAACGCCTGGTATGCTTCACTTCGGAAGAAATTTAAATTTGCAATCTCAAAATTGGACCAGAAATGGCACATATTGTAATCAGTCAGTGAGTTTATTTGTAGAGTGGCATCAGCTAAAGGTTCTTTAGATGTTATAAAATCCAAAGCGTTGTGAGGATGGAGGTATTGAGGGTATTTTTCCATGAAATTTTCCACAGTTTTCCACAACGAAGGTATTGTATTTTCATATTCATGTAGGGCAATAACAAATCCATACACCTTATCTTGCTCTCTCAACTTTGTAAACGGATCATATTGAAAATCACACATATATTCCACGTCTGGCTCTACTCTAAAATACCAGTCATATTCCAAAATTTTCTTTTGCTTGAAGAAATACCCTGAATTGAAATGGCACATGTTTCTGTAAGATCTTGATCCTCCGTACATCACTTTATTCTTCTCTGCTTGGGCTAAGTTATCTTCTAGTTTTTCCAAGTCAATAAAATCTGGAGGAAACCAATCTTCATTTGGGATCAATTCATAGAAGCATTCTGAAGATGCCATTAAGCTGGTCTGTTCGATGAAGTCGTCATCAAAGGGAACTTCATTAAGGAACACCCAAGGGTACTTATATTCTTTGTTGAATCTATCCTCCAATGACCTCATAGAAAAAAGGGCTCCCTTTAAATCTGAGTTCCTTGCGAGCATTATTAACGTAGCGTTCTCTTTTCCTACTTGTGTTCTATCATATTGTGGGAATTTTTTGAGTGTGTACGAATTAGAAGACATCTTTGGTTCTACAGCACCTCTGAATGAATCAGTCCATGGGAAAGGAGTGGCTCCAGATATCGCTTCCTTGTATATTCGCCCAATGTATATGGATATTACTGTTACCAAGACAATGATAGCGGAGGTAAATCTTGAAAACATCACTGGAAACGAACGAAAGGTGTGTATTCTAAGGTACCAAAATGATGAGGAATAGTACAGCCTTGTTCTTCTTAAACATTTCAGTTCGCATACATATATATGTTTACGTGCGGCTCGAAAACCGTAGGTGGCATAGTTGCGTTTGGTAGCTGATGAGGTGCACACCGAAGAGTTAACCAGTGTTAGTTCACGTGAGAGAAGCTGTCGCTAAACATGAAAGAAGGAGTTGAATTGGCATGTTTGTCGTTACTATATTTCTTGAAAGAATCTAGTACCTTGAGATCTTGCAGTAGTTGGAACTTGCTTTAGAAGCCTTAATATGTTATATTTTCCACGAACATTGCAACTGCGAGAAATTAATGGTTTAAAGGAAATTAACCAGGAGACAGCTTGTACACAACAAGTCCACTTCCTTGATTAAAAACTTGATCGAACCAAAGTTAGCTTAATGCTTACTATCAGACGGAGAGAGAACTCGAAGGGAAGAAAAAAAAAAAACAAAACAAAAGAAAAGAAACCATAACCGAGTGTCCTACATCTGCTCTTCACTTATGATACTGCTTCTCTGCCTAGTTAGTATGGAGAAGGCAGTGATAAACCCAAGAAGAGAATGCGGCAAAGCACCCACCAATTCCCATTTCTTCTCCTTTTGAGTGTCAAGCACATTATATCTCTGAAACTGTCTTCTGCCATCTGTCGCCTAGCTTGTTTCAACTACCCTATGCTTAAACCCTCCCCACTCTACCTTTCCTCTTTCGCAGCCACCTACTCCATCCTTCTCTCTCATCCTTCTCCGTCCTGCATACACCTCCAACCCATTCCTACACCTAACACAGCCAATAAAAAATCGTTAAATCGCAAACATAATCACTAGGACAGGAAAAAAAAATAGAGGGACCCAATCAAAGGTAGTAATTGTTCAAGGGAAGGAATAAACGCTTTACTGTATTAACTCAGACACATAGAGAGCATGCTTCGTGGTGTTAAACAAGTTTCCAAGGCTCGTCGTTCATTGGCAACACTTGCCGATGGGGCAGCCAATCCAAACAGAGTACACGGGGGATTGAAGGATCAAGACAGAATTTTCCAAAACGTTTACGGTAACTATGGACATGACCTTAAATCAGCACAGAAGATGGGTGATTGGTTCAAGACTAAGGAAATCATGTTGAAGGGAGATAAGTGGATTATCGACGAAATGAAGAAATCTGGTTTAAGAGGTAGAGGTGGTGCTGGTTTCCCATCTGGTCTCAAGTGGTCGTTCATGAATCCACCAGGATGGGAAAAGAACCCGGGTCCTAGATATCTTGTTGTCAATGCCGATGAAGGTGAACCAGGTACCTGTAAGGATAGAGAAATCATTAGAAAGGACCCTCATAAGTTAGTTGAAGGATGTTTGTTGGCGGGCCGTGGTATGAATGCCACTGCTGCTTACATATATATTAGAGGTGAATTCTACAACGAAACTGTAATTTTACAAAATGCCATCAATGAAGCGTACAAGGCAGGATTCTTGGGTAAGAATGCCTGTGGTACTGGCTATGATTTCGACATTTTCATCCATAGAGGTATGGGTGCATACATTTGTGGTGAAGAAACCGCATTAATCGAATCTATCGAAGGTAAGGCTGGAAAGCCAAGATTGAAGCCACCTTTCCCAGCTGGTGTTGGTTTATTCGGTAGACCAACTACTGTAGCCAACGTCGAGACTGTTGCTGTCGCACCAACCATCTTAAGAAGAGGTGGTGACTGGTTTGCTGGTTTCGGTAGAAAGGGTAATGCAGGTACCAAGTTATTCTGTATTTCAGGTCATGTTAATGAACCTTGTACCGTTGAAGAAGAAATGTCCATTCCATTGAAGGAATTATTGGAAAAGCATTGTGGAGGTGTAAAAGGTGGATGGGATAACTTATTGGGGGTTATTCCTGGGGGATGTTCTGTTCCAATTATGCCAAAGCCAGTCTGTGATAACATATTGATGGACTACGACGCTCTTAGAGACACCGGATCCGGTTTAGGTACTGCTGCAGTTATTGTGTTGAACAAGCAAACAGATGTCATTCGTGCCATTCAAAGATTCTCAGCCTTTTACAAGCATGAATCATGTGGTCAATGTACCCCATGTAGAGAAGGTACCACTTGGTTGCAAAGAATGATGGATAGATTTGTCACGGGACAAGCCAAAGAAGAAGAAATTGACATGATTTTCGAATTAACCAAAGAAGTTGAAGGTCACACCATTTGTGCCTTAGGAGATGCAGCAGCATGGCCTATTCAAGGTTTAATCAAATCATTCAAGCCAACCATGCTTGAAAGAATCCAACAATTCCAAGAGAAGGAAAAGCTTGGATACGGTGGTTGGGTTGAAGGCGGTAAAGTTCGTAATGGTGAAGTGGTTGACAACCCAGTGCCACATTCCCACTAAAAGGTATACCTTTATAAATAGACTGCAAGGAGCAAGTAAGCTAGAAGGCAAAAAAGGCAATGACATAAAACGAACTGAAAAGAATAAAAATACATAGAGTCTGAAACGAAGAGGTGAACTAGACACAAATAAAGAGGAGAAGTGGGAGAAGTACCAGGAAGTGGTCAACTAAAGAACATAATCGAAGAGAAAAAAGAAAACAGAAAACTAAGTTAAAAAGAAGTACATTAGTAATAGCATATCGATAAATTAGGACCCCGTGTCTCATTGTAGTGTAGCCACCCACCCACCCACCAATGCTATCGTATGTAGTTTGACCTAACTCAAACCTTATCCCATCCAGCATCCCAAGCATTTACCATCTTTGTGTGCAGATAGCGCCCATTGATCAAGAAATGCCCTTCAGTCGTGTGGAATATGAAAAATTCTTCTTTTTTCTTCTGCATTTTATTTTTTCAGGTCCCCTTTTCGGGGTCGGAGCAGATTTGAAAAAAATTACGCGCCTGATTGCTCCGGTGGTGATTTTAGTAATTGACGTCTTGCTATTTGACCAAGATAAAGGTAGGATATACGTAATTCGGATAAGTTAATATCGTTTGTGATATCTTCTTGCTGGTGCTGCGCTTCTTGTAGAACGTTGTCTATATAATAAACAAAATATGAAGGTTAGTAACTTATTTATTGGAGCGCTTGCTACTGCGGCCCTTGCTAAGAACCTCAAAGTCCCACCTACCGGTGAGTTATCTTCTGAACCACCTGTGAAGAAACTTGGAGTCGCTGATATTCAGGCGGAAGACAACACCCCAAGCCCAAAACACGCCAATAAGCCATTAGAACCCCACGGAGAGGGATCTGGACATGGAGCTGTTGGGTTAAAGAACCCAGCTATCGATTCGGATGAAGAGGACAGCTTGGAAGGTGCCTCGTCATTCAAAAAATTGGTTATGCCGATCTCCATGATTGTGGTGTCGGAAATTGGTGACAAGACGTTCCTCATTGCTGCCTTAATGGCCATGAAACATTCCAGGTTTGTTGTGTTTACCTCTGCATTCTCCTCCCTTGCAGTTATGACTGTGTTATCGGGAGTCATTGGCCATGCTTTACCTTCATTAATATCCCAAAGATTAACGCAATTCTTGGCTTCCGTTCTCTTTGTAGTATTTGGTTATAAATTATTGAGAGAAGGCTTGGAAATGTCCAAGGAAGCTGGTGTAGATGAAGAGTTGGCGGAGGTTGAAGAGGAATTGGCCAGTTCGTCCATTAACTCCAGAATGAACGACATCGAAATGCAAGAGGCTGGTGGAGCAGATCTGGCTCAGAACATTTCCAAAAAGTCTACTCAATGGTTGAAAGAAGTTGGTGATAACGTCCAAAACTTAGCATCCTTTGTGTTGTCTCCTATATGGATCCAAGTATTTGTCATGACCTTCTTGGGTGAATGGGGTGACAGATCCCAAATCGCCATTATCGCCATGGCTGCTGTCCCAGACTACTGGATTGTTATCCTAGGTGCTGTTATTGGACACGGATTGTGTACAGCTGCTGCTTGCTTGGGAGGTAAGTTGTTGGCCAAGAGAATTTCCATGAGAAATGTCACCTTAGGGGGAGCGGCAGCGTTTTTGATATTTGCTGTTTCGTACTTCTATGATGCTTTATACAACGAGGAGCTTTAAGGGTGATTATAGAATAAATTAGTGGGATACAGTTTCCAGAAATGTGTATTATTAGGATACTTTTTATTTTTTTTATTTTTCTTTTCTAGCTAGAAATACATATAGACATGCTAGTGAATGGAAAGTTAATGACGTTCTTTCAATTTCTTTGAACAAAGGGGAGCTCTTGGCTATGGCGTGTTACAAAGATGCCCTTTTTCACCATTCTATCTCTTTCTCTACGGCCTGACATCTTGGAACATGAACTTCAAGATCTGGTTCGGGGTCAATGGCTTCTTATCTCCATCGGTAATTGCTCTTTCTTCTTCAGTTCTCTTCGACTCTAATGCTGCTTTCTTTACTTTCTCCTTTTCACCTTCTTCAGTGGTCGAATGTTCCAATTCCTGCGCAGTCTGGAACCCATAGAAGTGAAACTCTTCCTGTAGTTCTTCCACTTTGGCTGAACACCACTGTGCAAATTCGTCGACTTGTCGAAGCAGTGCTGACGACTGTTGAGTGCTTTCATTAAGCTGCTTACACTTTAATATGGCGTTATCTATCCATTCATCGATTTCTGGTAATGGCTTCTTCCTAAGCAACGTAGTTAACAAGTTCTCTTGCTGGGCAGCAGGGAAGGTTGGCAAAGGGTACACATTTGTGGACTTTAATTGTTCGTCATTGCTGTCTAAGTTGCTGGTCAAGGTGTGTAATTGCGTAAGCAAGATTTGAAATTGGCTCTGTAGCGACTGGTACGATGGGTATCTGACCTTAGTAGGGTGTCTATTGTGGTGATTCAATTGATCAAAGAGTTTACGAAGAGATAGGTGCACTTGGTTTAGCCTGCTTCTTATCGTTTCGAGAGTTTCCAAGGGGATTGATGAGGTATCAAACCTTTCTACCTTATTCATATTCATATATCCTGATCCTTCTACTATAGTTACAGCTATACAGTGAATGAAGAGACGGCTCTGCTTCCTTTCATATTTGGAAAGTGCTCGAGGCTGCGCGATATGGAAATCGAAATTTTTCATTTTCACCAGACGAGCTTCTGACGCTGTGGTGATGGTAAGTCGCTTGTAGAGTAAGGCAAAATGATCCGAAAAAGCTATAGTTTGGCAGACGAGAGGAGGAAATTCGAGAAACAGCAGCAGGCTAAGATCCAGAAACGTCAAAAACATGAGCATAAGCTTTCCAAACTAGAGCATGTGGATCCAGTGCGGTTGCATGGCAAGTTGAGAAGGCTCCAGCAAAGGGCATCGGATGAATCCGACTCATTCCCTCAGAGAGATGCCAAGTATTTAAAAGATTTGAAGGAGGATTGGGAGTTCATAGTATCAAACGGGCTACACAAGGGTATAGTCCAGGATATAATAGCCAAAGAGAGTGTAATTGTAGAAAAGAAGAAGGAAGAGGCCCTGAAGTTGTGGGGTAAGGAGTCTGTATATTTCAATCCAGAATTGAACCCCTTAGGGAAGGTTCCTCCGAATCTACCCAATTTGACCAAAAGAGGACAACGAACGAAGAAGGAGGAGTATGAGGATGACCCGGAGTTGCTCGAATTGGGAGTACGACTCCCTGAAGGGGATCCTCCAATGTTCTACAAGGCGGTCCAAAATTTCACAACTGAGCGCAGCCCCAAGGGTACTCTCGAGAGTAGAGAGCTTAAGGGCGATGCAAAAGGAATAAGCTTAATACCGACGACATTCCTAAAGAAAAAAAAGGCAGTCGTCACACCGCAACTAGATGTAGCTAGAGATGAAGATGAAGATGAAGATGAAGATAAAGATGAAGATAATGATGGTGTTGATGCTTCGAGTGGTTCCTCGGATGGAGAGGACGAAGAAGAGTCTTGGAGAAAGAGACAAAGAGTTTAGAAAGCTTCCTTTTGTATTTTATGTATTCTTCTAACATTTATAATAACTTATTTTAATATCTACACGATGCATATACACTATTTACAAGATACAGGCTATAAATGAACCCCCACTATCATGACAATAACCTAACCACAAGTTCCCAGGTACCAAACATTATTATGGAATTAGGAACTGTACGGAGTAAGTGAGGTGTTAGCCCCCCATACATACTTGCCAAACCTTCCTCTTTGATAACCAAGCGGAAACACTGTATAAGACCAGTGTATTTGGGTTTCCCAGTGGACTCCAACGGTGCCTGCCTTAACCTTGTTCTTACTACTTCATGTGGGTACGTTATGAGAGATGCTATGAATTTGGCAGCACCTGCAGCACCAGATCTTGCAGACCATTCGAATACTTGTTGTTTAGTTGACTTTGTCGTGGAACCCCCGTCTCTCTGAGCCGAAGCAAGGGCTCTTTTATTTATGAATGATTTCATCTGCTCATACAACACCCATTGCAAAGTACTTTCAATCCCACCTAAATACGAAGCTGATAACCCCTTATATAAACTTAATGGACCCTCGTTTTTCAAGATATACTTCAAACAGTCCCAAGAGTTCTTGTAGTGCTTTCCCTTAGTCTTATCCAACTGCAACCGAGTCTTAATCAACCAGATGGGGTTTGTGGCAGTAGATGTGACGATACCTGCATTTATTCCGGCGGCCCAATGTATCCAAGTAGCCTCCTGACCATTATTAAAATTAGATGAAAGAAACTCCTTGGTAGACCCGTACGTGAAAAAATTGATCGAACGAGCTGGGATGACACCAACTAAATTGGGTCCAAGCCCTCTGAATAGGGCTCTAGTGCCCTCGTTAACGTAAAGTTGACGTATCACGGAGCACGTTTCCTTGAAATGTTGCCCAGCTTGTATCACAGGATTCCTTGATTTGGGTGTTTTGTTGTATAGCTTATGGTAGTCATCACTTTGAAGTCTAGTCTTCACCACATCTAAGGGACAAGTAAGCACAGCTCCAGTCATCCCACCGACTCCCCCTGCTACAAAGTGGACCCACTTTGCAGGCGCAGGCTTTTCCAATTGTTCTTGGCGTGGTTTGACCTCGATATCTTCTACGCTTCTCAAAGTTGAAGACTCTTCATCTGAAGCTAGATACACAAAGGATTCTTCTGCTTCACGCTCAAGCTTCTTTAACTTTTCAGTTTGAGGCGACATCTCTGAAAAATGAATGAACGAGCAAATTACACAATAATTACTTGATCAATCTGAGAGTTTCGATACTAATATATCCTTTAAGTGTGCTTTTGCTTCGAATGAAGGTATTTGGCAGTTAGATGCGATGAGTTTTTCACAATTCCAGTGCAACTTACAAAATCGACCAACTAGGAAAAAAATGCGGCACAAAGAAGAAAAGCTTCTTCATGAGCGGGTGGTAAGTTCCTAGCAAGTGATGCAGTGGCTAGCTACAAGCAGATCATAAAATACGTCTAGTTCATTTCTAATATACCTATACTTTTTTTTTTATATGAAATCAGTACTATACTATATACAACAGAAGAATTCATAATTTTTTTTCTTGTTCAGCCATTAGACAGATATTCCTCATTTTAAAGTCTTGATAAAATTGTCAAGGTTATATTCTTCCTCATATTGTGATTCGTCCCACAAATCTGCCAATTCCCCAACTGCTCCTGCAGCCTTTCCTGTAAGTCCACCAGATGTGGTAACATCAGTAGGTAAATTGCCATTTGAAGTGGAATCTTCACCTCCTCCATTTTCAATCTCAGCTGGTCCCGCTCCACTCTTCTGTTCATCGACATCGAAAAGATCTAACAATTGGTTCGTATCCATCGACGCCAATCCAGCATTCTGCTGATTAACAATTGTCGATGCAATATTCATTTTGAATTTCTGTAATCCCATAATCTTCTCTTCCAATGTATTCTTGGTAATCAATCTGTAAACATTGACAACCTTTTTCTGACCCAATCTATGTGCTCTATCCATCGCTTGTAAGTCATTCATTGGATTCCAGTCATGTTCAACAAAGATAACTGTGTCAGCACCCGTCAAATTGAGACCTAATCCACCAACCTTTGTAGTCAATAGTAACACATCAATAGATGGATCTTCATTGAATTTCCTAACAATAGACTGTCTGTCTCTTGGATCGGTGCTACCATCAAGTCTCATGTAAGTAACGGAAGGTAAATGCTTCTTTAAAAGCTGATTTTCAACGATATCCAACATATCTTTCAATTGACAGAAAATCAATGCACGATGCTCAGAAATAACCCCACCTTCATTAGAAAGAATTTGCTCTTGTTGCATCAGCAGTTGAGAGGCCAGATCCAGTTTTCTTTTATGGTAAGTACTGTCGGAAACACCTATGCCACATTCCAAGAGTAACGTCTTCAAGGACATTAATTTGGGAGAATGTTCTATACTTTTCAAGTCAGACTTCTTAGATGCCAAATATTGTGTAACTTCTAAGAATTTTGGATGTTGGGGGGAAAGTACCAAAGCAGGGTGGTTACAAAGCTTCCTCATGTATTGCAATGCTTGGAAAATATGAGTCTTTGAGGTTGCCATATCATCGGTAGTTGTTACGGCACTATCTGCAGTTCCTTTACCAGCACTGGAAACTTCTTCCTTAACTGTTGATTTTTGTTTGTTCGCAAAGTCTTTATATAGTTGTCTCTGTAAGTCACTCAACTCACAATAGTAATCTTGAATGATTTTAGGTGGTAAATCACTTAAGACATCTTCTTTCAATCTTCTCATCATAAAAGGTAACACTTGCTTGTGCAAAGATTCTAATGCCAATGCACCAGCTTCCTGTTCCTTTGATGAAGTCTTACTGGTTCTACTAGCCGCGATAGGCTTGGCAAACTTATCATGGAATACCTTTTCAGTTCCCAAAAATCCTGGCATTAAGAAATCAAACAACGACCATAATTCCAACACATTATTTTGAATTGGAGTTCCAGACAAGATCAATCTATGCTCAGCTCTGATTTTCTTCACAGCCTTCGTTAACTTACTGGCAGCATTTTTGATGATGTGACCTTCATCAAGAACACAATAGTTGTAATCATACTTAGAGACAAAGTCGACATCATTACGACAAACATCATATGAAGTAACGACAATATCATGTTCTTCAAATTGATCTCTCAAAGCTGATCTAATTGACGGACCACCGGCATAAACCAACACTTTCAAGAATGGTGCATATTGGTTGATTTCCTGTTCCCAATGACCTGTCAAAGAAGGTGGACAAATAATTAAAGTTGGAACTTTCCTAAACTCAACAGATTTCGTTTCAGCATACTTTTCAGCTCTAATATGGTGATCACTGGAAACAATACAAATTGTTTGCAACGTCTTACCCAATCCCATATCGTCACATAGAATACCATGAAGGTGATACTTATTCAAAAATGCTAACCAGTTTACACCATCTTGTTGATACTTACGCAATGTAGCCTTAATGGTAACCGGTAAGTCGAATGGTTTAACTTTGGTTGGATCCATCATTTGTTGAATAAAGTCTCTTTCCCTGTCTCTCCCTTCTAATAATTCTTGTGGCATATCTGGTGGATCCGGAATACCAGCTTCGAGTGGAACTAGTTTAATAATAGATGCAAATGTAGTGGTCGCAAGAACTCTTACATCGTGGTCAGAATCACTCATTCTTCCCAAGACAGGCACAATTAAGAATACGATATACGGTAAAATATCTGAGCCCATGGTAGTGGATAAATGATAGATACACTCAATTGCACCTTGTCTTTCTTTAACTTCACCTGCATTATTTAACATAGGTAAGATTGACTGAACCAAGAATGTGAAAGCCTTAGTCGGTACGACAGAACATATTGTGGCAAAGCACTTTGCTGTAGAGTATCTGAAAATGGAGTAGTCTGATTGTAATCCCGGTAAGAGTGATGTGAAACGATCTGTAATTTCATCATACAAGCTCGTATCTAATCTTCGCAACAATGCTCTAACAATACCCAAAGAATCAATTATACTTTGACCCTTCAATTGGTCGGCAATATAAGTCTCCTCTTTATCATTAGCCAATAAGTCTAATGGCTCTAACATAATTTCTTTTAACTTAGGGACTTTAATAAATGTCTCTGGTCCATACAATTTCAAAAGAGAATCAAGAGCAAACATTGCACCATTTCTTTTAATTCTTGCTTGATGAACTGCTCTTTCATGAGCAGCTATATCAGCAGGATCAGTCTTAGCTTCTTCTTTCCTTAAACTCAAAATACTATCTTTAAATCTTATATTGTGATGTATCTCAGGAACTTCTGATGTATCAACACACAAAAATGCACACAAGTTCTTAACAATCTTATCGGCAGCACCCTTCTTGGAAGCACCATTCAATTCTTTAATTAAATTGGCAACAGCTTGTGCCAGTCTCAATTGCAAAATTTCACTTTCTTCTTGTTTAATGCTTTCCATCAAGGAACGAATGATAGGGTTTAATTTCTTAGGAACACCTTCCAACTCCAATATACAAGCAGCGTACACAGCCAAAATACTAGTAGTCCTGTTCTCAATCGAAGATTTAGCTTCATCAACAGCAATTCTAATTCTGTGCTTAGCATCTTCCAAAGCTTGGTTCGCCATCATTCTATACGTAGGCGACAATGTTTTCATAAGCTTTGGATATGTTTCTGACAAAATCTTCTCAGCATTATCTAAGCCAAAAGCATTTGGACCTGCTTCGCTCTCACCTTGAACCACAACAGGGATTTGGGGAATCTTCGTTGGGGGCACCTTCGCTATTTCGAGGAAAACATTGAATAGTTGTAAGCAAGAAGTACGGACTCCTTTCAATATTGGAACCAATTCTCTGTAATAAATCAATCCAGACGAGGTACTCAAGGTTACATTCAAAATATCCAGCAATGTACTAGTGGCTACTTCACTCACTTTTTCACCTCTTTTTCTCAAAAATCCTGCGTATTCTTGGATTATCATAGAACTAAATAATCTTGGTGTCGAATGAGGTGATCTAAGGTAATTTAAAAGTAGATGGAAAATCTTATCAAGAGTCTCCTTATCCTTAATGTAAGATAAAGTGAGTCCATATGCTGTGGCAGCAGCACTTCTTGTACGGATGAAAGTGTCAATACCAACCAACATGACATCACCTTTGAAAATAGGTGCATCTATGTTTACATTGGAATCTTCTATAGGAATCCCCCCTGACATCTTGAGCGAGTCGCCACCCAGGGGCTGTTGCAGTTCGGGTTGCTTTCTCTTTCTACCGCGCTTTTCATTTCCATTACCATTTGTTCCATTTTCTGGTTCTTCTGGTTCGATACTACTACTTACTGACCTATCTGCCAGAGCATCAATATTTCGGTCAAATTGACCACCCAACATGGTACCGGATGGCCTCATGATTAGACTTGTTTGCATGCTATAGTTATGTCTGGCAATTCCAATAGGTGTCATTAATAATGTCAAAAGAGCCTGCGAATGGTTGTTATGATTGAAGATACTATCAATACTTGGCAAATCATTTGCATTTTGCATAATTTCGTCAATCATCTTATCATAAACCGTCACACTTAACTTCAATACGTCCCTATTTTGCTCAACCAACAAATTCTGGAAAAGAAGACGAATAGACTTGTAATCTATCCATTTTTTAGTCAATATATTGTCTATCATTAAAAATTCCAAAAGCGTCCTTAAGACTGCTTTTCTCACGTTTGTAATGGAATGTCTTAAAAATGGGAACAACCTTGGAACCAAGAGCTCAAAGGACAGCTGTAACAGATCTTCTGGACTCTCTGCATCCTGTTGCATGAGCTCAATAACTTCTTTATGAGTACACAATTTTGCTAACAAGTCCATAACCAGACCAATCGATGCCGACAAATCATCCTTTAAATTTGTCAAACAGTCCCAAATCACGGTCAACAACGTATGTACAATTTCAGTTTTAGTTTTACTGACAAACTCACTGACTATGGGGGTCAAAGTCAATGCCGCCACAGACTGCACATCGTCATCACTTTCTTTTAAACCGTGCAAAACCATATTGACCACTTTATCCAATAATTTGGGTTCACTAGTCAAGATATCCGTCCTAACGCTTACAAAGTATCTCAATCCTAACATCCCACCATGCAGCGCTTCCCAACACTTTGGAAAAATATCTTCTTGTAAGACCAATTGATTTAATGAATCGAATGCTTGTAGTACCGTTTCATCATTCAAATGTATTAATAGCGCAGCCAAAGTCTGCGCAGCAGATTCCCTAACTGGAATAACCACCGTATCACTAACATAATCACCAAATCTATCCAATGCAAATAACGTACAGAGCCTTATGGCCAAATCGGAGAGAGTAGATGCATTATTTTTATCGTTTTCCTCCTTGGATTTGTTCATAACCCTACCAGCACCTTTACCATGCTTTTTAATCAACTCTCTCAAACCCAAAGCAGAACCATGTCTTATTTCCCATCTGGTGTCAAAAAGATCTGCAAGAAGCAATTCATATACACCTTGAAATTGCCACACCAAACCGGCTACCTTAGCATGTTGAGAGATAAGAGGAGACAACTCGGATGGCTTTGTCTCCACCACTAATTTATCTCCTCCTCCTTGACTCGTGATATCAAATTTGGAGGCATCCAACTCTTGGTTTGTATTCTTTTCATCATTTGGATCACAATCTTTAACCAATTTTCTCGATATGGACGACTGTGAAAGATCTATAGGTTTTGTTTTGTTAGCATTGGTTTTCGCATTCACCTTTGCCCTTCTCTTCTGCATTGCTTTGAGACGAGCTGACAGGGCTGCAGACCCCACTGGAGCACCGGACAATGGAGTAGTGGCCGAAATGGGAGTTAAAGGCGGTATTGGAGTTCCACCCAGTGAAGATTGATCATCTTCTTCGTTATTGATTGCTTCAACAGTCTCCAATTTCACTTGAGAAATAAGTTCTGTTTCCACTTTCTCAATTTTCATCTCTTGAGAAATGGCCAATCTTTGCTTTTTCAATTTCTGAATCAAGCTATTTTCATTTTCATTATTATCATTACCGTTACTATCACCAATATTACCATTGCCATTATTGTTGTTTAATTCATATTCATCGCCTTCACTGGCTAAAAGTTTTACCCCACTCTTCAACAACTCATTCAAATTCCAAGCCGAAAAGTCAATTAAATTGTTCAAGTTATTGTCAATTTTCTGCAATTCTTCCTCTTCTTCCTGTTTTATTTTCAATTCAGCAGCTCCATCTTCTTCTTCTTTCTTTATCGTTATTTCTATCTCTTCTATCTGTGGCCTTTCTACAAGTTCTGCTTCCGATGCTGTTGCTTTCTCTTTCTCTTCATCTTCATCGTTTGCGTTGGGGTCCCATAGTTCTGCATGTGACACAATTCCTCCCAATGCCCTCGCAGCTGCAATTCTAGTTTCCCACTTGGGTGACTTCAAGTACGGGTATACCCTACCAAGAAGGTTGATGGTTTCCTCCGGATGTCCCTTTGATAAGTCAGATAATTGATCAGCTGCTGTGTTCCGGATAAACGGCGTCAGCGCCGTCTCCAATAGTATAACCAATCTATCTAACCGGGACATTCAATTGATTATTAATATTGACTGTTTGTGTTTTTCTGACTGCGACACTGCCAAATTTAAACTATTTTTTTGTACACCGCGAGTTCTTTATTCGCTTTCTTTTTGTTCTCACTCAAACGCTGTTCATTAACTTTGACTTTTTTTCAAAAGGCGAGATTGAGTTGTATTTATATCTTCACGTATTTTTCGAATCTTAGAAAATGGCAAAAAAAAAAAAAAAAAATAGGCAAAAAAAATGGATGGTAATAACGGTCAGATTCTACGCTAGAAAATGGGAATGGACTGCTGCAAGTATTGGAGTGAAGAGGATATTGGGCGGTACATTGGGTATATGTTGTATGGATGCTTCTACTTGATGGCATTTGCAAAAAGAGGAAAAAAAATAAAAAGCTGTGCCCTTTCTACTAATCACGTTGCTTGTTCAAGTGCGCTGTGTGCGCTGTGGATTCGAGTACTGTTTGTTCTATGTGGTAGGAAGATTGCATACAAGCACCTTTCATTGCATCGATGGCTGCAAAGCAAGCGCGCGCAGATGTTCTGTACCATCGATGCCTCTCCCCAACTGGCCCACTCCAAGGGCAATGTCAAGGGCAAACGGGAGTGCAAGACGGTAATTTTAAGTTTATTTTGAACTGCTTCGTGCTTCCAGGTTGCTTTGCGAAACATGTTTCCAGCGCCATTAACGAAAATAGATTTACCCGTCCAGCCCGTGTTCATGTTTCCAGCATCAGACTTCCCTCTTGTAATGTCAGGTCCAATGCATCCTGCAGCAAACGCCCAGCGTGGGTGATGGAAAATACATCACGTGACACAACCGTTCACACCATGGGCCCTCTATGGAGAGCAGGTTTCTGCCTCCTGGTCTCTGGTCTCTGCTTCTACAGCCCACTACTACATTCTACTTCTACATTCTACTTCTACATTCTGTTTCTACACTCTAGTGCTACTTCCCTAAGCTCGGTACTTAGCATTTGTATTAATTACGTGCTTATTTTGTATCTCTTGTTGGATAGTTGCAACTACAGTCTATCCAAACACCAGCCATGCATGTTTTCCACCCGATGTGCTCGCTCCCAAGAATGGTTCTTTCTCCATCTCTCTCTCTGGTACTACTTCTTCCACATCGGTGCACTCCCTCATCCTCCTTCTCTAAGCAAATTTCTCTTCTCTAGCCTTCTTAACCTCCTTCTTCTTGCTCTCAATGGCTTCTGTATCAGCATTGTAACTAACATTGGTGTCTTGATTCATTGGGTTCTCTGGAGCCTTTTGGAATTCCTTAAACAATAAGTTCTTGACTTGTTGCAATCTTAAACCTGGGTGTTCCTTCCTCAACTCTGGCAACCTCTTGTCCTCGTAAGCTGCGAAGGCAGCCTTGACTCTTCTTTCTGGATGTCTATCAATATCCTTGCTTGCAACCCCTCCATCCCTACTGGTCAATGCCAATGCTTCCAACGCACTTTCAATACCACTGGCACTCAATTCTGGAGTGTCCTTGTTGAAGTCCAAGAAATCATCAATCTTTCCGGTCTTCTTAGCAGCAACCTTAGCAGCTCCTCTTTGCTTAGCACTCTGTGGTTTTGTTGGTAAAGATGCTTCTTCTGCTTGTAACAACAAATCTCTTTCTGCCTTCTTTCTCGCAGCTTCCTCTTTCTTGAATTGCTCATCTTCCTTCTTCTTGTTTCCCTTCTTGGATCCCTTGGACCATTCTTCAGCTTCTTCAGCTTCAGCTGCCTCTAAAACAGCTTGCTTCTTTTTGTTTGCAGTTTCCGCCTTCTTGGCGTTACCAGCAGCTTTCTTTGAGTTTTCTGCACCTCCTTTCTTAGCCATTTTCAATATCTTATCTAACTAAACTTTGACTAGTCACCGACACCACCAGGCAGCAATTTTTTTTTGGTGCAACTTCATGAACATCCGAATCGGAGAGGGTATCACGTGACCGAGTCATGTTGATAGTGCGATGATGACGGTGTAGGAGACCAAAGGAGGTGCTACACCGATAGCTTGAAGAGCATGTACAGGAAATATCTGAGAGGTTACAAAAGGTAAGAAATCGAAGAGTAAAGCTGGCTTAGTTGTAATTGAGAGAATTAGCACTTGCGTACACGAAAAACACATTCTATGCAATCACACAGTAGAAATGAAAAGTTGCACCCTTTCTGATAACACCTCTCATCAATATTCAAAACCCAGTAGTTCTTACATTCTACAATTCAAACAGCTCTGCACAGCTCTGCACAGCACATCGATCTGTACGTTGACTGTTGCAAGCAAAATTCATAGCAAACGTTTTATTGTCGATTTACTTTGACAGCTTGTAAATAGATATATATATCACCAGATAAAAGAAAAGCCATATAATTTACTCAATAGCTCTACAACTTTGCTGGGTCAAATACAATTCTACCTTGAATTTGTCCCTTCTCTAACTTGTCAAAGTATGCAGGCAATTCTTTAATAGGCACAATGTTTGCAACAGGCTTAACTTTACCCTCTGCCACCCATTGCATACACTCGATCTGCTGCTGTGAGGTACCACCGAATGAAAAGAATACCTTGACTTCTCTTCTTGCTAGCTCATAATTTTTCATTTGCAACCTTGCTCTACCTAATCCAACTATAACAATAACACCCTTTTCACTGACATACTTCTGACACCCATCAAACGTTGGTTGGAAACCGACGAAGTCAAAGCATGCCTGAAAGGTTTCTGGTCTATGCTTTGATGTGTTAATATCGTTGTAGAACTCATCAGCGCCGAACTTTTGAGCGAGCTCCTTTGCTTCAGGTTTCAAGTCACAAGCAACAACATAGAGACCGTAAGATTTCAATATTTGTAAGGCATTGGCACCTAAACCACCCAAGCCGAATAATAAGACTCTATCGCCTGGATTTAAAAATGGCTTGGCCTTTTGAATGGCAGCGTATGGGGTCAAAACGGCATCGGAAGCAACTGCGGCCTCGACATATGACACCTTCTTAGGAATGGGTAACAATGTCCTCAAGTTAGACACTATAAGATACTGTTGGAATCCTCCATCTTGCGACAATCCATAGGCACTGCCCATTTTACCGGAACACATATTGTCATTTCCCAGACGACATCCCTTACATGACCCACACGAATCTGCAATCGTCACAGCAAATCTACCACCTACCTTATAGAGTGGGTGGTTCACCAAGGCTGAACCTACGGACACAATCTGCCCAGCAATTTCGTGTCCCATAATAAACTTGTCGGGAATTCTCTTGTCCTGACCCCAAAGCATGTGGAGGTCCGATGAGCAAAGTCCTGCTGCTTCAACCTTAAGAAGTACCTGCATCGGCTTCGGCTGTTTAACGACCAAGTTGTCATAACGGTGGATTTTCTTCTCGCCTCTGGCGAAACCAAACCCTGTTTGGTGTGTGGGTTGTGACATTGGGTGTTAGAATCTAGATTTTCAAGCTTTTCAATACAATATATACCTGCACAATCGAGAATAACTGTGTTGCAAGGTTTCCTGGGTTTGTTTTCTGCTTACCTGGGCCATCAACCTTTTATAATCGATCAGGTCGGGCTTGTGAAATTGCGGGGTCGACTGCGCGCGCATATGCGCACTGCGGATTCTAGCATTTTTCAAGGGCCATTAGCTTAAACATAAAGCCGGTTCAAGAGCCGTTGGTTTAGCATGACGGCAGTAGGTAGGTCCGAGATCATCGCGGGGGGACTTGGACACCGAACTAATAGCATCAGAGTATATCCCATTTCAGAATTTTCTTTCTTTATGTGTAAGATTGGAGTAATTGGCATATTAGTCAAATGCCTAATTTAGCCTGCTCATCTCACTCACGCTAGCCTGTAGATTTTTCATGTTCCAAAATTTTTTTTTTTTTTTTTTTACCTACGATAAGTCAAGCTTGGGAAGTGCAAGCTAGGAAGGTGTAGATGGATCCAATAGGGGCAATTTCTTCTGTTTGTGAGTTAAATATTCATGGTAACTCACTTGAGTTCTGGGTCTTGCTACCCACGATACTAATTGAGTGGAATTCGCTTCTTCTTCTTTGCGCTGCAGTGTGATGCGACCGACCTACGTTTATGCTGCACTTACGCTGAACTCATCTTACATTTACCTTACACTTGCCCTACACTGATCTTTTTTAATAAATACTTGTTATAGTGATTTCTAGATATGACTATGCATGTACTGCGCATGTATACATTTTTATCTTTTCTTTTCTTTTTTAGTTTTAATACCTAAGTTTCATGAGCTAGGTATGAGTGTTTTGTTCATTCATTCTTTTGTCTCTTAGCTTCTGGGACTTCTTCGCTGACTTCTGTTGGCCTTAAAGCTGGAGTGGTAATTTCGGCATGGAAATCCTTAATTATAGAGTCGACGTCATCAATGTTCAATTGTCTAACATCACCCAATAACTTAATCTTGGCAGTGATTTCTTTACATTGATCGTCACTTAAGTGCAAGTTCAATTGATCAACTCTAGATTTGATAGCGTTCCAACCAGTCAACCTGTTGGCGAAATGGATATACCTGGTTAAACCGAAATCTGATGGGTTTAAAATTTCGTAGGTTGATGGGTTGGCTAAAATGGCCTTGGCATGGATACCAGCCTTGTGAGTGAAGGCACAGAATCCAGTGATTGGGTTGTTGAATGGCACATTAACTTGTACGGCATCAGCAACCAAGTTTTCCAAGTCTCTCAACTTGTGTAATTTATATTTGGACAACACATAGTCTCTGTCGGCAGTGATCATTCTAGCCATGAGAGCACCCAATGGGGTAATACCGTTTCTTTCACCAATACCTAAGACTGAAACGTCAATCAATTTGGCACCAGCTTCCAAGGCAGTGTAGGCGTTGGCAATGGCACATCCAGTGTCATTGTGGAAATGACATTCAATGTCACATGAAACAACGGATTTTAAGGTCTTGACCAATTCGTAAACTTGTCTTGGGTTAGCGCATCCAACGGTGTCAGCAATACCAACTCTATTCACACCAATCTTGTCGACAGTTCTGTAAATGTTCAATAAATCAACAATGTCTGATCTGAAGGAATCTTCAGAGGAGAATCTGATCTCAATACCCTTGGATTTGACAAATTCAATAACCTCCACAGCGGTTTGAGCAATATAGTTCATATCCTTACCGTGAGAGTATTGTCTCAAGAATTGAGAGGTACCAATAACAACATCAACACCATCAACACCGGTCTCCACAGCGACTCTAGCGTCATCCATGTGACATCTAATATGGGTCAAAATCTTGGCTTTTAATCCTAATTTGCAGATAGCTTCACAATCTCTTCTAGATTGTTCGGAGGCAACTGGAGAAGTCAATTCAATGTAATCAACTCCAAAATCATCAAGAGCTTTGGCAATTTCGATCTTCTTTTCAGTAGTGAAAAAGGCGTTAGCAAACTGCTCACCCTCACGGAGGGTTGATTCGATAACTTCGAATTTATTTACGTTAGACAAAAAGTCAGAAGGATTTGGCCCGTAGGGATTAGAAGTAACAGACATTATGTATCTATCTTTAAATGTATTGTTTCAAGAAGTGAATATACTGAGTTAAGAAACGAAAGAAAAGAAGGAAAAGAAAAAATGAAAGAGTGAAAAATTTGTCTTACTAAATAGTGTTTGGTTGAAGAGTGAAAAATTTACTCATGCATCATGAGCAAGCTCAATGAAAAAAAAAAAAAAAAAAAAAAAAAAAAAATAATTCCTGCTAAGGGCCGGCGGATGAGTCAGATAAATATAGTGAAGGAAGGCTTACTCGCCGGAGTTCAAGGTGCTTGTACTACAGTAGGCCACAGAAGAGGAGATGCTACAAAGAAAGAGAAAGAGAAATAGTTGTGTTAGTCACATTGCAGGACATTCAATAAATAGTCAATTACGCTTGAGTGAGCTGCGTTATCTGAACTAGGCTACATAATACATTGAATCATACTTTGTGTAGACAATTACTACAGCTATACTGAAAAGTGTAGTTTCTTTTTTTTTTTTTCACTTCATCATCTCTTTATTCCCATTCTCTTATTTCCTCAGCTATATTTTTGACTGGGGCATTTCCTTCCATACATGGCCACTCGTTTTATAGTCTTCTGGACTTTTTTCCCCAGAATGAGTCATCGCAATCGGCGCTCTCCTTATCAGGTGCACGGATGATAGCAAGATAAGAATTTTATCTAATTAGAGGAAAGTGACAAGTGATCACGTGACTAAATCGGTTGCACATGAAGTTTACCGACTAGCTTGCTTTGGGACCGGTCTATAAGAATACTGATATACAATAAGGTTATGGTCTGAAAGACACCGCTGGCGTGTTTTTGCTAGTAATTGAAGCAAGGCAGCTAAGATAAAAGCACACTTTCCTTCTTGCATGCTGACAGAAAATTGTCTCATTGTATGGTATTGTTGTCGTGTTCTTGCTAGTAGATTATTTAAAGCGCACACTTTTACTTCTGCTTCTAACTCTCTCCTCTACTACTAGTAGATCCCTCCTTTCTCTCTCTTTTTCTATTCCTTCACTCTTCCTTCGCTTCTCCTTACTTTATTTTTCTGTTTCATTCATTTTTCACTATATAATAATTTACACTAATTCACATTTACCAGCAATACATCAATGTAATATGAGTACTCTACCATCCCAGCCCTAAATGGCCTCTGTTACCATTTTTACAAATCTAAATATCTCTGACTTCATCTTAACAAGCTCAATCTGTTTAACAGAAAGTTTCCCATTCATTCTTGAGGTCAAGACTCCGACAATATTGTCTAACTCTTCACCTTGTAATCCGGTAATATGTTCCCAGTTCAACTTGTTAATACGATGGTTCTTCAAAGTAATTTTGAAACATCCAATGATCAATTTCTTTACGGAAAATTGCATTTCGTTGTAACTAACGAAATTGTTGGTCTGGTTAAGATAACGCAACAAGTACACAATATCCATATAACGGAAGAGATATATCATACCTTGCATGAAAAGTTGCAAGGACAAGTTTAATCTCAGGGTCAAGATGAGTAAGAATTTCTCCAAGGGTAATTCCTTTTTGCTTGTATGCTTCGTTGATTCTGGTGGGAAAGAATTGTTAATCTTGCTTGCCATGTACTTAACTACAATAGTCATGAGTTGGGTTCTTTCCTTTACGAATTGAGCATTAGAGAGAACAACGGGCTCGTTGACTTCTTGTGAGTTACTAGCTTCAGTCTCTGATTTGGGAGATGACTCTTCTTCTGAGCTCTCTGGACTTTTGCTTGATTCTATCTTCAACTCTCTCTTCACCGATTCTGCAGTGGCAGACTTAGGCGAAGAGTCACCTGTTCTAGAGCAAGCGGACTCGTTGTCAGAATAATCTTCATTGTCAGATACCAACAATGGGACATCATCTGCAGTTGAGAGACCCACAGCGGAGGAGATCACAGCTGCCTTTGGCGCACCTCTCCTAACACGATTCATTTGTAATTCTTTTTCTTCTTGTTCTTGCTTTGCAGCAATCGCCAACGAGCCGATTGTAGTAGTTATAGATTTAGTCAAGTAAGAACTATCTCTAATTGTTACCATTTTATATTTCTATTTTGTTAATTTTATCGTTAATATCTCGGAATTTCACACTTCCAGTTGAGTATACGAAATAATATTATCTTTGAATATTGATTAAGTTATGTTGATTTACGTAATGTTTTGTGGTTTTGAATGGTGTTTCCAAATATATTTGCCTTCCTTTCTATTCCTTTTATGTACCTTTTGCAGTATTTTTTCATGTATAATTTTCTTCTTTTGTAAGGTGTTTGCCCCCAAAGAGAAAAATTTAGAACTTCATTCTACAATTTAATAAAATCAGTATATAAAAAAATCAAAATAAAATAAAAAAGAAAACTCAGATAGTTTGCACTAAGCTGTATTTAATCAGTTGATGATGATACCTAGTGTTGTTGTTAGTGAAGTCTAAATTAAATGCTTAACTTAAACGACGTGTATATTAATATACCAGTGAGATGAACAGGAAACAATTTTAGGTTGAAATAGAGTATCCAGAAGACTGAAGAAAAGAGTAGTAAATGAATGGTAGTGGTGACTAATTTTCCCATTTTTTTGAGAAGGGGAGAGTAGGGGAGAAATTATTGATGAGTCAACCACATGAGCCATATGCAGGAACGAAAGAGCCGTAGTAAAAAAAAAAAATCGAAAAATTTAAAAAAAAAAAGAAAAATCTAGTACTTCCTGCAGGTTCACCGTTTTTAATGTAACGAGACTTAAATACATAACAGGTCGTAGGAAAACTTAAAACATCTCCTCCAACAGGTAAGAAAAAGACATTGCTAGACAAAACATCTGGGAAGAATGCTACATACATGGCGATTCTCTTCAGAAAAGCCTGTGTTCGCTCGGTGGTTGGGTAGTTAGTGGCGCTGTTGGATAGATGTATGTAAGGCATTTAGTAGCCCTATATGCAGGTCAGTACTTTTATGCTGCTTGACATCACCGAGATGTTCCGAGTGTGAGAGTAGTAGTGAAGAGCACGAGTGGCCGTTGGGTAGTTGCTTTATATGCATTCTTTACCCTTGATGCACTAGATGATTTCCTTTTATTAATCTTCATTCCAGTATTGGTTTCGTTTATTTTAGCTTTGCTTATTTTTGGAGCACGTCACCACTCGTTCTATATAGTAGGTACCTATTGATCTACCAAGAATGCCTACCAAATGCACATTCTTCGCGAGTGGTTACCATCTGGACCACAGCTCTTGGCTATCCGTTATCTCTATACTCCTTATTAGTTTCATTATTGCCCTCTACTACCAAATGAAACATCTACTACCTATTGTTCCTCTCATTGATCGGCTTCCCATAACCTCCTGCATGCAACCCACTTTCCTAAATCGAAATCCTTAAATTTTTTTTTTTTTGTGACTTTTTCAGCTTGATCCAATCCTGACTCTTGTAAACAACTTAAAACCTCAAGGTAGTAAGGGAAAGTAGCTACAATAGTTCTGAAAAGTTGGTAATTACATTTATCTAGACAATTACAACCTCATAACTAGATATTCACTTCAAAAAAGTTTCTGTTTTTGCTCATTCCTTTTACTTAACTTTCATTTTATTTTCCTCATTTTGATGACATCAGAAACTTCCATGCGATTAAGCACTTCCACCACTCGTACCTATAAAGATGCTATCAATGCCTTGAATACCCTTCAATCAAATTTTGCGTCCATTGAAGCAATCAAAAAATTAGGGCCAAATGTGAATAAAAACCAGTTATCTATTAACGAAGTATATGAATACACAAGAAGATTGGGATACCAACCGAAGGACTTTAACAAGTTGAATTTGATTCACGTTACCGGTACCAAGGGAAAGGGATCTACCTGTGCTTTCACCGAATCCATATTAGAACAATATAGACTTAAAAACGGAGGAGGAATCAGTAAGATTGGTCTCTTCACTTCTCCACATTTGAAGACTGTCAGAGAAAGAGTCAGGATCAATGGAAGACCAATTGATGAAAACAAATTTGCCAAGTACTTCTTTGAAGTCTGGGACAAGCTTTCTACCACTGAGTCTGATGTGGAAAAGTTCCCCACGTTGCAGCCTTCAGATACAGTGAAGCCAATGTACTTCAAGTATTTAACAATTTTGAGTTTCCACGTATTCATGTCTGAAGGCGTGGATACAGCTATCTATGAAGTTGGTGTTGGAGGAACTTACGACAGTACCAACATTATTGACCAGCCAACAGTGTGTGGGATCACCAGTTTAGGTATTGATCATACTTTCATGTTGGGAACCACAATTGAGTCCATTGCTCATAATAAAACAGGGATTTTTAAGAAAGGCTCACCTGCTTATGTAAGTGAGCAGTTGGAATACCCAGAGTCCCTTAAGGTTATTGAAGAAAGAGCTAAAGAGTTGGGTGTATCCAAGTTGGAAGTTGTCTCTGCACTGGAGATACCCAAGGACATTAAGCTAGGTTTAGCTGGAGATTTTCAAAAGTTGAATGCAGTCTTGGCTGTTCAACTTGCAAGGGAACATTTAACAAAATTAAACGTTTTACCCCCAATTGAGGCGGGCGAACTGTTCACTTTGACCCCAGAATTCATCAAGGGTCTTGAAGTTGCCAAATGGGAAGGTAGATGCCAGATTATCAAAGATAAGCCAACGTTTGAAAATATAACTTGGTATATTGACGGGGCTCATACGTTGGAATCAGTGAACGTAGCATCAAGTTGGTTTAGAAAGGAATTGACTAACAAGGCTCCAACTTCCACCAAAAGAGTTCTTTTGTTCAACCAACAAAGTCGTGAAAATGCTACTGCATTGTTAGCAAAACTCTATGAAAATGTTGTCACCGATTCATTTGCATTTGATCATGTTATTTTCACCACCAATGTCACTTGGTCATCTGGTAAATATAACAGTGATTTGGTTTCTCTCAATACATCCAAAGAACAGGTTGATAAGTTGATAATCCAGAAGGAGTTGGCCGAAGCTTGGAATGAGCTTGATTCCTCCGCGACTAAGAAATCTAGAAAGCACATCTTCGCCGACATTGAAACTGGTGTGAACTTTATCAAGAGTTTAAGCGAGGACAAGGTTGAGGTTTTTGTTTGCGGTTCTTTGCACTTGGTTGGAGGGCTATTAGTAGTCTTGGACAATGATACAGAGTAATGTCCGAAGAGAAATGAAATGATACAAATGATTAATATAGATGAGAGTATTAGTATGAATACATATACTATGTATATTTTAATGTAATAGAACTTCATAGTGACTTACGTTTATTTTGATTCACCTCTTTCTTCTTAAGTTTCTGTATTTGTCTATTTCATGCATTATTTAACCTTGATTATTAACGATGTTTTCCCTACTAGTATTAACGATGTCTTTGATGTTGTGCAAAGAATTCTTCCAGTCATGTAAAACCTTTTCAACAGCTTCCCAGTTCTTAGTGTTATCCTCGCTGGAGCCAGCAAGAACAAATCTATTTGCTCTTGTCAAGTAGAATGATTCATTAAGTTGATTTAATTTACCTTCAATGACGCCTGCCTTGATGGACTTGATCAATAAAGTTTCGAGTTCGATAGGAGAAGAGACCAAAGTGGATGGAAAGTCGGCATATTTAAACACAAACACACCGTTCAGTTCTGCAAAGAACTTGGTGAGAGCCAAGATCTTTGACTTCTCAGTGACGCTTGGATATTGGGATGGAGATTGAATAATTTCACCGTGTACGTACTTGTCGAACAAAGCTACAAGTTCGTCGCTGGATTTGTACTGTTGTATAGCCTCGCTTACGTTGGAGTTGACTAAGAATGATACGTCAACAACTTCAGTCTTGAAGGCGAAATCAATCAATGAATGTAACTCTTCCAATTTTACAACTTTGTAGTTTGAGGTGAATTTTTTGATGACTTGTAAGGTTTCCAATGAATATTCTACGTTATCCAATGAAATGAATTGCCAGAATATAGATCTGATTTCATCTTCACTAGCACCTGCAGTGGTCAACCATTGGACTAAGTTTTGCCCAATAGCTTGTGAAACGATGTTGAAGTTTAATTGAGAGTCCTTGACAATGGACAAGATCTTGGAAACAACTTCAATTCTGTATTTGGAAGTTTCAGGCAAGAAGTTGAAGATGTTGTTTAAAAGTGACAAAATGCTGCTTGCCTTGATAGATTTTCTGTCTCTTAAAGTTGGTTGTTTTGCTGGGTTGATGTTGGTGAGTTGGGTTAAAAGGGTTGGGTACTTGTCCAAAACTTCAGTCATTGATCCAGTTAATTCAATGAGAATGTACACAGCCAAGTTGAACGTTGGTTCAAATTCTTTGTCAGAGAGCTTGGCTAAATCGACTATACTTTCGAATATTTCATTACTTAAACCAAGTTTATCAGTTATTTTACCTTCTTGATCAATGTATTTGTCCAATGACTCAGATCTACTCTTGTTTTCGTTAGCAGTATCAAGAATTTGCCCGTAACCTTTAACAGAGTCCTTTAACTCTTGCTCTACGATAATAACCGATTGCATGATGTCCACTGGTGTTGATATATATAGCTAAAAGGAAATACACTCTGCCTCCAGTAGCTTTTTAGAATTCACAAACGTTAAAAAAAAAAAAATCAATGAAAAAAACTGAAAATTTTCATTCATCATATTTATATACAGAACACCTGGACACCCACGTTACATGGAGCAAAATAAGGTCTATCAAGCCGGCGTCACAATAGCAGCAGGAGCAAAGTTGAGCTAGAAAATGATCAAAAGTGCAGCCTAAACTAGATTGGTTGCGTAAAATATGTGTTATGGCTTATGCTAGTGTGACTTTACTGGATCTGTTGTCTACTTCCTTGACGTACTGTGGACTCTCAGTGAAAAATCTCCATATTGCTACTGCATATAACCTTAAAAATTTATGCCAGATATTCCTTACTTAAGCAGCAATGCAAGGCTGCAACCATTGTGGATCTTCGTTGAGTACACACAACAGTTACCGAAGTTACAGGTAGAAAAGGAGAGCAGTAGATGAGAATCATCAATAACTAAACTATGTTAAAGAAAGAAAAAGAAAAAAAAAAGAATTTGCCTTTTCAATGCTCTTCTATATGTATGTATTTATTCTTTCCTGTCACTATTTAGTCTTCATCTTCCTCTTCCTCATTGATGGTGAATTTAGGTTCGTACATGCTTGTTGCTGCCTTCGGTGTCTTTACAGCTTTATCCTCGACTTGATGTGTATCTTTAATAGTAGGTACAGCAGAGCTGGAGGTTGGTGGAGTTCCCGTAAGAGGCAGTACCGCTCCTGGCAGATGTTTGCCCTTTTCCAATGCTCCAGGTTTTCTTCTCATTTTGCTGAATTTTTCAGGAACTGGAGGTGAATGAGATCTAGCGAATGGTTCATTCAGTATTCCATTAATAAAGGTATTAAATATATTAGTAGATGCGAAACCATTCCCATTCCCACTACCATTTTCATTTGTAAGAGTATGAATCTTAGTCCTATCCATTGGCACAGGTGCTCTAAGCTGCAGAGGAGAACTAGATCTCATTATGAGTTGTGGGGCTGGAGATTGAGTACGGTCTGGAATTTCCAAGGCAATTGGGGCGTGAAAGTTCGAATCTGTGCCATTGAGGGAACTTTGATCAGAAATTGACGATGTATTAGATGAAACTTGGGAAAGCTTGGGTTTAGTCTTGTAGTGAGCGGCAGTATTGTTTGTCGAGGTCGACAATATTGACATATCGGAAGACATGGTTCGACGGTAGCTTGGCCTCTTCCTAATACCTCTTCTACTGCTAACTGATGATGAAGGTGCCATACCTGCTGGTAAATTTTTTAGATCACTATGAGAATTATTAACTGAAGATTCATACATACCATCTTCATCATAATAATCATCAGTGTCAGTTCCACCCAACATATCAAGTTCAGATTCAGACATCATGGTAGAGAGCTGACTTAAGTGACTTAGTTGACTTACCTGAGAAATCAAACTGGATGGCCTAGTTCTATTTTTGGAGGTGTAATATCCTGAAAAATCCCTTGATGTAGCTGCAGAAAAGCTTCCGTTCGTACTATTGACAGTAGCACTACCATTTAGCATAGTACTGTTATTGTTATTGATGCTATTGTTGCTATTGCTTTTGTTGACATGCAGCGGATTCAAGTGCATACCGTTATTGGCATCAGTGCCACTTCTATTGTTAATGTCGTCGGAATGGTTCGAAACTTCAATTGGTGGTTTGTGCGCTGATGATGATAATTCTGCACCGAAGTTATAAACTTTCGTTTTGTCTAACGGCTTTGAATATTTACCATTTGCATTACTTGCGTTGATTTTCTTTTCATCGCTAGCTTTCTCATTCCCTTCACTACTGGTAGAAATACTAATAGTATTACCTATACTGTTTTTCTCTTCATGAATATCATCCATTTCGTCGGCTCCCTTTTTCCAAAATTGTAGCTTGTTAAGAATCCTTCTCTTCCTTGTTTTGTCTTCTATTCCCAAATAAGGGTAAGTTGACGAGTGTGTACTCACCGTATCTCTCTCTGGTTGGAGGAAAGATACAGCTCTTGAAGACGGGGATTGTTGGCCAGCAGCGTTTGGATTGGCTGGAGCCATAGAAATGGAACCAATTGATGGATTTGTAGCAGGAGAAGCAATTAAAGGCACACTACTGGGAATGGTCTGAGGAACAGTACCTGCCGAACCTCCATGTTCTCTATTCATGCTTATTATACTTCTTCTATCTCCAGGGCGGCTTTGTCCGCTGACACTACCTCCAGCGCCACCTCTTGAACTGATACTCAAACTACTTAAAATTCTTTCCAAGGGTTGAGTACCATTTACTTGATCTGTTAATGATAATGCACTCTTAACCTTTTGTTTAGAATTCTTCAAACTTCTTTTGGCTTCCTTATATCTCTTTCTTCTCTCCTGATAATATTTCAACTTCTTTCGTTTATACTCCCTTGTTAATGCTAATTCGTAAAATGCAGTCAATGTATTTGTTTTGTTTTCAATTATGTTTTGTTTAATTTGTTCTAAATCTACGTTCAATTTGGTGAACGATTTTAATAGATTCTTTTCGATTTTGGTTTCAAAAGGTTGCCTAGCACAATTCGGTGGAACACCGGCATTATTAGCCCCACTAGATGTATTGTGGTTGCCAGAGTTTGTACCACCTTTGCTTCCTTGTTGTTCTAGTGCTTGGTAATGTTGATTTATGGATAAGATTGATTCGGAGTCGCTGATTCTTCTTTTCGATGTGGAGTTACTACTTCGCCTTTTGACAGCCATTCCTTGTAAGAATGAAGAATTCATTATATCGGCCAAGGTAGCCCTCTTCTTTGGATCTTTTACAAGCATCAGTTTAATCAACTCAATTGCATCCTTCGGTATAATTTCTCGGTACTTGGGCTCCTCATTTACAATCATATATTTATTTTGCATGTCATCATCTTCATCAAATGGCATTTCTCCGTACAACATTGTGTACAATATCACACCTAAGGACCATACATCAGCCAGAAAGCCCGAATACTTGGAGCTTGCTAACATTTCTGGTGCCATGTACACTGTGGTACCACAAATAGTGGAGAGTAAAGACCTCTTCTTAGGATTGAATTCCCTAACAAATCCAAAATCTGTTAACTTAACCAACGTCTTTTTCAGATCTGCAAGTAAAATATTCTCTAGCTTCAAGTCTCGATGACATAGGTTCAACAGATGAACATATGATACACCAAGAATTATTTGATAGAACAACTTTTGACATTGCTTATAATCTAGCCTTCTGGAATTGTATATGTGATAGTACAACTCATTACCCTCACAATATTCTAGGGCCATCCATAAGTGAGTTTCCGTTTTGATTACTTCGTACAACTTAACAATGTGCTTGTGACGTAGTTGGCTGTGGTAGTATATTTCTCTTACGATATTTGGGTCATCTTTGGGACCACACTTAAGGACAACTGGAACATTTAGGAGCACATGGTTCGCCAAGTACACTTTGCCAAAGGCACCTTCTCCCAAATCTGAGGTGATCTGGTAATTCCCTATTTGCTGAACATCAGAGGATGTAATTTGAAGATAGAATTGATTAAATCTGTCAGCGAGCTGTGCCTTATAATTGTTTTCTGAATATCTACCATTCATGGAGACTAACGTCGCAGATTAAACGATAAAAAAGCAATGTAGGTTCCTAGCGGGATTGATATAGCTGAGAATTGGAAATATAGTAATTTAGCAAGGCAAATACTAGCTATTCGTTGATGTCTGTACTCTTAAATGCATACTAACACCACCTACGGAGAAAGAAAATTGTGGTTATTATATGCAGTTCTATATTAAAGCCTGGTGGTGTATGAGAAAAAATGTCTAAGAAGAGAGAGATGCAGCCATGGCAAGAGAGAGATAGGTGGGATTGTTATAGCTGAACAGAAGAATTAGATAGCGTAGACGTAAACAATATTGGTTATAGCTATTTATAACACATAAACAGAGACACATACGCACATAGACGCATATTTATATATTTATATATATATGTATCTATCTCTTACTTTCATACAGAGGTCATAATATATATTTATTCGTTAGCGTACAGAGATGATAAGATCATTGCGACCTTATACTAGCCCAAGGAAATATACGCTATTTTCTTGTGGTAGCCATAGTTGGCTCAGACTTCAAAGCACTGCTGCTGGACGCACACGGAAGCTTAAAGCTAACAGCGGTATAACGGTGGAAAGTTTCAAAGCTGTCATTAGCCCATTGCTTAAACCACTTTTCGATGAGCTCAAATTTCCAAAATCATTATCTGGGACTCCCAACCAGATTGAACGTGAAATTGTAAAAAATTTTGAAAGCTGCATAGATTTTCATGTTACCAATTATGTCAAACAAAACTCGTTAGGTTCTCAGCATGAACTACCCATAGAATCGTATATAAACCCTAAGATCAGTGAAATAGCTCGAATAGTAGTTAACCTTCGCACGAATCCACCGCCTGGCTTGACCAAACTTTTCAATGTGAGAACTAAGGCCGAAGTTCTAAGTAAAATTCTCTTGAAATTGTTGGAGAAGGAGAAACTAAAGTATGCCGTCACAGAAGTAAACTTTCCTCAAAAGAACATAGACTTATCTAATCCTGCTGAATGGTACCCCGAGGCCAGAAAAATGAAGAGGAAATTGATCTTCCATGTAGGTCCGACTAACAGTGGTAAAACGTACAATGCTTTAAAGCTTTTGGAAAATGCTAAGCTGGGTTACTATGCGGGCCCCTTGAGATTGCTTGCGAGAGAGGTGTATGAGACTTACCACAAGAAGGGCATTCGGTGTAATCTTATTACTGGGGAAGAGATAATTCCAGATATTGATGGATACGGTAACGTTGCCCCCATTTCTTCAGGGACCATTGAAATGGTGCCTACCAATAGGAAAATGGATATCTGTATTATAGATGAGATACAGATGATCTCTGATAAACAAAGAGGTGAAGCATGGACGGCAGCCCTCTTGGGAGTTCAAGCCAAAGAAATTCATTTATGTGGTGAAGAACTGGCGATTCCACTTATACAAGAAATTTCTAAAATTACCGGTGATGAAGTTAGCATCAACACTTATGAGAGATTAGGAAAGTTACTTGTAGAACAAAAACCAATAAGTGAAAATGAAAACAATAATTTTAAAGATCTTAAGAAAGGAGACTGTATTGTTGCATTTTCGAAGTTGAAGATTTTGCAATTCAAGAGAAATATCGAAAATAATTCTCACTGGAGAGTTGGAATCATTTACGGTGCTTTACCGCCAGAAGTAAGATCAGATGAGGCAAATAAATTCAACAAGGGAGAATATGATATATTGGTAGCATCAGATGCAATTGGAATGGGACTTAATCTCAAAATCAATAGAATAATTTTTGCAGATTCCACAAAATTTGATGGTAATAAGGTTACGCCATTGACTGTTTCCCAAGTTAAGCAGATTGCAGGCAGAGCTGGACGATACCAAGCTGATGGAGAGCTGACTGGATATGTAAATGCAATTGGGCTGAAGAACTTAAAGGTTATTGGAGCGCAAATGAAAAAACCACTAACGCTGTTGACCAAAGCCTTTATCTGGCCAACTCCACAGATATTATTTAAATATATTACATCATTCCAAAAAGGGAGTACGATACTTGATGTTATTAGGCATTTCGAAGATGAGTTTACTGCAGCAGGAATGAATTCATCTGCTCGTAACTCTAGCTCACTTTACAGAGTTACCGACATTTATTCCAGGAAGATGATCTTGAAGGTTTTCCTCAAGAAACACATTAATGGTAGACTCACTATTGAAGATCTGCTTAGGCTAAGTATTGCCCCAGTTAATTTAAACCGAGCAAGTGAATTCACAGAAGATAAAGTATTCACTTATTTTAAGAATATTGGACTGGCCATCAGTAAAGATATTATTAAAATGAAGGTGAATGACATGAATATATTAAAGAAGGAGCCATCCAGGTTCATGAGGTACGAACATGCCATTAGGACTGTGGGCAGATTGGAAGAAATGCATAAGTTGACACTATTATTTCTTTGGTTAAGTCAAAGATGGCCCACTTTATTCGTAGACAAGGAAGCTGCCATTGACTGCAAGTCACTCATTGAAAAGAGAATAACAGAAGAATTGGAAAACTTAAAGAGAGTGAAGGTCCTAAGACAGCATAAGAAACCAAATAAGCACCATGCCCAAGATTCAAGATCTTTATATTAATCAAGCAAATTGTAAATAGAAGCGAACCTGTAAATAGAAAGGATTATAAAAACGTATATAATATCAATAAAATACTTTCACATATCTTAACATTTGCAAATGACGAACCTGAAGTCCTAGATAGGACCAAGGCTATATATAAAGGCTCTTCCTAATGTCTATTCAGCACTGCACATAGGACTCCATTTTTTTTTTTTCTCTTTTATTTTGGTGAAACTGCAGCAGCATAGCGTCTAATGTTAACCGATTGATCCTTGCAAAAACTGAGCGACAAATTCCAACAAAATACTGAGCGATGAAAGAGGTATTTATATTATCAGTGTAAAATTGAGGAGATAATATCGTGACTTTTACAGTATCATTTAAGTTTTGGCAATTCTGCATTTTGTTTGACAGAAGTGTTGAGCCAAATCCCCACATAGGTCCCCCACTTAGAAAAGTTTATCTGCAGTCGATTCCCCCCACACTCTGGCCATATCGAAGTATATAAGTAACCTAAGTTTTCATCAGATAAAAAAAGGCACTCTAGCTACTGGTTACTAAGAAAAGTTCATTATCATAATAAAATGAAGTTCATTGTAGTTGGTGGGCCCGCTGGTACAGGGAAAACAACATTAGGAGAAAAATTATCTGAATACCTTGGATGTCCTTACATTGAGGGTGATTCTTTGCACCCAAAGGAAAATATTGACAAGATGTCAAAGGGTATTGCGTTAACAGACGAAGACAGATGGGGTTGGTTACAAGTGCTCAGTGAGATTACTGTGGAAAAGGCCTCTCAGTCCAGTACAAAAACCGCAATTGTTTCATGTTCAATGTTGAAGAAAATTTATAGACGATACATTGAAAAATGCGCAACTGCAGCAAACCAAACTGATGAACCCATAGAGTTTAGATTTGTATTTCTCCATACAACGTTCGAGGAATTAATGAAGAGGGTGGGAGGAAGACAGGGCCATTACATGAAATCAGATATGGTTATGAGTCAGTATAACATTATGGAGGTTCCAAAGGATGACGAGTTATTACTGAATGGCGGAAACTGCCTAGAATTTGACACCACAGGAAAGGACCCTGAGAAAGTGTTCACCGAAGTGCTGGAAATTTTCTAAATCGGACTTAGACATAATGAACAACTTGAAAAGTAATAGACTAGAAGATCGAAACCTAAACCAAATAAACTGATTTAGTTTAGTATTCAACAGTAAGAAATTAAGCTTTTTCTTTCCCTTTCGTTTTGAATTTCTTTTTGTCTCTTTTATGCTTTACGCTTTACGCTTTATGCAAGGACTTGTTACAGTGAACTAGTCTCTTTGAAATTTACTTGGTGAGTAACTACCTAACAAACGTCTTTCTATTTAGGGTTGACTTCAAAACCAACTCGTACCATTACACATATCTATTTGTTTGGAAGTCAATTGCGACTGACGTAGTACACTCCCTATCTCTTCACGCATTTCGAAGCAATGCTCCCACTATGTGGTGGCTGAGATCCTACAATTTCACTGGGGGAAGGAAGAAGGGACTCATCAGACACTCACTGACTATTTTTTTCCCTTTAATATTTTTTCCAGCCTATCCGTACCTTGAAACATTCGTCTTACGTGCACCTTGTTTGTACACTTTGGAGTTTTCAGATCACCTTCAGATTTAGTGTTTCTTTGGGGGGTATTTTGGTTAGTATCCTTTTTTTTTTTTTACATTTAGCTAGCTTTGGTTTTTAGTGTTTACGAAGCTTGCGATTCTAAGCTGTAAAAATACCGGGAACTGAACCAGTGCTCTTTTCCAAACAGCCCGGCCTTTGATCATATATATGTTGACAATGTTTGATCCTACAGAACTACAGTACCTTAATCCTAATATCGACAGAAGGATAGCGATCGTCACCGGTGGGAATTCAGGAATAGGGTTCTACACCGCATTACATCTCTATCTTCACGGATACATAGTCTATATTGCGGGCAGAAACAAAACAAGAGTTACAAAGGCCATTGTAGAAATGAAAGAGGTTGCCAACGTTAAGACTTTGCAATACTCACCAGACCAAGTTACGGAGAGATACAACGGAGAACTCTTCTTTCTTGAGATCGATCTCTTGGATTTGAACTCGGTTATACGGGCAGCGGAGATCTTCAAGTCGTTGGAGTCAAGCTTGCACATTCTAGTCAATAATGCCGGTGTCATGGCATTGCCATTCAGTTTAACCAAGGACGGATTTGAAATTCAACTACAAACTAACTATATCTCGCCATTTTTATTCACCACAAGGCTTTTGCCCTTGCTCGAGAAAACTGCAGCTACACCCAATAAAATTGCTGGGTCTACTGAACCTATCCAACCAAGAATAGTGTATGTTTCGTCCATTGGTCATCACTTTGCATTCAGATACTTCAATATGAATTCTCACTTCCAGTATTACCCCAATATTATGTTTACTTGGTTCAGATATGGGATAGCCAAGACAGCAGCCATTCATTTCATGAAGATGCTTGCTTTAAGAAACCCCAAGATCTTATGCCTTCTGGTTCACCCTGGTTTTGTTATGAATACCAACTTATTTGCCTACTGGACCAGATTGCCTATAATAGGTATATTGTTTTGGTGCCTTTTCCAAATCTTTGGATATATATTCGGTGTTAGCAATGAAGAAGGTGCAATGGCAAGCTTAAAGTGTTGCTTAGATCCTAGTTTGAATGTAGAGCAAGATAACGGGAAATACTTTGCCACAGGAGGTGTTGAGGCTTCTCCCTCAAGAGTAGCTAGAAACATGGATTATGCGGCAAGAACATGGATTTGGACCTTGAAGGAATTGGGGAATAGAGAGATTTCCATATGATAGGGTTTCTGCTAAAGAAAAGTAATAATAAGTGTGTTTAATCGCTAATAACTTCTGCATAATTGTACATGATATTAATGAGAAATCCTATAATTGGTATGTAGAATTTGTATGTAATGTCGGCTATGAATATGTCCATCTTTTCACCTTGTTCTCATGTTTACAAAGGAGTCTTGTACATCCAAGTCATCAGAATCGTACTCCTCCTCCAGATCTTCCACATCCTTATAGCTTGCGGGAAATTCTGCCTCATCACTTGTGTAGTCACTGTCATTATTGTATACCCGCTTTCTTTCGATGTTTGTAGACGACGGCCCAGCAACGTAATTGGAAAGGTCTTTCTTTTCAACTTTAAGCGCATTCCTCAAGAAGAATTCGAAAAAATCGTCTTCATCTATATCTACACCTTCCTTTTCGAAATATTCTGCAGCTGCTTCTCTTTCGTCCTGGTCATCATCTTCTCCATCTTCGTCCTGGTCATCCTTTTCAAATAAGTTTCGTACCTTATCCTCATCTTTGAGGAACTCCGTCATTTGAGCCATCAACTTCTCTTGATCTCCTGAAATCACATTATCATTAATATCACTTTCCTTTTCATCAAATGCGTACTTCTTAGGAGGAATCAATTTGTCGAGCCTTCCCTGAGATATTAACTTATTTTGAAGTCTTATTCTTGTCAATTCAATGGACTCAGATCCAGAAACCCGTTTGAGATTTTTATATTCTTCAACTAGTTTAGTAGATTTTCGTAATAGTTTGTCGAATCCTGCCATGAGGATCAGGGCCAAAGATTCATCCGCTTGCTGGTCCACAAATGTTGCTATCCAATCCGGAAGTCCAACTTGAAGTGTAATAAATTCCTCTTCGTTGCTGACACTCAGTCTATCATGCAGAGTCCTTTGATCTCTTTCCTCTCCATCCTCACGGAGAGAACTGTTGCTGTAGTATGTCATAAAAGATGCGGAAATCAACCAAGGATACCGCATATATACACTAGCCAAGGCTCTCGGTATCCTTACTTCTGGTACATCAACTACACCCTCTAGAGCATTCTTCAAGTAAACAGATTCTTCGCCTTTCCTAAAAACAGATCCATACTGAACACATTGATGGGCATTGTGTTGCATGAAATCTAAGGAATCCTCCAAGAGAATATCTTCGCCTGGGTGAAACACCAGCGGACTTATATACAATATGTTTCCCTGGTTTAACCAGAACCTGTTCATTGAAATTTCAAGATCTTCATCGGGCAATATCGTTTCCGAATCAAATGCCAGCAAAATATGGCCCGCAACATGAATGAATAAAGATTCAAACTTTAACAGGAATTCGTAGAGTAGCCCATAGAGTAAATCAGCATCAATACCGTCAGGACACAGTATTTCTCCATGGAAATAGAAACCAGTCTCTCCTAATTTTTCCAATTGGACCGGCTTGGGTTCCGAAAGGAAGGGATATGCTTCAAAAAATGGTCTGTAGTGTTCTACCAATTGTGGTAGTACTTCATTCCGTATGCGCTCAGAGAGCTCATCTCGCTTCAGATGAGCATCCACCATGAAAGCAGCAAACTCAAAATTTATACCAGCATTGCCAATTGTGCCCCTAGATCGTAGTACGGGATCCAACCAATATGTTTGTGGATCAAAGTTCCGTTCAAATAACATCGAATCAATAGCCACAGTTAAGTATACATGCTTTTATCCGATATTGATCCAATAGTTGTTGATCCCATTTCTCATAAATTTATTTATTTTCATGCTACGCATTTTTTGTGGAGGTGAAAAATTATTGTTGATACAAGCGAGCCAAATTGAGGTAGAGAGTACCATAGTTACTGGCCTGTAGAATTGTAAATTGCTTATTCTGTACTGTGAGCTACATAGAGCGAACTTTCGATTCGTTTCTGGCTTACTTTTTATTAAGATATTTTATTACTTTCTACTTTCTGGTTCTCTTCTACTACAAGTAAATCACACCTACAACTTGGAATCATTTTCAATTCTTTCGATAACAATGGCAGAAGCACCACCACCACCGTTACAAACACCGGCACATCCAATCTTACCCTTTTCTTGAGTCAAGACATTCAATAAAGTGACGACAATTCTAGCACCAGAACATCCCAATGGGTGGCCTAAGGCAACAGCACCACCATAAACATTTAATTTGTCTGAAGGGATATCAATAAGCTTAGCATTAGCTAAACCAACAACAGAGAAGGCTTCATTTAATTCGAAGAAATCAATGTCTTCAACACCACTTAAACCAGCGTGCTTGAAGGCCTTTGGAACGGCTAAGGCAGGAGCAATGGTGAAATCAATTGGAGCTCTGGCAGCTTCACCCCATCCACTAATCTTAGCTAATGGCTTTAAGCCCAATTCCTTTAATTTAGCTTCACTGACAAGAATAACAGCGGCACCACCATCGTTCAATGGGGAGGCATTTGGGGCGGTGACAGTACCGTTTTCCTTTTGGAATACAGTTCTGGCGGCTCTTAACTTAGATTCGTTGAAGTTAGCAACTTCTTCATCGTTAGAGATGACAGTATCTGGCTTACCACGGAATCCCTTGATGGTAACTGGAGTGATTTCACTTTCAAACTTACCTGCCTTTTGAGCAGCAGCAGCCTTAGCATAGGATTGAACAGCGAAGGAATCTTGGTCGTCTCTTGAGAATCCATGGTCCTTAGCACACTTTTCAGCGGCAACACCCATCAATTTTTGTTCATAGACATCCAATAAACCATCCTTTTGGACACCATCAACCAAGGTAGAGTCACCAAATCTAGCACCAGAACGAGCTGCTGGAACGTAGTATGGTGTATTGGTCATAGATTCAGCACCACCGGCGACAACGATGTCAGCAGTACCAGTTAAGATGGTTTGAGTACCAAGAATGATAGACTTTAAACCAGAGGCACACACCTTGTTGATAGTGGTAGCGACGATACTTTCTGGAAGACCAGACTTGAGGGCAACTTGTCTAGCTGGGTTTTGACCAACGTTAGCTTGAAGAGCACCACCAAAAAAGATTTCCTCGACGTCTTCAGATTTGATTTGTGGCACCTTGGCTAAAGCTGCCTTGACAGCATGAGATCCGAGATCTGAGTAGGTGTATGAGGCTAATCCACCTTGGAAGGAACCAATAGGTGTTCTAGCAGTGGAAACAATGTAAACTGACATATTTGAGCAAACTACTAATACTTTCTAATAAATATATATAACTGAATAGATCTTAAACTATTCAATATTCTCTCTGTGGTATCAAGAAGAATAGCACTGAAGGAATGGAGGTCTTGACACTAACAGAAGAAAAGAAAAAGTGTGTTGACCTGTATCTTAAATAACTGGCGCGTCGTATACTGTGTGCAGGTAAATACGACGATGAAAAATTGATGGCCTCCGAGGTTGCGAGAACGAGAGATTTGCATTTTGTGGGGTCGAGGTGAGATTGGGTTGATTAGTAATTCTGATGTTTAGAAGACGAAAGAAAGTGGAAGAGTGAGGAAGATAGAGTGTGTTATACGAGATGAAGGACTTTGGTGGAATAATTGTAAAAAATATTGAAGTGAAAAGAATTCAGGGAAAGGTCCCATGTTGAACTAACTGGAGTGGTTGCCCGGCTCAGCGTGCGAGCACATGCTCATTTGATCTGGGTAATGCACTTAGTATGGATCAATGGAACCCAATTAAAGTTAAATAGTATATATGTATAATGGTGGTACAGCGAGCAGTCTAATTAAAAGCCTGAGTCTACGACCATCCTTCACTGGCATATGAATGCATAGAGCGAACAGCTTTGGCTGTGTTGTTCTTGTCCTAGACTGGCATTCAGCAGGCTGTATGTTTTTGTAACCATTATCGGAAATATCGTACACTGACAAGCTGAGTAATTATACCTTGGAATGCTAGCTGAAGCAGGTACGAGTTCTAAACGATGCCAGCTTCTGAACTGGATCGTAAGGGTGATATCCTGAATCCGCATATCTGACTTTTTTCTCGACATATTGGAACCTTGTTCTGTAATGTTTCTTTGCTAGTAGTTTAGTTTAGTTCTTTCATTCGCAGCCTTTTCAGGAATGGTTGCACACTATTCCATTTGACTGCGTGCTATTGCTACCTTGAGAGTGGCGGCCAGTGTTCCCTGCGACATGTTCCCATAAAACATAGATAGTGACCATAGACCATAGGATTGTTTCCTCTGAAGTTAGATTCCTCTTCAACTCAATAGTTGATCTCTTCCTCTTCGCTCTTAAGTACCTGCAACCTCTGCTGAGAGCCCGTACTATATGCAGGCACATCACTACTCAAGTTGCTGAAAAATCATCACTTCACAAGATCCAACTGACTTTAATGCTTATACATTTCCAACTACTCAATATGCTTTTCCGAATCGGAATACACAGACTTCCTCACCGGAGGTTTATTCACAGCACTAAAAATTTGAGCGCATTGTTTGGAAAATCAGCACCCAAAATCACACCTCCTCTGGGCACAAGCTCAAGCACAATCAACCCAATCCCCAATTCTACTGCAGCTAAGATCGCAGCTAAAATTCCAAGATGGCTTCGTCCATATACCACTGACTTTGCAAATGCTCCATTTTCACATTTAACTGCGTTCATAATACTTCATGAGATTTCAGCAATTGTACCTTTGATTGGTTTGTGGTACGTCTTCCACCAGAACCATGACTATATACCTGTAGACCTACCAACTTGGGCAGTAGAGAAAGCCATGAAAGTTATCGACAAGGGGTTAGCTACTTTTGACTTCTCTGACTACTCTGTGTCAGATAAAGCCAAGTTTTTAATGGAAGGTGCCTATGCATATGCTATCACAAAGGCACTCTTCCCAATAAGAATCATCTTTAGTGCTACTTTCATGCCCTGGTTTGCCAGATGGTTTGTAGTTCCATTCACAAGAGTTTTTTCAAGAAGTAAAAGTAGAAAGACGAAGACTGAAGTGCCAGCTTCATCTGTAGATGCTGAATTGGATCCACTAAAGACAAAAAAGGTTGACAAACCTAGGCTTTAGACTATATAGATCGAGAGTATTGTATATATGTAAACTACATTTAGATATGCTGATAGTATAAGGAGAGCTATAATGAATTTTATGTAAGTGGAGTGCCCTTATGTAGTGGTTACCGATGGTATTCTGTTCACGTAAAACTGAGCTGTGCACCAGTAACCCTTTCCAGATCGGAAAACATCTCGGAGATATATGTTTCTCCAGCACACTATACACTCTGATTGCCATGGTTTGGGAGGTGTACATGGAAATTTCATGTCCCATTCAGAGAGTGCGGCGCGGTAATGAAATTTATTGTACATTGATCGACTGTTTATGATCAGCTTTACACCCACATTCTTCTTACCCAAGTATAAGAAAATATTTGAACTGTCCTAGATATGTCCACTATAACTGCTGGTGACTACATACAATCGCAATTGGAGTTGGAGAGAGAGGCTAGGGAGCTTATGCCCTATGACTCGAATGTCTGCACCTACTCCATGGGTGAATTGAGACAGCCTATATTCGCGTGCTTGACTTGCTCGAGACAGAACAAGGGCACACCAATTGGAGTATGCTACTCCTGTTCTATCCAATGCCACTCATCTCATGAGATTGTAGAGTTGTTTGCAAAGAGATCATTTGTTTGTGATTGCGGAACAACAAAAATGAAAGACACTATCCATGGTGCTTGTAAGATAAGGTCAAAGCCTGTAGAGGAACAGTCACATTCCAATCACCCTTCTATAAGGAGATCGAGTTCCTCTTCGTTCAACTCTCGTCCTGTTTTACTTGAGGCGGAAGATATACCTTCGCTGGGTAACCAATATAACCAGAATTTCAAAGGACTCTTTTGTAGTTGTGAGAAGACATACAATCCTCTTGAAGAGACTGGGAATATGATACAGTGCTTCTTTGGATACGAGTGCAGCGAAGAATGGTATCATGAAGGCTGCATTTTAGGATATTTGCCCGGAGCTATCAAAAGGGAGTCGACTACAAAGCCTTCTGCTAGTTCTTCTCAAAATCAACTTGAAAAGCTTGCCTTGCCAACAATTGGAGAGGAAGCTCCCAAAAAACGAGAACGGGAAGACCAGAGTGAAGATGAAAATGAAGAAGACAATGAAGGCGCATCACAAGTTCCATACTTTCCAAATTTGAACGATTTTGATCAATTTATATGCTGGAAATGTGTAAATAGTTTCAAACAAGTGTTCAATTACTTAGTTAAACATGATGATATTGCTTTAACACATTTACCTCACTATGACAATATCCCAACCATAGATGAGTGGAAATTAAAGTACAATAATACTAAGAAGATTAAAGTTGAAAATTCTGATACTGTTATAGTTCCATATTCTGTATTTCTTAAACCTGGATTCAAAGCTTGTCTTAAGCGATTGCACGGGGATACTCTGTCCCCCAAATATGTTCAAGAGTTTTTAACAAACTACTCATTTCTATACGAAGAAGATCCAGTTTATGAACCTCCTGAAGACGAGGATGACGATACTTCTTCTAACACCGGCTCTTTACTAGATTTGGGAGCTGAAGCTTTGCTGTCTTTGCCGAAGGAGCAAGCGATTGAAGGACTACAAGCTTATGATAAGATAAAGGAGAAGCTTAGGGACTTCTTTAAACCTTTTGCAGAGGACGGTAAAGTTGTTACTGAAGACGAAGTAAGAAGTTTTTTCAATAAGGTCAAAGAGGAGGAACGTTGATCAGTACTATTATCGTGGTTAGTGCATACTAATTTCGTACATATATATATATAATATACATACCCTAATCTAATTACAAGTACTATGCTATTCTTTTCTTCTTATACTCTCATTAATATCAAAATAATCGTGTTTAGTTTCGTTATTATTTCTTATCTTTCTTCTTCTTGCTCTCTAAGGCAGCAAAATCTTCATCCCAAACTGAGTTACCTTCCTGTTGTGTAACATCTGGGAATACTTTTTCAAAGACTTCGTGGTACCATTCAACAGGTACAAACGTAACACCTTCCTTAACTTCTTCAGGAATATCTTCTAAGACATTTTCAATGTCCTTAGGGAAGATGATGGTATTACAACCGTATCTCTTAGCTCCCAAAATTTTTTCTCTTAAACCACCCACGGCCAAAACTCTGCCAGTTACCGTTAACTCACCAGTCATTGCAATATTTCCAGCGATTGGCTTGTTAAGGGCTAATGACACAAGAGAGGTCGTGAATGAAATACCAGCAGATGGTCCGTCTTTTGGAATTGCTCCGTCAGGACAATGGACATGGATGTCTGCAGCTTCATAAAACCTATTTTTAGGGAATCTTTTAGTCAAGAACAGTTTAGCAAATGAATAAGAGATGGATGCAGATTCCTTCATAACATCCTTCAAGCTACCGGTTACTCTAATACCAGGATGGCCAGTTCCGGAAGAGATAGAGTTCGTCAAAATGGACTCGATGTAAAGTGCGTCACCGTTTCCAGATCCGGAATATGCAAGTCCAGTAGCTACACCTGCAGGAAGTGTATCATAAACCCTGTCCCTAGGATAAGTTTCAGGCCCAATGTAATCTTTCAATAATTCAGGCGAGATATTGAGTTTTATGTCATCTGGAATCACCAATGCGGTAAGTGCTTCGGCTTCAACCCCAGATTCATCTGTGTTTTCTCTAATATCAAGATCCTTTTCAAGTTCTTCTCTCATTGCGGCAAAATCTGAAGATTTTCTCTTTTCAGAGTTAGATTCCTCCAGGTCAGATTCCTTGAGTTCTCTCTTTTTTCCTTTCGCAACCTTTCCTTCCTTGGCCTCCTTGACATCGTCAACTTTAGTTTCTGACAAAGGCTCAGCTTCAGCAAGGGCGGTAGCTGCTTCAGCTTCCTTATTTTCAATTTGTTCGACAATCTTAAAAGCTGCCTTACTAAATATCCTTCCAATATGCTTCTTAGTATTTCTTAATCCACTTTCTCTACAATACCTTTCGATTAATTGAATGATGGTTTTATCTGGAATTTCAACTTTTCCTCCTTCCAAGCCAGCCTTCTTTGCTGCTTGCGGGATCAAATGTCTCTTAGTGATTTCCACCTTTTCAGATGTCGTGTATCCGTTCACTTCAATAACTTCCATTCTGTCCCTCAAAGGAGGCGCAATATTGCCTAAATAGTTGGCAGTACATACAAATAAAACCTTACTTAAATCAACCTTAACATCCAAATAATTGTCAATAAAAGTGTGGTTTTGTTCAGGGTCCAAAATTTCTAAAAATGCTGAAGATGCACCTCCTCCACCTCTGGATGTCGTGTCTAATTTATCGATTTCATCAATAAGCATCAATGGATTAGATGTTTGAGCTTGTTTCAAAGCTAAAATAATTCTACCAGGAACTGCTCCAATATACGTTCTTCTGTGACCCTTTAACTCATGTACATCTTGGACACCACCCATTGCGATTCTAACATACTTTCTTCCAAGAGATTCGGCAATAGATTTGGCGATAGATGTCTTACCAGTACCCGGTGGCCCCACGAGACATAAAATCTTACCATCAACATTACCGGAAATTTTTCCCAAGGAAATAAATTCTAAAATTCTCTGCTTGACATCTTCCAATCCGTAATGATCTTGCTCTAAAGTGGATTTTGCTTTCTTTAAGTTAAAAAGGTCACGAGAATAAACTCCCCATGGAACACTTACTAACCAGTCCAAATATTTTTCAATCACAAATGACTCACTCAGGTTTTCATGCTGACCCTTAAGCTTATCTAATTCATAGTCAAAAGCTTCTTGAGCTTCAGTAGTTAATGTTTTCCCCTTCAATTTTTCCATATATTTACTAATTTTATCATTTCCTTCGCCCTTTTCATTTAATCCAGCAACCTTTTGGAACTGACTAATAAATTCTTTGAAGAATGCTTTATTCTGATTTTCAAAAGTAGCCCTTCTCATGTTTTCAGTTGTCTTGTTTTTAACTCTCTTCAAATCATCTTCAATCTGAATAAGATCTAATACCATTTCTAATCTTTCCTGGACATTGACAGCTTCCAAAATTGCTTGAATCTGGTCTGCGGAAGCCAACAGAAGGGATGCAACATAATCAGCAAAATCATGAGGTTCAAATTTATCTGCTCTTATAAGTTGATCACGAGCAACCTCATTGTTTGCAGTTAGCCCTACTGCCGTACGTTTAATTTCCGAAACCAACTGAGAAATAACCTCCGAGTTCTTTTCATATGGTTCGTGTGCAACAAACTTCGTAGTGGCATATGAAACTTTGAAGTTAGAAAGATAAGCAGTGGGGAAGTCGACGTTAGAAGATGAGTTTTCATTCAAGGACGAGTCTCCAGATGATTGCTCTGACTCGACGGTACTAGACGGCGTCGTTGATTTGTTCTTGGATCCTGGAAGTGTCAACTCTTCTAACTTACATCTTGATTGTGCATATGCAACTATTAAAGAAGCGTTGTCGTCGTCCTTTCTTTCCTCGGGTTTAGTAATCTTACTCAACACACAGTGAACACCGATCTGGTGTACCGAGTTTTCATCCTGGATTACATCGGAGTTGACATCGGAGTCCTTAGAATGGAAGAGAAGAAAGTGTGGATGCTTATTCTCGATCATGGCATCTATAGCCTTGATAACTTCCCTATCTTCAACATTGATGGCGAAGATGGTACCTGGAACAGGAGGACGGTCTCTCATGGGGATGGCAAGCAAGGGTGGAAACGATTTAGGCACAGATGGTGGAGGTGGTGGTGGCACTGGTGAATTGCCGTCATCACCAGCACTACCCTTTCCGTTATTCACAGATCCCGTTCCTACAGAGCCTACTGTAGGAACCAGATCATCTCTCTTGACTTCATCTTCCTTGACTTGGTCTTCCTTGATTTGGTCTTCCTTGATCTCATCTTCCTTGATCTCGTCTTCCTTGATTTCATCATTCTTGATATTGCCCTTCTTATCGTCATCCTTCTTCTCATCCACTTCTATTTCTTCCAGTTTCATTAACCAGCCATTACGCTCCAATTCTCTAGACAATCTCAACCCTTCAGTCATCATGCGGATATCCTGCTGAAGTTGTATTGGGTTCAATGGCAAATCCGCATGCTCACCATTTTTGGTTGCAGGTATCCACTCTTTCATCACTCGACTCATTGGGGAATAGGCTGTGCTAGCAGATCTGAGCGATTGCTTGACTACTAGCCCGTTTACCTTCGAGGCACTTCTTCTAATCATAGCGTCTATAAGGTTCTATTTAGTTTTTTTTGTATGGTTTTCAGCTATACCCTAACCTAATCTTTTAAGTATGCCTTGACTTTTTTCGCTTTCGGTTTTTGGTCGCTCACTAATCGTTTTTCCGATTTACGGTCTCATTTCGAGTTCCGGTTTGGTAAATGCACGATGAAAGATAACATGGGGTAGAGTGGCAGGGCGAGAGCCAGTAGAGGGAAGGGTCTGGGAATACAGGCTTGATGGATATGAGTGAAAACTTTCGATCTACATTAGGAACATTATTCATCGGTGTGTAGTCTATGCGAAAAGAAGTGGTGAAAGTCAAGAAATGGTGTGCCAAGGTTGAGACATTCATTGATCTTCATGTTGTATAGAGTCGGAAATTGCTGCGAATTAGTTTTCAAGTATCTTCAAGTGTCTTTAAGTGTGTATCTTTAAGTATGTTTCTTTGAGTATGTTTCTTCAATTATGTTTCTTTAAGTATGTTTACGTAAGTATGTATCTTCAAGTATCTTCAAGTATGTATCTTATGTATCTTTAAGTATGTATCTTTAAGTGTGTACCTTCCAGTATGTACCTTCCAGTATGTACCTTCCAGTATGTATCTTCGATAAGTAATAAACCCATTTTCAAATGGTATATTTACGACTGTGATGTATCACATATATAGGTATGTAAAGTTTTATTGAGTCTCTATTTCCTAAGCTCCTTGGTTTAGTATGTTTGCTGGACTGTTTAGAATGGCAAGCATTACAGCACAAATTAACCCCAACATTGAAGAGCCACGCCTACCTCTAAACTTTTCAGAACCAGTATTGTCTTGTCGATTGAGCTCCAAATCGAGTGAGCTGATTCTGCCAAAGATCATTCAAGTATGAATGATCCTCAGTCCAACTGGAATATCAAAACTTCCATTTGTGGGCACTTCAGCTTCAGATTATTCATTTGCTCGTGTAGATATAGCCTAATCATATCCTTTCTCTCTCTTTAGAAATAGTCGATACATTGAGTCTTTATAATGGTCAATTTATGGTTAGGCAGTGCCCCCGCATCTCACAGCTTACTAGTCAATTTTAAATATAATCCTTCTTCGTTTCTTCTGACCTCCTCCATCACTTCCCATTCTACTGGCTCCTCTTTTCGGCGTGGAGTCATTTTCCTCTGTCCAGTTGGAATCTTGATAGTAGTTTAATGTATTTAAATCTTCATCTTCCAAGTTTAATCCTTTATTCGGGCTGGTATCATTCTTGCTGAATAGAGAATTCTCTCCACCAATACCAGGCTCCTGTTTAACTAGGCTCGAATTTCCGGCCTCTGGAGTACCTAACTGCTGTCCATCAGCGTGTGATAGTTTTCTAGCTCCAGATTTTGATAGCTGCACCTTCTTCTTCGTCCTTTTCTTGCTACTAGAGTCGTCTTTATTTTGTTGTCCAACCTCTAAATTGTTCAATGTCGAATTGGCACTGGCATAAAAATCATCATCGGAGGTGGCCATGGAGGTTGCAGCACTAAAAGGACCTTGGCTCTCATCAAAGGATGACCCAATATTAGCACTTTCGAGTCCATTCTCAGTTTCTGCTTCATTTTGATTCGTGCTCGGTTTGCTTGGTGTTCCGGGCTCCGACCTGGTGGTAGTAACACTAGTTGCAGTGATAACCGTTGTGGTTGGTGGCTCCGAAGCATTAGAAGGGTTGTTCTGTATCACATGCGCTCTTCTGGCATTGGGCACATTTAGCTGTTTCAACACTCTTCCCTTTATTATATCGTCAATTGAGGGACCTCCGGGGTTCATTCGTTTCAACGTGTTGAAATTTGTGTAAGTTCGTTTCGGTTTAGGATTAGCCTGCTGATGCATGGAAACCTTCTTCTTCGCTTGGATCGGGGATAAGATAGTGGACCCAAGGTGATCATCTGGTGAGGGAACCGAAGCGATAGATTTGCTTAATGAATTGATAGTGGGCGATAGGTAGTTTCTCGAAGTTGAACTCAATTTATTCAAGTATGGCGAAGTCGAAAATGAAAGTCCAGGTCTCGATGTTGATGTACTCGATAAGCCTGCTGAAGAAGGTCGAGATATCTGTGAGGAAGGTTCACTGAATGTACTGTCTTTAAGCTTTTCGATCTCCTCATTCAAGGCCTCAATTTTCGACTCATATATTTTCTCCTTGGTAGCATGCTCCTGCTTAAGTTTGCTAATTATAAGATCATAGTCGTGACTCGATTTGTGATCAACGGTTTCCTCAGCGACCCTGTCCTTGGTGATATTCTGCTTGTACTTCTGACAGGTGTTGATTGCCTGTACCACGGCCAATTTTATCAATGATTTTCTTTCTATATCCAGCCTAATGATAGAATCTAGCTCTTTCTCAGATTCAACGAACGATCTAGTAAAACTCATACTTACTACCGCAAGAAGAACACTCTTCCTTGTGTACGTTTCTACTTTGTTTTGGCTCTTCAATTTTCATTGTAAACAAAAACATGCGCGTAATAAAAAAAAAAAAAAAAAAAAAAAATATTTAGCTAGTAGAAGGCTAGTAGAAGGCTAGTGCTAGGATAGCGATAGAGCTCTTCTCAGCTTTTTAGCCTAAGAAAGAAGATCCTTTGATATCTTTAACTATACTTCATCTGGCATGAACTCTTCCAACGTAGAACTTCAAAAAGCTACTGTATATCAATCCTGTAATGACGAATATAAAAGAGGTGTGATACTAAACAGAGAGAAGATAGCTAAGGCATTTCCTGATATCGATACTGACAATGATTGGGAAGTGATATCGGAAATCTTGCAAACTGCAAAAGATATTCAGCCTGAATATTATAAATCCAAAGGAACGTCAATACCGCCAGATGAAATACTACAAAAGTTCAACCCAACTGGAATTAGAGTACCAATGCGCTCTCGTGAAGAGCTTCTGAAGTCTAGGAGCCCATTACCACTGCTGGATTTGTTAAAAGCGCTTCATTACTACACCAGTAGAAAAGTTTCAAAATTAGACAAGAAAGATAGGCTAAAATTGGAAAATAATTTCGATGAGACTGCTCTTCTAAGCTTGGGGTCGTTGGTGGAAGACTTAGCCGAGAGATTGATAGGTGAACATGGCATAGAAATATTCACAGAGAGAGACTCATCTGAAAATGTAGATAGGGATGAAGAAGAGCCCAGCGAAAGTGAAGGGAGTGAAGCAGACGAAGACCAAGACGATCACGACGACTCTGCTGGTAGCATTAGTGACATAAGTTTTTAGAAGTATGTAGCCAGAATCTAATTTAAGTTAAAGCGCTCAAGATTTTTACTCCGATGTATATATACATTATAATAATTCTAATTTATGTAAAGATGAGATTAGTTTATTTTGCTTCTTCCTTAGCTTGTTCTTCTTGAACTACTTCTTCTTTGACTTGGTGATCCTTTGCACTCACTTCCGGGGTTTCAGATCTACTGGCCTTATCGTTTTCAAGTCTCTTCTGGTAAATAGCTTCCTTACCTGCATCCTTTGCAGTGGTTTCAATGCCGAATACTCTGTACAATAATTCGTGAGTATCCTTCTTGTTAACCATTAAGTTAACATTAGTTTTACCCTTCCATAATGGTAAGAAAAGATCTTCATACACGCCCTCTTCTCCTCTATTTACGGTTAAGAATACACAACCTTCTTCCATTGGCTCCAATTTTTCAGAGAAGCTAGCATCGATTCCAGATTCTTTGATTGCATGGATTTTAGGGAATGCTTCTTGGAACAAAAGTTCTAAAAGCTTCAAGTTACAGGTTAAATGTCTCTTTGGTCCGAGGTATCCCTTGATTGTGTGAAGAGATTCGTTTTGAACTCTCCATGGACAGTTACCAGTGTCGTTTTTCTGAGAAACAAACAACTTAATACCAGCGTGAATGATCTTCAATTTTTGTTCAGTAATGGAAAGAATATCCTTAAGAATTGGAGAAACGTAGTAGATGGTACGCACTGGAGTTCCCTGAGCGTTACGAACTAAAGTACAGTCCTTGTTGAATGAATCAGAGAAGTCGTAGAATGGCCAACATTTAGCCAACTCTGGGTGGTCACTTGGAAGGAAAATGAAGGGCTCTTCGTTAGCATCTCTTGGAAGCTTTTCCTTACGTTGTGGAACGTGTGCGGTGGTTGAAGTGGAAACATTGGAAGAAGTAGTAGTTGTGGAGTCTTCTTCAGCTTCAACCTTTTGCTTCTTAGCTGGTGGCTCTTCAGCAGCCTTCTTATCAGCTTCTGGGTCTACTTTTTCAATGACAGTAATAAAGAACCCTCCAGTATTTTGTAAGTGCGGATAGACTCTTAAACATCTATTCAAGTTCATAGTTTCAGCTTCTTCAGCAGTTGGTGGGAAGCAAGTTTCTGGGACATCATCACACTTACCCTTTTCTCTTTCTTCCATGTCCTTGCCAAAGACCTTCCAGTTACTAATACCATCTCTTCTAACTAAACCAGGTAATTCATTAGAACAATCAACGATCTTAATTTGTGCTCCCCATTTTTTCAAGGCTGCAGCAATAACGGCTTCATTTTCTACTGGAGACAAGGAACATGTGGAGTAGACTAATCTACCGCCTCTTTTCAACAATTGTAACCCTCTGTTCAAAATGTTGATTTGTAAAGAATGTAATCCAATAGCATTCCCTACAGTGAAATCTTTCCAGACGTTGACATTCTTTCTCATTGTTCCGTCTCCTGAACATGGGACATCACACAAGATACGGTCAAACTTCAAATATTCGTTAGCTCCATTAATTTTGATTCTTGGGAATAATTGAGCGTCGTGGTTAACAACCATAAAATTTGGACTGTTTAATCTTTTGACTTGATGAATCAACATATGAGATCTTTTGTAGTCGGAGTCGTTGGCCAAAACAAATCCGGTGGCTAAAGTTTCTGGCTTTCCGGAGTCTTCATCAGCGTGCAATGCTTCTACTAATTGAGCGGTCTTAGAACCTGGAGCTGCACACATGTCTAAGACAGCGTGATGTGGCTCGATGTCCATAAGTAATGGTGGGATCATAGAGACAGCCTCTTGTCTAGAAATGTTTCCGACTTCTGTCTCAATAACCAACCAACGTTGAGTCTTAGCGAATTCTTCATTTTTACGAATGACAGACTTACTTACTTCTATTTGCCATCCTAATTCCTCAGGGTAGTATTGTAAGTTCTTTGGTTGCAACGGTACACCATCAAAGGTAGCTTCGCTCAATTTGGAAACGTGATTGTTTACAAAGTTTTCCTTGATTTCTCTGGCGTGTGCTCTTGAGCCGGTGATTCTGAAAGTCAATGGTAAGTTCTCTTGACATGCCTTCTTAAAAGTTTCAAATTCGGCTTCATCAGGGATGATATTCATTTCCTTGTAGTACTTTTCCCATTTAGGGTTCTCTCTAGTTAACTCAGTCCATGAACCTTCTCTGCCATCGTTTCCTGAGTTATTGTCGTTTCTTTTACCAAAGTTTTTCTTACCGGTACCTTTACCAGTTCTGAAGTTTCTTTTACCCATACTCGATAAAAATCTTAGCATACACTAGCTAGGATGTCTGGAGAGTTAAAAGGTAAGTAAAAACTGAAAATTTTTGGAATCCATAACCAAGATTTTGAAAAATTGATGTGGTGTTATGTGCAGGATGGGAGATGAGATGAGATTTGGCGGTGCAGGCATTCAAGATAACGGGACAGGTGCTCAATCTGCCAGTGAGTAAGATATAGAAGCATGAGAATTTGTATTTCTTTTAGGAAAGTATCAGTAGAGAGGTAGTTTGATGCGAGTATGAAGTCTTCTCTGGCAGATCCAACCATGACAATTGGCTCACAGCTCCATTTATGTAAGGTCCTGCACACAGATCACTACGTTTGTACTACAAGGTGCTTTCACAGGCTCTCTCTAGGCCAGGCTGCTAGCTGCTTTCTACCACAACACACAAAGTGATTGAAAGAGGGGTCAATGTGATCCGTGATCGGTGACCTTTATGACAAGCTTCATCTCTGTGAACTACGCTACATCTACTGGCTCTAATGCTGTTCTCTCTCCACCTTTCACCTTTTCTTTCTAAGTTCTGTTCTTGCTAGCAGCTTTGGGTGCAAAGTTCGTGGATACGGCGATTTTCAGTTCTGCGGCTAAGATATCCGTATACTGCTCTTGCTGATTCTCCACCCAGTGAAACTGTCTAATATGCTGAAACTCTAATATCATTGGGAAGTATTCAATGAACATAGGTTCTTGCTCCAAGCGTTCAACTACATCAGTATAACATCTCCACGCTTCGTTTTTGCAGCCTTCGGTAACTCTTGAAATTTCATTCCTGCATGTAATTAACATGAATTACTAGCATATGACGATGGAGGCAAAGTGTTCTACTACCCTTTATTCTCTTTAGAACTATCAGGCTATAGAAGTACATGGATAGATTGATACCGGGGGTGAGAGATCTAAGGGTTGGAGCAGTATGTATAAAAGAGGACTGAAAAAGGAGTTGAAAGTTTCCCTGAAATGTGGTTATAGTGTGGAGTGCTACCTATGTTTGGCTCTAAGCTGATTTGCTTACTGTATACTAACAATGATAGGCTGCTTTCTTAGGTGCGGGTCTCCTTCGATTTGAAGAGAAAGTTCTGATACCACAGACGAACATTGTTCATGCGTTCTTTCTCTTCTTCTTGGTCGTTTGTAACTTTTTAAAGTGGATAATATTTGGACCTTTGAGTCCTCTGGAGGTGAGTAACTTAAAGGATAAGGTATCTTACACTATTTGGGAATTTTGCTTTGGGTTTTTGATATTTTTGCACGGTGGTAACAAGCTAGGAGCTGGAGAAATTCAACGAGAATTCTGGAAATATGCTGGTCTTTTCTTATGTGTCTTCCTATTAAAAACTTTCCACTACTTATTTGTCTTCAGAGGGAAAGTTATCTTTCAACAGCAGCAACAAAATAAAGCCCTGACGATCACTTCGTATCTTGTAAGATTCTCGTTCGGATTGGCACTCATCAACTTTATTGATATTATGTTGATCCATAAGTTCTTCAGAGAGCTATACATCAACCCTTCGAAATGTAAGGGGAATATTTTGATATCACTCTTCGGATTCGAAATCTTGAATACATTTCCTTTAATAGTTTTGACGTCGATCCAGTTTGGTCTTGATTACCATGAGAATGGCTTAGAGGAATATTCAGATGGCTGGGTAGATTTCAAACAGAAAACTATGAAGATTAGCGAATTCTTGGCAAACTTTGTTAGATTTGCAATGACATGTACATTTGCAGTTTGCTTCCTTTACTTTTACACATTCCCATTGCATATACTTCCATCCTCGTACTTGTCTTTCAAAATGTTGTTATTGAAGTCAAGATCACTAGTGGACTATAAGAAGTCTCAGATTAAAGTTTCGAAGTTGATATCAGTGTGTGACGTGGATCATTCTCAAACATGTATTATATGTCTTGATGACTTCTGTGATACTAGCTACGTGAAACAATTTCCCATATGCAATCACTCATATCACCATAACTGCATTAAAGATTGGTTGGCACAATCTTCTGACTGCCCCATATGCCGCATGCCCTTATAAACTCCAAAACTATCTAATTCTACACTGCACATTACAATACAATTTAATATCCTTCTCTACTTCAGCAAGGCTGAAATACTTTTAATATTAGGCATTCTATAGAATTATATACATAAAGATTCCTATCTAATAATTTAATTTGTTATAACATAAAACATGAGTAAGAATTGAAAGGTTTTGTATGAATGTCCATAGTAATTGTCCCATAGTAATTGTCCCGAAGTGTCCCTAAATTCCGCTATCTTTTCATATACTTAAGAATTTCACCTCTAATAGTATTCACCACTTGTACGCGTTATGTCAGCAGTAAGGGTATCGATATCGGCTTGATCTCCAGTTAACAGTTCTGCCAATTCTGCCAAAGCTCCGTTGGTATGAGAATGTTGGTGCGCGTGGTGCTGAGGATTGTGCTCATTTATAAAGTCTTCATAATGATAGGATTCATCTTTCTCGTCGATATTCTTCTTTTCCCCATTTTCAGTGTACTCGTAATACTGCTTGGGGGAGGCAGTACCATGACTGCTAGAGTGCTCCGATTCAGCATTGGTCTGGTGTGAGGTTGTGTGGGAAAGTTGCCCAACTTCTGCGTCATCTATGTTGATTTCTTGTTCGTTAACGTTATTGTTGGAATTGTTATTGTTGTTGTTTTCGTTATTATTAGTATTACTGCCATTGTTAAGGTCTTCTGCTGAAGAATAATGTTCCTGTGGATCTTGAGTGAAATGTGTTGAATCCTCAATATACGGACCTTGGGCACCAATGGTCACACCCGTTTCTTCAACTTCGACATTTCCTTCGATTCCTACACCTTCTACACTGTTTGCTGTGTCAATATCTTGTTCGTGCTGGGACTGTAGCTGCAGCTGTTGCGGTATACGATGCTGCTGACTAATAGCGCTGTGTGGAGAATTTATAGCAGAGTCTGATGCTGACTGACTGTGGTCTGGAGACAAGATTTGATCTTGTCCCTGCAGTTCATGCTGCTGCTGCAATATAGAAGCCATATTTTGGCGCTTGGTCGACCTGGTCTCACCTCTCTCTTGCTTCAACGCTTGTTGCTCTCTATACTTAGCAAGGTAAATCTTCAATACTTCTGCATAATTTTCAAATCCCAAATCGTGCATAGAGTACAATATGTCCTCTCCGTTGATAGTCTTACGCTTCTCCCTCAAGCACTTATCACTTGCTTCACTAGTAATAAAGGAAATGAACTCTGATACACATTCCTGCATACACTCTTTAGCATCTTTGGAAACTTTAGCGGTTGGTGGTAGAGTATTCTTCATCAACCTAGCAACATTAGCTATTGGAAGCCATCTATCCTGTTCTCTTAACTCGACCTCATGTGGGTTAATACTGTTAGGATCCATTATTACTTTGAAATTCTTACTTTTATGACTTTTCTGTGATTATTTTCTTAACTTTAAATTTTTTTATTTTCTTGAGCCTATGACTATATCTTGTGTCTGGTTGGCTGTATTTCTTTTTCACTTTCCCTTACGTTCTACTTATTCTTTTATTCATAAATAACTGGTTCTACCTTTTAATAGTTTAATGGAGACTGACCTTATAGGATTTAACTCGATGTGACTCTTGGTGTATACAGGCGGAATACGGGCTATAGTCACTTGGTATTATTTCATTATGTTTGTTGCGAAGGTGCTTTTCTTTGAATTTTTTAGAAGATCTGGTGGATTTGATGATGGTTTGAGAGTTACGGTGGGTGCGTAAATATGGGTCCAATATGGTAAACAGTGTAGCACTTCTATTTCTGTGCATATGAGTAGCGTATTACTGCAAAAAAGTTGCTTGCAATTGCTTCTGGTTCCTTTATTGTTTAAAATATGTCGAGTCTGGCTGACTTGCTCTCGAAGTCTACCAGAGGTGCGTCCTTGCTTGTTGCTGGACAACTTGTTACTAAACTTTTCACCTTTTTGCTCAACCAGGTGCTAATTCGGTATATCTCACCAAAAGTATTTGGCGTGTCTTCATATCTTGAAGTCTTATTGTCGACTGCACTATTTTTTAGCAGGGAAGGTGTAAGACTATCAATCCAAAGGACAGAAAAGGCAGAAGAACTCGATGAGGACGATAAGATAGAAGAAAAGAAAGGAAATAGTGGAACCTCACTGAAATATGTAGATCATACCATAGAGGGTACTCATCAGAGCATATTGAATTTTGGATATGTTGCAATAATAGTGGGAGTTCCAATTTCGTTGATTCTTTCATATTGGCAGTCCAATTCTCAGATATTGACTGAACAAATAACATTTTTAGCTTATAATAAGCAATCTCTTGTACTTGTATGGCTACTGTTGGTATTGGAATTGCTTGTGGAGCCATTGTATGTATTGAACCAGTTTCAATTGGATTTTGGTAAGCGTACAAAATTCGAAAGCTCAGCAACTCTTGCTAGGTGCATTTCTACTTTTGCAGTTGTTTTATTGGGAGAGCGCTTTGTGAAAGGTAAAGACACGGCTATGAGGGATGGGGTGGCAGTTTTAGCATTTTCAATTGGGCAGTTCTGCTATTCTTGTACCATTTTCATCTTGTATCAGCTTGATTTTAGGAAGCTAAATAAAGGTGAAAAGTTGTCCTTAAAGATCCAAAAAATCTTTAAGTCCGCAAATAGTGATAGTTTTTATTACTTCAACCCCAAGATCTTTTTGATCTGGAAAAATATATTCATTCAAATGGTCTTTAAGCAATTTCTTACTGAAGGGGATAGGTTATTGATTAACTACGTTTGTACGGTTGAAGAGCAAGGTGTCTATTCTGTCATTACAAATTATGGCTCGTTAATTGCTAGATTATTGTTTCAGCCAATTGAAGAATCGCTCAGGTTGTATTTGACCAAACTCTTATCAAATCCGAAAAGTGAGAATGTTGCAATTTCAAAACAAATCATGCTGTATTTGAGCAAATTTTATCTCTATTTGTCAATATTGATATCAATTGGAGGATATACCAATGGATCATTTTTGCTTAAGATGCTTCTAGGAAAAGGTGCAAGCTACAATTGGTTACATACTGACCTATTCGCTGTCTTTCCGCAGTATATACTTTACATTCCGTTTCTAGCATTCAATGGTATCTTGGAATCATTCTTCAATAGTGTTGCTACTAAAGAAAACATTGCAAATCATTCCGTTTTCATGTCAATTCTGACTGTCATCTTTTTGTCCGCCCTGTACTTCTTCATAGAATACTTGAAGCTAGGGTTGTCCGGGCTAATTCTTGCGAATACTGTTAATATGACAATTAGAATAATCTATTGTGCGTATTTCATACAACAATACTACAAGAAATTGGATCAACAATTTGATATAAAGTCAGTTACGAAGCTGATATTACTACCACTTGGTGTTGGAGTAGTTACAGAGCATTTACAATATTATATTTTGCATCAGAAATTAATGACATTAGCATTGTCAGATTTCTTTAAGAGTTTAGCATTATGCTTGACGTTCCTAATGTTTGCATTATTTTTAGAAAGGCACTTGATTTTATCTGCCATTTCATCATTTTTGAAAAAGAACAAAACAGATTAGTTTAATCCAGCTTTCTACTAGGATATTTACATGATAGTTAGCGTAGAAAATTGATGGGAGTCTCACGACTCAGCACCTTTAAAAGAAAAATAAAACAGAGAGTACATACGATATTTACATTATAGTTCTTGTAGAACATCCATGGGTATTACACAACTCAGTATCTTGGAAGATGAAAGGAAAAAAAAAAAATTGGAGTCGTCACAACAGATACTCAAACATCACTATATAGCCAGATTGGTGCCGTCCACTTCGCCTCCACCACGGGTAGCATACTGTGCTGAATTTCTTCCCTCTAGTGATATTGCTACTCACTGCTTAGGTCGATCAGTTGACTACTCAAACTGAGAAAACCCGAACCGCAGGGATCGAACTGGACACCGCACTGTAATAATGACACAAAAGTACACAATCGATGCGCTTCTGCCACAAGCCATCACAGCGAATATTTTGATTTTTTTTCGAATAGCCATTGCCAAATTAGCTCAGGGCTCAAAACTTCACTTCAACTATGTTTTCCATAAGTGCTGAGTATGGTACTGAATATGAATGTAGGGAACTGCAATTTTTATTGCATTTTAGTATAAACTTACTACCTCTGTAGCCGTACATTGACTAATACTTGAAATAGGTGAACTTGTATTCAAGGCTATATACACGTTTTAATGCTGTTTAGTTAAAATTATTCTTCTTCGGAATCATCATCATCATCGTCTTCATCGTCTTCATCACTAGAGACTTCCTCTCCTAGACTTTTCAATTTGCTTTTATACTTATCTTTTTTGTCATCCATGTCTGACATAAGTAACATTAAATCGTCTAATTCAGATTTTGGAACTGTTTTCTTCAACTTGTTTTCAAGGCTTGTGAGCTTTGCCTTTAATTCATCGATCTCCAGGTTTTGCTTATCAGATTTACTGGCAGCCTCTAAAGCTGTGTCTTTTGCTAGATTCTCAATTTGATTGTTGAGAGTCTCAATCTTCGTGTCAGCGGCTTTTAATTTATCTTCTAGTTCTTTCACTTTACTATTGGCCAGTAATACTCCTTCAGCACTTGATTTCTTCTCAGCTTCTAAGTCTTTCGACTTTTTCTTTTCAGACTCTAAGTCAATATTCACCTGGTTCAACTTTTCCTTGAAATCTTCTTCTATTTTTTTAACTGACGTTTTAGAATTCTGAGCTAACTCACGCTCTTTTTCTAAATTCGCAGTAAGCTCTTCTACGTTTTTCTGTAGAGTCTTTTTGTCTTCTGAAGCCTGGTCGGTCGTAGATTGTAAATCACCACTTAATTTACTAAGCTCTGTCTTAAGTTTCGTAAATTCGCCTTCATTTTGGTCTTTGCTATCCCTTAGAGATTTTAATTCATTCTCAAGATCCTTTTTATGAGTTTCAACTTGAGAGTGATTTGACAATGCAGTTTTTAAGTTTTTCTCTAATTCAGTCTTCACTTTGCGAAGTGCTTCCAATTCTTTGTTCAATTCTTCACTTTTCTTAGATACATTTTGTCCTTCACTTGATAAACTTTTACATTCTTTTCGTAAATCGTCCCTTTCTTGTTGAACTTTGTCTAATGAAGTTGTCAATTCAGCAACTTTATTATTTAATAAGTCGTTTGAATTTTTAATTTCATTCAATGAATCAGATACTGTTGTCTTAGAATTTTCTAAACTTAATTTTGCTTGCTCTAGCTCTTTCAATGAGCTCTTCAATATTACGTTCTTTTCTTCTAACTCACTGTTCAGTAACTTTAGCTTCTCCAATTCAGCAACTAGTCCTTTTTCACTTTGATTTGACTCTTCCTTGGATTTCTTGATACTTTCTAAAGTACTTGCTAACTTTTTCTTTACTTCACTTAGAGCTATTTCATTCTTTGCAGCTTCTTCTTTATTGGCTGTCAATTCCTTCTCTTTGCTTTCAAATTCAGCAGTTAACTTACCCAAGTCTTTGGTTTGGTTTTCAATCACATTATTGAGCTTACTAACTTCTTCTTTTTGCAATTTTAACTCATCCTCACCGGTAGCAATTAATCGCTCCAACTCGGTTACTTTGTTTGCAAAATCAGATCCTTTTTGCTTTTTTTCATTTTCGAGCGTCTCAACCTTCGAGATATGTTCCTTCTTGCATTCGGCCAATTCATTTTTAAGTTCCACGAGTTCATTTGATGTGCTATCGAATTTTTCCTGCAAAAAATCCTTCTCTTTTTGTAAGGAAGAAAGATTTGAATCATGTTTTGTTTTGGATTCACTGATATTATTCTCTAACTTCTTAATCTTATCAGAGTATTCCTTAACTACCGTTTCAGAGCTTTCGTTCAACATAGCTCTTTCTCTTTCAACTTCTTCAGTCTTGTTGACTAGTTGAACATTAAGGTCTTTGATAGTAGTATTCAAGTCTTCAATCTTTTTAGATAATGCTGTCACTTCTTTTTCATTTTTGGAAGTATTATTCTGAAGTGATTTTTCGTGGGATTTTAGGGTCTTCTCTTTGATTAGTTCATCTTCCTTAATTTTAGCTTTTAAGGTCGCAATCTCTTTGTTAACTTCATCAAGAACTTTTTCCTTGTCATTACCAGCTTTTGTAAGGTTTTCAACATCTTGTGATTGATCTCTCGACTTAACTTCAAGAGTCTCATTTAGATCTTTCAACTTCTTGCCCTCTTCCTCCAAAGCTCTAATTTTTGATGAAAAATCAGATTTTAAGGCCAGTTTTTGTTCATTTGATTTTTTAATGTCGTTTTCAAGGATCAGTATTTTCGACTGTAACTCCTGAACTTCACGAGACACTTTTGAAATCTCCTCGTCTTTACTTTTGACCACTTTACTTAAATCGGAATGTTCTTGTTGTAAAGTAGAGTGTTTTGAATCCAATTGGGCATGTCTCTCAGCTAATTCGGATTCCCTGGAACTTGTAGCTTTATGTTTTTCAATTAATTCTGCATGAATAAGAGCAATGCTCTTGTGTTCTGTAGACAAATTTTCATGATTATCCTTCAACTTATTATGATCCTCGTTAAGTTTACTATGACTATCAGTGAGTGATGTATGACTAATTTTCAATTCATTGTGATCATTGCTCAATTTTACATTTTTTTCATTCAATTCTTTAACATTATCCTCCAACTTCACTTGACTACTATTGAGTTCAGTTATTTTATCAGATAATTGAGAGTTTTCTTCATTTAGCTTTGCATTCTTGCCCCTAAATTCATCAATATCATTCTTTGCTTGCAAATTGGCATTTAGTAACGAAGTGTGTTCGTCTTTCAATTTACCATGGACTTCATTTAAGTTGGAATGTCTATCCGACAAATCTCTTTCTTTTGCGATCAAGTCTTCATGCTCTTCTTTCAAACCAGTATGATCATTTTCCAAATTAGATGCCTTGTTACTCAATTCTTCATGTCTTTCTTTCAAACTAGAATGATCGCTCTCCAAATTATTTTTCTTCAGCGCTAATTCGCTATGACTTTCTTTTAAAGTATTGAACTCGATTCTTAGCTTTTTCTCTTTCTCTGTTAAAGTCTCAAACTTTTCTTTCAAGTCTTTCAATTCAGAAACTTTCCAAGATATTGCGTAGTTATGCTCTTTCTCAGTCTTATCGTGAACTTCCTTTAATTTTATAATTTCCTCTTCTTTATCCTTCAATTTCCCTTTCACATCCAGTAGTTCTTCTTGCGTTGAATCAAATTTCACTTTCAATTCTTGGAAATCGGTACTTATTGTTGAGTTCTTTTCATATAGTTCACGTGTCTCTTTCAAATCGTTAATTAACTTCTCATTCTCTTTAGACAATTGTGCAATCTTGTTATCAGTTTCTTGTTTGAGCAAAGTGTACTTCGACGATTCTCCCTGGATTTCCAAAGTTAACTTCTCAATATTTCTTATAAGTTCCTCTTTTTCCTGTTGTATTTTGTTGATGGAATCATTTTTGGAGTTTTCCATATCCTTTAATGCCTTAGTTAATTCATCCACTTTCTCTTGGTTGAGCTTATGTCCTTCTTCAAGTTCCAACTTGGAAGATTTTATTTCTTGAAATGCGGCCGCTGCAGATCTCAATTTATCCATAAGATGCTCATTTGTTCCCTCTACATCAATGACTTTTTCATTTAATTCAGTTATTTTACCTTCATGCGTCTTCAATGTTGTAGTTAGGGAGCGGTTCAATTCTTCGATTTTATCTTTCAATTGTGAGTTTTCATTGTTCAAAGTCTTTAATTTACTTTCATAGTTTGAGCTTTTCTTCTCAGTTTCAAGTTTCAACTTGTCGTGCTCTCCTTGCAACCTTTTTACATTTGAATCAGATTCTTTTTTCTGTTTAGTAAGGTTAAATAGCTCACGACTCATCTTATTTATTCCATCTTCAGCCTTTTTTCGAGACAGTTCACTTGTATCGAATTTGATTTGTAATTGCTTCAAAGACTCGTCTGATTCGCCATTCTTTTTCAATGCAGCTTGTAAACTAGCATAATGTTCCTTCGAAGAGTTTTCGAAATTGATTTTAGTTTTCTCCAATTCTTCAAGAAGATGCTTAGTATCTTTGTATTTCGTAGACATATCGACATGTTTGTCTTCCAAGTCTTTAAGTTCTTTCTCTGAATTCTTCAACAGTAAATTCAACTTGTCATATTCCTCTTTCAAAGTCTTTAATTCCTCGTGCAAAACGTTCTCGCTCTTGTTTGCTTCCTCAGTAACTTCTCTCAACTGCAGCACTAACTCACCGTGCTTACTTTCTAGGTCTTCATAAACTTCATAAGATAGTTTTCCCTTCGGTTCAACATTGGGATCATGGAAAAGTGCCCTTTTTATTCTTGCAAAGTTATCCTTGATTAGATTCACATAGATGCTATCAAAATAAACTTCTGGTAACCCTGTTTCGCCATCTTTCTTAGATGAATTTTGATGAGTTAATTCTTCAGTAAAGTCTTTGAATTCTTTAGTTTCTTTAAATTGCCTTACTTTCAATGTATAATTATCTTTACTGCCTATCAGCTTCACTAACAACGAGTTTAAGTCTGCACGAGCTATTGGAGAATCTTTGGAAGAAAATTCATACACAATACCTAATAACACAGTAGACATCCCATGTACCAAAATAGACAGTTCAGTAGAGTTATTTGATAAGAAAGCCAAAATGGATCTTACAGTCGATGCATCACTCAAAAAGTCATTGACCGCATTAAAATCTTCATAGCACCAAGTTGTTAATAACATTAAATATCCAATTGCAATTCTTGGGTCAGAAAATTCTATTGTGGTTAATAATAAACCTGAAATTGCCTGTATTGATTTCATGACTTCTTCACCCATAGACTCATCCCCAGTAGATATGTTTCTGGCTATTTCTCTATTTTCTTTGTTATCATTAATAAGGTACATCAATATAACTGCTGAAAACCAAAGTCTGTACGGATTTAACTTAATTTCCGAGTTGTAATCCATGAGTGTTGCAAATATGTTTGCAAAAGGTGTGGAAATTAGATCTTCGGTGACTGCAGGCACTGTAACGTCTTCACCGACTGTTGCAGACATCTCAGCGGTGCCATTTTCATCTGAGTCACCGGCACCGGCACCGGTGGTCCAATACGATGGGTTTTTATAACTCTTGATTTGGTCATTCAAAAATGCTTTTTTGGACTCCTCGTTGTCCTTAAAGTAACAGTTCAAGCAGAAGGTTGCAGCCACTCTTATTTCAAAAGCGTGTACTGAATTTATGTACAATGCCCAATTCAACATAGCAATAGTTACGGGAGTTGGTTTGTCAAATTTTTGCAACTGCGTTGGTAATGATGGATCAATGTACGGCACATCAATTTGAGAGAACTCCAATTGAATTTCAGGGTTTCCATTGATAAGCTCACCTACAGTGAAAAGGGCAACCGTTCTGATTGAGTTCGCCGTTATAGGAGAGAAAACAAGTTTCAACACTATGAAAAGAATACCTGATTGAACAAGTTTCTTCTGATTCTGATTAAATAACTCATTATCTTCAGAAACGAACGTCTTGCATATTTCAAGAGCGATAATCACGTTCTGTACTCTTTGATCAGTCCAAACAATGGCAGGCACAATTGGAACTGGGGTATTATGCTTCGAAGCCGATCCATTCAAGTCTCCGTTTGAAGGTACTATGTCATTTTGACTGTCTACCTCTTCGTCTGTTGGTTCAGCTAACAAGTTAGCCAATCTTGGAATGCACTGCGTTTCCAAGAAAAATTTCTGGTTACTAGCGTTATACTGCAACAAATTTGTTATTAAACTTAAACAGTCTTGCACGATTATACTCCCTCGGATTCCACCCTCCTCGCTGATAATATCGAAAAGAGTATCAAATGTATTCTCGAATGCAACAAGTTTCTGGATGTTAAAATTTTTATTAGCCAAGGCCATCAACAACAAGATGGTCTCATTTCTGATTGGCTCCCTCTGATCTTTGAGCAACAGCACCAAAACCGAAACTCCAGTGGGAATATTTAAAATGCATTCCTTGGTTCTAATTGGCCTTGCTGCAACCAATGACTCGAGTAACTGCAATGTATACAACCTTATGTGGAAGTCCTCAAACTCACCTATGGTATTTATTATCATGGAGATCAATTCATCCGACTGAATTAATTCATCTGCTATCCAGAACAGGAATTGATCTATGCTTATGTTTTCTACAAAGATTGGCGAAGGGTACTTTCCATTCTGTAGTCTTGACTGTTGCGAGATCCAACCAGACGAGAATGCAGAATCGTCATCTTCCTCTTTTTGCCTCAAGAAGAGGATCAATAGGGTCTCCAAGACTCCCTTTATGATAACAGGGTTTTCTATATCTCTTTTCAATTCACTTACAAGAGCTCTCAATCCATATTCAACTACATTTTCTCGATATTGTCTACTGAACAGCTTCAACCCCAAAACTGCAGCCCTACGGTCAGATAGCAAAGTCGCATGCTGAAGCCTATTGCAAAGTGTTGGAATTGCTTCTTCCACAGACTGAATTTTGGAGTTCGGTTGATTGAGGATCGAATTAAGGTACTCCATGGTATACTGACGTCAATTTTGCCGAATTCGGAGTCAACCGTTATGTACTTATCTAGCTTTTAGCCAAAACAACTTACTCTCTAATTTTTTTTCACTACCTCGACTAAACGTGTCAGAAAAGTGAAAAGCGTATACGCGAGAAAATAAGGTAAACAGTTTGCATGAGGTTTGTGCAGGTACGTGCAAGGCTGCAACCCTGATGAGAAGAGATCAGTTTATTGTAGAAATTAAAGATCACTTGTGGTCAGTTGTTCTAAGTAGTGATCATGTCCGACTCATTCTTTGATTCTAAATACAATGTTGACCCCACAGTCCAGTCGCTCCCATCGAGTGTAACGTTTTTTCCTGATATGAAAGAATTCGAGGGCCCTAATTCCGATGACCAGATTGACACAGACTCCCAGATGCCCACAGATTGGGAGTTGAAGAAGATAGGTGCTTTTCAATCTAGAATTGAGTCAATTCAAAGGAATATGGAATCAGTATACTCCAAAAATAGAAACCCCTCTTTGTCGAAAATATCGGCACATCAAGTGTTCGGATTGGCAAATGAAATATTCGGGTTCAATGGTTGGTCATCTCAAGTGTCAGAGTTTCGAATCGTAGACGAAAATTTCCAGTACGATAACGAAGAAGGTGAGGAGTACACAGCTTCGGGAGCATTCAGCGCAAAGTTCTGTGCTACAGTGAGGATAACGCTAAAGGATGGATACTGGAACGAACAAGACGGAATTGGAGAATCGCATGGGTTGCCCAGTAAGTATCTTTGCTATAGTAAGTGCAAGAAGGAAGCGGTAACTGATGGTATGAAGAAAGCTCTAATCGGATTCAGGTTGACTTTACTAGACTACGAAAGGATAAAGAAGGAGCAGCAATAGTTGAAGTACTGGTTTTTACTTTTACAAACGCATCTATCTTTTAGTTCTTCGGTGCTCAATCAATGTGCTTTACTTAATTCTGCTTTATTAATATATACTTACCTAATTCTACACATTTTTCCAACTAGTAATCCAAGGTAGCCTTCTTGGGGAATTCCCGAATCTTAGGCACTGGGATTTCGTCCATAAGATAGACTTCACCATTATCATCTATTCTTTCTCTGTCTCTTTCGCTCATGTTGTGAATTTCAACAATATTCTCCTTCAAGAAATCAGTTAATTCTATCCAATTCTTTTGAATCTGATAAGCTTGTTCCTTTGAGTGCCTACGAATCAATCCTTCAATTAATCTTACAGCATCGGTTTCTGTTTGATCTAATCTTTCAAGAAGACGACCAACCGATTTAATAAGATATTCTTCTTCATAAATCGTTCCCTTTCTACCCTTTGCTCTCTTTCTTTCTTCACGCTTACGATTCTTTGAAGATTTTCTGGAGACTCCTGTTTTGGCAGTTCCAGAAGTCTTACCAGTATAACGAGTGAAGAATGAAGGTGTTGTCGAAGTCTCTGAAGCAGCAATAGATACATTATCTGGAGTATCCAAATCGTCGTTTGGAATTCCATAAAATGAATATGGGTCTTCTTGCTTCTTTTGCCTAAGCTCCCTAAGTCTTCTTAATTGAGAATTCATTTGACTCTTACAATCGGCCAATAGTTCTGCAATTACTCCAAATCCTTCACCTAATTGAACATCAACTATCTCAGTAATAAGTTCTGATCTACCCTCCTTATTGCTTAGTAAAATTGCCTCTTCATAACAGTAATTCTTACAGTATAATTTAACTGCTTCCTCGATATGACCTAAGAAATAAAATTCAATTTCAGCTGCATCTTTATATTTATGTTCTTCTGTTAAAGAAGAAATAAGGTTGTCACAAGTACTTTGAAGCTTTTCCTTGTGGCTATCTGATTGAACAATATTTAATGCTTCTCTCCACTTCTTAGCCAAAATGTAATTTTCCAAAGCATCATCCCATTTACCCAAGTATTCAAATGTCAAACCAGCCTCAGCAAATTGTTGCTTTGCGTTTAAATCTTCGGCATAAAGTTGTAATATGACATTCGATCTCTCGTTATCATATCTATAAATGGAAAGTGCATTCTTATACAAATCATGTTGGCAAACAAAATCATCAAATTCGTCATAGGCAGATTCTCCCATTTCAAATAACCATGATAATGCCTTTTCATACTTTTTGAGGAAATCGTCAATGAGAAACTTTCTTCTCAACTCGTCTTGTACATGCAAGTTTTGTAAGAATGGTAGATACTCTTTTGGATCCTTTTGCGATTTTTGTGCAATCACAAGTGCAAGCTTGACATTATAAATTCCCAATGCAGTATTATAGATTTTATTGATATCTTGTAAGAAGCAAAGATGAGTTACAGTCTGATCGACTTGATCTTCATTATCCTTTATGTTACTAATCAATTCCAATGCACCTTCTAAATTTGCTGGCTTCTCACATGCATATGCTGTAATAATTGTTTGAAGATATGTTGAAAAATACTCAGGTTTTACAAGAACTGAGAGAATTCCCTCACAGATTCTGTTGATCTTGGAAGAAGGATCCTTTGACTCATCTCTCAGATTAATAATCATCTTTTTGAGAGTATTTTGAGTAGGTGGTGCTGGGGCAGGCGATGGTGACTGCAGCTTCTGAGAAATCATTAATTGCTCCACTTTGCTCTCTAAGAGTGCTTGATCATCATTAGCCTCATCCACTGTGTCTCTATATTTAGTTTTAGCTACATCTTCCTCGTGTAGACAACTAACGAATAAATCCAAATGTTCCACTTTCTTTATTTGATTGACAAAATTCTCCAAATTATTGAAAAATAGCTCTGGATCATAGTCATGCAAAATATCCAAGTCAATTCTATGTGTCCTACATGCTAAGAATGCTTCCTTATATTTCAAAGCTTTGATGAACTTTCTGACTCCTGAAAGGACCATGATTCTTGGGCAAATAGTTTCTAAATTTCCTCTTGGAGCTTCTAGCACGACTGAATATTTAGAAGGCATTGCTGAGATGAGTATAGATCCTCTCTCAATCATTCTCATTCTTTCATCTATGGCAATATTAGTATGATTCTTAGGATCCATCAATTGTTGCTGTTGTTGTTGTTGAAGTTGTGCTTGCTGTGCCTGCTGGAAAATGTCGTATTCAAAGTTACCATCGGCTGATTTCAAATGAATAAAACAAAGTTGAGATTGGGCGGTGGTGAATAATATATGAGACTCGGTAATTTTAAGTGAAGTTACAGCACTTGCGACTTGTTTATCATTTGCAAAAAGCTTTCCGTTCACAGAAATACCGAAAGCAACAAAATTACTCTCATCATTATTCTCGACGTAGGCTAATTCAAAGTCACGGCAGAGTTGAGGGAATCTTGTAACTTCCTTTGGTGTACTCTCCTCAATTCCACCGATTTGGAACACTCTTCCATCTATAGTCTCAAATGCAATAGCTTCGAAATCTGACTGTGACTTAATTAAAACAACTTTACTGTTAATATCATGGTTATCAACAATCATGGGTTCAGCTGGGTCGGTTACGTCAAATAAGACAACTCTGGAGCCAAATGTATTGTCAACGACTACAGCTAATAAATTATCATGGGCGAAGGCAATTTGTTTTGCAAATTCATCTTCGGTTTCGATTAAGTTGTAGCTTTCAATGTGACCTATAATTTTGGGTTGTTTGGTTTTGCTTTTGAGATCCATTGAGACTAAATGTATTTCATTATTACTAGAGAGTGCAGCAAATATCTGATTTGTCTCCCCTGAAGCAATATCAGTGATGTTATTATTCGAAGGTATATCAATTTCTCTGAAACTTATTGGAGGTGGCACATTGGCAATTGCCAACGGGGTCAATTTCATAGTACTTCCATCGACAACCATCACCATACCCTCGTCCTTACCTAATGTAGTTGGTCCCGTGGTAATTTTCGTGGTTAAATCAATAACCTCAATTCTACCTTTCTTACTTCCTATCATTAAATGCAATGGCTTCTCACTGTGAAATTTCAAGAACAATATTCCTTCTGGGACAGTGATCTCTTGCTTAAGATACCAATGGTAGTTCTTGGTGGTCCACAATTGTACCTTATCATCAAGTTGAAATGCAAGTACCTCCAGATCGCAAGACCAATGTAAATTTGAAACCTCTCCCGTGACTGGGTCCAATCTAGTGTCAAATTCACCATGTCTTAATCCGTTTCTTTCGTAAAAAACAAGATCCAAACAAGGATAGCTTTCTCCGGTGTCTTCATCTTCTTTCATATGTCTCTGGGTGGAAGCAATAAGTGAGCCTTGAGGCTTCCATGAGACATTATGCTCCAACCCATCAACAGCCTCAGAAACACTATCTAATTCCCCATCTCTGGTAAACACTCTAATTACTCTACGATCATGCAATTTCTCTTGAGTTTCGTCCACTAAAACAGGTTCTATAGTAGAAATTGCAAAATACTCGCAGTCTCCTCTCCAAGAGATTGAAACAGCTTGTGAATCGAAATCAGAGAGTACACCCTTCTCTACTACGGAAACTGTTGGATCACGAAGAAGGTCTCTTTCTCTTTCCTTCTCCCTCATACCCTTACCAGTGAATTGAGTTTCTTTCTTACCCCAACCAACTGAAACATGCTTTTCTTCACTTATGTAGACGTCCTTAGGGTTTAGCTTTCTCTCATGGATTGGTTCAAATTGACGCAGCAATAAAATGACGTTTAATTCTCCTGTGACTATAGATAAGGTTTCTTCGTCTGGCGACCAGGTGGATGCTAAAAGGCCTACATCAATGGATCCAACAATCTCTACAATGGTGGTTTCTGGATCTGGTTGGGCAGGGTCGTAAGTAGCTGTAATGATATCACCACCTTTAAACACGAAAATCAACTGGCAAGTATCAACGAAGTGGTTGAATGACAAAATATCAATTTCCTGTTCATTTTCCTGTTTGGCCTGCTGTACTGGAGCTGGGAAAGAAGCAAGTACATTGACCTCTCCTGTCTTCATGAATTGTTGCACCTCGATCATCCCAGATTCCAAAGACGATAGAATGTAAGTGATACTATCGGTAACCGAATCAAAAACAGCATCCACGACCAATAGGTCTGGATACGTCCTTGACTCTGGAGCTATCTTCCCTCTGTTAAGAGTAACAAGGTTTCTCATGGTTCTTTTTACTTTGAAAGCAGAGTATCAGCACAGGAATACATTGTAGCCTCCACTCTAGCGTACATCTTTTAAGATGCCCATCTTGAAAAAAAAGTTCTTTATGCAGGACGTGGGATTTTGGTTGCAATTATTCTTGTGGTACAAAATTGGCACGAAGCGAAGCCCAGTGAACAAGAGAAGCCTTGCAAGGTAGACGTAGGATGTTTTGTAAAGGTGTCAATAGCACAACTGATAGTCTATTAAATTCATGATAATTAGAACAATCAAGTAACTTGTAGAATTTAGTCCAGGGAAAAAGTTATGGAGAAGTCTCGTAGCAAGTGACGCAGGGTTCTCATTTTTCATTATTATTATTATGACGTATTGAGACACAATCGCTGTTCATCACTCATAAAGAGCCTAAAAATTTCTAATGACAATACGCTACTTAATTTAATGCTCAAAACAATAATATGCAATGGTATATTATCTCTGTCTTTTTCTTCTTTACTAATGATAATGTGACATGCAATTGCTCCTATATATCTAAACTAAATTTGTTTCACGCTCATTATGGGGCAATTTTTGATGTAATTATGTCCCAAATTCGCACTCTTCACTTAAAAAGTATTTTTATGCTTTAGCTTTAGTGATCTCTTCTTCTTTGCTTCTCATATATTCCAAAACCAGCTCTTTCACAACCAAATTTGAGTATAACTGAGATTCTTTGATTGGAGCTCTAGTAAGTGGATCGAACCCACCCTTTGCTTGCATATGTTGGAGCAAAAGCGACTTTTCATATGTTATTCCAGAAGGAGTTACCACTGGATCGGAAAATAAATTGAACGAAATGGGATCAATCAACTGATCTGGAGCTTCGTTGTTAATGATCTCATCGACTTCCTCTTTTGATAGGAGGGACGCTGAACTACTTCCAGTACGATTTTCCTCAAGGCTCGTACTTTTCCTTTTGGACTGGTTTCCTTTATAAATATTACTAGTATGACTGTTTTGAAACATATCCAAGATATGCACCAATTCTTGTAAATGCAGCTTGTATAATTGGAGTTGTTCATCGTAAAATGCCTTGGATTTCTCATACCTAAACTTTTTTCTCAAGCTCTCATATTCTCTTGCTTGCTCTTCTCCTAATAAGGTATAAAGTCTGGAGAAGATCCCATTTGACGTCAAGACTCCAGTCTTTTCGTTCAACCTTTTAATCTCGGTTTGAACCCCAAGTATATCGTTGTACACGTACTTTGATATAGTCTCGGACGTTCCCGATATCTTTTTTTTTTGTGCAGCATTTTCTGCTCTGGGAGAATGGTTCAATTTAGATAACCAATTCATACTTGTTACAGACTTGACTAGTAGTAAGAATATATGTAAAAAGAAAAATACGCTACAGTGTGATCTTCTGTTTTTAATCGACGTAGAGACCAATAAGCAGTAACAGTATCATCATTGGCGACTCTTGTGCTATATATAAGTAAAGGGCAGGGTATTTATTTACTGAAGTATCACTTATGACGTCAATTTGCGAACAAGCACATTTTTTTTTTTTTTCGGTTTTAACAATAAGAAAGCAACATTAAAATCCAAAGATTAGTGGTCTTCATGACAAATGACTTCACACAGATGGAGTTTTAGTCTAAGCAGAGAAATCTAGACTGGGATGGCGGGGCAATAACACATTGACTTAGATAAGCAGGAAAGGAAACTTGCTCTGTTTCTGACGTAGACTGTCTGGGAATCGGCGGAATACGAAATAAGCTTTTGGCCAGATCCAAAGGGTCTGGTGTTGCATGAGTAATAAACAGAACGTCATCATAAGCAAAGGCATGTTCTTTTTTTTTTCTTTCTCATTTCATGTATGTCAACAGTTTTGAGGTCTTGGGTCGAGACATTAGTGTCCCTGGATAATATATGAAGGCTCAGTGTATTAGTATATATTAGTAATAAATTCGAACTTAGATGTGCGAGCGCCTACTCAACAAGTGTAGTAGCAGTCTAGACAATCATTCGGAGAGAAGTACGCACACAGAGACACTACAACCAAAAGACAGATGAACTAACGAATCATTCTGAGTGAGTTCTGACACCTAAATATGTTAAATTTAAGAGATTCTTATTCAAGGCTTAAAATTGCAATCCAAGCACTAATTAGAGCGACCCAAGCTAGAATAAGCGAGTTTCGTCTCTCACCAGAAAACCATACTTAGCTGTTTCTCTTCCTACAGCCGAATTTTTCCGAATTATTTTTCCTCTGGATTTTAATGTTTTCACGTGACCCATGCCAGACTGCCAGAACAAGAAAAAGGTCGTGCGAAAATCACGGCCAAAACCCCTTTGAGATAGGAATAATAAACTTTCAACAGAAAAGCTGGCAGAGCACTAAGAGCAATTCTAAGTACTTTTAGGAGCCATCTATTTGTAAAGAAAAGATTCTCAGAACATGGTTGAAAAGGAAGAGGCAGTATTCCGTAAGTATTAGCGTGAACTTAGAGGGGTATTGAAGGAATATCAAGACAAATTGAGACTCAATTGAAGTTTCCTTTCGGGTTTTGCCGTTATCGTCAATCCATGAACTCTTGCCGTCCATCAGTTTACTAACAATTTTCATTTAGGCTCTGCGGAGATGTCTTTGGTTCAATTATATGTTCCTACAGAAGTTTCAAGAGAAGTGGTATATGAGATTGGACAGCTTAATTTGGTGCAATTCCGTGACTTGAACTCCAAGGTGAACGAATTCCAACGTTCATTCGTTAAGGAATTGAGAAAGCTTGATAACATCGAAAGGCAATTCTTCTCCTTCAAGACTCAACTTGACAAAAGAGATATCGCAATCAAGGCTTACCCTTACGCTCTGGACTTAGCGAGAGTTGCTCCTCAATCTGAAATAGATGAGTACTATGAAAATTCATCTTTATTGGAAGACCGTGTTAATCAGTTGATTGAAAGTAACGAAACCTTGTACAAGAAGCAGCAAGATTTGCAACTGAAAAAGTACACAATCCAAGGTGTGGGAAACTTTTTTGCAAGTAACGGATCTTCTAGTGGTGTCAATATCACCGACGACTTAGAAACCGGTGGAGTCCCTACATCATCTCATTCATCCTTTATTGCTGGTGTAATCAACCGTGACAAGGTCGCAGTACTTCAGCAAATCTTGTGGAGAGTACTTAGAGGTAACTTATACTACCACACTGAGGAATTAACCGAAAAGATTTACGATGATAAATCAAACACATTTGTTGAGAAGAATTTTTTTATTATCTTTTCCCATGGTTCTTTGATTTTCCAGAGAATTAAAAAAATTTGTGAGTCTTTGGACGCTTCTTTGTATGATGTTGATATTACCAGCTCATTAAGAGAAGAAGCTCTCTCTGAAACTGATGCCAAGTTAACAGATCTCTCTATTGTGTTGGAGCAAACTGAAAATGCTTTGAGTACTGAATTGATTGCCATCTCCAAAGAACTTGCTAAGTGGTGGGAAATTATAGCAAGGGAAAAAGCAGTCTATAAGACTATGAACCGTTGTGATTACGATGATGGTAGAAAGACTCTTGTAGCCGAAGGATGGATCCCAAGTGACGAAATTCAAACTTTAACTACCACTGTGAAAACCACTTCCCAGTCAGTGCCAACTATTATTAACGTCTTAGAAACTACCAGAACTCCTCCTACTTTCCATCGTACTAACAAGTTCACTGATGCCTTTCAAAATATCTGTGATGCCTATGGAATTGCTTCATATCGTGAAGTTAACCCAGGTTTACCTACGATCATCACTTTCCCATTTATGTTCGCAATTATGTTTGGTGATTTAGGGCATGGGTTTATTTTATTCTTGGCCGCATTGGCACTTGTATTAAATGAGAAGAAATTAGGTGCTATGAAACGTGATGAAATTTTCGATATGGCATTTTCTGGTAGATACATCTTATTGTTAATGGGAATTTTTTCCATGTACACTGGTACATTATACAACGATGTTTTCTCCAAGTCAATGACCCTTTTCAACTCTGGATGGGAATGGCCAGAACACTTTAAATTAGGTGAAACTGTTTTAGGTAAACAGGTAGGAACCTATGCTTTCGGTATCGATTCGGCATGGCACGGAACTGAGAATGCTTTGTTATTCACAAATTCTTATAAGATGAAGCTTTCCATCTTGATGGGTTATGTCCATATGTCTTACTCATATGGATTTTCATTAGTCAATTATCTTAATTTCCACAGTGTGATTGATATTGTTGGTAATTTCATTCCAGGTTTGATTTTCATGCAAGGTATCTTCGGTTACTTGTCCCTTTGTATTGTTTACAAGTGGTCTGTTGATTGGTATGCCATTGGAGAACAACCACCAGGATTGCTTAACATGTTGATTTCTATGTTCTTATCTCCAGGTACTATTGCTGAGCCATTATATAGTGGCCAGTCCACAGTTCAGGTTGTCTTATTATGTGGAGCTTTAATCTGTGTTCCATGGTTATTATTGGTTAAACCTTTGTACTTTAAGAGAAAACTTGATAAGGAAGCTGCAGAAGCGCAATACCAGGAGCTTCATGGGAGTGAAACCACTGTACATGAAGAAGAACCAGAACATGATGATGACGATGAAGACCACGAGGAGCATAACTTCGGTGATATTATGATCCATCAAGTTATTCACACAATTGAGTTCTGTTTGAATTGTGTTTCTCATACAGCTTCATACTTGAGATTGTGGGCTTTGTCCTTGGCCCATGCTCAGTTGTCTACCGTTTTGTGGTCCATGACTATGGCTATTGGATTTGGCCCTACTGGTGTTTTTGGTGTAATTATGGTTTTCTGTTTGTTTGCCATGTGGTTTACTTTGACTGTTGTCATTTTAGTCCTTATGGAAGGTACTTCTGCCATGTTGCACTCTTTGAGATTACACTGGGTCGAATCCATGTCCAAGTTCTTCATCGGAGGAGGTAGTCCCTATGAACCATTTGGTTTCAAGGATTTGTTGAGTGACATTTTGTAAGATCTGCCGATGGACGATGTTGCGGCCCAATTTACGTAAGTAGCACTGAAGTCAAAATTTTAAAGTAAAGAACAGGTAAAAATCACTCCAAAATAATTATATATAAAAGAACTGTTTAGTTGAAAATCTATAGAATATTAAAGTTAAATGTAGGAACCTAAGTATTCAGATGATTTTAATACGTCATTTTTCACAAGAGTGAAAAGTATGAAGATGTAATTCAGGAGATACGGCGATATAGCTGCTATGTTACATAAGAATATTACCGTTAAGCATTTTACTAGTTTATATACAGGCCTTAGACCAAAAAGAAATGGAATTTTAGGTTGAGGCTTATTACCTTCTTGGCGCACAGTGATGTACCCCCCACTTAGCCGAAAGAACATTGCATCAAATCTATTATTGGACTGGACCTTTCTCATCATGAGCATGTACGATATACCCCAGAAACATAGTAAACCACTTGCCGTTATTCAGTCAATTCAAGATTGAGAGCAGTGAATTAGAGTATCTTCTCTGCAAGTCATAGAAGGAAAGTTTAAATAGTTAGAACCCAATTTGCATCGAATCCAGAGTATATTTGAAAAGTATCATCGGCTATGAGAAATGCACAGAAACCTAGTCGAAGGTCATAAAGTAGAGGTAATGCCATTTGAAGGTACGGCGGTAAGCTTGAAGGAAGAATCAAAATTGCCGTTGATGATTACCGTTAAAAACAGCAACTAAATTGAAAAAAAAATAAATGGGACGTGCGGAGTATGCACGTCAATAATTTGACATGTCGGCACATCCAATTTGAAATTACTTACCATTTTCTTCGTAATTCAGCAGGTAAAAATGGTACAAGCACTTACTGAACTGCACTGAATTGCTAAACTTAGCAATCTTAAAGATACATTACTACCTTTATCGGTCGATGCAAAATTTAAGAGGAACTTTTATTACAGCGTAAAATAGTTGACCGACTCCATTGCAATGCTCATAACACAGTGGAAGAATAGAAAAATGTAACATAGCGTAGAAATGCCGAACTTAAGATTTGAAAAAAGAAGGTTTGAAAGCCGGCTGTAGTGAGCCCAGAGAAATGGCTATCATGTTCTAGCCGGAAGGAATCTAACTTGAGTTGACTTATAAATTTTTACCCACTGATTGGCTATTCACATCTCGTTCATAAATTAAAGCAATGCCTAATTCAGAAAAATTACTCATGATATATCCTTGAGAGGAACATTTTCCAAGTGTTACGGTCGTATTCGGCACAGTAATAGATCTCAAGGGGGACCATGTAAATAATAAAAACGTCAACTCCCCATTTTTAGTCCTCTTTTTGGAATATACGGGGCAACTAAGTATGATGGTAGGTGCATTCTCTTTGATATGCAGCAAGTTAGCTAGTTAAGCTATTATGTCTTATGTCTTAAACCTAAATTTATGCCGAAGGGCCGCAAATGAAATTCCTGTCAATGCCGTATTAAAATTTCTTATCGCTCACTGGAAGACAAGTGATTCAAAAAGTGACACTTGCTAGCGCCCCATAATTCAAACATATTTAAAGATGCCGATACCTTGTTGCTTTATTTTTAGAAAAAGGAATCCAGTTTGAAAATATTCTTGTTTTATTTGGAATTCAAGGATGTCAGACCTCAAGGTTATTAAAAGTGTTGCTTCCGCAGTAGTTTCCGAGAATGGACGGGTCTTAGAAAAGCTTGCAAATGAAGACCAACAAGATTTCTATCATATCTCTTTAGAAGAAATTCTTTATGAAGCAAAACTTCAGAGGGAATTGGAGAAATCTGAAGAGTGGGGTGAGCCTGCTCCAACTCTTCCAATGTTGAATTTAGTCAAAGGAAAATTATTTGCTAAGAAGCCACAAAGTTCCTCTTCAAATTCATATTCTAGTGATGCTGTGGTCGATGAAAAACAAACTGGTTTCGAAGGAGATGACGATCTTGTCTCTGAGCCTATTAATAAAAGTTTAGAAAATGCCAATAGAATGGTGAGAACTGCTTCGTGGGGTTCCGTATTTTACTTGATTACAACAGATATTCTTGGTCCAACAAGTGCCCCATACTCAGTTTCTCAACTTGGATACGTTCCAGGTTGTTTATTATACTTATTATTTGGAATTGCCGCCGCTTACACAGGTTTCCTCTTGTGGGGTCAATTTTTAACCCTCGATTCACGGAAATATCCATTACATTCCTTCGGTGATGTGGTGGGACGTATTTATGGTAAGTATACAAGATACGGTGTTGATTGTCTCCAAACTCTTCAGTTGATCTGCAATGTTGCAGTCATTACCCTCGGGAATGGTCAAGGTTTATCCCAAATGGCAAAGGGTAAAGGATGTTATACTGCCTTAATTTTAGTGTGGGCAATTATTGGTATGATTGTTGGTCAAATCAAATCATTGCAGAGATTTGGATTCTTAGCCAATCTCGCAATTTGGATGAATGTTTTCGTTATTATTGCTACTATGGCATGTGTTTCCAAGCAATTACCTAACTATACCGCAGCGGCTGGAACAGCAGGCGTCGTTAAAGGTCCCGTGGTTACTCATGTCATAGTAAGTGGAGCTGGATCAGAAGCATTTCAGAGTCAGTTAACGGCTTGTATGAATATTGTCTATGCTTACGGTGGTGCTATGGTCTTCATTGAATTTATGTCTGAAATGAAGAGACCTCGTGATTTCATTAAAGGTATGGCATGTGCTCAACTCTTTATTTTCACCGTTTACCTTCTTTATGGAATGATTGTGTACCACTACCAAGGCCAGTTTGTTATAAACCCAGCCAATCAAGGTATCAGTCACTACGGATGGCAAACTGCATGTAATGTCGTTAATTTACTTTCCGCTATCATTGCAGCTGGTCTTTATGGAAATGTCGGTATCAAGGTCTTCTACACTTCCTTTATACAAAAAGTTTTCAATGCTCCAAGTCTTAATTCTAAGAAAGGTAGATTCATTTGGACTTTTCTTGTTATTGTATATTGGGCTGTAGCATTCGTTATTGCATCTGCTATTCCACAATTTTCATACTTGACAGGTTTGGTCGGTGCTATCTGTATCTTGCAATTTACTTATACATTTCCTCCTATCATGCAATTTGGATTAGATTTCCAGATTGCGGCTATGCAAGGCGATGGACCTTATGACCCCGTGAACAAAGTTGCAAACCGTGTTGATTCATGGAGTAACCTTTCCAGGTGGGTTCGTGCTTATAAAGTTAACTGGTTCAAGAACACATGTCACATCATCTTCTTCTTAGCAGCATTAGCTACCGCATGTCTTGGTATGTATTCTTCGGGAGAAGGATTTGCCCATTCATTTGCAGATGGTGTGACTACCTCCTTCACTTGTAACTCACCAGTGGCTTAATTCTATATCGAATGTGTATAAAAATAAGATGCTATTGCTCATTAAATGAAATGATAATTTATTGGGAAATATTTCCAAACTCCCTCGTAGTTGAGCCACGAAAAGCCCTACCAACAGAACACTAAGTAGGTCCAAATTTTGAGCCACTAGAACATTATGAGGCTAAGGCATTAAAATATGCAAATAGAATGTAAACGAATACTTCCGGTCGATTAACCCGCTCCACTTCAGTAATGAATCCTAGAATACAAAATCGGAATTCCAAGCCGAATAAAGACGGGAATAAAAGAAACTATACCACTTTTACAGAAGATTTGCATCAATAGTGTGTAAGAAAATTTTTGCCTTACAAGGCATTTTTTCGAAAGTGTATCGTGGGGCTTCTGCATCATTGAGCTAAGAACAATCGCCAGATAGCAATAACGATCGGTAGTTCATGATACTGATCAAAGAAAAGAACGCAAGTGGTAGACGTGCCACTTGTAAAAGCGGCAGCTACATTCAATAATCACCTAAAAATTGCGCCGAAATCAGCCATAAACGGTATTTGACATAAAATAATCTGGAACGAGGTACAGATTAAACTTTTTGATAGATGAGGCTCAATATGTCAAAATTATTGTTACGTTAAGAGGACCAGCATACGACTCTTATACTTGCTTCACTGCATCAAAGTAAAGCAAAAACGACGTAGAATGCAAAAGGCATTGTATCCAGTTATCTCTTAAAATAAAACACCTCATTTGGCAGGGTATATATCCAAATTGAAACCTTAGCAATACATGTTAATGTTTGACAGTAACAACGCTCATAACAAGTTGCAGTAAAAGATAAAAAAAATGTAACGCAAATAAACGCCGCAACGAATAGTGAGGGTTTAAGCAAATAACGAGAGAGCAAAGTAACCTTTGTGACCTTTGTAGCTGGTCACACCTCTGCTAGATGCTGGTACGAATGTACTTCAACAAATCGTACTTCGATTTACTGTAATTCAGCTTTGATCTGTGCGCTTAACTTTGATATAATCCAAATAAGCTAAGTGACCTGAGTAAATGTTACCCTTCGAAAAAGGTTCTTTCGATAAGAAAGTGTAACATGCATGTACTCCTCTCGGTCTAAGGCTGCAGCGGGGCACAAAGAGCTTAGCTTGATTAGAAAAGCAATGAATTTAGTCCAATTAAGGGTGCACGGACGTCTTCGCCGCAGGGTTCGACAAGCCGCTACTTTTTATCTAGCAAATGCATTCAGAGCCATCGTTGATAAGATACGAATATGCCGAATTGCCGCAATAGAACTTATGACAATGCCGTAAAGAAGTTACTATGGCTCAAGGATAGATAATACGGGAGCAAAATGGAACGAGGTTCGATTATACTTAAGTATGCGGTAAGTCTTTCAATTATTGAGAAAAATTATTTTCCCCTTGTTAAAGCAACAACAATGTCAGATCTTAAAGCTATCAGAAGTATTACAAGTGCAACTTCTGCAGTCATCTCCGAGAATGGACGTGTCTTAGACAAGTTTGCAAATGAAAATCAGCAAGATTTCTACCACATTTCTTTAGAAGAATTTCTTTACGAAGCAAAGCTTCAAAGAGAATTGGAAAAATCTGAAGACTGGGGTGAAGCAGCTCCATCAGTTCCCATGTTGGAGTTATTCAAGGTGAAAGTTCTCGGAAAACAATCTCACAGCTCTTCCTCCGCACCAAATTCTCCAACCGGTTTGGATGATGAGAAGCACAACGGGTCAGAAGGTGATGATGACCTTATATCTGAACCTATCAATAGGAGTTTAGAAAATGCCAATAGAATGGTGAGAACTGCTTCGTGGGGTTCAGTATTTTATTTGATTACTACAGATATCCTTGGTCCTACAGCAGCTCCCTATTCCGTTTCTCAGCTTGGATATGTTCCAGGTAGTTTATTATACTTCTTGTTCGGAATTGCTGCTGCATACACCGGGTTTCTCTTGTGGGGTCAATTCTTAAGGCTCGACTCACAGAAATATCCATTACAATCCTTCGGTGATGTGGTGGGACGTATTTACGGTAAGTATACCAGATACGGTGTTGACTGTCTTCAAATACTTCAATTGCTTTGTAATGTTGCAGTTATTATTCTTGGTAACGGGCAAGGTTTGTCACAAGTTGCAAAGGGTAAAGGATGTTATACTGTCTTAATTTTAGTTTGGGCAATTATTGGTATGATTGTTGGCCAAATTAAATCATTACAGAAGTTCGGATTCTTGGCTAATCTCGCAATTTGGATGAATGTCTTCGTTATCATTGCCACTATGGCATGTGTCTCCAATGAATTACCCAACTACACAGCAGCCACTGGAACCACTGGTGTTTCTTACGGTGCAACAGTTACTCATGTGATTGTCAGCGGAGCTGGTGCAGAAGCATTTCAGAATCAATTAACTGCGTGTATGAATATTGTCTATGCTTACGGTGGTGCTATGGTCTTCATTGAATTTATGTCTGAAATGAAGAGACCTCGTGATTTCATTAAAGGAATGGCATGTGCTCAACTCTTTATTTTCACCGTTTATCTTCTTTTCGGTATGATTGTGTACCACTACCAAGGCCAATTTGTTGTGAATCCAGCAAATCAAGGTATCAGTCACTACGGATGGCAAACTGCAACTAACATTATTAATTTACTCTCTGCTATTATTGCAGCTGGTCTTTATGGAAATGTCGGTATAAAGGTATTCTATACCACATTTATACAAAAAGTTTTCAATGCTCCAAGTCTTAATTCTAAGAAGGGTAGATTCATTTGGACTTTTCTTGTTATTGTATATTGGGGTGTAGCATTCGTTGTTGCATCTGCTATTCCACAATTTTCATACTTAACTGGTTTAGTCGGTGCTGTCTGTATCTTGCAATTCACTTATACATTTCCTCCTATCATGCAATTTGGACTAGACTTACAAATTGCCGCTATGCAAGGAGATGGACCTTATGACCCAGTCAACAAAGTCGCCAACCGTGTTGACTCCTGGAGAAATCTCTCGAGATGGGTTCGTGCTTATAAAGTAAACTGGTTTAAAAATACTTGCCATATTATGTTTTTCTTAGCAGCATTAGCTACTGCTGGACTTGGTATCTACTCTTCTGGGGAAGGCTTCGCCAATTCTTTTGCTGACGGTGTGACTACCTCCTTCACTTGTAATTCGCCTGTTGCGTAGTTTTATATCACAACTGTGTACAATAATAATAAGTACGTTTTAGTTCAGTAAGCGAATGGAAACAATTTATGACGTCATTTTGAACCTTTATTGGAGTATTAACGTCCAATAACATAGGTTTAGAGGTTTACTTTACAGTAAGCCACTCATATCATGCATGTAGAAGTTCAACTGAAATTTCTTCTTACTGCTTCTGGTACATCATCAAAAGTGAATGAATTATTGCAAAATCGAGATGGTAACATATTGTAAGTAAATTGCTGCAATTTTCCATTTTCTCATAAAACGATAAGGTTCCATTCGGAGCGTTTGCGAATCAAACTTCTAAGTTTTATCACGGGGTGTGTTGACATACTCGCATCTACACTGAAAGGCCGTAAAGTTGAGCTTAAGGTTATAATAGATATGCCACCTAATAGAACGGCAGCTATGATAAACTAAGCCCTTAATGAAGCCCGCTTAAGCTTGTTGCTAGAGGGGTCTGCAGATATTAGGAAGCCTTCGGTATCTGCGCGCGCCAGCATCTTGACATATTCAATATGTCAAAAAGCGACAGCCACTTGATTGTGTTGTTTGATATCATATTCATACTTTTATTGCATGTAATACAAGGTGAAAAGTATGAGGGAAACTGAATAGATAAAGTCGTTACGTCAATAAGTCTCTTATTTTAAGTTGCTCTATTATAACCTCTGATAACATCAATATTATTCCATCGGATCGAATCGATATGGATTATTGACAGTTACAATGCTCATAACACAACGCAGCCTGAACAGAAAATAACGTTGCACAACTCTCAAATGCCGCATACTCTTTGGGAAATGAGGAGCTTAAAAGAAGGCGAAGGAAAACTTCCAACCAAAAGTATTACTCTCATAGATGTTCCGGAACTATTAGCCATATATTAGCAGAAATGGTGGACGAATACTGCTGAAGTATCACAAACATTCAAAAGTTGTGTTCTTACCCATACAAGAATATATTAGATTCCCTAATACCAGAGAGTACAAGCGAGACTTGCAGATAATTCTCTCAGTTGATTGCGTTTTCAATGCAACCCCAATCAAGGGATATTGTCTTGTAGGCTTAGTTGTACGAATTGACACACATATTTCGTCCTTATAGCAATTCAAACCTGAATAAATAATTATGTTGATTGTGAAGATAACCAAATGCCGAAGAGCCGCAAGATATTGTTATTGTGAGTGCCGTTTCAAAAGTGCACTATCGTAACTTCAAGTGTTTTACATTGATTGGCACCAGACTAAAGCACTATTTAAGTAGTCAATACTTGCCGAATTTTACAGCAAACAATTCTTTTGATCACTAGGAATGTCAGATATTAAAGCTATCAGAAGTGCTGCTTCCGCAGTAGTTTCCGAAAATGGGCGTGTCTTAGAAAAGTTTGCAAATCAAGATCGAAAGGACTACTATCATATCTCTTTGGAAGAAATGGTTTATGAAGCAAAGCTTCAAAGGGAGTTGGAGAAGTCTGAGGATTGGGGGGAAGCGGCTCCATCTGTGCCAATGTTGGAATTGATCAGGGTTAAATTCTTCGGAAAACTGCCTCGTTCTTCCGGTTCAGTTTCAAATTCAAATTCTGCTGATGTTGTGGTAGATACAAAGCAAGATAGCTCTGAAGGTGATTATGACCTTGTTTCCGAGCCACTTAATAAGAGTTTGGAAAATGCCAATAGAATGGTAAGGACAGCATCTTGGGGTTCTGTGTTTTACTTGATTACAACTGATATTCTTGGACCCACAAGTGCTCCTTACGCAGTTGCACAGCTCGGCTATGTCCCGGGAAGTTTGATATACTTGTTGTTCGGTATGGCCGCCGCTTATACTGGTTACCTTTTGTGGGATCAGTTCTTGAAACTTGATTCCCAGAAATATCCCTTACAGTCATTCGGTGACGTTGTGGGGCGTATTTATGGTAAGTATACCAGATACGGTGTTGATTGTCTTCAAATAATCCAATTGCTCTTCAATGTTGCAGTTATCATTCTTGGAAATGGTCAAGGTTTATCTGAAGTTACGAAGGGTAAAGGATGCTATACTGTCTTGATTTTAGTTTGGGCAATTCTTGGTATGATTGTTGGCCAAATTAAATCATTACAGAAGTTTGGATTCTTGGCTAATCTCGCAATTTGGATGAATGTCTTTGTTATCATTGCCACTATGGCTTGCGTCTCTAATGAGTTACCTGATTATACTGCTGCCGGTATGACTGCTGCGCCTGTGGTTACTCAAGCTGTTATTAGTGGCGCTGGATCGACCTCATTCCAAAATCAATTAAGTGCATGCATGAATATCGTCTACGCTTACGGTGGTGCTATGGTCTTCATTGAATTTATGTCTGAAATGAAGAGACCTCGTGATTTCATTAAAGGTATGGCTTGTGCTCAACTCTTTATTTTCACTTGTTATCTTCTTTTTGGTTTAATTGTGTACCACTACCAAGGCCAATTTGTTGTGAATCCAGCAAATCAAGGTATCAGTCACTACGGGTGGCAAACTGCAACTAACATTATTAGTTTACTTTCTGCTATTATCGCAGGTGGTCTTTACGGAAATGTCGGTATAAAGGTCTTTTATACATCTTTCATCCAAAAAATCATGAATGCACCAGATCTTCATACTAAGAAAGGTAGAGTGGTTTGGACCATTTTAGTTATTCTTTACTGGGGTTTAGCATTTGTCGTTGCTTCTGCTATTCCAGAGTTTTCCTATTTAACTTCGTTGGTCGGCTCTGTTTGTATCTTGCAATTTACTTATACATTCCCTCCTATTATGCAATTTGGACTAGACTTACAAATTGCCGCTATGCAAGGAGATGGACCTTATGACCCAGTCAACAAAGTCGCCAACCGTGTTGATTCTTGGAAGAACCTCTCTAGATGGGTTCGTGCTTACAAAGTGAACTGGCTCAGAAATACATTTCACATCATGTTTTTCTTAGCTTCATTAGCCACTGCTGGACTTGGTATCTATACTTCGGGAGAAGAATTTGCCAGTTCATTCGCTGATGGAGTTACCACATCTTTCACATGTGTTTCCCCCGTTGCTTAGTTTATTAAATGTGTGTATACTATATGGATCTAATTACAACATTATATTTATGTTTATTCAGAAGTTTTCGAAGCCTTTTGTCTTGAGACATTGTAACAGATATTTATGGGATATAGAAACCATAGCCATAGTGGCACTATATAAAACTACTAGTCTCTAGAATTGATCTTCAATTGACCCTATTTAGCATATCTATAGTCATATTGATCTTGTTTCTAGATATATATGCTCACTTTATAACCTGAATATAATAGTGACTCACTTTGGTTTGGAAAGAAAACGTATACCCGGGATTCTGGTTGGAACCCTCAGTGCAGTTGCCGCCCTACCGTGCCGCATGCAAAATATTGCAACATTTGTGTGGGCGCAACAATTCTTTCGGAAGAGAGCACTGACGTAAAATTTATATGCAAGATTTTTCACTCGTCTGTATGCAGTTCGCGAAGATCATCGATATGGAACCAGTAAGAAAAAAAGAAACTGTGTGAATACAGTGATGAGCTCGGTGTACAAAGCTGTAAATTGTAGAAGGTAATTTTGAGAGCAAGATGTCTTTGCCTTTGAAGCATATATTGAAAGAGTTGGAGACTTCTCCGTCCTCTGTAATTCCAATACTCTCGACTTTACACAATAATAAGGCTATACTTCAGACAATCTCTAAGCAAGACAGAAAGCATCTTGTAAGTAGAACATTAAATTTGACCAGATCTCCAGTTCCTTATAATAAATGGTGTGGTGTGAATATTCTATTTGTTTTGAGTGATGATTACACTGTACTTACTGAAGATGGAGTCCACATACTCGCTCAATTAATTAAAATCGTTGAACAACAATCCCGTTCTGGTAGTTTGCTTGCATCTGCAGTTGACTGTCTTAACAAGGTCTGCAACCAAATTAGAGGTAAGCCCACTTTGACAAGAGAAATTCTTACTCCAAAATTACCTACCATTATATCATTATTTATGGAAAAGTTAGAATTAGATCCATCTTTGTTTATTCACTCTTTACAAACATTTATGAAAAAGCATCCAACTACTTTCAGACCGTTTGGAAATAAACTCAGAGCCAGAATTTTGGAATTCTTGAATAGTGAAAATTTCTCCAATTACCCCCAGAAGTTAAAGGAGCTTGTCTATTCTACATTAGCAAGCTTACCGGTTATCGAAAAGACAGAACCTGAAGCAAAATGGCAAGCAGATGTCCAAAACTTGATTCATGAAATGGTTCAGGTTGTCTTGATTTACAGAGAATTCTTGAACTTTAATGACGACTCTGAATTAGTACTGATAATTCAGAAGATTCCTCAGACAGTAGGTGAAAATCCTGCCCATTTCAAAGCGTTAAGTGTTGACGTAAATGACACTAGGCTGTTATACTTAATTTCTGAGCGTTTCAGTATTTTATGTGGAATTCTTTCAGCTTTTATCAATACTGACACCCTGTTTGCCGTGAGAGTTCCAATGGGGTCTGTGCTTGCTATGTGTGACATCGTCTGCTCTATTAACTCCAGATTCATTTCATTTAGAAATGATACTCATGATCCAGAGTTGAAATCCACCATCAAGTCAACATTAACACTCAATCAAATTAGCATTACCAAATTATTATCCAAGATACCAGCAATGTATGTGGGTTCAGTATTACCACATTTGAGTAATGTCTTATCACTTTTGGAAGTGCTTATTCCTTTCTCCAATAAAAGGATTGATGCTTCAGAGTTGTTCAACATGGAGCAGTTCATGGCTGATTTACTTGAATGTGTCACTAATTGGTTGAATTTGACTTCAAGCTTAAGCGACACTACTCAAGTATTGAGATTTATTGAAGTGGCATTGATCCTATCTGAGCCTCAAGATGTTTCAGAAGTCTCTTCAAACTCAAGTAATGGAGCCCAGAATACCTCCAATGGTTCAGGAAAAAAGAATAAAAATAACAAAAAGAAGAGCCATTCTTCAGTTCCTTTGTCTGATCTCTTGTCGCATCAGCATTTATTTACCTCTTCTGTTTCACCACGCACTGTTCAGATTATCCGTCAATTCATTAATGCAACTCTTAAAAAAGTTACTATTCCTCCAACCCAGTATTACAAAATAATGAGGTACATCTTTGTTGAAGCGACAAGGGCAAAGAGATACAGCCTTGAGAGTGAAATCCCCGTCAGCTTGAAAGACCTTTTAGTAGATGCTGTATTATATCCAGGTAATGAAGGTGTTTCATTGTTACCATTGGTTAGTAGTTTACTAGGAAATGATCCAATTATTAGTGTATTCAATAACCCAAGATTCCCACCTCTTGCTAAGTATGCAAAAACACAATCGGAGTATGACATAGAAGAGGAAGATGAAGAGGAAAACGAAGAGGAAGATGAAGAGGAGGAAATACAGGTATTAGCGAACGATTCTGTCAAGTCCAAACCTAATTCAGTCAAAGCTGAAAAGTTACATTCCATTGACGTATCTGCAGAAGAGCCCTTTAAAAGACAGAAGATTGTGGAATCAGAAGTTACCCAAGAAAGTTCTACTATTACCGAATCGATACCTGAATCTATGATATTCAAAAGAAATGAGGATACTGAAACTTTTGTAAAAGAAGTTACTGATGTAGTCACCCTTGAAGAAATTCCACCTTTCACCAAACCTGAATCAGTAACACCAGTCATTACGCATGATACTTCTACCCAGCTCATTGCAACTGTTGAAGAAGATGATAATTCGGATTTTGAAATGCCTAGTATTGATGTAGATGACGATGACGAAGATTAATAAATCAATATAGAATTTACTTATTTAAACTTCAAAAATATATATAATTGAAAGATCATATAGTCTATGTACATTCATGTAATTTTCTATAATAGTAAATATATATAAGATAAATAAATATTTAGCATGCAAAAAGGAACAAGTGAGATGCTCTGTAAGTATGTACATGATATATAAGAAAGTTATCTGAACGATTGCAAGACACTTGACAATTTCACTTCCATTTCCTCCCACTCAGAATCAGCTTCGCTCAAAACCGTAATTGCACCACCAGCACCGATTCTCCAAAGTTTTATATCGTCCGTATTTTCTTTATCATTATTATAATGGAAAAGAGAACGGATAACAACTGACCAATCTGAATCGTCCGTAATTGACCAGTATCCAACAACTCCACTGTAAATACCTCTTCTGCCTCCTCCAATTGATGTAGTCTGCAGCGATTCAAGATCCTGAAGCAATTCAATTGATCTCTTCTTGGGCGCTCCTGTCATGGATCCTGGTGGAAGTGACTCTCGCAATATGTCTAATCCATTGAAAGAAGATTCACTAGATAATTCACCTCTGATTACACTGACTAATTGGAATACAGTTTCATACTCTTCAACACTCATTAACTGATCGACTGTGACTTTTTCAATAAAACTATGTAGATCGTGCCTTATCAAGTCTACAATCATTAAATTTTCACCCATTTCTTTTGGGGTTTTCAATATCTTGTGTGCCTTTTCATAAGTCATATCTTCGGTTTTTTTGACAGTCCCCTTAATCGGTCTTAATTCAACCATCTTTTTCTTGGTGACACTATCATCTTTCCAGGATAAGAATCTCTCTGGCGAGGAAGAAATTAATGTAATATCATCAAATTCCATAAAGCATGAGAATGGGGAAGGGTTCTTCTTTATCGTTAAAACTTTGTACATTTCCCAGGCCTTAATGCTTGAGGGTAACCTTATTTTCAGTTGGGTTGTAAGGCAAAGTTCATATGAGTCTCCGGAATGTAAGTATTCCTGGCATTTTTCAAATTGGTTCCTATAAATATCTCTTGAAGGTAATTCAATAGCAATATCAATGTCCTGGGGGAGAACAAAATCATTAATTGAATCAGGAACATTAGATTTCTCAATTACTAATTTACCATCAGCGACATGAGATGTTAATTCTTCCGCTAAATTCTCACACCAAATTTGTTCATGTTGATTGTCTTGATTAATGGAAATGACAAACCAATCGCCTGTTACGTGATCAAAGATCATGAATCTTTCAATGTAAACCAATTTTAGGTCAGGAGTACAATCAACCTCGGGGTTGGTGATAGAGTCTAATTTATCAATTATTATATGCTGGCCCTCTTCATAAGATATTATGCCCAAGTATCCTCCTAAAAATGGGATATCACGAGTATGAATCGACCCAAAGTTTTCTCTGGGGATATATTTTTCTCTGAATTTTTCACCTACAAAGGCCCAAGCAGAACGGCTCCCCAACAGAATTTTCTTCCTAGATTCAAGAGATCCATAGAGAGAGACTTTAATTTTGTCATTCTCATCTACTGAATGAGTAATTACTTCTGACTTACCGAGTGTTGGAAGACCAATTATGGACCATTCACCTGGAAATGACGCAGAGTTCAATAAGAAAAATGGAGTTTCCTTCAGGTATAAATAATTGCAAATACCAACAGAGTTGATGGCTTGTGGCATTTGAAACTTTTTAAAGTATAAATTAGTACTAGCTCTCAAAGTAGTTTTAAGCTTACCTGAAGAAATAAGACCCAGAGGATGAACTGAGCTTTCGAAAGCTATTGATTCATTCACATATTCTTGACTCTCACTTTTCTTGAGAGTTCTATTGCATAGTTTATTATAGCTCTCAGCAAGTTCATCGAAATTTTTTATCAATTCTATTCCCCTTTCCGAGCAAATAGACTCTGGGTGATATTGTACACCGTAGAAGGGTAATCTAGTGTGCTTTGCTGCCATAAGAACCTTTTGATCAGATTCATCAAGGCAGTAAGCCAATGGCTTAAGAGTATCGCTGAGCTGCTCAATATCCACGTAGAGAGAATGGTATCTGACCGATGGAAATGAATTCAATGTTTTGAATAACCCATTAACTTCTATTGGGTAAACATCATATATTTGACCATGCTTGACACTTTCGAGTTTCAATACTTGATTATCAAATTCGTAGCAAATACTTTGGAAACCAAGGCAAATTCCAAGAATTGGGACAGCAGCTTGGTTTTGGCTCTCTTGCAGCTTATATTTCTGAAGCAACCAACTAATGATTCCAATATCACTTGGATTCGCTGGATGACCTGGACCCGGACCTATGACGATATAATCAAACATAGGCAAAAAATTCGTGAAAAATGATTCATACTCGTCTGGCTTATAGGTGTCATTGTGTATTGTAATAACTTTCTTCCCTGTGGTATCCCGAACTAGCTGAGAAAGGTTATTTGTGAAAGAATCGTAGGAATCAATGAGTAAAATCATGGAGAGAGAAAATCAAAGAGAAAACGAGGGACTTGTTATAAAGGTGACTTAGTCCTAGTGTTCACTACGTTCAATTCAAAAGAATAACACGGAGAAGATCACTCAATCGATATGGTTGGATTAATGCAAATATTAAGCAATTTGCAATAAGTGAAAAAGCAAAAAAAAAAAAAAAAAAAAATCTTACGCAGCATGTTAAACGAAATTCGTGCATGTGAGATGAGTTGGTGGCTGCTGGGTGCAAATGAGTAAGCATGCTTAATACACACTAAACTAGTCACTGCTGAAGTACTAAAAAAGGTCATTACTTCACATTGTTTCTCAAATTGTGATTAGAGGGAATAATTTTTAAGGAAGGAAGCATAGGGGATGATGTTGATTGGATGATCTTGCTACTCGCTGTGGCATTTGCGATTTTTCAAGAATGAAGATTTAAAGATTATACAGAAAACAAACACACAGTAATATAAATAAGCTTTTAAAGTTGTATTTGATAAGATAACTGTTGTATCACCTTTTATAGTAGTGATTGAGCAGATAGAAATGAGATCTGAATAACTTTTGGGGCTCAATAGAATCTACAATGTAAATAACAACATGAGGTGAATCAATCCTGAAACTAGTGTGAAATTAGTATAAGTAGCGCGTCGAGAGAATCATTCATTAAAATATGTTAGTTCAAAGAGATGACATACAAACTTAATCGTGAATATTGTAGGTATAGCCAATCATATCTTAAGACTTCAACTGGGTGGCAGTGATTAGGCTATGTCATGCAGCTGGTCACCAAGCTAGCTAGATATGGCATTTTTAGCTACCTCTAGCTCTCATATCTGTACAGTCTCCATCCGACTACTCCTAAACTCCGAATTTCCATGGGCAACGAACTCTTTTGTGTCTACATGTACACGCCTTTACATGACCTTTTTAATTTGAGTTACACTAGCCAGATCTATGCTAGCCCGTACTACATTCAAAAAATTTAATATTTTGCACCTCTATTACTGTATTTGACTTAGAAGTACTTGTGGCTATATTCACGTGTATATACTTACTTACGTACAACTCTCCCCTGTAGTAGGACAATTATCTCTAATTACTTTATAAATTGTTTTTTTTGCTTCTTTCATGGTTTTCTTTCTTTGTTCGTTATGCTTTTTTTCTTTTCTCATACATTTTTTTTTGCTTATACTGTTTTGTATGTGTCCTTTAACAAGCGTCAGGTTGAGCAAGAATGTAGTCAAGAGTTTGTCCAACAGTCTTTAATGTGTCAGCTTCATGGTCTGGGATTTGAATGTTGAACTCGTGTTCTACTTCCATTACAACCTCTACTACATCTAAGGAATCCAAGCCTAAATCTTGAGAAAATGATGCTTCTTCAGTAATCTTTTCTGGGTTTTGAACCTTATCGTAGCCTTCTAATAACTCAATAATTCTTTCCTTTGCGAGATCTCTGGTTAAAGCTGGAACACTGGAGTAGAAAGAAACTCTGGTAATTGGAGTTACCAATCTTGGTTGTTGTCTGAGAACAACAGGAGTTCTCAAGGTTCTGAGTATGCTTGATCTAAACATTTCTGGCTAGTGTGTTGGTTGAAGTAGTGTTTTATACGCTTTGGAGGTTTTTTCTTTGAACTCTATTTGAATAATCGATGTTCTTAGTGGATGGAAAGTTACACAAAACTATATGTTACACAAAACTTCTTCTTAAGAGTACCAAGACTGGATCAAGTAGATGAAATGGTGAAACACCGCTAGCCCAGAACAGGGGGGATTACAAGGCTTGTATGTGAATACATACGACTATTTTATATCTTCCTTTAGTTTGGTTTTTCTTTTCAAAAATCTGGTTCAGTTATGTTTGGTGGATTTGATTTTGGACTCTCTAACACTGGGTGCAAAAATACACAGCAGCTGAGAGTGATGAACAATATCAGTCTAAAATTAAGTCACTGGTGGTTTTAGGAAATACATATAAGATATTTCACTCTTTCTGGCCCTCATACTCTTTGGACAGTATCTATATCACGTCAAACTTACTTTAATCGCCTTCTCTGCTACCTCCTTCTGAGCTTGTGCTAGACTCTTGAATCTTCTTATATTCTACTGCATATAGTAAATCTCATAGGAATTAATTTTGATTTTCGTGCGCGAACCAGACCATACTGAAAAATTCGGTACATCAGTCAAAAGTTTTCCACCACCAGGTTGACTTCTAATTAACCCCAGCTAGCCTACCTTGAGTAACCCCGATTATGTTCAAATCTGTATTTAACTCTTTCAAATTGGGAGTTCAATCGATCCCCAGAACTTCTGCATCTGTGGCATCGGTAAATTTGTCATACCTTCGCAATCAAATACCCAACCAATTCAAGACTCAGTCCCCAATATCCACAATCTTGAATCAGAAGAGATTCGCCAGTTTGAACCAAATTAGATATGGGAAACACGGAAAACCAAATAAGCCATACGCATCAAAGGCCCCAGATTTGGATACATCCCCATTCAAAAAGGGAGTCGTGTTGAGAGTTATGATCGTCAAGCCTAAGAAGCCTAACTCGGCTCAGAGAAAATGCTGTAGAGTGAGATTGAGTAACGGGAATGTAGTCTCTTGCTTGATTCCAGGTGAAGGACACAATTTACAAGAACATCATGTTGTGTTGGTCAGAGGTGGAAGAGTACAAGATTTACCAGGTGTAAAGTACCATTTGGTGAGAGGTGCTCATGATTTAGCAGGTGTCGCCAATAGAAGTACTTCCAGATCCAAGTATGGTGTGAAGAAGCCACAAGCTAGTTAGAGGAAAGGACTATAATGACATGTACATAGAAATAAATTCTGATAGAGAAACAAAGTGTTTGTAGACTTCAGAAGAGACATTTACATCGTTCTTGTTAATTCTTATATTTATCTTAGACTCCGCTTTCACCTTCTATGTATTTGTCTAACGAATGACTCTGTTACGCCCGTCGCTCCATGCCTACATAGCATTATCTTGTCTAACCATCGTTTTTTCAAGTAGTTTTCGTTATTTTAAAAATCTTTTTTACATTTTTATTTCTTATTCATATCTTTATTGTGCAAATCTTCTTCCACTTGCAGTTTTTCTGTTCTCGATCCTACTACCATCATTGTCAATGTTCTCTGGCTTGGCTCTATTCAATATCTTCAAGAATTCCTTGACTCTGAATCTCATTCTCGAATGCATATATGCCTTGGAACATTTGATATGATAATGGAAGTAGTTTCTGAAAACCTGGATGTGTGTGATACAGTTTTCTCTCTTGTCACCACGTACTAAATGTCTAGGGAAGAGAACAAAGGTAATGTACCCTTTGTTGTCAGCGTCAGTATTATTATTGCTCTTGACAACATGGGCAATGTCCAAAGGTGGTTCCTTGTGAGAGTACAAGACTTGAGGTGCAGTTTGCACCGATCTCTTTCTAGCATCTACAAACTCTTGTAGAAACACCTTCCCGAAAATCTTATCAGTCTCGTCCTGGAATATGGTCAGGAAAATGACAGTGACTCTATCAAAAGAAGGCTTGATATAAATACTTTCGTCAATCCCTCTATAGTTAATGACAAGCACCTTTTCACTTTGTAGCTCAGCTTGGATTTCTTCAGCGTATGTATTACTGTTGGCATACTGCTGGGCCAATTCATCGTATCTTGCAAAGGCCTTTTCCAATGGAGCAGCCATACAGTTTCTTTTCAATAATGCAAGCAGATCAATAACGGACTGCTTGTATTCGTCCAGTTGGCCCTCTAATTTGGCCAAGTCCAACACAAAAGAGTAATTGTAATTGTTCTCGACGTCCCCAGATGGCAAAATGGTCAATGCCTCTTCAAACTGCACATACTTGTCCTGTAGGTACTTTACTACCCCGTAGCTTTCCAAGTCATCCCAACACTTCAAGTATATACTGATCAAAAGTAAGTGTTTCTCTTCACCAAGTGTGGAAATGTGATATGTGGTGAAGTCAAAGTCAGAAATAATACGATCTATAGACTTGTACCCCTTTGCATCCTTTTCGGGAAATATCTTGTCAGTCAACGTTGTCTGAATAAGTAAGTTGGTTTGTTCAATCTGCAACATTGTGGAATGTGTTTCAATACGCCAATGGTTATTTGAAGTGTAAATATCTGGCCCAACAGGCTACACTGGTTGATTTTCCACGTAGTTGAATTTTTAGGGGTCGGTTGATTAGGAAACGGGGGCTGTGTGCAGGTCGAAAACTGGTGATAGTTAGGAAAAAAGAAAGCCTACGCAGGAAAGTAGAGCTTAACAGTGTAGACAGAGAGTAAGACAGAGTGAAATTCGAATGGTAAAGAAAGGAAGGTGTCTTACAATCTCCAATTTTTTTTATAATTTCCTGTACTTTGTTTAACTTATCACGTTCATTACAATTAATACATATTTTTACTAAAATTTTAAACATGCAAGTAAATCTATAATACACAACATTTACGATAAGATATACGATTGGGGTCGTTTCTTCCATCTTCTCTCACTCTTTCAATTGTGTTGGCGGACCTCTCTCAGGTAACGGCCTTCTATGTAATGCAGGGGCTCTAACCTTATTCTTCAACAAAGACCTGACATTTTCTCTGTTAGGTGGTGCCTTAGCGCCAAGTGACAGTTCGCCAATACCAGCAGCCGCAGCAGGAGCAACACCGGCAGCCTCTGCTGCTCTCTTAACTGAGTTCGATCTGCTAACCAGTTGTCTCTTTGACTTTTCCTCTTCAAGGATCTTCACTTTTTCAGTAACAATTTCATCCATCTTTGGATCTATTTCACGGTACCTCACCAACCAGGGGTTGTTTAATAATACTGAATAACTTGGTCTTAAGTCAGGATTCTTGTTGAGACATAGTTTAATAAAGTATTGTGCGTCCTTCAGGAAGACTTTGGGGTCCAACTTGGGTGGTTCTCCGTCTACAATTGCCTTCAACTGCAGGAATATGTTACCATACGTCTCAGGAGGATACGGATAATGACCAGCTGCAATTTCCAAGATAGTTAATCCCAATGACCAGATATCCGACTGCACTGAATATGAAGCATCGTCCGGATTTTGGGTCTTAATTCTCTCAGGTGCCATGTAACTTTGACATCCGATATTGGTTTTAGCTAATGAAGCTACCAAATTTCCACTGACCCCAAAATCACACAACTTAACCTTTCCTAAGGTGTTGACCAATATATTTGTGGGTTTGACATCTCTATGGATAATGTTATGTACGTCTTTCAATTCTTTCAAGCCTCTAATAACCAGCTCCAGTATATATGCAAGTGCCGCTTCCAGCTTGACTCCCTCTCCGACGCATATTTTATCCAATGACCCACCATCCATGTACTCCATACACATGTAAACTGCACCTTCGACGAAAAAGGCACCATAAAAGTCAACAATAAATGGAGAATTACACTTATGTAAAATGTCCAATTCCATCAAAATTTGTGTGAATTTTGTTTCATCAAGCTCGAGCCTAACCTCTTTCATGGCCATTAGCACTCCCGTGGGTTTATGCAAAACTTTCAGCACAGTACCATAGTTACCTCTACCTAATTCCTCTATAAATTCTAATTCATCTAGCGAGATACGGAAAGACGACCCGGACAGGAAATCCACACCTTTTGAATGAAGTGAAGCCTTTCCTGAAAAATTAAGCGATCCAGACTTTATATCCACATACTTAGAGTAGTTAGCAAAGAGTCCTCTTAATTGCGATTTCTTACCAGCTACCGGGCTACCATCAGAGGTAGATGAAGTCAGTTCAGTGTTACCAGTACCAGCTGGATTGGCTCCCCCACCTCCACCATTGGAAATACCTTCATTCAAGTTCAATTTGAAATTAGGTTTATTCTTTCTTTCAGAAATTCTTCTCGAAAGTTCGCCAGTCGTATTCAATGGGGGGTTGGTCGGTGGCTCTTCTGCTTCTCCAGTTTGTAATGCTAAGTCTTTTTGAAGGTCACCCATGTCTAGCTTCATTCCTCTTCTCTGTGATAGAGATGGTTTTTTCTTTAACCCCTCAGCACCTCCGCCTAAGTTCAAGCTCAATGGTGGGTTTCCAGGTTGCCTTGGCGGAGACCTATTGATAGCATTAGATACTGGACTTGTAATGGAGTTTGGCTGTATTGGTGGTGCAGTGGATGAGCTGTAGTTAGCACCAGACGTCAATGGTAATTGGGATTGTGACTTGGACTTCGTAGGTATCTCAGTTGATGAACTGTCTTCTTTCAGTATTTCGTCCTTGAGACAAGGAATTGCATTAGGGTTGGCGCTGTGGACGTTGTTGGTACTTAAACTTCTTGCTCCTCCTTCTTCCATAAATGCAGAAGGCATGAGAAGCAGCAGGGGTAAGGGAGGTAAATTCTTTGTTGATTCTATAGGTTGCGATTCCCTGTTATCTCCTTGATTCCTCTGGATATTTTGAGGTATAATGGTAGGTGATTGTCTATGGAAGGGAAGTGATTGATGCTTTTCTTGCAGCAGTTGTCGCTGTAGTTGATGCTGCTGTTGATTATTATGTTGTGGGAGTGGTGGGAGCTGTTGCAGAGGTGGCGGATTTGATGGTGGTTGGCCAGTTCTCCTCTTTTGCTGGAACGCCAATATTCTTGCCTGGATGTCAGAACTAAGCTGGTTAGAAGCTGGCAAACTTGGCGACGAAGGCGAATCTATGCGAAGATTCAGTATGGATTCCAGTACATCGTTATTGTGGCTCATTGTAGATGTACTGACGTTGAATTAGTGTACAAGAAAGGAGTGTATTCTATTCTACTGTATTGATCAACGTTTTGATTTCTAAGTAATTCTTTTCTTTTTTTTTTTTTTTTTTTGTTTTTAGCTTTTTTTTAATAATCACACGCTCCGAATAGCTACAGCAGCACTAGCAGACTGTTCAAAAAATATCAGAAATTAATTAAGGAAAGGTCTCTATTAAAGTATAGAATGATGCGTCTACGATATGCGGCATATATAATGTATGAGTGATTTCTTTTTCTGTTGGTTTCGAAAGGTTCTTGCTCGAACCACCAGCGTACCTATAGTGGTTAAAAATTACTGATAAAAAATAACAAAAATAGAAAGAAAATCTAAAAAAAAATTCAAAAAATAAAAAAATAGAAAATAAAAAATAAAGTACAGTGCATAAAAATACATTCGAGAGAGGAGATGCTATGGCCAGGGAAGGGAAAATAATTGGTGAGGACTTGAGAATCACAGTAGGCGAAGGATAGGGCTTGGGTTTTAGGTTTGTTGCTTTACCATGGGGCATTAAGCGCTCCCACGTTAGAATATCAAAATTTGTATGGAACGGTCGCTAACAACGCCGGCCACTCGTAAGGTGTTAGGTGTGGTGAATATATTGTTTGTATCGAATGTGTTTCATTTTTTCAGTGGTGGTTGTCTTCCCAGTTTCAACCTGATCAGGAAAATCATTTTCATGCACATGGCTCTAGCAGAGATATTGGAACTTCGTTATTTTTAACTACTCTGGTGGATGAAAATTTATATAAATAAATTCTTGCAGGTGAGAGAATCAGGGGTGGCACGGGTTCATGGAACACACGGATAAGTAGAATGAGGTGAACCAAAATACAGAGAAACAACTTAAGAAATCCCGGGTTTAGCGTGTATTTCAGATCTGGCCAAAACTAGTATATACGAGTCTTTGGTTTCTTTTCAGCCTTATTGAGCTGTATATATTATACTCTTTACTTGTAGGCTTAGACCCAAATATCGTAGCTCTGGCTCAGCCATAGCAATCTTAACAAAAATGCCGAACAAGCCTATTTTTGGAGGAATTATGTGTAGGAACTGTGTGGTTGAGCTGTGCGTTTTTTTCCGGCCTGCCTTCTCTTTTCGTTTCCTCAACTTGCATAATTATCCTGCGAAGACTTGACAGCTGGGAACACCCATTGGGGCTTGCATACAAAAAGACGAGATCACTAAAAGCCAGCTCTGTCAGGCTAAGGTTAAGCAGAAGTAGAGAGCCAAAACAAGGACAGTGTTTCTTTAAGAGAAAAATGCAACTCATCCACAACATTCGTACTTCATATGATTCGTAGGAATATAAAGATATAGGACTACAGGAATATGAGTATCTACATTCACTCCACTTCTAGGACTTCTAGGACTTTAGTACACGTTCGGAGTGCACCCTGCTAAATCTCGCACTCTAGCGCTAAAATTTTAGTAACCTGTTGCGTAAGATTGCAGCCTGCGGGATTTAGGTACCTTTAATTCTACGAACGGCACAAGGCTAAGTCATTGCTTTGCCTGGATGGAGAAGCTGCACGCGTGAAGAACGTTTACGTCGAATACGACAGAATGATCCTGGTTGAAACAGCTAGAAAATAAACTCAAAAATATACAAAAATGCAACAATGCCATTGAATGAAATTTTGGGGTTGGCGTGCTAAGAAGAAAAAAATAAATGCAATGTATAAATAACTAAATCGGAAAAATGGAAAAATATTACATCATTCTCTTTCTGTCATTACATCATAACCAAATATGATATGATATGACAAATCTAAAAATACAAATATCGGATTATGATTCTTATCAAGTCAAAGCACTGAATCTTGATCAATTGAATGCTCAAGTTGGTAGGGTGCCCATTGTTCGAGTATATGGATCGATCAATGTACCCTTAGAAGAACCTGCTAAGGGCCCAGCCCGGCCATCTTCGTCTATTTCTTCTTCTGACAATAAATCTAGTAATAGTACGGTATCCTCATCGAGCATACCATCTGTAAATTATAATATCATAGTTCATGTACATAACTACTATCCCTATTTATACGTTGATTGCTTTGAAAAGAACCCAAACTTGCCTAAAATAATTGCGACTGTAGAATCTGCATTGAAAAATAGCTTCAGATCGAGAAAGCGAAAAAGGAAGAACACTAATGATGAAGATGAAGATGATGATAATGATGAGGATGAAAATGAAGAAGAGGACGGTGCGGAAGAGGATCATAATGAAAAGCCTGGTAATGACCCTAACTCAAAGAGATTGTATGTTGCAAATGTAGCACTCTGCAAAGCGACTCCAATGTACGGGTTTAATCTCGGTTATAAGCTGGTGTACAAGATTTCACTACTATCACCTCTGTATAAGTCAACTTTGCAGAGACTTCTTGACGAGGATGCTATAGTATTTGGTTCTATCTCTAGGAACAAGAGAAACATATATGAAGCCCATATTCCTTATTTGCTTCAATTCTTCGTAGATTTCAATCTCTTTGGGTGCAGTTGGATGGAAATATCTTCCAATTATTGGAGATTGCCAATCTTGAATTCGAGTTCTGGATCTGATCTGCTAAAGTCATACTTGAGTCAATATATAAATCAATCTAATGTATTGGACCCTGCAAGCTTTGAACGAACCGGTCATACATTGTTAGAAATTGATATTAGATCAGAAGCTATATGCAATCGGTCTCAGATCAAAATTCGAGACATGCACACTAAACTAGACAGGGTTGATTTCCACACATCTGAGAAACACCTTCTATCCTTGAACATATTGGCTAAAGACATAGAATATCAAGCGAAATTGAGGGGCTCGGATTTCGGTTTTGGCTCTCAATTGAATCGAAATGAAACGACTGGTTCTGGAGGGACTAAGTGGTCAAACCAACAAGAACTTGATGATTTAGTTGACTATGTAAGTGATTTATCTAAAAGTAGAAGCAGAGTGACCTTTCAATCTAATAGTTATCAAGAATATAGTGCAAGATACTTAAAGGATAACTTGGGGTTGCCAACTGCGTATGAGCTTATCGATAGGGAAAGAGAAACTCTCAATTACAACGGCGGAATTTTGTTGATGAGTATAGGAAGAGACATTAAAAAGTGGGATATACTTGAAGAATTGTGGCACTATAAAGAGAGTTATATCGTAATAGGCGAGAATGAAGCATTAACAAAGCTGACGAACCCCTATAAGCCTCCTACAGTAATTCCATCTTCACCTATAATTACTAATTCTGTTTCACCGCAACATGAAGAGCCTGCGGTTGCTACGATCGACTCAAAAGAAATAGATATAGATTTTCACGAAGATTTCACAAGTTCTGAGGATGAGTTGGTAAATCAATCGTTCAACTATTCTCAAATGGATCAAGAACTCTTAACCCAAAAGACACATAAAATAACGAGGGGCCTGACATCTGAGTTTGGAAAAAGCCAAAACTTGTTGCATAATGAAAGGATTCAGAAATCAGCATTTACATTTTCCCCTAGTACTTACCTAATACCAACACCTCCTTCGATACTGAAAGCAAATATAATGAGAGCCTTCGATGATTATGGAATTTTAAAAATCGATTATCTAGATCCACATTATGATAATGAACATGACAAACCTGCAAAAGCGCTCATGTTTGCCAATAGAAAAATTCCTGTTGCCTACATAGCAAACGATTCAATGCCTTGGTTCAAGTTTTCTGGTGGTAATGATGCTATTTCCAAATCTATTAAAACTCAAATGGAGTCCAATTTGAAATCTAATATTATTAAACAGGAACTTTTTAACGTTAGAAAGAAGATTAAAGTCAATCCACCAAGTCCTATAAGATGGGAATATGTACCTGGACCCCCTTCCAAGGAAGCTATAACAAGTTGGTTAAATGTCCTTGAACCAAAACAAATTGAAAAGGAAAGGAAATTTGTGTCTCAGTTGGAAAGATTTACCGCTAGTAATGACTATAAATTCTCCTATAGAAGTGATAAAATTGAAAGAAAGCCAGATGGCTTTAACTTTATGACCAGTTTCAATATGGAAATTCATTGTCAAACCACATCTGAAAAGTTGCCAAATCCTATCCATGACCCGATAAATTTAATATTCTACTCCTTCTTTAACGCTAACGTTCCGGCTGATCAGGATGGAAATATTAGCGGTGTGCTAGTGTATTTGGATCCATCGTTGAGCTCTGCTGTTCATGTTGAAGAGGTACTCCTGAAATTGTCCAAAGATTACCTGGTTTCAATTTTCTATGATGAGCAAGCCATGGTGGGCAATCTTGTCTCTAAGGTAAGGACTTTAGATCCCGATATTCTTTGTGGGTATGAAGTTCATGCCACTTCGTGGGGGTATGTTATTGAACGATTCAGGGAAATTTATGATGTGAATTTGTGCTTTGAGCTCAGTAGGTCAATTTTTAAAAGTAATGGGAAGGTTGGGGACCGGTGGGGTTACACTCATACTTCCAATATTAAAATTCCAGGTAGACATATGTTAAATATCTGGAGACTGTTACGCCACGAATTAAGCTTAACCAATTACAGTATTGAGAATGTTTCCTACCATTTACTTCATCAAACTATACCTAAATTTCTGAATTTTCGTCTTTCAACTTGGTTTGGTAAAAATGGTAACTTGATCGAACCTGTGCTCAAATACTATTTTAAAAAGTTGAGCCTATCATTCAAATTTCTTGAGGTTCAGGAAATCGTTTTAAGGAATGCTGAACAATCAAGATTGATCGGAGTTGATTTCTACTCTAATTTTTATAGAGGGTCTCAATATAAGGTGGAGTCTATCTTGACAAGATTAACGAAAGCTGAAAACCTTATATTAAACTCGCCTTCCAAAATGCAAGTTCATGATATGAGGTCTTTAGAATGTATTCCCTTGGTGATGGAGCCAGATTCTAACTTTTATAAATCACCATTGGTGGTTTTAGACTTCCAATCCTTATATCCTTCAATTATGATTGCGTATAATTATTGCTACAGCACCCTTTTAGGTAAATTGAAAGGTTTTGATCCGAATAATAATGAAGTTGGGTATTTGAAAGATATGAAATTGACTCCTAACGTGATAGAGATCTTGAAGAAGAATGATGACTTGATCTTATCTCCAAATGGTTACATGTTTGTCAAATCAAGAGTTAGAAAGAGTACACTAGCTAAGATGTTGGAAGAGATATTGGAAGCAAGAATGAACGTTAAAACTCTAATGAAGATGTATGGGTCAGAAGACCCTGAGCTTCAAAAACTTTACAACTCAAAACAATTAGCATTGAAGCTTATTGCAAACGTGACTTATGGGTATACTTCCGCCACTTTCAGTGGTAGAATGCCGAATTCTGATATTGCTGACGCGATTGTTGCCACGGGACGGGAACTACTCACTCAATCAATTGACTTAATTGAGCAACGCCAAGAATGGGGAGCAAAGGTTGTATATGGTGATACAGATTCTTTGTTTGTCTACCTTCCAGGAAAGACCAAATTGGATGCCTTCAAGATTGGGAAACAAATTTCTTCTTTCATCACCAGTCAATTTCCTAATCCTGTAAATTTGAAATTTGAAAAAGTTTACCATCCATGTGTATTATTGAGTAAAAAGAGATATGTTGGGTACAAGTATGAGCATGAGCTGCAAAAAGATCCTGTATTTGATGCCAAGGGAATTGAAACTATTCGCCGAGACGGTGTGCCTGCTCAGCAAATTATTTTAGAGCGGAGTTTGAGACTTCTCTTTGATACAAGTAATTTGTCAATTATTAAGCGTTATGTCTTGGAACAATTCTACAAGGTAATATTGAATAAAGCATCGGTTAAAGATTTCTGCTTTGCTAAGGAAGTTAGGTACGGTACCTACAAGAATGAAAAATATTTACCACCAGGGGCAATTATTTCAAAATTGAAAGTAGAGAGAGATGCCAGAAGTGAACCCCAGTACAGGGAAAGGGTTCCTTATTTGGTAATACGTGACCCATTGAAAATTAGGCTAAAAGATAGGTGTGTTCTGCCAGAGGATTTTGTGGCTTCCTACAATCTGAAAACGCCTTATGTTTTAGATCATGAATATTATATCACGAAAGTGCTAGTTCCGCCATTAGAAAGAATATTCAATCTTATCGGAGTTGATATAAAAGGTTGGTATAAAGAAATACCCCTACATATTCGAACTTTCAGTTCTAAGAAGCTAAACAATGAAAATACTTTACTTGGGAACTATATAAGGTCTCATTCGTGTGTTATTTGTGGCGGTGCGTTGGAAAGCTACCAACTAGAAGATAAGGTAACACGCCTTGAGCAAGGGATAGAGTTCATACATGTAGAAGATGAGGAGTCTGGACTTGAAGAACTGAAGGAGGAGGAAAAAACACATGGATTTGACAAAAGAACGGAATCTGAGCACTTCTGCAAGAGTTGTTTAGATAACGAGTTGCAAACAGTAGGCACCTTATCCAAAACCATTAAGGAAAACGACATCAATTCCGTAATGACCCTAAATACGTGTGACTCTTGCTTCAGTGTTAATTATGGAACCATGGGGAGTTTTACGAGAGATTTCCTGCTTAACTGCGAAAACTTTAATTGCAAAGTTTATTTTGAAAGATTGAAGGTTACACAGCTTAAATCGAAGGAGAACGAGAAGAACTTTAAATTATTAGAGGAGTTGAGATAAGAGAACTATATTTATTTTTCTCTTTTCCTTGAATGTGCCAATTTTCATAATGTTGACATTCTGCATATCTATACATACACCATAATTACACGAGCATATGCATTACAATATATCAAAGACAATATTGTGGTTTGTTATTCTCGACAGTAACTGAATAGTTAGCACGTCAAGAATATATATCAATGTAGCAGTTTTATTTTCTTTTTTATTTTTCATTTTTAGTTGTTGCGCTTTTATCATACCCAAACCTTCCCTCCCATGTTGGTGGGTGGGGATAAGGGTTACTTTTTGAACGCACACGAGATAAATTATGGGGTAGGCTGATTATCCTAATGTCTGCCTTGCTCTTAAAATTGATATTTCATATTCCACTTATCGGTTACGACATTAGAGCTATGGGTTGCCTTCTTCTTTGTTCCACCTAACCGGAGTAACCGAACTAACTTCTCCTAATTATTTTTTTTTCACTTCATATTTCTCTCACTACACACTAACGCACTAACGTTGTACCTTAACCTTCCTGTAGGCGATAGGAAAAGAAAATTAGAAGTCAAAATTTTTGAGGAAAAAAAAAGAAAGAAAAAAAAACGCTCCAGCCCAACTGAAGTTGTTGAAGGAACGTGCTATTAGACTTTTGGTAAGGCAAAAATCTTCATTGAAAACGTGAAACCCGAAATTCGGCAAGTCCATACTACGTTCTATAACCAGTATCAATTGTAAGTGTTCAGATCGCGAACTCGTCATGCCTTCCTCTTCCGCAGTAGTAACGCCTAGGGAAATATTTCTCTACATTCCAAACTTAATTGGGTACTTCCGTGTCTTGACCGCCGTCTTGTCTTTCGGATGTATGAAGAACCATCCATGGTATACATTGGTACTCTATGGTATTTCTGGGTTCTTGGATGCATTCGATGGCTATGCGGCCAGGAAATATAACCAAGGTACTAAGTTTGGTGCAGTGTTGGACATGGTCACTGATAGATGTGCTACATCTTCGTTGATCTGTTACCTCTGTGTAATATATCCAAACTACTGTCTATTATGGCAATTATTGGTGTCATTGGATTTGGCCCTGCATTACATACATATGTATGCTATGTTATCGTCAGGATCTGCCTCCCACAAGAATGTTGATGCAGAACAGTCCAAGATCTTAAACTTGTACTATACCAACAGAAAAGTGTTATTCCTTGTTTGCATGGTGAATGAATTCTTCTATGTCGCCGTCTATTTACATTCATTTGACTTTTTCTGGCTAGGCACAATGATGGTCTGGTTGAGTGCTCCTTTGTGGTTATTTAAGCAGTTTGCTAATGTAATTCAATTGAAAGCTGCAGCTTTGATTTTGGCCAAGATTGATGCTCAAGAGAAGTCAACCAAAGAACATGAAAACTAGATTAGCGTCTTGGCTTCAGCATCACTTAGTGGAATCAGACTTTCATACTTTACATTTCGTATAACCTCAACCACCACCACCACCACCACCACCACCACAACTTAGGGCCCTAATCAGGCACATAATTCCATGTACAAACACACACTCATACACATACACGTCAGCACGCGCATATTATAAACGTACATATCCATACCTTCAAGCAAGAGAATAAAATGGGTGAATGTATATCCGAGATATATAATTAAATTAATATATTTATAGTACTAATAATGATAAATTTGTTACTTTGAATTGATATGCAATTTGACTGATTTCACTATTCTTGAATGAAACCATAGTTTACTTCTTCTTCTGATCTAATTTTCAATTTCTCCAATGACTTTACAGCATGCTGTTCCAATTCTTCTATTCCTCTTAATTTGGCCATTTCATACTCAAGTTCAAAGCACTTTTTAAGCTGCTTTAGGTTGAGCAATTTTTTATGTCCATCGATACTGATATTTAGAAATCTGAAAAATTGGCCAAGTAGCTGCTTGTTGGTGGTATCCTGCTCTAGTAATTTCATACAAACATAGGCAAATTCGAAGTATGCCGTCGATATGAAATCTTGCCCTTGAACCATCAAGACATTCGGCATAATGGAATAAAGTATCAGATAAGAATCCTGGTAGCTCTCCATTCTATTCAAAAGAGAGATCAATAGGCATTCCCCCTCCACCACCAAGGTCATCATACCAATCTTTTTCGCTCTCTGTATTTGTTGTAGTAAAAGCAGAAGTCCTCTTGATTGGACTCCAGAATCTATGAATATCCGGCATTTCAATAAGTTTAACTTTATCATCATTGGAACTTCATTTTCATTGATTAAGGACATATTGTCTGTCAAGTACGTGAGTGCCCTAGTTAGATTTCCTAGTTCTAATTGTACTTCAGAGAATAAGTAAACCAACTCTAATTTTAATTCCAATTCTTGTACTTCTGTGTTCATAAGAATTTGCACTATGCCTTCTGCAACGTAAGGCCTTTCTCTTTTCAAGTTAATTTTAACTAATAGTATCAATGATCTGATTTGGAGGTTGTGGGATAGAATTCTGTCGTTACCGACCAACTTCTTCAACTTTTCCAATTTCTGATAAGCATTCTCAACTTCACCTTGGTGAAATAAAAGGTATGCCTGCCTTATTTGAATGGAAACATTATCGTAGATATTTAATTTTGGATTGACATCTTTAGCAACTTCTGAATAAATCTTAGCCAAGTTAGTATTCCCAATTCTGAACCACACTGACGAACTTAATTCAATACTTTTCATGAACGAGGCAGGCTCATAATCGTGGATTGATATGTAAGTTGCCTTCAAAAGCAGTTCTATGTACTTGCTAATACTTCCTTCCCCCAGGTTCAAGACGTGCAAGGTTTCAAATTGATAACTCATAGAATATAAGGGCAAACTTACCAGCTGACATTTTGTAACTAAAAACTCTAGCAAATGTTGTTCATTGTTGAAAGATTGCTTGTGCCATAGTTGCGGTTTGTTCTTCATGAAATTGTATAACCACAGTAAAATATACGTCAATGTGGAATTGTCTTTGTTTTCTCGAGCTACAGATATTGCTTCTTCTATAGCATTCAATGCCTTTTCATCTTCGCCGAAATGTTGATGTAACGATGCTCTGGAAATAAGTGCAAAATGATAAAAGTATTTGGAATTGTTGGACACCATATAATCAAAGTATTGGTGAAGCGCCGAGAAGGCTCCGTTATAGTCAGAATTTTTTAGAGCTTCGAGATATGCAATGTAGTGGTAGGATGGTAAGTTGCTAAAATCAGCATTTTGAATTAAGCTAGTGTTAGAATTAGGGGAGGTCATTAGGTTCATTATTTCTCTAAGAAGTGGTGGGGTGGGAGTACCGTTGGATTCTAGGAGTTGCACTTGTTTGTCAAGCAATATTTGTAAGTCATGCTTCGGTATTGGAACAAGAGAGCTATGAAAATTTTGAGCTTTGCTTTTTTCTTTATCTTCTTGGCCATCGTGTAAAGATAACTGAATTGGTAGACCCTCTATATGCAATTGTTTGCTCAATGAACTATACAAATCAAAATCACTCTGGGTTTCATTGTTGCTTTTCTTCTGTTTCCCAGAAGGAACTATAGCATCCTTCGCTAGTTTACGCTTTTCACCTTCTACGTCACCGCCCAACTTTAAAAACATGTCGTAGGAATCTTCTCTATAGCTTAGAAAGGACTCATATAAAAGCAAACTTTCATCAAAGTGCAACAAGCTACAAGTTGTGACTATCTTCTGTAGAAAGAGGCCGAGAAATGAGCTGGGTAGTATCCTGCTCTGTACTGTTTGAATTTCCCTTTTAACCACATTTTCTGCTCCATTCTCGTTCTCGTCATCGTTTTCGATTAAAATCTGCTGCTTGACCACCATATTTGGAGAGCTCAACAATGACTGCATTGCAGATATGCTAGTCTCAAGACTCTCCACAGAGTTGATTCTCCATAACGCAGTCAATAATAGCATGGAGGATTTTGGTCCTATGCTATTTACAAGGTCCAATATTCCCGGAACCACCACCATCTCTCCATTGATTTTATATAACGGTTCATATTCCAACAATTTCATGATTGTCCGCAACACAATTCGTATTTCATTGTGTGGTAAGTTCCCAGTGCAGTAGATTCCAATTAGGAATAGCAAAGAGATCTTATGAGGAGAAATATCCTCACTCAACAAAAGCCTAATAGCCATGACAAAAAATTAAATCCTGTGAGGTGAAAATACAAGAATACACGGAAAATCTACTGAAATAGTAGAAATACAGAGGGCTTCTTTGTTATAACGCTTCTCGTATCTGTTTTGTACCCATGGTCCCATACATTCCATGTTTATATTTGGTCACGTGTCCGCTGTATTTCGACTTTTAGATTTCTCTCAATTTTTATCAGTCAATTTTGACCTGCAGGTAGTCGTCGTCGAAAAGTTCTTCCATTTTTTTTTCCTGTCCCTTCAAGTGGGTGAACAATCCAACAACGTTTCAAAAGGAAGGACAGTTACGACTAGTGAAAAGAACTCTCTAAATCTATATTGATAGAACATGTCATTTTTCGGATTTGATCCTAGTATTCCACCACACCTTCAACAAGGCAGTGGTGCACCCGGGACAAATGAATCCTATGACTTCCAAGAGACATACGACGGATTGGGGGAAGAAGTTGACGCCTTCAACGAGGAAACTTTTGGAGATAACAAACAAGAGACATGGAATGATCCTAGTGCACAGAATCACGCTCCAGTTTTAAAGCAAAACATCAGTTATGCTCAAGCGGCATCGTCTACCAATAATGACGATGACTTCATGAATGATCTCTGGGGAACAAGTGGTGCCAAGGATGGTGCTGCTCAAGAGGTCCAACAGCAACAGCAGCAGCAACAACAACAACAACAACAAGCTCCCCAGGAAAAGAAATTTTTATCTTTGGAAGAAATTGAAGCGCAATTGACTGCTATTGACCAACAACTGCAACAACAGCAACATCCAGTTCACCCTCCTCCACAGTTTGGATATCCAGGGATGATGCCACCTCAATTTGCTTACGGTATGATTCCTCCAGCTGGATATATGCCAGCACCAGGTCAGTACGGACAATTCATGGGAGCACCAATGCCAATGCCACAAATGCCTCCTATGGGTTACCAACCTCAACTTCAGCAACAACAGCAGCCTGTTCCACAACAGCAACCTGTTCTGCAACAACAGCAACAGCAACAGCCACCTGTCCAGCAACAGCAGCCATTGCAAGAAGCACAACCCGTTGTTCCTCAAAATGCTCCTCAAAATGCTGGAGTCAGAAGGACTTCTAAGGTCGACTCAGCTCAGTTTCCAGTATTAGGAGCTAAGGGACAATCTGGTCAACTTCACCAACAACAATTCTCTGGTGCCCAAGAATCTGCTGCCCCAAGTAGCTCCCCAAAGAATGGCGGTCTTCCATCACCTTCCTCTCAACCTTCTTTTCACTCTCCTCAGCAACGTAACCATAACAACCAAAACTTTCATGATTTAACCCCTGAGCAGCAGGCTAAGTTGGCTAGAAGACAAGAAAAGGTTGCCAGAATCATGAAGTATTCTGGTATCATGAATCCTAGAGACAAAGATTATGTTACAAGATTCCAATTATCACAGATTGTCACTGAAGACCCTTACAATGAAGACTTTTATGCTCAAGTTTTCAAAGTTATCCATCCAAAAGCAAACAGTACTCATTTACAAGAACATTCTCAACAACATAACTCCATAGCTCAAGCTTATTTGGAACAAAGTGGACACAGATTAGGTGGTCGCTTCAAGAGAGCAGATGTTGCTTTGCAAAGAATGCAACAACAAGTTCAAAAGGCTGTCACTGTTGCCAAGGAAAGACCTAAGTTAACCCAATACGCTAGGGAAGGTGCCTTAGGTAAAATTTCTTTTGGTAATGGTAAAAAACCAAGACAACAATTAGAAATTTTCAGTCAGGCCGCTCAGAGAGAAATAGAGAAACAGGAACAATTGGAGAAAGAGGCTGCTGTTGAGGCAAGCATTGCCAAGGGTGAATCTGATGAAGCCAAGCCTTCAGATGCTCAAGAAGATAAGAGTGAATTCACTAAGGAATCTACACCAGTTTCCAAGAGGCCACTTTCAATTTCTGCCCCATCTCCTTCTACTTCTTCTACTTCCAAGTCTTACTCAAAGAAAGATGTAATGAGTATTTTAGAAAATATAATCACCAAGGTCATGAACTTAGAAAGTGCCTCAAGATTAAATCCACAAGACGTCGACACCAAAGAATTATGGGAGTCTTTGCATATTTTGGATCAGCCATCTACTTCTGCCTCTACCATTCTGGAAGGTGAAGTCAACCCATTTATACAATGTCTTAACCATAATAAGGCATTAAAAATTTTACCAAGATTATTCAAGTTTTTGTCTAGAGAACAGATCTTAACTATTGTTACATTAATAATGTCTAATTTGGAAAACTTATATGTTATCAAGAAGGGTTCTTATACTACTTACCCTGATAAGATTGTTCCTCTTCCAATCTTGAAGCTTATCGAAACGTACACATTGACCTTCTCCAAGGTTTTGATGAACTCAGTACAGGATTTTAAATTCAATGAAATCATTGGATTGTTGGTTATTTTGATTGGACACAATAACGTTTCATTCGTTTCAACCACAAAGATTGGTTTGTCCATTTTAACAACTCTTTTGTCTCGTGCTGAGTTGATCAAGGGAGAAGGAGTTAATATTTCTGCCACCGACTTAAGTGAATGGTCTTCTTGTTACGATGAATTATTCACTTCGTTGGAAAGTAGAATCTCGGCTATTTTCCCTCCAAACCCTCAAGATATCGACGATGGTTCTTCAAGAGAAAACTACGTATGGCAATTTTTGGCTACTTTGTCATTGGGAGGCAAGTTGAGTCATCAAAGAATTATTGTTGATGAAGTTAGAGATGAAATCTTTGGAGTCATGAATAGAGCGAAGTCAATTGACAATAGTGATATTGCCAATTTGTACAAAAAGCAAAACTTATTAAATAACTTGAATATGTATTTAGTTGTTATGGGTTTGGTTGCAGACGAGTCTGAAATTAAGGAGCTTCAAAGTTAAAACAAAAAATTTTTTAAAAAAGGTACGATTGAATAAAAGACTAGTAATTTCATAATCTGTTGTAATTCATCATCTCTTCATTTATGTGCTGTTTAACTGCATTTGTAAGCTAAGTATATTGTACTAAACTATTACTTGCACGTTTATCTTCATCTTATTGCATCACAGTATGACTGGACGTCTGTAAGAAGGCCGAGTGCCGGATAAACGTGAAAAATAGGTAAATAATAGATAGTCATAAGATATTCTTTGTTTCAACGCAAAATACAGATGTGCTGATCGTGTCGTTACTCGCAGAGCGGTAAGATCCAAATCCTGTGCCAGACAGGTCTTGTGAATTTGAAGATTCGTTATCTTCAGTAGTGACACTCTTTTCTCTGTGTACGTATGGAGGGAGTAAATTAAATTGTTTAAAATCTTTCTTGGGAGCCAAATCTTGTTCGGGAATATCAACGGTAGTGATCTCAATGGGTATGAACCGGTTCCTAAGCGTCTTGGGGGGTATTTTTGGCTGGTCACTTTCCACTGATATATCTGGCTCTGAAGCGTTTGGTGAAGTGGGAGGGGTTTGACGTGACCGTGGCGTGGCAAGGATAGCGTTGATTCGTCTTTCCTGAGCTAGTAACTGCTTCAAGTGGAGAATTTCCGAGTTCTGGCGAGCAAACGTAAGCTTCTGCTCCTGTATTAAGTGTAGCATTTCAGATCTGTAAAGTTGAACTCCGTAAGTATCCTTCGATTGAAGAATCGAATGCGCTGAAGTTCGTATTGAACTCGATCTGGGGTTAGCTAGTGGTGTGAACGTATTAGCATTATTTGTTAGCCTTACTCTTTTCCTGTCATGTGAATTTTCTAAGCCGCAATAAGTTTGGTAAGTTTCTATGTCCACATTTCCAATGGAAAAGCATTCGGTTTCATTCCAGTCCTCCCTTGACTCATTAAACGAAGTGAAATCCGTCAGGCTACGCTTCCCGGTTATAGATATTGGAACTAAGAGCTCCAGTTCTGGATATTGGGAGGCCGTCATCAAGGTGGACGAGTTGTGATTCGAATTTTTCTGCAGCTGAGCCGCACTCCATCTCATGCACGATGTGCTTTTCTCGATGTTCATCTCCAAATCAAAATCCACATCATCACACTCATTTGCTTGAATCGAGTTTCGGAAATTCGTCGATTCACTCACAATTGAAACCTTTCCTGTGCTGCATATTCGAGTCAGCAAGATTGGGGTTATGTGTTTATTTTGAATACTGATGTTGTATTGGTTACATTTTTGGCGATCAATCATTTCACTTTCGCTGAGCTTGAACTGGCTATCAATTTTCTCATTTGATAGAGGCATAGAAATGGCAATTCGATTAACGCTGGATTCCAGATTTTTCTCTTTCTTCGAGCGAAATGGATTTATCACAAGCCATTTCCTTAATTTACTTTCTATTTTGACCATCTTGAAAGGAGTAGAGCCGATTTTACTTTACCAGAAAGCTTTTCTTATATCCTCCAAGTTTGTTATTGAAAGAAGAAAAAAAAGTTGTTTAAAAAAGCTGGAAAGCTTTGATTACTTATTGTACTTCCTTATATATCTTGGAATAGTAAATTATTTTGTTTTCTTTTCATCTCATTCATATATTTTTTTGGTTTCCCACATTTATTTGATCTTCGATAGATGTACACAATGGAATTTTCTGTCATACATGATCTTCAAGTTTCTTACTCATTTTCTATTATGTGGGAGCATGGGCTAAAAGTTGCCCTTTTGTTGTACATCTTAGTATGCGTTATGCAGCAGTAATGTTTGCAAAATATCTACATTTGGCAAATTACTTTTCATAGTGCAGCGCAATAGAACAAAACAAAAAATCACTGACAATGACAACAATACACCTGAACTGGTCATTTTTTCTTCTGTATTAAGCAGTTAATATCCCCAACAATCACAAGCTAATACAGCTCACCGGTGATAGCCAAAGTGCCTCTTGAAGTGTAGTCAGATATCATAATATTACTCTGTTTCTAAATAAAAGATTTCCGCGATTCTAATCATGCAGTGAGCTGCTTTCAGTTGTGGGTGAAGAGCGTACCTGAAGTGTGATTTTTTATTTTTATTGCGATTACCCAGGTACCACATCTGCTAAGGGGAACAAAGGACACCGAGTACGACTAAGCGAATGCGTCTATTTTCCTTTCAAAATTTCATATCATATCATATTGTGTTGTACCCGAAGAATTACACAGTTCACAGGTGTGTCGTGGGATGATAATTAAAAGAAAATTAGGTTTAAAAGAGATCTCACACTGCGCTATTAAAATCTACAAACTGAGTAAAAAATTAAAGATGTAGTAAAACTACAAGATTAGAGTTTTGGATTCGCCAAGAAGTACAGACTTTTTTCAATGCATATAGAATCTGTACTAGTAGTCTATGCTTTATGTGAAACGTAAATATTACGCGGTCTTAAACGCAAGTAGCTCTTGCGTCTTCTAATTCCCCTAACCTTCGGTACTGTTAAACTTCCTGTTTGTTGTTTTTTTTCTCTCTGCATGAAAAATTCATAACCACTTCGGAAACCAAAACAACAGACATCTTAGCGTATGTAGTGTGGCGAGTTATGTACAGGAATGACATAAACCATTTGTGATTTCAAAGTTGCTCTAAGCTTCAATATGAACCCTTCATGAAATATTATTGAGATCAAGGATGCCAACGTCTCGTTCTTCTAACGGTAAATCAAGGCCAGCTTCTGCGACTAACGGAAATGGTTATGCAAAATGGACAGATTCTGTTAGAGCTTTACCATCCAACTCGGAAAGTAATGATTACTTAAAGCCTGATTATATAGAGGTAAATTTAAACAACTCTAGAAAATTAATTGAAAACATAAACCAACTATCCGAAAATGCAGAAAATGGTATTGAAATTTCGGAGAACATTAATAAAAGCTTATTATTGGTAAACAATGTGCTGGCGGCCTTGGAATGGTTGGAAGAGGTATAGCTATTTTTCCGTTCATGCTTCAAAAAGAATGTACTACGACTAATAATATGAGTCTAGAATGAGCGATTATAGAAGTATTACCTTCTTAAGTACACCACTTTCCCTGAAGATGCTAGGTTATGCATTCAGAAGACTGCTAATCATATTACAGAATAGGATATGGGGCTCGTTCTATCCAGCTATTACTGGTCCAGAAGTGGTAAAAGTGGAAAAGGAGTCAATTAAATCCACCAATCACCTTGCGTATTTCGTATTTTGAATATAAACAGAGCCATTCATGACTTCAAGTGGCGTCCTAATACTGTCATTCCAGCCAATCATATCAGCGGAATCCAAATGCTTTTTAGCTTGTCGCTCAATTAGGTAATAGATTTCTCAATTTGCGAAAATTTAAAGACGAAAATCATTTATTTTTCGTATTTGGACCAATCATATCGAAGTATGCGTTGTCACCTTGCAACATTTCATGCGTTAATTGTAAAACATGTCCTGTGCTAACTATTTTTAATGTTTTGTCTGGGTATATTTGGAAATAACTTTGTTTATATTAAGCTGATTTCAAATAACCTGGCCAATCATGTTCCGTGTCTGAGTTCCCCCGATTTTCAGAAATTTGCACTATAAAAGGAGGCAAAATAACCACAATCCTTCGCTGTTACAGAATAAATAACTTATACATATACAGTAATTATAATCTCAGAGAATAGCTTATAATGGTAAAGATTTTGGAATCAAAAGAGGAAATTTATTATGCTACCCAGAATGAATCACATACAATAATCTATTTCTCCAGTAACATTGAGTGTCCTAATCCTTTGAATGATAAAGAGTATGAAAATTTGCAATTATTATACCCTGAATTTTATTTTTATAAGGTAGAAGTAGAAAGTTTTAAGAATTGGCAAGATTATGCAATGAAAAACAAAATAATAGCATTGCCAATGTTTTCATACTATACAAATGAATATCAATTTGCATCCTATTATGCTTTCAGTCCTCTCAATAAAATTCTCCTCGACACACTAGTTGGGTTTGATGAAGAAACTGATGACGATTTTAGTATAGATCTTGAAAGTGAAGTGGAAGATATGTCTGAGGGTGATTGTGATGGTCTTTTGAAAGATATTTCTAAATATATTAACGACACTTTTGTCAATTAATGGGGTGTTAGGGTGGAGTAAATAAATGTAATTTAATGTGAAAAATGAAAAATTAAGAATAAAAAAATTAGCAAATGAATTGATGTAAGCACGCATTGCCAAAATTATCCTAATTTCCTCCTTTCGATTCTTGTACAACCCTCTACACACCCTACACACTTGTAATAATCTTCCGTCTACAGTTTAGTTTGACCCACACATGGAATAAATGCATATATTGTATTTGAAAAGTATATAGCCCACGATTCGTATTTCTGCAGCCACTATGCAATACTGCACATAAGCACAAATTCTAGTAAGTTGCTCTTCTTGCATTTTCCTTGATATCTTCAATTCTCTTGATGATAGATGTCATACAAAGGAAAACTAGTGAATCTTGGCTGACGGAATTTATAGATTCAGTATGGTGTTCACCTTTCTCGCCTTTTATTATGTCCAGGAAAGCAAATCGAAGTGGTGGGAGACATTGAATTGAGTGATAGTAGTCCAGAGTTTCTAGAGCAACTCCGATTTGATCACCAACAAAATCCTCTCTTGGTTTCGTCATGGGCAACAAATTGTTTTTCCATGCATTTCCTAGTAAAGGGTTGTTTTTGTTCACTCTACCATTTGAATCTAAATCATCAATTAACGAAGGTTGATTTTCACGTAATATATTTAAAGTGTAAGACCATTTTGATCTACGCCAACTATTATCAGCGACCCATCTCAATCTTTGACCATTATATAAAGATATATCTTTTATTGGGTACCTATGATGGTCTATCATATAAAGACTGAAATTCTTTTTGGGATCTTGTGGATCTGGAGTAAACTTTAGTTCATATTTATAATAGCTTGCACATCTTTCCTTCGTAGCCTCACAGAATTTGAACTTATCTTTCTTCCTATCAAATAGCCTATTCTCGCTGACAGGAGGAGGAATGAATTTGTAAAACGACATATATCTGGTCGAATGCAAAGCTGCAAATGTATGATGATCGGTTCTTAGTAATGGCATGGCAAATCCTTCTCTTTGAAGTTCAAGCGCATGGTCGAAGTTCTGTCCTTCTGATCCTTTGAGTGCCTTAAACTTTGCTCTGGCATCCTGTGACACGAAAGTTAATATTTCACTCAGGAAGTTTTCATTATAGCACATGTAATCCCAATCAACCATCTTTCCGTTGAATTCAATAGGTTCGAAATCCACTACTGGTACTTCACGCTTCTTTGAATCACTTTTTTCAGGTTTTACATTTTTTTCATTGGAATATGCTGGTGCTGCTTCATCATGATGATCGTAAGCAGGAAGCTCTTCTTCAGTCGCTTTTGAAGAACGGGATAAAAAGGTCATTCTATTAGTTTTATTGTTAATGAAAAGAGATATATGAAAGATGTATGTATGGAAGTAAATAAGCAATTGTAAAAGTATGCTCTATAGGCAAAATAGTTCACGATAGAGGAACAATACTGGGCTCATTCCAGTTGTATATATATTATTCCATATCCCATAGCACTCTTAGTATAAAGTAAACCATTACGTAAGCGCGCATAATTTTTTAAATTTTAGACCTCAAAGCAGAACAAGCCGTGACTTCAGCCTCACAAAATGACTGTCACGCATGCACCAGAAACAGGGCCGAGCATAGTCACTTTAAGGTCCACATGACTCTCATTAGCAACAAAACGATAAGAGTTAAAGTACAAGCGAGTAACATGATGGAAATAATATTAATAAAATATAAATTAGGTTTTTTAGTGAAAATTAAATTATTGTAGCTTTAGCTGTAACCTTTCTACCATTGCTAACCACTAAGTGATAGCAAGAACGGGGAACGCAGCCCACGACGGCCATTATTGCTTCTTCTTTTTCTTTCTTTATGATCTTCTTCCCTCTTGAATATGGAAACCATGCAAAGGAAAACGAGTGAATCTGTACTAATAGAATTAATAGATTCAGTATGATTTACGTCTGCACCATTATTCATTAAATCTTGGAAAGCAAATCTAACCGGAAAATGGAGTTGTAATGAATGGAAGTATTCCAGTGTTTCGAGAGCAACACCCACTCGAGCTCCAGGAAAATCGCTTCTAAACTTGGTCAGTGGAACTAAATTGTTTTTCCATGCATTGCCTAACAATGGATTATTCTTGTTTACCTTACCATCTATGCTGATATCATCAGTGAGCGAAGGTTCACCATCATGTATAGCATTCAATTCATACGACCACTTACATCTAAAACCGGTGTGTCCATATACAAATCTAAACCGGCGACCTTTATAGGTAGAGATATCGAATATTGGATATCTTTGATGATCTATCATGAAGAGACTAAAATCATTTTTAGGATTCTTTGGATCAGGAGTAAACGTTAATTTATATTTATAGTAACTGGCACATCTCTCCTTTGTGACTTCACAGAATACATATCTGTCGATCGATTTATCAAAAAGTCTATTTTCAGCAGCAGGCGGAGGAGTATACTTGTAAATTGTCATATATTTAGTCGAATGTAAACGTGCAAGCGAATGGTGCTCTGCTTTTAGTAACGGCATAGCAAATCCTTCCCTTTGAAGGTCAAGCGCACGATCAAAATTCTTTCCTTCTGATCCTTTGAACGCCTTATACTTTGCTCTAGCATCTTGGGATACAAAAGTTAGGATATCATGCAGAAAATTTTCATTGTAAACCATAAAATCCCAATCAACAACTTTACCATCAAATACTATAGGCTCCAAATCCACTACTGGTACGTCATCCTTCTTTGAATCAAGTTTTTCATTATTTCCATTTTTTTCATTTGAATATGCTGGTGCAACATCACCATTAGGTTGATGATCATCGTAAGAAGGAAGCTCTTCTTGATTCCTTTTCGAAGAACGGTTTGATAGAAAAGTCATTTTATTATATTGATTGAAAGAGATATATGAGAGAGGTAGGTTTGAATTAAGTAATCAATTGTAAAGCGATGCTTATAAGAAAAATAGTTAAAGATAGAGAAACATTACGGGCTCATTCCGGTAGTTTTTATATATTTTCCACCAGAGATGTATGGGAGAAAACATGAATTACATAAGCGCGCATATTCTTGAGCTTCCAAACTTGGACAGAGAATTCACTGCGACTTCAGCCTCGCATAATGACCGACACATATGCACAAGAAACCGGGCCGAGCATAGTCACTTCGTAACATAGAGAATAAACTACTAATTAAATATTTATTAGACCTTTTAGTAAAAAGTCAATTACTATGGCTACATGCTAGTCGACTTTATTTGCAACCTCTGTGCAACTATTAAAGCTAACCACTAAGTGATAGCAAGAACGAAGTAAGCAGACCCTGATGGGCATATTTATCTCTTTTCGTTCCTACTTTTATGCTCTTCTTCTCTTTTAAATATGGAAACCATACAAAGGAAAACTAGTGAATCAATACTAACAGAATTAATGGATTCAGTATGACTTACCTCTGCACCATCATTCATCAAACCCTGGAAAGCAAATCTTACTGGAGCATGGAGGTGCAATGAGTGGAAATATTCCAGTGTTTCAAGAGCTACACCTATTGGAACTCCCAAAAAATCTTTATTAAACCTAGTCAGCGGACCCAAGAGGAAGTTTTTTAGTGAGTTGCCCAACAACGGATTCTTCTTGTTTACCTTACCATCTTTGCTGATATCATCAGTGAGCGAAGGTTCCCCATCCGGTATAGCGCTCAAAAGATAGGACCATTTACATCTGAACCAGCTATATCCAGTTACAAATCTAAATCGGCGACCTTTATAGGTAGAGATATCGATTATTGGATATCTTTCATGATCTATCATAAAGAGAATAAATCCCTCTTTAGGATTCTTTGGATCCGGAGTAAACGTCAATTTATATCTATCATAACTGGCATGTCTCTCCTTTTTGACTTCACAAAATACGAATCGATCGATATACTTATCAAATAGTTTATGCTTATCTGTAGGGGGAGGAGTATACTTGTAAATTGTCATATATCTCGTCGAATGTATTTGTGCAAGTGAATGGTGCTCTGCTCTTAGTAATGGCATAGCAAATCCTTCTCTTTGAAGTTCAAGTGCACGCTTGTAATTGTATCCCACTGATCCCTTGAATGTCTTATACTTTTCTCTAGCATCCTGTGATACAAATGTTAAGATATCATGCAGAAACCCATCATTATAAGCCATGAAATCCCAGTCAACAACTTTACCATTAAATTGAATAGGCTTCATGGTTACAATTGGGGCATCATCCTTCTCAGGACAGGTATTTCCAGTTGGTTGAGATTGGTGCTGTTCATATGGAGGAGGAATTTCATTACTCTCTGTTGATCTTGAAGCACTATGATCTATATAACTCATATTATCAGGTCTTATATGGATTATAAAGTAAATACGAAAAGAGTAGCGGTAAAATCAAACAATTCAGTAATTGCAGTTAGTAGGTACCCTAACTACCAGAGATACTTAGTTAAGATGGAGCTCGTTTTCAGTTAGTTCACATTTATATTTTTCCAAATCTAGCACCCTGTCAACTCCGTATAACAATTGTCATTTAAACGCAGATTTATTTTTTAGGCTTTAAGCCTCAGGCATGATTTTTCATGACTTCAGCCACCAGAGTACGAGGGCCATCAGGAATACCATGCATGTTTACCGAACAGGTATGTCTTATCAGGGCTTAAAGTGATATGACCACAGATTTAGAATAAACATTAAGGCAAAAATAATAAACGTAAAGTAAATAAAAAAAATACTCAAACTATTGGTCATATTATACTAAATACAAAACTAACGTAAACCCAATAAATCAATGCTATATAAAGTGTTTCGACTACGAACTAGAAATCTATGCCTAGAGCTCTATTATCTTCAACATTCTTTAAAACGGAAACCAAACAAAGAATGACTAAAGCTTCGTCTGATACGGAATTAATGGACTCCGAATCACACTGTTGTGCTGCTTCACCAGGAACCGTTTTCAGATAACCAAATCTAACTGGAGCTACTTTGTACAATTTTTCTCGGTATACAGCAACCCCAAGCTCGTTTCCTTTGAACAGATCGGTGTCTTTGACCTGAGGTAAAATGTTGTTTTTCCAGGCAGACCCAAGGAGTGGATTATTCTTTGGCACTTTACCATCCTTATGCAAATTATCTGCAAGAGAATCTTGTTCTTCACTCAACTCATGCAATTCGTAAGACCAATCCCTTTTTAAGCTCCAAAGTTTTGGAGTGATGAATCTGTATCTTTTTCCATTATAAGGGGATACATCCGCAATCGGATTCCTACGGTGGTAGATCATATAGAGAGTAAAGTCCTCTGCCTTATTTGTAGGATTAGGTGTAAAATTGAACTCAAATCGATTGTAACTTGAACAGACCCACTTCCTTACCATGCAGAACTCGTAGCGATCTAACTTTGGGTCGAATAATCTGTTTTGGTCTGCCGGAGGAGGAACAAATCTAAGAATTTTCATAAGTGAATGGGAGTATAATGCTTTCCAGGAATGATCCGTTTTTAGCAAGGGTATAGCATATCCCGATCTCTGAAGATCAAGAACTTCTTTAGTTTTAACCTCTTTAGATGCTTTGTACTTGGCCCGCGCATCTTGTGATACGTATGTAGTAATTTCATACCCCATTTGTTCATTATAGTTTACGAAATCCCAATCCACAACCTTTCCGTTGATTTCAATTGGTTCGAAAACTTCAAGTTCTGCTTTTGCTAGCTCATCAAATCCTTTTTTGTCATCAGTGGGATACTTGTGAATCGAATATGACGGATCATATGGAGGAGGTTTGAATTCTTTCTCGATTGACATTAGAAATATTTAATAATAATTTTGAAGACGAAATTTACTCTATGTATTCTGCAATGATAATCACTGGGATCTCAAACTTACAGATAATTGACCTTGTTATAAACCCAGATATTATAATACATGTCTTGTCTTTGAAAAGATTATTCTATGGCTCATAATCTTTAGTCATTAAAGCTAATCATCTAAAGTTAATTTATCCTCAGATGTGGGAGATTGCAAATTGAAAGAGAAAGTCTAAATAGTTTAGTTTGCTTTCCACTTTAAGACTATTTTGGGTAGACGGTTTACAATTGCTGCAAAATTGGGACATAACCAGGCACACCTCTACTTTATGTAAGTGAGCGCAAATGATCATGACGTCATTTGATTATGATTTTTAGTTTGACAAGATGTGCTACAAAATCATTTCTCCAAGATGCAACAAGGACATCAACGTACAATAAGGCTAATCAGTTAGGTTGTTCTAATTTTCCTGACATATATCTTATTTCCGAATGCTAGATGTGGTGCAGGCTGTAGCGTGGCTGAAGGTGCGAGTCGCATTCTTTTGTCAAGGTCACTCTGTTACCCTGAAAGTTTAATTCCATCATCAATTCTGACATGCACAGCCCTGCATGAAGAGCCGTGCACTAAAGGTTGCAGCCATGCAGCATTCAAAAAGATGGAACAAGACAAGGGTGTAGTGGTGTAAACATGCTGACACTATGTACTAACAATATAGGAATGCTCCTCAAATTAGGTAACAGCAACTCTAACTTCTTGGCATTACGGGAATAGGCTCGTCAGATTTGATAATGAAAGAGAGGACAAATAGCTTACTGATCGCATGTATTATTTGATATATATTCTAAAGTGGATAATAAGGAGCCGGGCGCAAAATATTAGCTTTCATTCTTACGTAATATTATTATTTTAATCTAGTGCGAGAGCTCTATTGTCTTCTACGTCCTTCAATACCGAAACCATACAAAGGAAAACCAATGCTTCGTCCGATACGGAATTAATCGACTCTAATTCACGCTGCTCTCCTACATTAGCTGAAACAGGTTCCAGATAGCCAAACCTAACTGGAGATACCTTGTATAACTTCTCATGATACACAACGACTCCATGCTCTCTCCCTCTGAACCGAGAATTGTCTCTGACCTGAGGCAAAAGACTGTTTTTCCAAGCAGATCCAAGGAGGGGATTGCTCTTGGATACTTTACCATCATGCTGCAAGTCATCTATAAGAGAATCCTGACCTTCATTCAATTCATGCAACTCGTAAGCCCAATCCATTTGCAAGCTCCAAAGTTTCGGGGTTATCCATCTGTATCTTCGTCCTTTGTAAGGTGAAATATCGGCAATTGGATACCTACGATGGTAAATCATAAAGAGCGTAAAATTATCCGCTTTCTTTGTAGGGTTTGGAGTAAAATTAAACTCAAATCTGTTGTAACTTGAGTTTTCCCATTTCTTGACTATGCAAAATTCATACCGATCCTTCTTGGGATCGAATAATCTATCTTGGTCCAAAGGAGGGGGTACAAATTTAAATATCTTCAATAGAGTATGCGAAAACAAAGACTTCCAAGAATGATCAGTTCTTAGTAAGGGTATAGCAAACCCCGACCTCTGAAGATCAAGAACATGCTTAGTTTTAACCTCTTTCAATGATTTGTACTTAGTTCGGGCATCTTGTGATACAAACGTAGTAATTTCGTATCCTATTATAAAGAAATTCCAATCTGCAACTCTACCGTTTACGTCTAGTGGCCCAAGAGCCTCAATTTCAGCCTCTTTTGCATCTTCAAATCTATCTTTCTTATCCTCTACATATCTTGCTGCAGACGATGATGTTTCATACGACGGTGGAAAGGATTCCTTTTCTAAACCCATTGCTACAGGAATATAATATCTATTGAAGGAACGATAAAGGATTATGCTAAGCCTATATTTTAATATTATACAGGTACAATTGACCCCCTTGTAAATTATCATTCTGACTATACAGCTTCATTCCCCTTAAACTTTAAGTCTTGATATCAAAAACTTCAATGCTCATAATCCTTCAATTACCAAGCCGGAACCTTTTAAAGTAAATTTAACAATATACAGACCTAATACATTACCTCTTTAAAAAATATTGGAATGGTTTAAATTTAACTGGGAATCTATTACAATATTGTAACACTCCGCTCAAATATTATGAAAGCGCTTGTTATTGTTCAAATAAAGCCATATGCAAAATTTGCTGCAATTGAGAAAAATAAGACTATTGATTACTCCACTGCGAAACTAGAATGATACAAGTTCATATGTTGCAAATCTTAACAAATTTTCAAAGGTTTTTAAATTAAAAGTATATATATCTACTTATTTGTAAATCCACCCTCCTCACAAAGTGAATAAAACAAACTATTTGGATTATTTAATAAATTTTGAGGAGTGTCAAATTCTGCAACTTGCCCTTTATCCAATACAATAATACGATCGCTATTCAAAATTGTATTCAATCTGTGAGCAATTGTTAAAGTTGTCCTATCTTGAAATTCGACTCTGATAGTTTCCTGCAAGACTTGATCTGTTTCAACGTCTACAGCTGCAGTTGCTTCGTCAAGCACTAATACCGTTGATTCAACTAATAGAGCTCTTGCTAAGCACATCAATTGTCTTTGACCAGCGGATAAATTGGATCCACCTTCGCTCAAAATAATATCAAGAGCGGATTTGTGAGGTTCTGGACTTTCATCATTCATTTTGAGAATGTGGTCTTTAAGATGAGCCAACTTAAGAACTTTCCAGAGATATTCATCTTCGTGTGCATTGGTTGGATCCAAATTCGTTCGAACAGAACCCTGGAATATTTGTGAATCTTGAGGAATGATAGATAAATTACTTCTCAAATCTGACAATCCCAATTTACTGATATCATGACCATCAACATTTATATCCCCTTCGGCTGCTTCAAGTAAGCGGAAGAGAGCCAAGGTAATAGAAGATTTCCCTGCACCAGTTCTTCCTACTATTCCAATCTTTTCTTTTGGTGCTATTGATAATTTTAAGTCTTTTAAGACATAGTCTAAGTCTGCCCTATATCTTGTCAGGTAATTTTCAAAAACAATTGCACCAGATTCTGGCCATGAGGTAGCTGGTCTATTATTTTCAATAATTTGAGGTGCCTCTGGGGTGAGACAGGAATATTCTAAGATCCTTTCCACAGAAACTATATTAGTTTCAACTTCTACTGTCATTCTCACAATTGTTCCGAGAGCTTTGGTAATTTGAAGTGCGTATGAAACAGATAATCCTACTAAACCTGCAGTCATGCCACCATTCTTCAAAGAAAGTACAGACAAACCTGAAGCTCCAAATATAATCAAGGATCCTAAGAATTCCAACCTCACTGCTAACCAACGGTTTGCATTGATTGCAGGGTTGAAGGCTTTCATGTTTGTATCAATTAAAATACGATTGTGCTGTTTGAATCTATCAGTCTGACCATAAGCTCTAATGACAGATACACCGTTCAATGATTCTTGAAAGTTTGAAAATATTGGTGAACGAGATACTGAATCCAATCTTCTTAATTCCCTTGATGTTCTGAGATAATATTGCTGAGTATGGTAGTAGAATAGACAAAGGGGAATTATGACGAATATGAATGGCCATGTGGAAAAGCAAATAACAATTAATGTGAACAAAACCTTTGCAAGGTTAGTGAAAAACATTCCGAAAACTCTACCCATTTGTTCGTCAACTTTGTAGATGTCGTTAGAGAATCTATTTAAGATTCTGCCAGTAGGAGTAGTTTCAAAGAATGACATTGGTGAACGAATTACGCTAAGAGCCATATTACTGTGCAATGTTTTAGACCCTTCGATGGTGCAATATATCCATAGAATACATGTTTGGATTAGCGAAAAGATGGACGATCCAAGCCCGAGTAAGATATAGATAAATAAATAGATCCCTGCTCGAGGATTATAACCAAGTTTAGTATTAATCTCAGACCAGTGCTTCAACCAAACATTGGAGGACACGGAAAGAACCATAGCAATAACAGTTGCGGACAAAAATACCAAAACTCCTTTTGGATTACAAGCTTTTACATACGCAAAATAGACGTCCCACAAAACTTTTCCTTGCTCTACGTGCTCCTTTCTTAAATCCTCTTTAGTAGATTTCATTGCACTGTTGTCTGCTGCTTCAATTGCAATCAAATTCTCTATGTCCTGTATTCCCAGATTTGTTTCTTCATCATCAGAATAGTGATCTGTTAAGCGAGATTCAATAACTGAGCCTCTTCTAGAAGTATATTCATCAGCATCCTTCACAATAGAAGCTGCACTTGAGGCAGCTGTAGATTCTTCGCCAGACGTCAATCTATCTTCTCTTTTTTTCTTGCCAAATTCTTGAATCAATTTTGAAAGAGAAGATGGATTAGTTTTCAGAATAACACTTAAATATGAGTTTTGTTCCACAATCTTACCACCTTCGACTAAGTGGATGCAATTTGACAAACCAAGTACTCTTATATTGTTTGTCGCTAAAATTCTGCATTTACTTTGCAAAATTCCACTTGGACCAAAAACATGATCCATGAGGTGCTTCCCAACGTGTTCATCAACTGCACTCAAGGTGTCATCGAAAATGTAATTGTCAGCTCCTGAGTAAACTGCTCTAGCCAAAGCTAATCTTGCCTTTTGGCCCCCACTTAAGGAAATTCCTTTCTCTCCAACTTCTGTCTGATCACCATCCGCTAATTGTAAGAGGTCTGCATTCAATGAGCAAGCATTCAAAACCTTTTGATACCATTTCGAATCAAATCTATGTCCGAATAATATATTGTCCCTGACGGACCCATTAATAATCCATGGAACTTGGGAAACGTAAGCAATAGTACCATGTACTTCCACTTTACCACTACTTTTATGAAGGTCACCTAAAATGGCTTGTAAAATTGCAGATTTTCCACTTCCAACTCTACCTACAATGCAATCCAAGTTACCCTTCTTGAAATCCATATTTATTCCAGTCAATGCGGGAGGTGCTTCAGGAGCTGAAGTCCATTTGAAGTTGGCATTACTCAACTTAATAGTGCTGCTTCCTATTTCTTCAACTCTTGGTAATCTAATGACAGCTTTCTTCTGAATTTCATTGGAAGTTAAGAAATCCGTAATTCTCGTAATTGAAACCTGGCATTCAATAATGTTTGAAATAGCTACAGGTAACACACTCAATGGCAAATTAAGCAAGTTAAATAAAGACAAAGCAGGGAACACTATATCCGTCAGCAATACATTCTTTTTGCCACCAAGAAGTACAAATATTCCAAATGTTGTACAACTAACGAGAAATGGTGATAAGTTTGCTGTGAAAGTGGAAATTGCCGAAAATATACCTATTGTCTTCAAGTTTTTCAATTCCTTTTCATTCCTAACGTAAGTCAATTTTTCAAGATAAGCTCCACCCCAGTCATAGAATTTTAATGTTTTGATATTGTTGATAATTTCACTTATTAAGCTCGACCTTTCATCTTTGTTCTTCATTTGGACTCTTTGTAATTTCTTTTGAGTTCTAGCAATTGAGGCATTTACCGGAATCAAAAAGAGCATTACAACCAAGGCAATCCAAGCCAGTGATCCTAAAAGATTATACAAAGAGATCAAACAAATGGCTATTTGGAAAGGCCCAGACCATATCATTTGAACGTTTTGAACCAAATCCTGCAATCTCTGAACATCAACGGCCATAATATTAACAATATCTCCAGTACTTGTCTTTAGCCTAGTTTCATTTGAAAGTATTAATGATTTGGCGTAAATGCGAGAGGTGAGCGCTGTCTTAATCTTCATTCCCAAGTCAAAAGCCCTTTGGTAGTACTGATGAGCAAAAAAAGTTTGGGATGCAGATACAACAAACATTGCAAGTGCAATCATGAAACCTTTATTTATTGGTTGAGCTCCATGGTTCTTTTTGTCTGAATATTCATTCACAAATCTAATCAACATTCTTAAAAGTTGAGGTTGGACAAACCCAAGGAGGTCCATGACCATTTTGAAAACACCTCCAAGAGCAAATTCACCACCAAATGCTTTTGCAACTGCCTTGAAGAGTGTGGGGCTCTTGTGCTGAGAGATTTGGGAGTCCCATTGCTTACCGAATTCGGATGAAGTCATCCCAGCCTCAATTTCCATTGGAAGTGGTGGTAAATCATCCTCAGTTAAATACGTAGCGTATCCCTTTTTCATTAAATTGTCCATCCAACTGAAACTAATACGAGCGAAAACATTTGCATTGTCATACGGGGAAACAGCTGACCTCTTTGAGGTTAAACGAAGTGGAATAACTGGGAAATACAATTCTGCAAATAAAATCATACATGGCAATACCAAGTTAAATACACATGCTATGTTATACAGTAAAGTTCCATCCTTTTGAAACTGGTCTCTTAAAACCAACCCATAGACCCTTGCTAAATTGAAGAATATTTCCCAGAGCCAGTAGAATAAGACGACCCCATTGGAAATTGGGGAAGTGAAATGTTGAACAACCAGTAGTGCTAGAACGAAAAGCAAACCAATAGCATTTGCAATATGACCAACGAATACGCTATCTCTCCTGGAAATCGTTATAGTAAGGTGCAATTGGATGAAAAACATTAACCCGATTAACCCGAGCTTAACTAAGAAGTAGCCAGTTACTCTATTACTATACCTATTCTTCCTAAAGTTCTTATGAAGCTTCACAGCCTGAGAAATTGCCAATCCGATAGTGACAACTGCCACAACAGTGCAAACAAGTCCTTGAAGAAAGCATGGTGTAAAATCTGCATACTTCAATGAAAGTGGTCCCCAACCATCCTTATCTGAGCAGCCATAGTAACAAGTTCTTTCAGGGAAGGAACCAGCAGAATCAAAGTCAATATTTTCAGTCTGGTAGCCCGAATGGAAAAAAGTCTCGTAATTTGTGAAAGGATCTAATTCAAACATCCTTTCAACACCTTCAAACTACAATTCCTTACAACCTTTTATCCTTCTCTTAGCTGTCAAACCAAGAAGAGTAGTCTATCTTATAGATAAAAAATAAAGATGCGATGTCCGAAAAACAAAATCTAGCGATGGATTTAGAGGTGCGTGAGGCTTAGGGGAAAAACTTCGATCTTACATGAAGAAGCGCCGCATTCTACAAAGAAGCTTCTTCGTTCCTGGTGAAACGTCACTTATTCATCCACTACTTAAGTCTATATTGTCCTTGACTGCCTTATGATGCCATCTTTCTATGTGTCTGCCGTAGTAGAAAAGTAAATTTCTTTGTCCTACTCTGTCTTCCCCAAGTAACTTCCCCTTGACATCATCCCATTGTTTATAGGTAATCTCATCCCATTCTGGCCGTTCATGTAAGCCAAGACTTTTGAGCTTGGCTGAGTCTAGCGATTTTGGGTGGATAATTGTGTCTTCCCTTGGGTTGATGAAGTCAATTAGGACCAAACGTTTATACCCCAATTGTACTTCTGGTGGCAAAGTGACTCTATGGATACTGGCTTTGAAGTAGCCACCAGTTAAAAATTCCAAAGCATCGCCAATATTGCACACCAATGAGTTAGGGCGATAGTCAACATACTTCCATTGCCCAGTTTCAAAGTCTTTAATTTGCAATGCAAGGATTGGCTGTGAGGTAATTAGGGAAAACGCCGATATGTCGGAATGGCCTCTAAGCCAACTTCCCTTTGTTCTACTAGCATCTTCCTTTGTCAAGGGATGGTACATCATAAACCTCCCATGCCCACCAGACGAATCTTTGATACTCTCGTCTTCAGCTAAAGTAAAGTATCTTTCGTATAAACTACCTTCCGGGATTTGTAAGATGATATCACATAAGTATAAGATCTTTTTCAATACTACAGTGTGTAAAAATGTATAGTATTCGTTAACCTCCTTCCAATGCTCAGCAAATAATTCTGGGTAGGAGTTCGCTTTGGACTTGAAGGTGCTAGGCAATTTTGCGTCTCTGAAGTTGAAATGGACAATAGAGTCTCTAACCCCATCTTCGCTCATTTTCCAAAATCCCTTAGGCTTGAATCCTTCACCTCTTTCAGCACCTAATCCTTTCTTTTTATTTTCCAGATCTTTCTCTGCAGTTGCTGCACCAGAGTAGTACTTCTCCTTTTCAGATTCTGGAAGTTCAACTAAACTTTGGGCTATTGCCTTTAAGTACTCCAATTTCTGTGTATCGTAACCAAAATTGATTACATTGAAGAATCCTGAAGCAGTTATGGTCTTCTCAAGTTGGTTTGCCAATCTTTCTCTAACCTGCAACCCCTCAGGACCGTACTGAAATTGGCTCAAATCAATGGCATCAAGTTTAATCACCTCTGGCTTACCCTCTTCGATTGGGGGAGCCTCGACAAAGGGCCTGACATTATACTTGCTGTCCACGTCAGATACTGTCATTTTTAAATAAGTCAGCTAGTGCAGCATCAACATATTCGGCCAGAAGGGAGACCAGCTTCTTATAGCTTAAATACTGTGGCATTTCTCTCTATTCGAAATCATAGTGCACAATGTTGCTTCCCAGAAAGAGCCACACTACTGCGCTATACACTTATGTATCTAGTGCAAAATGTGCCAAATAGACACTTTAGCTTACGAAGTCCTACATAATCTACAGCTATGTCTCAAGTAGTTATAATATATTCACTTAATTATCATTTTAACTAGTCATTTCAGTCATGTTATGTATTTTTATATCTTGTACATTCATTTCTATTTTACTTTACCTTCATTTTTTTTTTTTTTTTTTTTTTTTTTTTTTTTTTTTTATATTTTGTTTAAAAATATTTAAATAAAATTTTTAATAAAAAAGATATTTTTTATAAAAAAAGACCAAAATAAAAATAAA